GGGCGGCTGAGCCGCTGCAGCCTGGCGTCTCTCGCATACCCAGTCATATAATAATAATAGGGATCCCCTGGCTCAGGATAACCAGGAAACAAGAATCATTGCTTCAGTCTCAAGCTGCGGTTAAACATGTCTCCCGCGACCGTCGACAGCTTGCCGTACGAGATACTCAGCTCGGTACTGTCATATATACCCGTCGTTGAGTACAACAACATCAAGCTCGCGGGAAGCCGCCATCTCACCTGCATCATCCGTGAGTGGACTTCTCGCATCCCGCGCCAGAAGTACATAGACTTGCTTCAGCAGCAGGACGAGGCCAGTTGTCGTTTATCTAGCGGCAAGGCTCGAACTGCACTTGAGATCACGATCGAGCAAGGAAATGAATCCATCGTCAGGCAGTACATACATCGATATGGAGGTGCCAAAACCCGGCCCGTGAACCGTGAGAACCGGAGGTTCATTTCTGCATTTCACATAGCGGCTCTTCACGGTGCTACAGACATTCTCCGGCTGTTGATGGATAGGATCAATCTCAGATGTCGCAAGACAGGGGGCACCCCGCTCCATATGGCTGTGAAGGGAAAGTCTCTCGCGGCTATCAAGCTACTGGTAGAGAATGGTGCTGATGTCAATGCTGTCGACTTTAACGAATACACTCCTCTCGGACTAGCGAAGCGGTTGGACTGTAGTGAGGATGTTCTGCAGTATCTAAAGGAGCAAGGAGGCTGTGCGAGTGCCGACGAGGTACTGAAGGAGCATCCCTCTCGGAAATTCGCAGATTTAGTATGGAAATCCACGGATGAGGCAGCATCAATTGCAGATTTGGGCCTTGGTGATGTTGAACCATCCCGATCATACTACCAGAGTGGGGTTATGCGCTTGTTTGGTAGATATATGGTCCGAAAGAAAAGCCAGGGCTCAAAGCCAAGCGAACAATTCCTACGGGATCTTATTGGCACTGCCGTAACAGATGGAGTCAATGGAATTGTCGAAGCCTTGATAGACGATGGATTTCAAGCCGATTCCTGGTCCGATACGGGAGGCAACAACTTGTTGCACAAGGCTATTGCAAGTTATAATACTCCTATTGTTGGATTGCTTGTGAAGTCCGGAGTAAACTACAACCACAAAGCCAAAGATGGATCTACCCCCTTTCACCAAGCCGCATCTTCCGGCTATGTAACCGTGCTCGAGGAAATGATCAGTGCTGGAGTCCCGGTGAATCTGGTGAACGATCAGGGCTGGACAGCCATTCATTGTCCACAATATTACTATAATTATGAAGGTCACGTCGGTACCTTGGTCAAAAAGTATGGTGCCGATATTGAATTCAAGGACAAGGATGGTCGAACACCTCTCCACGTCTCCGCTACCTGCGCGAGGGATGAAATCTTTGAGGATCTCCTGGATAATGGCGCAGACATCAATGCCCGGGATAACGATCAAGAGACCCCTCTAATGATCGCATGCAAGGGAACCCACGCCCCATTCATCGACTTGTTGATGCAGCGCGGCGCAGATATCACGCTTCTCAATGCCAACGGCCGGAATGCCATGGAGGTGTCAAACTCGTTGTTTGGGCTGAAGATGATGCTGCTGTACGCCGTTGATCCCCAGCTCAAAGCAAAGATAGCAACCATGGAACTCATCCGTCAAACCAAGGTAGACGATCCCGATGATGAGATTCCTGATGTCGGTGGTGATGATGAATTTCTCTTTGAATGATACTCCTGGGGTTCTCGTGTATATATATATTTATATATAATCTATCTACCTCAAGGAGTCAATGATATGTCCAGCATCAAAGGCGAAACACAGCACTCCACTAAGTAACGCATCCGTCCTCTTTCTTCCAGGCAAAAAGGAGAATTAAAAAAGAGAGCGTTCTATCGAAATGGAGAAAAAAACAGCAAAAAAAGGTCATACCAGGATTCGAACCAGGGTTACCGGAATGTGAAACTGACTGTGAAGTCATCAGAATCCGATGTGCTAACCAGCTACACTATACGACCGTTCATGGAGTATCTTATCCACTGTTCAACCTATATTTGGGAGAGCCACTTAGGGGACATCACTTGAAATGACAAGCTAACAGGAGCAAAATGATGTTAAGACTTTCTGGCTCTTCCGTCGCTGTGAATTTTTTCGGCAGGAGAAAAATTAGGGGAAAAGGTTGCAGGGATGGGTATGTGTTTAGTTTATCGAGATCACCTGATATTTTGCAGTGAAAACTACGCTAAAATACATAAATGTCTTACGTAAGTTTATAGCCGAGGTTAAACTCTATGATATCAAAGCGCAGGAGAGGATGAAGAAGCCAACTACCTTTTTACAACATAACGAGAGGTAAATCAGTTTGAATACTTGAGATATCACTTCTAAAAGACCTGCACATCAATTTCGAACAAGCCGGTAGTCATGGTTGATCCTACCGAACCCAGTTCTGAGAACCTTACGGAGCGTCAGAAGATGCTCCGGGGAGAATTGTACACTGCCTTCTCAGCCGATCTAATAGCAGAACGAGCAAGGAGCAAAGCTGCCTGCGACAGATTCAACAACGCCGGCGAGGTGACTCGTAGACGCCGTGTGGAGCTATGGAGGGAGTAAGTTAACCTCTCGTAATATACAGTATTGCCAAACGTTTAACATCTCGTAGCATAGTCTGTGATAAACGGCCCATGCCACCACAAGCTGCCACCCAGGAGGAAGATGATGCCCTCTTTGAAGATGATCCGTGGGTAGAAGCTCCCGTACGGACTGATTATGGCTACAATTTCAAGGTCGGAGAGGGCGTCTTTATCAATTTTAACTGCATTGCGCTGGATACCTGTTCGATCACTATTGGTGCTAGGACACTGTTCGGACCAAATGTGAATTTGTACGCTGGCTGTCATCCCTTAGATCCTGCTGTTAGGCAGGGAACGAAGGGGCCAGAGTTTGGTAAAGAGATTCGTATTGGTGAAGATTGCTGGATAGGCGGGAATGTCACTATTCTACAGGGTGTGACCATTGGCGATGGAGCTACTGTAGGTGCTGGAAGTGTGGTGACCAAGGTAAGTATCCCTGAGCATACTTTATTGAAATTCGTATGTTGAGATGCGTGCTGAACATGATATAGGATGTTCCGGCCTTCCATGTCGCGGCAGGTAATCCAGCGAGGGTTATCCGCCGCATAGAGACAGCCATGGATCCGTCGCAGAAAAAGGACAATACTACTACACAAGAGTGATTACATGATCTATATCTGGAGCTGTTCAGAGAAGATATTATCTATAGATATGTTTATTAGATAAACAAGGTACTCGGACACGGTTGGGGAGGGTTATATCGTTGCACATTTGTCTTCAATATATAGGTGGCGGAACGTTCTCTCGCACATAGTCTATTAGAATCCTAGCGTGTTGACATTCCTTAATTCCAATGACACCCAGCCTGGGTAAACCGACAGCATCTGCCATTCTCGTTTCGGCGTTTTTGGATAAGTAGACCAGTCGAATCCCTTTGCCTTGGTCAAGTTCCGATATATGCTTAATAGTGAAAGAAAGCGACTCAACCAAAGGCGTAGGAGCTGTCGAACGACAGATGAAGACCACTGATACCTTTTCTAATCGTTCGCTTGCCTTGTCTTCTTCCTGGGCCGCTTTTTTTGTAGCATCAAGACTCGCCTCACTCAGTGCCTCCCAAGCATCTCATAGTCGAATTGAAACCAGTGGTAAGGTATTTCAGCACATCCGGTGCAGGAGAAGGCGTCAATGCATGACCTGAGGATTTTTCTTCATCTTTATTTTTGGATGCAGCCTCCTTGCGTAGCTGTAGCTTTTTCCATCGTCTGCCTTTCGATGGCTTCGCTTTTTCACCCCTCCATGTCCGAATGGGGTATAATACTCTGTTGAACGTGTAAGCAGTTCCATATTGGCAGCATTCAGCATTTGATACAGATCTACCTGTAGAGAAGGTCTTCGATTGTCTCTTGATGCTCACGAGAGAGCTCTGTTCTATGTGTGTTATTAGTGAAAGCTTCAGGTAAAATCAAGCGAAGATTCTCACATCGGGGCTGACGGTCGATGTCTACTCATCTTATACTATAATGCCTAATAGATCAAGCCGTATCGCACTTAAAAAGGCCACCTTATATTGGTTAGATTTTTTTTTAAATTCGACTCGACGTTCTTTGGTGGAAATTGTACTTTTATAGTGCTGTGAAGTGTTGATTTTTATTTTTAGCGTCACCAAATAGAAAAGTCATGTTGTCAACCACAATTCAACACTGGATAGAACAGGACCCTGACCATAATGGCCTATGCAGTCACATAAGACAAGTTGATGGAATTAGTATCATCATTATACAACTACTGTGCATTAAGATCTCGACGTAAACCAACGAGAGATGAGTTCATGAGCATTCTTTATTTATGAGCCGCAATGCTTTCTAACGGACCCAGCCAGAGGCGCCTCGACCTTCGAAAACATTTCCTACCCCCTAATAAATGCACCGATGAGTAAACAACGCACACAAAACAACTAAACAATAAAGTAAGGGCAAGCTGGAGGAGTATTGAACATTCCCAGGATGCTGGCCCAGTCTGATCTGTCTCTGTACAGGAGCGGCAACTGGAAACTCAAAAACAAGGATTGATCATGAGGAAAATCAGCAAGGAAGGCTTTTTCTTCGCCTCGTTATTATTGATACTTTCTATTTGTTTTTTTCTTCCTTCCTCCTGATTGCTGCATGTTTCTCACACGCTCAACGGAAGGGTGGGAAGAACACGAAAAAACTCCATTATGATGCACCTGAGCGTCCGTTGAATACCCCGTGGGATGTTGTTCATTCATTAATCTCGTTTAAAGCGTAGCATAACGTGTGTAACATATCTTTCCATTTCGAAGTTTTTTTTTTTTTTTCTGCTGTGGAAAGCGTATCGTCAATGTGGTCGTTAACGGGTCATTGCACAGCAAATTTCGTTAATATTCAACCGGAATTTTACTGCCACTAGGTTTTCTGTGGTTGTCTTCTCGGGCAGTTTGGTATAAAGGGGAATGGAATATGTTGATCGTAGGCCACGTAGGAGAAACTCTTGTTAATGGGCTGGATATACTTCTATGGTGACGTAGCCAAACCGATCTCTGAGTCGCTGGCAATCACAGAATTATCCTCCCATGCATCTGAAGGAAAGTCAGGACCTGAAAATAGAAAATGAAAGCACAAGACAATACAAGTTAATAACAAAACAACGCAAAGAAGATACATATTGCCAATGCTTAAAGAGTGAGGGTATCGAGCTTACCTGATCCAACATCCTCCGGCATTTCAACGGTGTACTGCTCCAAGCTTGCGAGGACAGCTGCATCATGGCGATTAGCAAAACGCCGGTTTTGGTTGAAAAGGTATGCAAGAAAGGGGTCAACATACCTCCGGCGCGCTCGATAATAGCTCTGTCTCCTTCGATATTTTCTTCATCAAAATACTTCTCGATGCAGAGCTTAATGACATATTGAATGATTTCAACAGTTGACGCATCAACGACGGTCTGGGTGTTTGAGGTGGTGAGGTACGTCGTATGCAATTTATCAACGCAAGCTTGTTCTAATTGGCGTCCCGTACGTTGGTAGAACTGTCGAGTAGTCTCAGTGGCATCTTCAAGGTTTTTGGAGAACAGGATTTCCTGCAAATATTCGAAGGCTGAATTTCGAACCAGTCGATCATCGTAATGGAGTAATGTCGGTGCCCAATACGGTGCCATTTCTAACACCAGAGATAGGAAAAACAACTCATCTTTCTCTAGGATCGCACTATTATTAAGGGTTGCAATTGTTTGGATAAAGGTGACATGGTCGCGGCCGCCAGCCTCATTTATCGAGTCAACTGATTTGGCTGCAAACTCAATGAGACTTCGAACACGGTCAATATCAGGAACTATGCTGCAGAATAGTAGCGTAATTTCAAGAAAGGGGCTGGCAAGAGATGCAGGTTCAACTGCTAGGCCCTCCTCAAGCATATGGACTATGCTATCCATGAGTCCATCAATTGTCGGAGTTGTGTCTAAAAAAATGGTGAAGATCTTCCGAGCTGCATCAACGTTTTCTTGCTGCTCTATCACTTTCTTTAGAAAAGAAAGCTCTCTTTTATCACCTAGCGATAGGACGAGCTCGCTCTCTGCATAAGAAATAATAAGTTTACCATCTTCCCGGCGTCTCGACTCACCGGATCGTACTGGTTCGGCACCGATGTCAACGTTTTCAAGGAAAATGGCAAGCAGTTCAGTGAGTTTGTAGTGTGAGAATTTTCTTCCTTTCTCAATCAGGCGCACATAAGCCGGATAGACTTCCTTGAGCCTCCTGGAATCATGGCGGTCCAGCCATACCATCTCCAAACATCGTAGGAGGAAACCATGCTCAAGTAGGGTTTCAACCTCATATGGTCCAAGGTTGGCAATTTCAACAAGAACTTCGAAGTAGTCATCCCAGGCACGAGAGTAGAAGTGAAGTGTGCTCCACATAATCACCATGATTCCCACGACCTTTTCAAGCATGCTCAAGTATTCTTGATTGTATTCGCTTTGTAGCTCACTGTCAGAATCCACATCCGCTAGTCGATCTTGCAGCCGGCTCAATGCTGTTACTAGCAGTTTCGAAAAGCCAACGCGAACGACACTATTGGGGCTCTTTGCAATGAGATTCCGCAGAAGTAACGGCCGTTTACCGACCCATTGCAAAAGCCAGTATGCAGCGCGGGGGCATTCATCAATGGACCTTTTGATGTCAATAAGAAGGGCTTCAACGTCTGGCAAGTCTTTTGATCTGGCAACGAGTTGTTCCAAAGTATCCAGAGTCACATGCATTGACATTTTTTGAATCTTTGAGGCTATTAAAGTGTTTTCAGTCCGGCTGATTTCTCGCGCTCGATTGAAGAGGCCAACAATAAAGCGTGCGTGGTGAGGGTCCAAGAGGCAGTAAATGCGAATAAACAGCTCGTTTTCCATGGCGATGTGGTTTCCTAATTCCTGCGGCAGGGGAATACGTGCTGGAGAATCGCCGATCGAATCTTTATAAACCACTTTCGCTTTCTCCATACTCGAAACTCGTTGGTAGAAGAGCATATATGCGTTCCACACTTTGCAGCCAAAACGGACATGGCTCAAGCTGTGCATATTGTCGCTTGTTCCACCAAAACACTGGTCCGGAATTTTTGCAGGATCAAATCTAGTCACGTCGGAGTCATTGAATTCAACCCAGGAGTTATTGGGGCCCGCCGACGGCCTTTCTTTGATGTAGGAATAGTAGTGGCCGGATTCGGCCGTGCCACTGTGAACCAGAACTCCAACAAGTTCAAACATATCAGGTTCAATGGGAGCGTCAGGGTTGCTGAGATAATCGATGGTGAAAGGTGACATATCTATGCGTTCGGGGAAGTGGAACTCGTCGTTGATCTTGCTTCGCATCATTGATATGACATCAAAGTCGAATCTCTTCAAGTGGAAAATAAGATTGTCTGGTATATCTTTCAAGCATGCCCTGTTGTAAATTAGTACCATAGCCTAATGTTGTTCGGAATGACAGATTATTCACCTTTTGACCGCATCAACGTGTTTTCCGCAAGAGGTACAAGAATACTTGTTGTCTATCGTATGCTGTTAGCAATGATGAAATAGGGGTTAGGATGTGAGCAAAACATACCTCCTTGCATGATCTCCCCTTCAACGTACGCCCTCAAACTATCCTCAAGGCCAGGTTTGCCTTTGATATCACACTGAATGGCGGAAAACGGCTCGAGACGCTCAGAAATATGTTCACATTCCTTAGACTTGATCTGCTGTACAAGCTGACCGCCATAAAATGCTCGGAACTTCTTCTTATCCTCGGCTGTGCGTATTTGGCTTTCCCATCGATCGAAAAGTAGGTTATAAAACTCATCAACATCCATCTGAATATTGATATCAATTGGCTCGTTGTCATACGTTCGAATAGTGTCCACTGCAGTCTGAGGGTCTACACTCTTCTGCCATGTGTCTTGAAGGTATGCAAAGACTCTTTTTGTCTCGCTGAGCACTGCCTGGGTAGGATCGTCTTCTGAGGTTTCGACTTCCAGGATGAACTTACGAAAGTCCAGATTCATGAATAACTGGGTGAATAGGGAATTGAGATAGCACGTGTTTGAGAGATTGCGGAGTCCAGCATATCCTTCTGCAGAGCGGATTGTTTTGGAACGATCAAATATCCACGTAGGGTCATATGTGTAGTCTAGTCTCGAATTAGCAAATATGAATCATTCCAGGGTCCAAAGGGAACATACCATAGGGAATAATGTCTTCGAGCAGCTCAAGCATTTCCGAACAGTTGTCCGTACCCCGACATAGAAGAAGAATGATATTATAGATTTCCTGGCGAGTGGTAGGGTTCATGATTGGAATACCTGGTTGGACCCTCTCGTCCTGGGTATCTGATAGATTTGGGAATAGGAAAGCGATGAACAAATTCACCATAAGATTACTAATAATGGCCATGGTAAGTTAATGTGGATATTAAAGAGTGAGGAAATTCAAATATCTTACCTCGAGCCAGCATCGATGTTCTCTGAAATTGCAAGCTCGAGACACATCTTCAACATATAAGCAAATCCTAGGACAATGTGATCGACACGTTCACGGCCAACAAACTAGATAAAAACTTTATCAGCTTTATGTTAAATAGTCAACCGAGTTAAGGAGCTACATACCTCATTGCCATTGTGGTTCAATAGGATATTTCCCCAGTCCTGCACATATTGCTTATATGGCATTTCTGTCGTGGGGAGCATAGCAACGGTATGGAAGGTCACTAGGGAAACCTCAAAGAACTCCTGTGCTAGCTGGGGATGCTCTACCGACCGAGGCAAGAGTGATGAAATCGACTGCCAGAACGACTTTACCATATCTGACCCAGTAGCTGTTGCGAGATTGCCGGTTGGAATGGCGTTCTTTGACACTGTGTTTGACCAGTAGCCCTTTTGGAGTGGTGATGTGCCGCAAAGACTGAAGATAATTTCCGCAATGTCCTTACGGATGCCTGGCCGAGGCTCGGATAGTAGTAAGCTGTAGAGAAGATCCAGCATCTGCGTGTAATCTTTTAATTCAGCCCATACGTGTTCATCGTTCATAGAGGCTTCGATGAGTGTTGCAAATGAGCTAGAGACGAGTCGTTGTAACGTTGGTTCGTTGAGTGGGATAGAGGAATCATTGCGGTTCAGAGTAAGTAAAGAGAGAATTAGGGATATTAAGCCTGGTGGGTTTGTGAAGAGATGTTGTGATGAACCTGGCGTTGATTTCGCAAGTGCTACATAGTGTCAGAATAACTCAGGATTATTCTGTAAAAACGAGTTTGAGAACTGACCTTTCAAAGCTACCAAGAGGCAGTCCACGAAGCTGCACGCAATGTTGAGCTTCAAAGTATTCTCTTGTAGAAGTTCAGACATCCCAGGTTTCATCAGGATGGCATCAATATTCTTGATAACGTGGGAGATAAAGGCTTGGTCGCGGTTCACCTAGTAGCCATATGTTAGCGAAGTTTCAGAGGGAATTGTAATAACTAGGGAAATATGGGCGGTATCATACACTCATGCTTTCTTCCCGAACACACACAATAAGACAATTGAGGATGTAAAGCAGTTTATATGGCTTTTCAATGGGGAACATATCCGTTTCGCCTATTTCGGGAGATCGTACGAAATCACGAACTGCTTGCTGTGGAGGGAATAATATAAGGAAGTCAAATATCTATGGAGAGACGTTAGCTATACCAGTTCCAACCACGCGAGAGAGATAAAAATCGTAAATCATTGCATACCTCCTTTGAAAATCTCTCGTCCAAACTTAGAAGATCATAAAGGTCATTGAAATGCTTCAATACCTCTGAATCAACAAGCGTCAGGCTCTGACGCCTTCCGCCAAATGAAGCCTCATACGCATCTGAATCCTTCCTAACAATAAGTAAACCTGCGGTAGCAAGTTTCAGATCCCGAATGGTCTGGTTTGCATTTCCGCCACGTAAGTCCAGCCTTTGACCACCGCTAATGGTAGTGAACTTCGAAAAACCGGTAACATGGGCTATCTTATCCGCGAGTTCGGAGGCAGTTGATAAGTCTCCGATAGTGAATGTGCGGATACGAGATTGTGAGCCCATACTGAACGCTTGGTAGGCTAAGTCGATGGATTCTCCCCTTATTGGTTCAGGCTTGAGTGGCATACAAGGTGGTGAGCCCTGGGGAGGAGTGTAATGCGGTCTTGTACGGAGGCCTTGGAGGAGTTGGCGTAGGAAAAGGAGGGAGCGGGCAAATCGCAGTTCTTCGGCGCGGACTTCGTTATCAGATGGAACTATGACCATGGGTTCGTCTTCGCCGCTTGTGGTTCCGTCTATGAACGTTTTGAGTTTGGCGGCTGCAGCTGCTAGTTGGGCTACACATCGATCGACGAGGGATACATGCGTTGCTTCAGCGGATGATGGGCTGCTTCCTTTAATCAGGGAGTGGTCTAGATATGTGTCTATAGCGAAGTTGATGGCATTGATTCCGATGGTTGGATTTGGTGCTGTCAGTATAAAGTGCCAGATCCTGTCCATCCCAGGGATATTAACGACCTCTCCATCATTAGATATTGGTTGGTGGTGGAATTTAACATCATAATTCACTGTCTGTTTCGCAAACAAGAGTACAGACTCCGTGATATCCTCTGGAGGAATACGAGGAAGATAATCATTCATGAAGGTTTCCAGGAACGTGTTTCGTTTCAGGCATCGGGAGGCAGATTTAGACAAGACCTCCCACATGTAATTCCGGTTCTGCTCGCTTATTACTTTCGAAGTGAATACTTTGTCCCATAGGATATCACTTAGGTCAGGAGATATTGTCTCTGGTACTTTGTCGATAATGCGATGGACTAGATTAAGTCGCGGTACGATGGTGTTGCATAGGTATTCATCCTCTCCATCGGTTGCTGGTGTTGTGGCTGCATGTGCAAGTTCCATAATGACAAGGCGGGTGAAGTCAAGGTCTAGAGCTAAACGCCGAATATCCTGGGTATCAAAGGTTGGGATTAGGGCATTAAGAGCATGGATACTCCCAAGAGCAAACTCGTTCATGTCGGAAACATCCTGGACGCATTGCTGATAAAGTTCCGACTTGTCTGTTTCACTTATACCGAGGCTCACAAATTGGGAAAGCTGTTTACTTGCGAATCTCTGGATTTGAGACCTTTGCTCCGGAGGCAATTCATTAGTGGATAGTGCGCCCCGAATCAGCCTGACACATAGGCGGACGGGCATGATGTCAACGTGTGGGTAGTGGCCGAGCTCTTGGTGACGCAAGGATTCCCCATGTTTACTCCGGACAGCGTTCAGCAGCAGGTCACAGAATTCGATCATACGAATGTCGAAGCGTTGCATGGGTAGTTCTATGAGTTTATTGCAAATGTAAATAAGTGGTTCAGATTCGTGGTGCATCGTAAAAGTAGACGAAAGCATGGCGAGGACTTCGGATACAGTTCTAGGATCATGACTCTCGCTGACGGTCTTCCATATAATATCTGTATCTTCATTGGTATATGTTGAAGTTACGACCAGGAAACCGACGATGTTGCTGCCGCGGCTTATTAGTTGAGGATGCGACTCGACACCAACCACATAGTCGACGATCTTATGCCCTCGCAAAAAATTGACCAAGTATTTTGTTGTTGCATGGTTTAGGGCGCCGGGTACATTCTGAATGTGCTGAGACCAGAAGTTTACCAGGTCACCTTGGATAGATTCCATGCCGTAGACTCGCAGTTCCATGCGGCCACTCATAATATGTTTCTTGAGGATGGTGAATTTCCAACCCAAGCTGACAATATGGCCGAATTCAAGGGAGTTAACGCCCTCCGGGACATTGAGTTGCAGGTCCCTGTCGACGGTTGTAGCTGTCTCTTCGTCGAAACCACAAAGAACTCGGAACGAATTGCCCATGGTACGAAGAATCGTGTCGCTCGTGTCACTAGAAAGACAGGAGGAGGATTTCTCTATCAGTGATCGGTATACAGGCTCAGAGAACCGAAGTAATGCATAAACTTGGATAGTAATTTCCTTGGAGCTGGGGCGGCTATAGTTGGGTTGGCATCTCCTCCCGACGAACGAGTCCAGGATATTGTGAGTGACATTGAGAGCCGATGTGAAAAGGGAGGTGAGAATGGGCGATTTGGCAAGGAAGGGCGAAACAGCTTTCATGAAGCTAGTGAGGACCAGAACGCCGTTGACCTGTCGTCCAGCAACGCGGTCGTTAAGATGGCCAACCATATCAATGATATCGGAACCGTAATCACGCTCCATTGCAGCGTAAAGGGGGATTTTGCGCAGTTGGAGCATCGAGGCAAGTGGCATCCAATAAGTTCTCGATATTGGGTCTTGCTGGGCAGACCTGTCTTCTGGAGATTGCGATATCTGTTCTGCATCAATAGATATTACATGTAATGCGATTTCGGCATAGCAAGAGAGGAATTCTTCCATGTAGGACATGGGACTCTCTCCCTCTTCTGCTATAAACTCGGTTCTACATATAGAGATGTTAGCACAGTGGCAAGCAAGGTAGTGTTGAAACAAAGAACTTACGTCCGCCTTAATAGACCCTCAACAACAGAGGGGACCTCTTCCCATAGGTCGCGATCCTCAATAAGTGCTTGATATGTGAGATAGTTGAGATTTGAGCTGCACAGTTCAAACCAAGTCTTAAGGGCATCAAACATATTGAGATCATGTATGGTACCTGTCAATATATATGTTAGCCTGAACTATGAGGCAAAAAATACATAAAGACCGGACTAACCTCTCTCCATGGCAGCTTTCATATCTAAGACACACTCGCGGATGTTGTATGCCGTCCTGAAGTTTGGAAATGCCTCTGCGAGAGAGACTTCTTCGTGAATCTGAACAACCTGAGGCTCCCTGGGGCCTCGTATCACGTCATCTAATGGCCTCCAGCTCGTTGTAGTAGGATCCTGATCCATGTCTTCTGGATCTGCAACCTCGATCTCGACGCTTGCAACAGAAGAAGGCGAATCAGGCAGTATGACAGTATTTCGTTCCATGGGTATACTAGAGTGGGTATCTTCAATCACTTGCGAGTTAGAACTGCTCTGAAGTACAGCCGACACACCGTCCAGCTGTGAAATATGATTGAACTCGGGCTTTGTGACATTATTACCATCTTCGACGATAACACCTTTCTTTTCCGTTGACAATGCCGTAGATTCTTCGTCTTCGGGCATGGCCTGCAGAGACCGTCCTGTTTCCGAGGTAGGAGACTTCATGTTGATAGTAACTCGACTTGATGGACGAGGAGGGACGATAGGACTGCCATTCATCGAGGTTTGGACGGCAGCTGCAGGAAGAGGAGTGATCGGCATTTTCTCTTGGTCCTCTCCAGCTGTTAGAGGTCCACTGTGCACGCTACCTCCATCTAGAGCTCCCACAGGATCTTCCTCTCCAACACCTGGAGTGCTGTCAGTTTGATCCTGAAGTGTTTGCTGGTTCTGTTGGTTATCCTGTGCGTCTTCACTGGCCTCGACCGGAGTCGTAGGTGTAGTCATTGATGCAGTGTCATGCGTGCAATTGGCACCACTGCCGCTATCAAGCCGGGGACGTTTGCGCGTGGACTCTGAGTTTAGTTCTTCCATGAGTTCGCTGCAGCCTGTTGGCGATGACGACCGGATGGGTGACGAGGGCGAGTCGGAAGTATTGATGCCTGTCGGAGCGCAGACGACCAGATTGTTTGTGTCGATCGACTGTGGCTGCGGGCTGACGCAGGAGCCGGGGCCGGTACCACTGCTGGAGCTCGCGGCGGTGATGTTGCTAGAGTGCTCTAGCGGGGTAGGGCCCATGACATTTTCCAGTATTGCGGGTGTCTGTTGTTTACTTTGAGAGAAGAGCCTCAGACGGATATCTCTGGCGTGTAAGGGCCTGGACTGAGGCCTGGGAGGAAGCTCTGGTGGATGTTGGTGGTCAGGCTGGGGAGAGCTTTAGCTTTTTGGCTTCGGAGCCGCAGGGATCGGTCGAAGCACGACGGGCGGCGAGCTGGTCGAAGGAGTTCTGCAGAGGAAGAAGCAGTCAGCTAGAGGTACATGGCAGCAGCAGAAGAGCAGCAGCATCAGTCTGTCTTTCAGCAACTCTGGCAGCTAGTGATGGCTGGGTTGGTGGTTGGTGGCTGTGGCCGCGGCTGGTGGTTGTTGTAGAAGTCGACAGGCAGCAGCTGGCAGGCAGCCGGACCCCAGGAAGACCCAGCCAAAACGCCCTGCAGGAGGGAGGATAACACTCACACTGGGCTTCTGTGCAGGACTGTCTGTGTCCTATGTCTGCTTCACTGTTGGCTCCCCATGCGCAAGCTCCATCCCATCCGCTGTCTCTCTCTCTTGAATATTCTTTATTCTGCTGCCTCTGCCTGTCGCTTCTTATCGATGACTCCATCACAACCACAAAAAAGAAAGAGGCGGTATCGCGGTATCGGCTGTGACGCGTTAACGCTGCTTTAGCGCTTTTTCATTGGCCAATCTCTCAGAGCTTGCGTATTTACAATTTTTCATTGGCTGGCTGTCACTCGGTCGCTGACGTAACAACACACAACGGCGAAAAATACCGTATTTTAGTACGATCATACAGATGACTAAGCAGCCAGCCACGCGCGTGTTGGAGGAAAATAGAAGGAAAGAAAGATAATCTCAATTTGGGACTCCTTTTTTTCCGATAAGTATTGATTCTCCAGTTAGATCATTGTGAAAAGGGAGAAGCTGACAGTATGTTTAAGGCTGCCTACTCCATACATAAATGTAGAGTTGATGTGAAGCTCAAGAACTTTGGCTGCGCTGCGGCGTCTTCCTCACCTCATCAGATACCTACCCACTATCAAAATTGATACCCCGAAGATGAGCTGTCTGAGGCAAGTAGAGATGCTGTTAGGGCGCTGTCAGTACGCGTTACGTACTGGTTAATCCCCCGGTTGACAACACTGTCTGTCTCTTGAACGGTTCGATTTGGGTATCCTTGTCTTAGACAACCGCACCCAGCAACCAACAGCGGAAGGCTTGGCCATATACTTGCCTACCGTTATGTAGGAGTTATCTACTCAAATACATAAGCTTGTATAGCGTATGGGATATCTTTTTGTCACTCGGTTATGCTACTCCTTCGTTGATTTTCTATTGCTCAACTACCGAAGTGTTGGGTGATCGTTCAATACAACTCGGGTAAGCTAAAAAAAAAAAGGGGGGGAATTCTGAGTCATTGGAGGATACCAAGCTGATATAGTATATACTCTAGAAAAACCAATCTGTGATAGCACCCCAAGCTTTCTAACAATATGGGGCACCACTGCTGGGTCTTCAAGGCGTTAAGATTATCGATTTATCATTCCCCGTCATCAGCAGATTCAGGTTAGTAAGCCGGGTGTTCCATAGTTGAATGCTCTCATGGTATATTGTTGAAGAAACACAAGCGGCATATATCCTGGTTCATTACAATGGCTACATGCCTATTCAAAGTACAGGCATTATGGCCGTACATCGAAAAATTGCAAAACAGGATATAATATTCCAAGCATCAACTACCTTCCCCAACACACTTGCCAAACTTCGAGCCTATCAAGAATCTTCTCTGCAACACTTGTTCAAAGGCGCAGTTCATGGCGGATGAGATTACCCCGGTTCACAATTGAGCATAATACCACCCTTCTATCTCAACCGGCACATAGACACGGAGATTGCGGGAACTTTCTGTACCCGCTTCACGCACGGTTACATTGCCTCCATCTCTCATGGATAAGCCGGACAAAAGGGCCTGGAGACGGATGCATCATCAACCCCCAACATTTATTATTAGCGACCTTGTGCAAAGTCGTGCATAACAATATATGCTCCGTCCTAAAACCAGATGGTATTTATCAGACGGCTGTCGTTGTCGGACCTGTTCTTGGGCCGTCCGTCCGCATCACCTCTTTCCACAGTTACCGGTGCCGGCATCTACGCGAACCATGTCGGGTATCCGCGATAACAATGTCCATTTTTCTCTCATTGATCCCCACGCGGACAGACACCGTCCTGTACCTATCTATCCCCGAGGTGGCTGGAATACCATCCGTCTTGGACTTGACCCACTTTATATTCTGATATCCATCAGACCCGCTTCTGTGTCCAGACATCCACCCCTTTGAAAATCTTATCATTACGGTTTTCGGGTCGATCTTAGTACATTTATTAAACCGGATCTACCAGTTCATTCCCGGCACAATCCACAGTAAAGTCTGGTCTTTATCTCATCTGTCGATCAGGGCTACTGTGGCGTTGTCCGATATTCTTTTTATAACCCTGATCGTTGTTCAGGGAGTCAGCAGTGAATATTTCATCATTCTGACCAAGCTGTGATGACAATCAGAGTTTGCTTGCTCTTGATCTTGGACAGCAACAGCTCTCGCGCTGTTCAATGCAGTTGGGTTCGATCCGTTATGCTTCACAACTATGGGAAACCCTTCAATGAACTTTGTGGTCGTAAAAATGTCGACACCTTGTGATCTTCCGAAACTGGGCGGACAAAATTTGCAGCATTGAATATTCATAACACTGGTTTTTATGATCTCAGACAAACAACAGAAACTTGCTGCCCGGGATATTCTATTCGAGTTGGTCATACTCCGTACGGGAAGCTTGATGCTCGTATACGGTGATGTCAACCCTTACCCGCGAGCCTGAATTGAAGGCACAGCTGGACAATGTGCATAGTTCCGAGGTGAATACACAGAGCGATAAGTAATATCTGTAGGGCGCATTCCTTTTTCATTTTGTTCAAGGTTAGGCTTATTCAGCTGCAAAATGAAGGCTGGATTCGATCCTGCAGAATCATCGAAAAAAAGAAAAAAGAAAAAGGCACTGGTTACCCTTGCGACTTCCAACGATCGACTTGCAGAGGAGAGACAATACCCGCTTTTACCACAGCCACAGAAGATGTTCACTGCGAACAGGAACATTACGAGCTAGCCACAGTTATGAAAATCTGCTCGATCATCAATCTCATGAGACGGGAGCTTTTCCCTTTTTTTCCAGCTCACCATTTGCCCCTGATATTCTCAAAGAAGTCGTCAACATATGTGTATGCCTCTAAGTGGAACTAGGAAATACCATTCAAGGTCAGGCAGACAGTTATCATGCATGCCCAGAATTGCCTGATTGGAATTGCAGATAGATCCCACAATTGCTAAACGTTGAAATCAATAACGATAATAATGGTTTTATCCAGGCTCCTCGCTTTTCTGCCCATGATTCACGAGCATTTCCTTGGCCTGTTCGTTACGAGTCAGACCAACTCCTTCAGCTTCACCCCTGGAGTTAATCGGCATCAGCGGATGCAAAGGCGGAAGCTAATAACCACCCTGTGTGTGCGGCTCTTCTAGGGGTATGATGATATCAATTCTCCGACTAGATTACGGCGAGCTCACAGTGAACTACTTAGTCAGGCTACCTCAAACATAGAACATTCAGCTTTCCTTACCAACGAGCGCTTCAGGGACACGAAAACACAGAACCACACCCGCTTTCAGCTGCTAAGTGGCATGACCACATACAACTCCACAGATTCTGGGCATGCGTCGAAGCTGCAGTCGAGAGTCAAAATGTTGGAGATAGCCGAGCCACAGGGAATAAAAACATCCAATCAGATCCACCAGTCATTCACATATGCTACGGATGGGAACAACGGGACAGGTCGACGACAGCCTTAAGTATAATATCCATTTTCCAACCACGAAAGGGGCTGCAAGTAGATCAGATCCATTTAAATTTCTTGCCCCTTTTGCCCTTTAAAGAATCGAATTTTAACGGATCGTGAAATTTCCAACTGACAACATCTATGAAGATCTTCAAAGAATTACATGGCCTAGATTTATTTTGTCTATCCAACACCAACAGTATGCGTCAGCTCTAACTGTATGTCCCTTTTTGCAACTTAATCAACTACTGGTTTCGCACAGTATCCAGCATGAGAACCTCCACCATCGCCTCCAGCGAGACATTGCCTCCAGTAACAACGACTACCAACCTCAGCTTGCCGGTCTCTGCATTCCTCGCCAACCGTTTCAGCTCTTCTTTGCACTCTTCGGAGAACAGCAAGGCAGCCAGTGGGACCACCCCAGAAGTCTCGGCGAGTGTCTTGGTCTCAGTAACAAAAAACTTTAGTGCCTCTCGGATTTGCTCGTCGTTGACGCCGAAGACATCTCTAACATACCCCTTGTTGCTGACGACAGGCCAAGCCCGGGGCGCAACGCAGGATCGCAGTCCATCCGCAATAGTGTTGACTGAAGAATCCACCATTTCTCTTCTTTTCCCACTCTTCCTCCCAGCCAAAAGATCGGCCGACCCTTTTGCAGGCTCAGTACCGTACACATTCACACCATGTGGCTGGCAGTAAACGGCTGTTCCTGCAAGCAGGGCGGCGCCCGAAGTGGGAACAAATATGGCATCAGGCTTGGTGGCGCCGAAGTTCTCCTGTTTTTGCATTTGGTCGATAATCTCAATACCCACTGAGCCGTGGCCTCGAATTATGTCGTAATCATCTGCTGGTGCGAGCACAGATGTACCAAGTGACTCTGCAAAAGCTTCTGCAATTTGCATGCACTCTGTCACAGAATTTCCTGAGAGATGAACTTGTACTCCTTGTGACTCTGCGAGGTAGACTTTGGTTTTGGATGCCGTCGGAGGCATGAATGCGTGCACCGGTATCTGGACGCCACGCATGCGACTGAGGAGGGAGGCTGCATATCCGCTTGCAAAGGCATGATTTCCTGCGTACTAACATTAATACCACTCCTGGTCGAATTTCATAAACAATCCAATAAGGTACACGAGGAGGCTTGATACATACCTGTGCTGAACACCACTATTCCCCTTTCAAGTCTCTCGTCCGACATTCGGGATAGGCAGCACATGAGGCCACGGATCTTGAAAGAGTTTGTGCGCTGGAGATTCTCGAGCTTGAAATAGAGCTCAACAGAAACATCTCGGGCAGCATCGCAAACTCGAGCATTGACTAATTTTGCTAAGGCAGAGTTGGGTTCAACTTTATGAAGAGGCGTGCAGTCGATGAAGTCATGGATTTCCTTATAGGCATGAATGACCTCTTCTGAGGTGTAGTGCACTCCCGTGATGGGAGACGTTTCAACAGCCGGCATATCTACCTAGGCAATAGTTAGCGGCCTCAATCTGCGAGGCTAGAGGAAGAGAGGTGCCGAAGATTGAAGTGCACAATCTATAATGAAATACCTTTTCCAAATGTGTCAACAAGTCACTAGCTTTACTGATTTTCCCCCTTTTGGTATAAATTGTGAGTTTCAGATATCCGACAGACAACGATCATGGGAATATATATTTTTATATTGAGAATTCCGAGACGTCTGTCACCATTGCTCTGGCTCGCGCCATTTCAGCCCAATCCCGACTGATATCTGACATATAAAAACGTCAAATTTCAATCTCGCCGAGATAATATGCTCGATAACTACCCTATGCCCATGTGGGTTCATTAGTTGGCCGTTGATCAACTACCCAAAGGCAGATCGGATCACCAAGGTTGCCACAAGGAGATAACATCCAGGAGAACAAGTCTCGAAGTTATCGTATCCTTTCTAGGACTGTCGGCAACTATGGGTTACCCTGAAGATCTTTGTTTACACAGCCCTGAAACCAAGTTACAGCGGCCATGGACGAATTATAGGCTTGCCATCACCCACTCAGTTCCAACCAAGGCTCCAGCAGAGAGTTACTGCATGCCATTCCTTCATCAAGGTATAACATCTTGGCCTGCATCTCCTTATCGGCAACTGTGTTTCTTACATCCGTCATGCTTCTTTTGGCAATGTTGCCCAGGTATCTAGTCGGTATGGATTGATCTATGCGGTCTCCGTCGACAGTTCAGCTCTCCCGGCGGTTATATGTTTACAAAATTTTAACTTTAAACCTGGCAAGCTAACCAAAGTTTAATTTGTTATCTAACTTTCTTCTTCCAAGAGCTCGGATCACGGGCCTTAACCTTAACTGACAAGCTCGGGATGAGATGAACCGTGCAAACAACAAGCAAATATTCAACACTTGCTCGAGATAGCCCGATGCTGATTGCCACTCCTACCGTCACGTTCCCACATTCGGCAAGTTAATTTTGCATTATAGATTCACAGACGTATGTAATGACAATGTTGGCAACCAAAAAAAAAAAAGGAGAGAATACTTGGGCTGGTAGATCCCACCTTGGCTTGTTGGCGTCATTCCAGAATCCACCGAACCCCCTTTACTAGCAGCGCCTTGTTAGTACCTTGATTATGACTACTGGTACATTTGGGTATGAGTTGCGGTAAGATCTACGGCAAGTTGTGATCAGGTAGTTACCAGCTGTGAAACGCTTACGACTCCTCAGGGGGGGTGGAATCTCTTTCCATTTGCCCCTCTAGAACCTACTTCTTTTTGCGACTGTGAATACGAACTAGTTAAGGGCATCGCTGATATGTATATCTATATAAGACTGTTATGTCTCCAGTCCCAACTCGGTTACGCCCATCTCTATCAGATGCCCAAGCTCATACTAACATCAATCATTGTTTATCTCTCTTTAATCTGTCTGCCCCTTAGTCAAAATGCATCCCTCCCATCCACATCAAGAACTTTCAGAGAAAAAAGGATTCTCTACTACAGATACAACTCCAGTCCATACACCATTGGAGACAAGCCGTCGTACTTCCGAATGTTTTCAGCGTGAGGAAAATATCATAGCAGAAACGGACCAAGTCGATGGCGGACTCAGGGCATGGCTTGTCCTTCTTGGTGCCTGGCTATGTTTTGCTAATTCATGGTATGCAACAACGTTTCCTTTTGATTTTGGATGATGTCAATTAACGTTTTTATAACAGGGGCATAACCTCCGTCTTTGGTGTATTTCAATCATATTATCTAGAAACTGGAATTCTAGGCTCCTCATACACAGCATCATCCATATCATGGATCGGATCTATACAAGCATTCCTCACCATGTTTGCTGGTGTCTTCTCTGGCCATCTCATGGATACAGGCTACACAACACAGGTTCTATATGCTGGAACTGGTATGATTGTCCTTGGGACTGCGTTACTCTCTGTCTGTAAGGAATACTACCAGGTCCTCCTTACACAAGGAATCTGTGTTGGTATTGGAAGTGGCATGCTGCTTCTTGTATCATTAGCAATGTTGTCCATGTGGTTCAAAAAGAAAAAGATGCTTGCTGCAGGTGTGGCGTCTACGGGAAGCGCACTTAGTGAGTATTTTGTTCAACTAGCTCACCTACTAGTTAACGATATCATTTTTTGGTTATATTACGAGCACATATAGCTGACGAGTTGGGGTTGTTTCTAGCTGCTTTCTACGTGCCAATCGTCCTAAACAAACTGTTTTCAAAAATCGGATTTGCCTGGACTGTTCGAGTATACGCTCTTATCATACTTCTCACTGCTGGGACAGCATGCCTGGTGATGACTCCAAAGAAGGTCGTCTTCAAACATGGACCGTTGATCAACGTGAGCTACTTCAAAGATCCAAAATTTACGTTGTTTGTCATCGGTAGGATATGACACTTCCCCTGATAACAAGTCTAAAATTCAAAAGCTAACGGATACATCAAGCCTTCGGCTTCACAATGGCTGCCAACTACATTCCTTATTTCTATCTGACGGCCTACGCAAAGGCGCTAAACGTCCAGTCGGGAACATTGGGCCTCGTCAGCATCATAAACGCTGTTTCAGCCATCAGCCGGCTCCCTCCCGCCTTGTTAGCGCATTAGTAAGTTTCGGTGGTCTCCTCGGGAAATATTTACCACTTGTTAACACAATCGCTAGCATTGGCGGTGCGAACACTCTCATCATTTGCTGCGGTTTATCGACCGTGACCCTATATATGTACACCTTGACCACATCAACATTCGGCGGACTTGTAGCTCTTGCTGCCTGTTACGCCTTGGCTTCAGGTGGTGTGCTCTTCCTTCCACCGATGATTTTATCCAACTTCGCCGGCGATGATCGTGCACAGTATGGAACCATGATTGGTATGGGCTATACAATTGGCGCCATCGGCGTGTTAGTCGGTAATCCAATTGCTGGTGCCACGATTAGCGGCTCCGCAACCAACACAGCAGTGAGAGAAATAGGAGACGTGGGTAAGGCGCATAGCAAGTACCTGGGCGTCTGGATCGTCGCAGGATCTTCCATGGCTATTGCCACAGCACTACATTTTAGCGCAAGGATGATCTGGGTGAATTGGAAAATCAAGGCTCAGGTATAAGGGGGACCTGACATTGTATGATGACTGACTGCATTTGGGTAAACCGGAAAGGGGGGATAAGGGATAGATTTGCGATTCCGACTTGCATTGGTCCATTGAGGCTGATTAAAAAAAAAGTTCATTCATGATAGACTATATCCACCTTCTAGTGTAGATTTTTTTTAAGAGATCTAATTATTTGACACAACTTGACTTCCTGCTCGGGACTGCTCTTCTCTCCTGTGCCGTTCACCGGGTAAAACAATCTACAGTTGTAGAGTTAGAATGGTACGTAAGATCATGAAAGCGGAGCCTTGCAACTGTACGTACCGCCCGGTCAAGCTCATATGGTAGTCCACGATGGCGACCACGTACCATCATCGCACACATCACTAGCTTGCTAACAATAGTGAATTTACCGGACAGGCCAGCGTTAATAGTCGGATGACCTAGGGAAAGACCAACATTTCCGCTGACGACACGTCAGCTGATGATCCTATATAAGTCGCTGGGAATCACCTACTACGCAGAAACTACTTCGAAAAAGATGGCGAAGACTTGGAAGGCCTGGACGGTGTAAGTTAATACAAACAGGCCAATTGATTCTTGGGATATAACATACTGGATCAGTCAGGTCCGCAATTTTATCACCCTCCGCTATGGTTATGAGGAAAACGCCTAGGAAGATGTACCATAGGTCAAAAGCAAGTTGTTTCTTGATATGCTGGCCAAGATAAGACGAGGAATTCGTGTTTTCGTCAACCTCTTCTTCAGACTCGTACAAACCGAGAGATGACTCTTCATATGTGTTTGTACTACACCAGGTTAGTTCGAGACTACGCACGAGAAATTCTATGGAGTTGACACACTTTCTCATACTGATGGCTACCGGGAATACGGAGATATACATCATCACTACCAGATATATGTTAGCCGTACACATTCACAAGTAGGAATAACGTCATAGTAACTCACCCATCAAACTAAATTGTACAGCAGGATGAATCTTCGACAAAGCAAATGTCGTAGCTCCAGCCGTTCTTGATGCAGTAGACTGAAAAGCCGCTGCGCATAATCGATGCCACGTCGTATCTATCGCGGTGACTTCCGGGTTCTTGAGGTCTAGAATCATAAAGAGCATGATATCGAGACCGTTAAGTAGCACGAGTGTTCCCAACAGCATCCATGTCGCCCGGCTGGGAAATAAAAGCGTGTAACATCGTCTGGGATGGTCCAGAAGGAAATTCAACGGCTCACGGATAGCTGAAGTTTTGGGAGAAATGCGGAACATGCACCATATGATAAGCCGGAGCATGCATGGGTAAGCAGTGTTGCCGGCGATGATGAGAAAGGTCATGAAGAGCATGGGGAATGTGCTAGAGCGAAAGTTGACCATGGAATCTGGGGTGAGCGCGAAGCCTAGGTTGTTATACGTTGTCATGCAGGAATAAAAGGCCCTTTACAATGTCAATCTCACAGTTCCGCTGGAGGGAAATATAGGCTAAGGCTGACAACTTACCACCAGACTGGATGTATTCCGTTCTCTAAAAGGTACTTCCGGTGACTTGGATCCGCGGTATAAGCCCAAATTATGAGGAGAACAGAACCAAGCAGTAGGAATCCAAAGTAATAGCCGCCAACTATCTTAGCTAGCAGTTTCAAACTTCGGTATTCGATACCACCGAGTTCAATCCTCTGTTCTTCAGTTAGGTTCAGAAACTGGGAATTCCGGCCTATGGTAGGCGTATAAGATAGATACGGCGCTTGGGATCCTCGCGAACCAGTTCTGCTGAGAGGCCGTAGGGAACGGGAAACCGATCGAGAGCGAGACCTAGGACGAGATGCACTGCCCAGAACGAAAGCCGATGAAGCAGCTTGTTCCACGGATGCTGCATGGGATAGGATTCTCTCTAGCTTTCCTCTGTCACGTACACTCGTGGCGCCTACAAGCGACGGATCGATGGATGTTGCTTTGGTGAGTTCATCTCCTGGGGTTTCATCAGCACAGCATAGCTATAAATCATCTAGAGAAGATCTCACCGTCAGCTTCTTCATCGACCTCATGAGCTCTATGGCCGGCTTCAAACTCTCTTGGACCAGGAATTCTCAGTGCCTTCTCCCTTGGTTTAAAGGTATCTGTCGAGAAAGAAACGTGTCCCGGCCCGGTAATTGGTAGCTGTTTTTCAACAACTGTCGGTTTAGAGCCATCCTGTTCCTTTTCATCCAGAACTTCATCCGGAATATGAGAATTTCGATGCTTCAGGCCTTCTGCTTCTTTGGCTTCTACCGGCTCAGGTAGTAGAACAGTCGGTTCTTCTATAGCCGTAGCTAAGCCAATTGTTTTATGGGTTTTTAGACCATGCTCAACACGATGAGTCCGCTCTGCAGATGGTAGACGAGAGAACCGCACTTGACATTCAGTTAACATCGTTTTTTGCCCGTTGTACCATTGGTAAAAGGTCAAGTCTTCCTACCGATTTCTTTGAATTTGGACTCAAACCAGTATAATCGTACCAGGACGACAATGAAGTTGATGAAGCAGATATTCCCCAGTACAGGGCTGATATAAAGCACCAGTTGCTGGAAGATAGACAACCCTTTGAAATCGACCCTAAGCCACTCGAGTTAGTATATCTCCGGTCTCATCGAGTCTTTAGACCGTATTTCAAGGTCTTTACGTACGTGTTCAGTCCCGTCATCGTGGCAGCTGCCATACCCTGGAACAAGGCATCGATCGCACTGATATTCTTCTGTGGGTATATCATCACCATTCCGACGAGGCCCAGTACCACGATATAGACATCTATCAAACCCCGTCAGTGCCGCTCATCAGCATCAAGGAGATCAACGTACAATGCACCATGATAAACGACGGCGCCGACACACGCGGCCACACTCTCGAAGAAAACATCCTGAACATCCGGATTCGACCTGCAAACTATCTAAGAGGCGAGATACGCAGCGGGCGGCTTCAAAGCACGTCTGAACTGAGACATCACTATCACAGCCGCAACAAGCTGAAGAACAGGCAGCAGCGGCAGCAGCAATTAAATAGAACGAGTCACCCGGTGAATGTATGAGGAGGTAACTCGACGGGCGTGAAAATGATAATTCTGTATCGCAAGATTGAAAGAAGAGGCGAAGGATTATATTATATGTACGGAGGAGAGAAATTTCCCGGCCAGAGACAAGGACAGGGACAGGGGCAAGGATGCGTCTCCTTGCTGCACTCCGTACGCTCTGGTGAAAAGACGAAGCTGACCGGTTGGTCACTCGGCTCCCTTTAGCGAGCTCACGGCATGCAAAAAGTGCACTTCTTTGCTTCTTTTCCCATGTGGGTGGAGGCTGGAGGCTGGTCAAATTTGATACCGGGAAGTTACTTTGTGCTGCCGGCGCGGAATCAAGGGGGCGACTGGGCCGTTTTTTTGTTAGCTAATTTAGCTAGTTAGGGCTTGTTTCTTTGAGCGGTGAATCAAGCTTTGCTTCGAATCGGAGAGTTTGGTTGCCACGGATGCGAGGGCTGTTGGATGGTAATTGATATTGATATTTGATATTTGATAGGGGGTGATGCAGCTAAGGGGTTGGTTACGGGATACCTTGCGATGCTGCGGTGTACGGCAGACCGCTTTGGACCTTTGGTTGAGTAAAGGTTGCTCATTAAGCCGTTAAGGATAAAATAAGAGAACAGATGAAAAGGCAATAATAGAGTCTGCTATTAATTTGCTCGTAGCTAGCTGTGTTTAATGTTTATTTAATGTTAATATAATGGTACACGGTGGTAGAAAAAAATTTGACAGCAAATGGTGGATGCATCCCGGACGCCCGATACATGGTGAAAAAAAAGAAAAGTCCAGCAATAAACAAGCAAAGAAGCATGGAAGAAGCAAAAAGAAGCAAAAGGAAGAAGAAAAGAAGACGGACGCAATGTTTAAACGTCCTCAAACTCTTCTTCGTCCTCGTCAGAACCTACATCTTCCTCCTTCTTGACCACCGGCTCCGTCTCCGTCTCCATCTTAACCTTCTTAGCCGCCGGCCCATCCTCCTCAGCGGGCGTAATGGGCGTCCCCGCATTCGTGTTGGGTCCGCTAGTGCCAGATTCAGAGTCCAGCTCTCTCTTCAGGCTGCTGCCGCTCGCCGCGGTGGTGCCGTTCGCACTGCCGGCTCCGCTTCCGTTGACTGTGGGGGTCCCGTTGGCCGTGACCGTGGCGGAGTCCGACTGTGCACCTGCGTCGGGAGTGGCACTGACGTCCTCGAACTCCTCGTCGTCCTCGTCTTCATCATCGGAGGATTCCGCGGCCTCGAGCTCCTTCTCCCGTGCCATCTCGGCGTAGTAAGTCGCAATAGTATCGTCCATGTCCTTCTTCTCCTCATCTTCGTCTTTGATGCCAACTTTGGAGTCTTCAGTGGTGGCATCGGCGGCCAATGTGGTAGTTGACGCAGCACCGTTCGGCTCGACCTTGACGGTAGGCAGATTACTTGCTTCGGTAGAGACGGTGGAATGAGTATGCCAGACCGGGAGAGCGTTTTGTTTTTCCAGAGCCGCCTTGCGTGCTTCCTTTTGAGCCTGTTCCTCCGCATTCCTCTCCGCAGAGGAAGAAAGGCTGACCTCCAGCGCCGAAGCATCGGTCTTGTTGACTCCTTTGACGGCCGACGAACCCTTTTTGTTGACCGCAATCGCAACTTTGGTCGGGTTCGTGTGTTGGTTCCGTATCACGTCCACCTTGTGCTCCCATGCAGTATCGAAATCGTTGGGCGGTATTTCGGTAGAGTCGATCTGGATCAGCAGGTTCAGGATGGAGTCCAACTGTGCCATGAGCTTGCTGTTCTTTTCATGGCCGCTCCGATCCGCGGCAGCACCTTCGACTTCATCCACGGGCGACAAGGTAGCGTTGCACCGCAGGCACTCGAACCCTCCCGGCCCTACGCTGCCGAGAACCTCCAGCTGGGTCCATTCGGCCGAACATCGCTGGCAGATAAACTCCTTTCTCTCCTGGTTCGGGGTGTACTGCGCTTTGATGGACGAGGTCAAGCGGGACACTCGGTACTTGATCGCATCGATAACCGGATACAGCGGAACGTAGTAGTATTCGCGAGGCCGAGTCTGGCCTTCTCGCATCTCCGTTCGGTGGTGTCTGATAGGGCATCAGTGTTAGCATCCCCGGTCTTCTTCTAGCGCGCCTCTCTTTGACGAAGAGACATACACAGCTATAAGCCTGTCCTCGCGGAGACGACCACAGAGCTTCCGCACGTCTTTCTGCTGCATTCCCAGGAGAAGAGCCAGATCTTCGGCGTTTAAGCTGTAGTATCAAGAAAGAATAGAAGACATTAGTTAGACCTCTCTCAAGACTCATAAGGCAAGAGGAGGCAAGGCATACACTGAGTGTATGAAGAGGGCATCGATGACCAGGATGTGACGGGTCTCGTAGAAAGCCCGCGCTGTCATCCGAATGAGCGTGCCGGCGAGATCCATGCTGGCTGTTTCTTCAGGATCAGGTCTGCAGTCTGTCTGCTAGTAATGCGAGCAGTGCTGTCAGCCAGCTAGTGTGTTGCTTGGGGGGAAGATATATGCCTATCTCATTGCGCCAGGCCGAAGGGACGCCCTCCGCGCGGCAGCAAAGCTGGCCGTGAGCGAGAAGCCGAGAGACAGACGCAGCAGCGCTTCGGTATCTGATCAGTAGCCGTCGATCTGGCTGTCCGCCTTCCTTGCACCGTGGGCGTTGAAGCTGGCGATGTCCGTCGAGGTTCGAAGATTTCGTCGTTTTTTTATGATGTTTTTTACAGTCATCGACTCGCTGAGTAAGCGCTTAGTAACATTAATGACTAATGATTGACTAAAAAGATGAGTAAGCAAGAGTCATTGCGCTCCTCGCTTAGACCCGCATAACAGGAGCTTTGGCTACGCACACACCACAACAACACGGGCTGGTGGCGCAGCGGTTAGCGCAGGGGATTGCAGCTATGTTTCTTCACAACTCAGAAGTGATATATTATCCCAAGGTCCCCGGTTCAATTCCGGGTCAGCCCTGTTTCTTTTTGCATATTTTTTTACCTTCTTCCCTCTGCTCTCTCCGTCTGTCTGTCTCTTTATTAAGTTGCCAGTTGTTTATTTTATTTATTGCGTATTTTTAGAGACATCCAAACGAAAGCCTGCCGAGGGGGAGCAAGCGACATCCCCGGGCCGGTGGCGTAGTGGTTATCGCAGACGATTGCAGATCGTAAGGTGCCCAGTTCGATTCTGGGTCGGCCCTGAACTGCATCCGTAGTATTTTTGATATTCTACTGTCAACACGATGTTCTTTTTATGCCTGCGATGCTCGTTGTTTGCTCTCCTTTTTCGCTTTTATTGTTCTTTTTGCGGCTCAAATGCCATATCACGTGAGAATCATTAGTCATACTCTGACTAAGCCGTATCTTTGACTTCAAGATTGAAAATAACAAGAAAAGACGGAAAAAAGAGGAGGAACAAGAGACGAAGATAGCACGAACAACCGCAGCATTGATAGATGAACGTTGCAAGTTCAATTCGCCCAGCATGGACCCAGCTGTGCAGAACCCCAGTCCGGCTGAGAATCTTGCCAAAGACGACCCTCCTGCCGCACAGGAGGCTGTCGCAGACCAGCACAGCAACAAGCGGAAGATGGACTCCGGCGCAGCTGGAAAAGGTGGCCGAAACAAACAAAAAGATATGGGAAGGAAGGCTTACAGGTAGGCTAGATTCTCCTTGGGTGATGGTTTTGTTTCTGTTAGTGTACTTCATCTTGATCAGGGCCAACTAACTAAGTCAGGAATAAACACATAGATAGGCGCGCAGCGAACGACCAGCAGGAGTCCAAGCGGAGGAAGATTGAGCAAGGAGAGAGTCCAATGCCGATATATGCTACTCAATTCTCCCAGGAAGACATCGATGCTGACGTACGGCGACCGAAGAAGAAGGTTATTGTCATGTTGGGCTATTCCGGCACCGGATACCATGGAATGCAGCTGTATGCACTTCACCACCGCCACATATATGACTACTTCGAGCTCGTCCCTCTAACTACTCTATAGATGTCCTACGGAAAAGACCATTGAAGGAGACCTATTTGCCGCCTTTGTTGCGGCCAACGCCATCTCCAAGGCCAACGCTGTAGATCCCAAGAAATCATCCTTTGTCCGTTGTGCAAGAACAGACAAGGGTGTGCATGCTGCCGGCAACGTTGTTTCTCTCAAGCTCATCATCGAAGACCCAGACGTAGTGCAGAAGATCAACGAGAAACTAAATCCACAAATCAGAGTATGGGGTATCATCCCGGCAACCAAGGGGTTCAGTGCCTATCAATTCTGCGATTCCCGCATGTACGAATATTTGATACCCTCGCATTGCTTCCTACCACCACATCCGAGCACTTTTCTGGCTCAGAAAATGGTTGAAATGGCGGAGAAGCATGGCGATATGGAAGCTTTTAAAGAGAGGCAGGCTGAAGTGGAGTCTTATTGGGAAGAGACAGACAAGAAGCACATCCAGCCCATAATAGATGCTCTGCCAGAGAAGATCAAACCCTACGTTCAAGCTGCCGTTGGCTCCGTTGGCGGCGAAGAAGACAAGACAACTTCAAGCAGCAATGAGGACGGAGAAGCTGGCCAGGAGAATGTGGGTGAAACTGATGCCAAAAAGTCCGACCTCACACCCGATGAACAGGCCCAAGTCAACGTGGCCATTAAGGACATCAGAACAGCCTACTTCGAAGCCAAGAATGAATACCGTATACCCCCCGAACGTCTCGCACGCATTAACGCAGCACTAGCCCTCTACGTCGGCACCAAAAACTTCCACAACTATACCATCCAAAAGACTTTCCGTGACGCCTCAGCAAGACGCCTAATAAAGTCCTTCAAAATCTCCAGGGACCCTGTCGTAATCAACGGCACCGAATGGCTGAGTTTGAAAGTCCACGGCCAAAGTTTCATGATGCATCAGATCAGAAAGATGGTTGCGATGGTTGCTTTGCTCGTTCGTTGCGGAGCAGATATCAACCGTATCAATGAAAGTTATCAGAATTCCAGGATACCGATTCCCAAAGCACCGGGGTTGGGACTGCTGCTTGAACGACCTATTTTCGACGGGTATAATAAAAAGGCAGAAGTGCTGGGTAGGGAGATACTTGATTTTGATAAGTATGAGAAGGAAATGGATGAGTTTAAGCTTAAGGAGATATATCAGCGTATCTTCACGGAGGAAGCTGAGAAACATGCGTATGTTGGACACGTACACGCCCTTTCTTTTTGTTGGCCGACACTAATTATCCTACCTACAGTTTCGGGACGTTCTTCAATCATATCGACAGCTATAAGGAAAATACTTTCTTATATGTCACTTCCGGTGGTCTAGCTGCTTGCTGCTCATCTACTGTTCAGCCCACTGCTGCTCAGGAGGAAGATGCTAGGAAGGCGGACAGCAAGATCCTCGCAGAGGTCGAGTCTGAGTCCGAGGCAGAGGTTGTGGATAACGGTGAAGATGGCGGTTAGTGATTGAAGCTCGTACTGAGCAAGCGCTTGGTCGCTGTATATAGTTAGATAGCTGTAGTCACAATATTGGAGTTAAACGAACACTTTACATCCACATATCCAGCTACAAAAAACAATTACTACTTCATTTTAATTCTCCTGTTACAATGAAATGGTATCTGTGAAAAACGGCTATGACTGGGACATCCCATTTTTTCTAACAGAATAAATACATAGAAGACATAAGAGAGGAGGAGGAGACTACTTAGCTTTCTTTAGTTGGGAAAAGAAAATAGGAAAGGGGGAGATAGGTACGTAAAAGGTAAGTAGAGAAATAGTAAATTCCTCGGTGTAGACGTGTAACTTGACCAATCAATCATCATATCACAGCTGCGTATATTCATTAAGCGTGTCATGACGACCCTCCCCGAAAGTGCAAAATAGCAAGGCAAAAAGAGAATAAAAGACATAAAGCAGAAGAATGGACATATGAAATAGAAAAAGGAAAAAAGTTGGGAAAGAAAAAAGAAGAAAATGGCATGGAGGGAGGGGCATTCGAGGGGCATTGGGGGAAGAGACAGTTATCCAGGAAAATCGACAAAGGGACTTGTGCTTGAGGTAACAAGAGAGGAAAAAAGCACAGATTACCTGCCAGAGATTGTGCTATACTACAGTCCTAGTAGAGTAGAAAGGAAATGACCCTTTAGAAGATAAGCGATCGGGTCTTTTGGCGTCGAGCCTCTTGGGAGCTGATGTTGGGCTGTGATAGCTGTGGTTGGTGTCTGGGGCGTGGAATAGCCCCAGGGGTTGGCCGAGTTTGGCCAATGTGTTGCTCCTTTGGAGGAGGTGGAGGTGCGTATGAGTGTCTAACAAGCTTTCTTTCTTCAACGGTTGGTGGCTTCTTCTCCTCAACGGCCCGTTTGATGTTGAGGTTCTTCTCACGGCGGAGGACGAGGTCAGTCCACGGTTTGGCTTGGCCACTTCCGGAGGAATGGCCCTTTCCAACGGTTTCAGAAAGGACTTTCATCCAACCGTCCTTCTCGACTCTGCTGTCTGCGTAGAAGTCAATGACCTCCCCGTTGCCGAAACGGATTCGGAAACCTTCTTCGACAAACATGTAACCTTCTTCTTCTTCGGCGAACGCAGATTTACGTCTGCGGCCACCCTTGGCAGATGTTTCTTTCTGGGTTAGAGATGACCTGTCATCGATCAACTTCACTGCCTTGGCCAAGTTGATAGTGGCACGAGGTTGTCGAGTAACCTCGTGGAAGGCAGTTAGTTTGGATCCTTGGAGTTTGAAGAGACGACGACGCCAGTACTATTTCCTCGGTTAGCCTGTACCTTATCAGATTAATATATTTGAAAAGGTGACTTACTGGACAGTCGCCTCCTTGCTGGGACAAAAATCCTTCCCAACTTCTAGCAGCCGCATGGTCCGCGTCTCTCATTTCACGGATACAGGCATTCATGCTCTTTGGCATGTCATCGTCAGTTGCGCCTTTGGGCTTGGGAACATACAGCAACTGAAGTTCCAAGGTACCAATCTTATATGGAGGCCGACGGGAGACAGTGGTAGCAGTGCTTCGTTTGCTCTTAACACTGCTTACAGTCTCATCAATGGCCCATTCGTTAAAGCAAGTCACGTCAACAGTAAGTGGGCGGCCAAAGGCTTTCTCCTCGAAATCAGCCAATGAGACGTAAGCGCGAGCAAAGTTACCATCTTTGTCCACAATCTTTCTGACTCTCTCCCAAGGGTCTATAATGTTGGCCAACGCCTTTTCTTCGGCCTGTCTTTTCTGCAGTTGTTGTGCCTCTTGCTGCTGGCGAAGCTCCATCTCCCGACGTTTCTTGGGGGATGCAAAGACACGGCTAAAGGCAGACGATTTCTGTGGCTTTGGAGCTTTAGCCGGGGAAGCGGGCCGTACCGGCTGTGGTTTAGGTTTGATTTGGTCTGGTTTCATCTGCAGAGTCAACTGGAACTCAAGCTCCTGCATAACTACAAGCTCAAACTCCTGGCCAATTGGAGCGGATCTACCGAGCTCTAGACACGAGGTTGTAACACAATGTAAACCATTGTCCAAAGTTAGCGAGAAGTAGGATCGTTCACCTAAATAAATAATGTGAGCACATATTATTCTTCAAAGAATTAGCGGAAGGAAACTTACCTCGAGGAAGTGGAAGGTCCAAATCTTTAGCACCAACCACCTTGACAAAAAGTCTTCCACGGTCGGCATCTTCTCCAGCGTTGTCACCGGCATCGCCAGCTTCAGCCTCTGCGGCTTCTTCGGTGCCCTTTGATGCATCCTTAACAGTGCTTTCTTGTCCAGGTAGCGGTGGGGCAGGCTCCTCCGCAATTGTCTTGCGAGGAATTGATCCGGCCATCTTAATGCTTTGGCGCCTTGCCTTGGGGGTCCAAGGCTCAGTCGTCCAGGTTTGCTGGCTGGCTTTCCTTGGGGAGCTTGGAGCAGCTAGGGATTCCGTGTTACCATCATCCTCTGGACGGCTTGTTGCAACTACCATCTTCGTGTTCTGTCTCATGAGGTAGCCTCTCTGTTTTGTTGTAGTCGTGTCAGCTGTGTTTCTGTCAAAGGTGGTGGATGGAGTTTTTTGTGCTGAACTGCCTGTGTCTAATGCCTGTGTTGGGTCTTGAGAAAAGGGAATGTCAAATGCTACCTTTTGAGCCTCCATAACTCGGTCAAACTCGGCATCAAGGCCAAAGCCATCGCTGCCAGAGTCCATTTTAATGTCAAGCTTAACCAGTGAGCTAATTCGAGACTTTTCAGGCAGTGGTGCGAGTTCCAAAGGCTTGTGTTCTTGGTGTTCTTTGTGTTCTTTTGGTTCTTCAGCTACGTTGCTCTCTTCTTCCTTGGTAGATTGCTCTACACGCGGTAGAGGCTTGAACTCCTCAATGGGTGAAACGGGAACATCTTGACCACTGACTCTGCGGCGTGTTGCTGCCATAGTGTTTACATCTGCCGGAGTCAACGAGGTGCGTGTCTTGTAAGTACCACCTGGGGCTTTAATAGTCGCAATGGGTTCAGGAACGATAAGCGACTGGTCAGGGGATTCGGCAGGTGAAATTGGATGACGAATAACAGAATCGGGGCTCCCAGGCCGATCAAGCGAATTACGGATATTTTCCAGCTCAATGCGAGGAGGCTGCGCAAGCCGATCTTCAGCAGGAGGTGTGGACTGATCGATGTAAGATGTAAACTGAACATCAAAGTTAGGGTCTGCATCAGCGCCGGACATTGATGATGCCAGCAAATCATGCTCAGGGTATCGAGGGGAATGAACAGCCTTGGTAGGGGTCAATTCTCCGGATCCCATGTCGAAGCTGTGTAAAGTACCTCCTGGAGGCGTAGGTAAGTCGTCCTTGGATGTATCAGAGTAGCGACTGCTAGAGTCATCTACAACGTGACCCTGCATCTCAGCATGGCCAGACTCATCATTCGTATCATTCTCGACGAAACTGGGGACTGAGTAGAGGTCAATATCGTCTTCATCCTCCTCTTCTTTTATAATAACAGTCTCGTCTTCGAATAGTTGGTCGGTTTCCAGCGAAGGAATTGGTACATCCGGGTCCAAGGGCAAGGAGTTGTAATTTCCAGAGCCGTGCGAAGTATCATGATAGTCACTCAACTCAGAAGACTCTTCTTGCCTTTTGATGTTCTTCAGAATTGACTCGCGGGAAATGCGAGGAGACTCAATTGCAGTTGACTCATCATGATTCTCGGAATTGTGGCTATGATCAAGGTCACGCTCAACACTTCTCTCCTTTGCTCCTGCGCGCCTCATTCGCCTCTCGCGCTGTGTTTCCGCATCAGACTGGTAGCTATGTTCACCACTCATCATCAACTTCAGTCTATCCTCTAGGGAGAGGGAGCTCCGACTAGGGCTAGCGATATCCAATTTGGAACAGGAGGCAGGTCGAAGAGGCTGTGGCATGTCGCGCTGAGTACTGCTTCCACGTTCGAATGCGGCATTCAACCCAGAGCTTGGGGAGCTCCTAGAAGTCTGGGGAGTGGACTGCGAAGGGGGAAGTGGTGGAAGCGGTCGGCGCTCTCCGTTGGAGTCCAGGGATTCAATGCGGTTCTTGAACAGGGTGGAGTCTCTAGAACTTGGTCTGATGTCAGGGCCAGGGCTTCCAAAGTCGTCGTTAAATGGATCCCCGTCACTTCCGACAGTCTCATCATTAGCGCTGTCTGGGCTCATGTAGCGCCATTCATCAGGGAGGACAACTGGAGTTTTGTCAGTGTCTTCTAAAGAGGCATCAAAACTGTCCTCGATCTCCATGGAATAGCTGTGATCAAAACTATCTTCGTTGCTTGCATCTTCAAAGCTTCCTTCACGCGAGCTAGAAGCCACGGATGAAGGAACTGGTGTGGTCATCTCATATTCGTTAACTTGGGGTGGAGCTGCATCGAAGGTGACACTCTTTGTCTGGCGATGGTAGCTGTATCCTTCAGAGGTCATGCTGACCCTACTCTCGTCGCCATCGTCAGACCAAATTTCGCGCCGTGGGTCGAATGAGGCTGATCCTCGGTCAAACCGGCTTGCTTTCGATAGCGAGGATTTACCTGGCGACTGAGAAGTTGGCGACTTTATTGGGGAACTAGCGTCCTCATCGCCGCTTTTGGTCGTGGACGGCGATGCTCCCACCCCCTCGCCACTGTGCCTAAATCCTGCAGATTGCGATGGGAGCTGACGTCGAGCATCAATCTGACTTGTTCCATCTTGGCTGTTTTGAAACTGGCGGCTTAGAGGCCTGCCGCTTGCTAGCGGCCTCTCCAAAACCTGGATGTGGGTAGGATCGTATTCCTGCTTGTGCTCTCTAGCGAACATGCTGCTGTTCTTGACACGCGACGCGCGCATTAAATTCTCAATTGATGATCGTTTACTTGCAGCGGGTGTCCTTGGGGACCCGTCATATGGATCGCTATTCTCGTGGCCGGGCCTGTACGGCGAGCCAGCGTCACGGCCTTGCCAGAAGCGCCGCGGAGAGGTAGCATTGCTCAATGGTGAGTTTTCAAATGGCGATGATTCATTACTTGCCGGATCCTGCGGGGTATGTTAGATGTTTCAAGTAGGAATATGCAAGAAGAAGCAAAGCTGATTTAGCGTACCTTCCAACTAGGCGAGTTGCGCTTGTGAGCCACTGGGCTGAGCTCGGAGAGCGGGCGCTGACCCGGACCCATCGTTCAATAAGTAAATATTGAAATCTGTGCATGAAACAGGTCAGTATAAGCATGATATCAAGATGGCCGATCCCGCCTCTCCAAAAAAAAAAGGGGGGGCAATCAATGACACTCCTACCTCGAACAGAATAGACAAAACAAAGGCTCGCGACGAGCGATCAAATGTAATATCCCTTGGTATGATATGCTGCGACTCTGATATCAAGGGATCTAGCACCGGACAATGAGGAATCAAAAGGGCTTCCACAAAGGATTGGGAAGAGTAGAATCGAGTCGCGAACGACAACAAATAACAAAACAGAGCGAGTTTGCGCAGCGCGCAAAGCGCTAACGAATGAGGGAACAGAAAGAGGGCTGCAAGAGCAGGGTATCTCTGCAGGACGAAGAAGAGACTGTGTCTAGAGAAAAGGAGAAAAAGAAGAGGAGAAGAAGAAGAAGATAAATGGTGCTTCGATGCCTGATGATGGAGTTGAAGTTGGAGTTGAGGAGTTGATATAAAGTGTTGACAAATAAAACGCAAAAGCCTATTTGTTGCCATGACAACTGCTTAGTAACAAGTTTATTGACAGCTGAGTCATGGCTGAGTCATTGACGCGGTAAAACGTTTAGCCGAAGCGTATCAAAAACTCAAAATAAAAAATACTGAAGAAGCAAAAGAAGCCGACGACGACGAGGACATCGACATCACGGAGAAGTCATTGGAGCGTGCAGCTGGGATATCAAGAGAGATGCTGTCGGTACGGTCCGCGGTTGGGCCTAGGTCCATGTGCCTGTACTGCCAGACCACACGCGCGAGTCGGCAGCCCATCAGCGAGTTGGCGCTGCAGCCATGGAGACAGCTCTCCAGGGCAGCTTCGACAGCCCATGCTCGACGGAAGCCCTCGCGGATGAGGCTGTCACCGAACGTATCGAAGTCGGTGCTACCAGACGAGAAGTCCAAGAGGTCTGGCCGGTTTGAAAACAGCCCGTTTGGCGCCATGAACCGGACCAGCGTTCGCCTACGGGATACCGCACGCCCCAGATCAGACGCCGAGCTGAGACGAGCAGCCAAACCGAAGTTCAGAGAAGGCCAGGACACGGAGAAGAGCGAAGAGTCGTGGATGAAGCCTCTGAAGATGCAGATCGCCCTCTCTCCCGTGCCGTACAATCGACGTATGGCCATCAAGGAGAAGATTGCCGACATTACTTCATTCGACCAGTTCCCACTTCTCGATGTTGTGCGCGAGGCCGTGTATAAGAATGCACTGGTGGGAATGGAGGATGTCACTCCTACACCCATACAGCGCGTCGCTATACCGACACTGTTGGGCAACAATAACAAAATCCCCGACCCCGCAGCCCAAACGGACGACCTTACGCCCAAGTATGACCAATTCCTGCTTGCGGCGGAAACTGGCTCGGGCAAGACTCTGGCCTATCTTGTCCCTGTCCTGGACGCTCTCAAACATGCAGAGGCCTTCCAGAAGGAACAAGACAAGATCGAGGCAGACGAGAAGGCGAAGAGGGAGCAAGAGGAGAAAGAACGGCGAGAAAAGAACAACATATTTGAGTTGGAGTCCCCTGAACTTACAACACCAGATACATACCAGGATGTTGCGAAACCTCGAGTTATTATTCTGGTCCCTACATCTGAATTGGTCAATCAGGTCGGCCACTTAGTCAAGCAGCTCTCCCACACCATCAAATTCCGTTCCGCTCTTATCAGTTCTTCGCAGACCCCGCGTAGGATTCGGAATAGCTTGTTCAACCCCGCTGGCTTAGACGTACTTATCAGTACACCGCACCTGGTTAGCTCAATTGCGGAGTCCAATCCATACATTTTAAGTCGTGTAACTCATATCGTCGCGGACGAGGCGGACTCCCTGTTTGACCGGTCGTTCTCGCCAATCACTAACTCCATCATCGAAAAAGCGGCGTCAACTCTGAAGCAGCTCATCCTCTGCTCCGCTACCATTCCTCGACACCTAGATAACCGCCTTCGTGAACTATACCCTAATATTCGAAGACTGGTTACTCCAAATCTTCACGCCATTCCTCGAAGAGTTCAACTTGGCGTCGTCGATGTTGACAAAGAACCCTACCATGGCAAAAAGTCCCTTGCATGCGCCGACGTTATATGGTCTCTAGGCAAGGCTGGGAGCGGTGACGACGGAGATGCCTTTGCTCGCATCACCGGCACTCCAGAGACAAAACATATTATTGTTTTTGTCAACGAACGCGAATCAGCTGAAGAGGTAGCCAGTTTCCTTGCCTCAAAGGGAATCGATGCCGTTGCATTAACCCGTGACACCTCCGAGAAACGGCAAACCGAGATCCTCAATGAATTTACCCAGGCAAAGCCACAGCTTTCTGAAGAGGACAAGAAACTACTTATGAAAAGCAAGAAGCTTGATTCAGGCTCAATCCCATTCCTGCGAGACGATGAACCTAAAAAGGCCAGCACCGCCAAGTCACTGGACAACACCAAAGTTCTTGTCATCACTGACCTAGGATCCAGAGGAATCGATACTGTAGCTGTTCGAAACGTCATCTTGTACGATGTCCCTCACTCGACTATCGACTTCATTCATCGTCTCGGTCGCTTAGGCCGTATGGGCAGAAGAGGCCGAGGTATCGTCCTTGTCGGTAAGAAAGACCGAAAGGATGTTGTTAAGGGTGTCCGTGAAGCGATGTTTAGAGGACAAGCACTGATTTAACGACCATCTCCGCCATTTGCCACCAATTCTCCTCATATATTCATTATCTTCTCTTCTTATATGTCCTCCTGTATTATATACCATTCATGTTGCATTGAATCCCCGGCGCCGGTTAAAATTGTATGATAGTGGGCAACGGATTGGAGGCGTTATGAGTGCAAGTTGGAATACTATAGAAATGCAATAAACATTAATGAATTCTAGAACATATCCTTACCTACCAAACTTGCCGAATTTCACAACTACACAAGTAGTAGTAGCATTAACAAATATTTGCTACCGTGGGCAAATAATTTGGTCAACACTAGTGAACCGATATTACTATAGCTAGATACTCCGTTGTGCATAGCAAACCAAGGCACGAAGCCTTTATGTAGTAACAAATATCTTCGCTGTCCATTATTAAGTTCTAATATACATATCTTACAAGTACGGTGCTTCTACTCGCACTGTACACAAACAAACAACTCCACCGTCTAGCAAGCACGGAATGTATCCACCCCACAGCCAAAATCTATGCAGATTTAAAGGAAGAAAATGTCCAAGGTCTCACAAGAAACCATGCACCACAAATCTGCCAACACCATTTACCTTTGAGCCCCGGAATAAAAGAACAAGCCAATAACCAACGATGGGATCTGTCACTTCTAATCTATCGGATCCCTCATCGGGAAGAGGACATTCACGCAGACATAAGAGAAGTCGTCGGAAGGGTGGTCGAAGACGACGATCAGACGGCAATACAGACACAGCACTGGATATGCTGATCCAGGTTTTCGTCGAGTATATGAAGATAGAGATTGAGAACGCAAAGATACGCTTGTCACAGGCGAAGGAATCACGGTCCAAGAGGGAAAAGCCAGATTCACCAGTGAAGACACCAAAAGGGAGGGGATATGGTAGATAGATATTCGTTCAAGGGTATTTTTTGTTGAATATATCCCTGCTGATAATTCATAAGATGTAGGAGATCCCATGCCTATAGACAGTTTCGAGAAAGCCGACAATCTCAACGAGCCGGGTTACCGTCATTCGTCCGATTCAGATAACCACTTCGATGTTCAACATCGCCATGGGGTGTTGGGGAGAGGATCTTGATATTGCTGAATGCCGGAAAGACGGATTTACTTGAGTAGTTTGAACGACCAATGCAAGACGGGAGCAGACAGGTTTTGGACTGGATCCGCGGCCTGTAATACCAACCAGAGTGTACGAAGGTTTGACTGAGAGCTACAAAGTAGAAGCTGACAGACCCTTTTTGGCAACCTGCATCTCTCCACATTAGTATAGTTCAAACAGATGTTGAAAGTGAAGCTATGGATGACGGGATGTACAACGGCAAAAATACAAACAGAAAATCCCAATAGCAAACATAGAAAGCAAACAAAGTTGTAAAAACAATATGAAAGGCAGCAACTTAAACGAAGTAGACGTACCTGTAAAACAAATGTCGGGTATCCTCACCCAATCACTCAAACCACAGCTCAGGGATATATTGATTCTTAGCCATGGGACTCCTCAACTGGTGGAGCAATCTTCGCGACTCTATGCACTCAGTCAAGGAGACCGAAACACGAACAGCCCACCGGCTTGCCAACTCGCCTCCCGAACTATGGTCCAGTAAAGATCACATTGCATCGCGACGACTTCGTTTTCGACGAGATCTAGCTCTCAAAAAGGCAAAGAAAGAAAACAGGAGTATTGTGCCAGTCGTGATGAGATATCCCGAGGGCCCATACTGGCCATATACCCCAGAGGACGATATGGAGGAATACCTCAAAGCATATAAACGCAAGAGAAAGCTCGACACTTTTCAAGCTCGCCATCCACACTTGCAAATCCATCAGACGGACGCAAATCCCTTCCATGCGTATAACCCTTGGAACGGCGAAACTTTCTTGCTATATTGATCGTCTAAACATCGTGAAGGAAGGGTTTCCAACAGAGTACTTTCATAAATATTCACACACAAAACCTTCGACTTAAACACAACTCTCCTCAAGTCTCCGGGACGCCCGTCGGCATGATCGAGTAACACGTCTTCCTTCTCCAATCTCGCTTGCATCTGTTTCCGTCCTTGTCTCAGAAACATCTGGCGTTGGGCTCGTCGTACTCACACCAAGTCCCCGACTCCGTCGATCAAGCCGCGATTCATCATCATTAGTTAAGAAACGATGGATTGTGCGGTGGTCCATTACCCGTTCTTCCTTGTCACGCCTACCCTCTTTATCAGTTTTGGGCCATCGATATCCATATAGTTTAGAATGCCGTTCACAGCGTGGACACTCCTTTCTTGTAAAATAGGCTTCCCCTTGAACAAACCAATCACTGCACGTTTGGCATTCAACCCATCGGTCACAACGCTGTACCAGTAGAACACTAGTCTTGGTATAGTCACCAGGGACACGGATCTTAAAAATTGGGGGCTCCTCAACCACCGGTAATGGGAGCCCCCGTTTCCTGTATTTTCGTTTAGGTTTGGGGGCGTCAATTGGAGCTCCTGATTCAACTGGTTCTGATGTCGTGGATAAGTCAGATAGATCTGTCTCAGAATCTCCAAGGAGTATCTGAGGAAATGGGGGTTTCATTTGTAGCTCGGGTGGCTTTTCAGCCATTTCTGGATATTTTATAGAAGTCTCTTCTGCCTCTGGAGCAAGTGGTGCCTGATCACCAGATGCCGGGCAAGATGTTGCGGCAGTGGATCCAGATGATTGACCACTACTATTTTCAATAGAAGTGTCTCTTGAGGTTCGACAGGTTGCTGATATTTCCTCGTCGCAAACGGGAATATTGGCTCTATTACACCCATTTTCAGTGTTGTCATTTCTGGGTAAAGTGGAATCATTGATTGCTTCCGCATTTCCGGCGGACAAGCACATATTCCTCAGTGGAGAAGGTGGCCTCTGGTTTACTTCTTCATCGGCATCGCCTGTATCATCTACAGATTCTTGTAGCCTCAAGTTTGAAGATATCCGTTCCACTTTCCGTCTCTTCCCCAGAAAACCATCGGGCATATCAGAGTCCGTTTCTAACTCATGCTTTTCGCACCCATTTGAGGGGATAGATGAAGTGTCTGATGCATCAGAAAACTCAGATGCGCTATGCACCCAGCTATTGACACGGGAGGCTGTTGGTGAAGACCAACCATTACGCTGTGCCATCTCACAGCTGTGGCAAAGACATTCGCAGTTATCTTCACCAAAATAGTTATCGCCGTATGAGACCGTTATTTCATCTCCAACGTCGATATCCCGGGTGGCGACCACTTCCATACTCTCGAAGCCCCTCGTGACCAGCTTCGCATTGGCGTTACAGTCGTGATTCGCAAATCTCGCAGGTCCCAAAAACAACGATGCGGTCTTTTTTCTAGTCGACATGACGATGCTGAAATCCCGCTTGGTAAGGTCCAGGTCATTTTCCTCCTCCTTGGTGATTGAAACAAGTGTCCCACTCAAATACTTCACCGGGTGACCTGACGGTATGAATTTCCTAGCAGATACCGCGGCCTCATGAGTCAAAACCGTATATCGATTCGTAGTCGCAACCTCAAAAGGGCAATCAGGGAGATATATTGAGATGTATTTTCGAAGATGTCGACGAAACCATTCTTTCTCCCGATCGGAACGAAGCCTATCAGTGAACTTCTTAATGCCCGGAAGTGCTAAGAACTCCTTCTCTGCCTTCGACACGTCTTTGGCAACGATCACATCGTGAAGGAGTATAGAAGTAACAGACTCCTCATTAATACCCCTGACTGGGAAATATTTGGTTCTATTTTTCCGAATGGTCGTCCAGAAGTAAGCCTGTATCGTAAAGCTGTTAGAATCGTTCTCGTCTTCCTCGTCTGCCTCCTCTGTCTCGTGTCTCGTCTGCCTCATTCCCGTAGCATTATCGTAGGACTTACATGGTCCACAAGGGTATCTGTCAAGATATCATCGTATGTTGCAAGCTGAGAAAGCGTCAATCTCTCCCTCTTCTCGACTGTAGGTGTGCGTGGCATCGTTATAGGTCATATATCATCACGAAATAACAATAGTGAGGCAGAACGCCGTAATAGGAGAGTCATGAAATATCTCTTCGACGGCGGCTTGCTCTTGGGGATTCAAGTCAAGGGGCAAACACAACCTCCAAACAATTGTGTTTCAGTAGCATTGGCCCAGGAGACTCCCGCAAGATGAGCACCTCTTCTCAGCAAGCACAAGCCCTCCGCCGTCGACGTTCCAGGAGGACTGCGCACGCGATGTAAACGCCAGCCTTCTTCGCGCCGGTTCGGTTCTTCTTCACGAGTCGCAAAGGGGGCCAAATGCGACAGTCACGTGGTTGTATACTACATTTAGCTGGCGAGGTTTTTTGGCCTCAAAACGCGATTTACGACTCTAGTTTTTTCTCTGGCACATTCATCATGAATATAAAAGGGAAGTTATAGTTTCTTTCGATTGTCCTCATGTATAACAATGCTGTATTTTCTTCACTTCATCGTCGGCGTTGACAAGAAATAGCGGAATCCGGCGTATCATAAATCCTATTATACACGCTTATCTAATCAAAAAAGATTGAGGCCGCAGAAGAAGCAGAAGAAACGAACAAGCAGGACAAGACGTTGCGCAATGAAGCAAAGATGATACAACTAAAGGTATACTGCTGCTGCTGAGTACTGTATGGAAGGTACTGTGCTAATTATGCTACTAGACACTCCTCAATTGTATTGACAACTCCGGCGCTGCAGTCGTCGAATGCGCGCAAGTTCTCAAGAAGTCAAAGACGGGGACAATAGGTTCGTCTGCTCCCATGATATATACCTATACAACCGCTGATTTGCTTCTTTGTCACGATTTCAGGGGACCGAATTGTCGTCGTCGTCCAGAAACAACGAAACTTCGGCTCAGACGGTAACGCAAGCACGTCTATCGCCAACAAGGTCAAGCGAGGAGATGTCCGCCACGCTGTGATTGTTAGAACGAAGAAGGAGGTCCGACGGCCGGATGGAAGCTATGTTAAGTTTGACGATAATGCCTGTGTCCTTATAAACAAGTCTGGGGACCCAATTGGGTCAAGATTGAACGGTGAGTTGGGGACTGATATTCAACCGGTATGTGCTGGGATGTGACTAACCTGCGGTCAATAGGCATCGTTGGAGCGGAACTACGGAATAAGAAATGGTCGAAAATATTGTCATTAGCGCCGATGCATTTGTAATATTATTTATTGCCTGTATTATACAAGATCTCATTTGAATGGCGGCGTCATGTTTATCATTAAATTCTTTCACTTTTCTAGACATTCACCCATGCACCTCCATCCGTTCCTGCGGTAAAATGCAAATAACCGTGAACTCCTAGCAATAAAAAAGAAAAAGGAGGTGAATAGCTCAGGCATGTCCAAATCATCGACTGCCAGGGTCGTGAAAGCGGCAGAAATTAACACCAAGGGTCCGTATAGATTGGAAAAATAAAGCGCAAGGAAATGTCGTGAATGCTTCAAATAAACACCTTTCCGCAAGTGCAGCAGACGTAGTAAAGTTTCTGAAATGTTCCCGGAAGTCAGAAAACAGCACGTTAAAATCCAGCAGCAAAATCTTCGTGTATCTCACCATTCCCGTCTCCGCAGATCGTTGCTGGGATTGGAAAAAGACTGCCTCGTTCTCGCCGCAGCTAGGGCACAGCTTATTTGATCGAGGAAGCTAGATGTGTAGTTCTTGTTAGCCAAAATATTTCTTCAAAACCGTTCAACCACTACGAGCTCCTCTTCTGCTGCGCAGGCTTGTTCCAGGTCATGTATTCTGCGAAATCCCCGCAAGAATCACAGCATATTAAGTCCCCACAAAGGAGACATAGTGGTAGACCAACAGTTGGATCATTTCCGATGTCCTGTGTCACTCCTGCGGTGTCGCCAACCTGGCTGTGCAGTTTATTCTGGAAGACGCAGTATGATGTAGCTGGCTCAGCGACATGGCAGGTTCGGCATGCAAAGACCAGTGAGTTTGTCGTGCGGTCTTCTTTTGGGTATAGCAAGTTGGAGCTACAAAAGGCGCATAAGTTAGCTTGTCTTCATTCTCGTTTTCAGTATGGCGGTGGGATCGGGGTCTGTATACCATTCGCGACAGAATTTAAAGTGGATTTGGTCGGTTCCCTGCTGCTGTTGCTGGCTGGAGCCGCCCTGGGGAGCCGGAGACGCAGACATCGTAGTAAAATGTATGGTGATATTGAAAATTTGTATTCGAGTCGATGTATGCTATTGAACAATAAACCATGAGTTGGTTCGAGAGGAAGTTGAAGATGCAGATGCGGCTCGAATTTATACAACTGATGTGATGACTAAGCAGGCAACCGTCATCGACTTGCCAGAAAGTGAATGCTGATAACACGGATCAATATATATAGTAAATAAGTAGAATAAAGTGATCATGTGGGAGCTCTTAAGGTGAAGGTGAGTCACTTTTGTTGCTCTACGCCTTTACGTCTAAACCTCTCTGCTCGCCGGATAGCTCCATAGTGACCGTCTTCATCCGAAGGACTAACGTAAAACCATTCGTGACAATATATCTCTCTTTCACTTGTTGGATATCCCTTAGAACGTAGCCAACTGAAAACACTCCGTGATGCATCCTTTGATGCTAGCTCCTCATCATCAAAGCCCTCGTAACTGATAGGAATATCAGATGCTTCGTTCAGTAATTTCCAGGAAACTGGCACAAGGCTGCCACTGGCAACGTGGTGAATAACGCTGCCTTCTTTACAAGCCCATCTCCATTCAATGTATACGAGTCCACCCGTAAGCTTTTCTGCATTTGAGCGAACACCAGGGTGAGTATCTTCGAGGGCCGTTTGACCAAAGGGTGGCCATGGACACTCCGGCCAGTGCTCGTGATGCTCTTCCTGTAGAATATATAGCAAACGGCATTCGTTAGCACGTGAAACATAACTGCCCGTAACTACGGGTTTAGATAGAGGCTCTTGTATAAAAGACTGGATCGTCCCAGTCCACATAGCTGAGTGCAACTCAACTGTAGTTAAGCCAAATCGTACATCCTTTATTATATCGCTGTGAAGGCCCGTTATTATTGCCCCTGGCCATATGAAAGCTAGGTGTGGCGACCTCGCTGCCATAACATGAATGAGGTGGGTATTTTCAACAGGTTTGAGTACAGTGATAATTGCTTGGATCCATGGACTTGCGGAATTGCAGGCTACTTCTGGGTCATAGAAGATGCTGGACAAAAGACCACGTATTCCTCTAGTATTGCAGCTCAAAACCAGAAGTTTATCCAGGAAATCGAGCTTATACAGCTGCTCGTGGCAGACCTGCTTCTTTTCCCTACATGCAGAGTCTTCATGGCTGGTTTTTGGTATTGGTAAGCGAACGCTGCGTCCCCTTGAACTGAGCATTGGCAGCAGTAGAGCAACTGACAATGCCGCATAGCTCTGGTCAGTAATGCCGTGGAAGTCACAATACTCCGAAATGTACCCAAGAGCAGCAACGGAAGATATAGCCCCAGTTTTTACCAGAGTGCCTCCACGGTGAGACAAACGAAAATGGATGGGGGACTGTAGTGATATCGACCATGGGGACTTATATCTGGCCGTATCGGAAGGAATATAAGCCTTCCAGCCATCTTGGGATAGCACAGCAGTCCACCACCTTACTGCATCATCATTTATTATTCCTGCATTCACAGAAATGATATCCTGATTGTTATTGCTATTGACTGTCTGGCTGTTGTATTCGAGAACAGAGCCAGATACTAGTTCCGCCCAGCGAGCCGAGAGAATATAGGCCCACGCGAGAACAAGTATCGCAATGTGGTTATCCTCACAGCCAAACCAGGACCGATAGCCCAAGGCCCCATTGGTCAGTGTAATATTACTTGACCAGCGTGTGGAAACCGCAATATCAACGCTCTGTTCAATATAAGTGGAATCATCGGAGTCGTCTACTGTCCATACTGAAGTCCCAGTCGCATATACCGTGCCATGCACTTCTTTTAAATCCAACTCTGGCGGTAGACACGGTACATCTGCAAGTATACTCAAGTCATAGCAGCTATCAGGCAATGTTGTTGTACTCTTGACAGCAGTATCAGCAAGACTCGACCACACACGAACGCCCCTCTCAAACACTGCACGCCGTGCAGACTCTGCTGGCCGGACAGCGTCTTCCATCTCATCACAGGCTCAAGCATCCGTCTCTTTTCCACCATGTCTTATATCATCTTCTTATTAACATGAAAAATGCTATGACTTCGATAAATGGGATTGACGTTAAAAGAAAGTAGAAGAATGCTGACTCAGCAGTCCCCCGCATTTATCTTCGCCGCAAAAGACTCGACGAAGCCGAAATCAAAACAACAAGAAAACATCGAGAGACAAGACGAACATAGACGGATAGAAAGCATGGTGAGTTGGTCTTCTCGGGTGTGAAGTGAGAGAGAAGTCTAACAGACGGAACAGGCTGATACAGGACTCCCCTCTGGCTGGGAGGTACGGCACTCGAACTCCAAGAACCTGCCATACTACTTCAACGCGATCTCAAAGGAGTCACGATGGGAGCCACCCGCGAACACCGACACGGATAAGCTGAAGGTCTACATGGCTGCCCACCACAGTGTACCGGCAGGCGATCGTCACGGAGCCAGCGGTCAGGGCGAAGGCAAGATCCGAGCGAGCCATCTGCTTATCAAGCACAACGAAAGCAGACGACCAAGCAGCTGGAGAGAGTCGGAGATCACACGCTCGAAGAGCGAGGCCATTGAGATACTGCGTAGCCACAAGCAGCGTATTGAGGCCGGTGAGGCCTCGCTGGGTGATATTGCAACCTCGGAGTCCGACTGCAGCAGTGCAAGAAAGCGGGGTGATCTGTGAGTTTATCACATCAACGGACGCAGCGTGAGAAAACGTTACTAACATGGTGATAAAGGGGATTCTTTGGCCGAGGAGAGATGCAGGCTGAGTTTGAGCAGGCTGCATTTGCACTAAAAGTTGGCGAAGTCAGTGATATCGTGGAGACGGCCTCGGGCGTTCATTTGATTGAACGGTAAGTTACCCCTTGCTACGTACCTGCAGCCTCATTTCTAACCGTCGTCTAGCGTCCAATGAACTACGTTCTTTTCACTTTGTGCCTAGTTCTTTGATGTATTATGATTTTTAAAGCTACATGAACCTGCTCCATCACGACAACTTCCCCTATACCACTCAATCTTCGGTCTCTCTGATTATCTATATAGTGATAATCAGCGATACTTTTCTTATTTACCGCACATTCCTGCATCTGTGATGAAAGCTACGGTTCATGTCGGCGCAAAATACTCGGCGTTTTAATGTACGATGTAAAGAGAACACTCTTTGCTTCTGCATAACAATAAAATTTACTTTGGCGATAACTGCCTGCTTATATCCTTTTCCCTGGACTGTTATGAGCTGTCATCCTGTGCGTCTGCCAGGAATAAACATATCCCCCACTTTGGTAGAAGCAGGCCGAAACTTCCACCAGAAGTCAACTATTGATACCTTGACAGCAGTCCCCTCAGTTCTTCTCCTTAGTCTCTTTGCTATACTATGGCTGATGTTATTGTACTTGACGTATATACTTGATTCTTACCTACCCTCCGTCTTGTGTACGATTCCCCCCCCCCCCCCCCCTTTGTGTACAAATATATCCTATGTATATCTTTTGCGCATTGCTACCATCAATATAACCAGCCTCTAGACACCCATGAAGTTCTCTAAGGGAGCCAACTGCCGCTACAGATCATGCATATATTTTATGTGTATTCTTTCGTCTGGTCTCTAATCTAAGCTGCAGTCCCAAAAATCTCCTCGGTAGCTTCAGCTAGAGCCTATAAAATGTGGAGAGTATCATTACATATCCCTTTATACCATTTTACCTTGATATATAAATGTAAAAGCTTTCTGTTCTGGCATTTTCTGTGTTGCTGTCCTGTCAGCTATTTTTAACTGTTTGCGCACAAAGTGAGCTCTATCAAAACACTTACTTCTTCCAGCCCCCTCATATCATCTTAACAAGCTACATGATATCTTCTTCCTTCAGCATCCATGCCTTTACTTAAACAAACAAGCCCGTCTACACCTCTTGTTACTGTCTATTAAACACTATCTGAACCCATCATGACGCTGGATCCAAGACTCCTGTCTATCCCCTCTGCTCGGCCATCGCCCGGCTTAATGATCCCCTATCAACACCAGCATATTCTTCCTGCAGCCACAGACGATCAAGGCAATACAACCGACAGGAGAACCATGCCCATCCCTCGTTGCATCATTATGGACATCCCCCAGGACGTCGTGCACGCCACCAACATTGCCCGCCGCAAAGCAGATGCAGCTTACAGGGGCTTCCTGTACATCGAACGCCGCTACAAGGAGCGCTTCTACCGTCTTTGCCCCCAAGAACCTCGAATGCGCGCCTTAAAACACCTCAGATCCATCGATAGGCTGTTCGAATGGGGCCCTCGGAGAGGGTTCACTGCTGATCCGCCCAAAATACCTACTTGTGGTGTGAAGTTCTATGTCGAGGAGGCGGCATATCTGAGATACACGAATAGTTTTAGGCTGTGTCGACAGGAATTCTTGGAGGGATCGTATCGTACATGGATCAAATCGGATGTCTATTTACGGAACTTCGTTGATAACGTTCCTATGAGCATGCCGGTCCGTCTTTTGTTCATGCGGTGGTGGAACGCATACAGAGACGAGATGCGGACGTGGGAGGAGAAGATTGAGACCCTTGTTTTGCCGAGCTGGACCACCATTATTAAGGAGCTCAGGGGGACTATCGAGGAGTGTTTGGATCTCGAGAAAGAATGGGACCGTTGGGTTTGATGGTGGCATACTTGGATCTCTCTGCCGCTATTGGTTTTTCCTAACCGCGATGAAGCATTCAGGGGCAGGGTTGGAGCAAATGTTGGTTTCTGAACACTGTTATGATCCCCCTTAATATGCCTAAGACTCTTTGTCTATTGGCGCGTACTATCTTACTTTGGTGGCCTTCATAGGCACCTTTTGCATGTCACTTTCAGCTTTGTTACTTTGTATTAGCTACGAAGCATTCATTAACATATCGGCACTTAAACTAGGAACATATTTGTTACTACAATGACATCAAATGTTTCTAAATCTCATTTCCTGGTAGGCTTGATTATAATATGCAGTAAAAGGGTATTTATTTATTCGAACGGTTACAATATGAGAGAGAGTAGTCTTGATATATCACTCAAGGTCAGGGAAATTGGATGAAAGTCGTTCAAGTCTGGATGTGATGGCATCAATGACAGCAGACCTATATTAGAATGGTTAGTGGTTACTGGTGTGTCCCGAGGCATGGCTGGAGTAAACTTTAATGAAAGGTAATGACATACTCTCGTTCAACCATATTCATGGCATCCGCGACCTTAGCCTTCTGTAGTCTCTGAGGTACCTTGGGCTGTGTAGTGCTGGGTGTCGAAGGAGTCGAGTCAACTACATCCGGGATATTCTTCATATCGGACAGTAGTTCCTTTGCCAGCGTAGTTGCCTAAGTAATAGGTCAGTACGAGTTTCTTTAAGTGTATACAGGAATTAAGATATCATACCGTTTCAAGCCTTTCTGTTAATTCGCCCTTGGCTTTTCCGTCATCTTCACCAATCGACGTAGATAGGGTATCAACTTCTTTCATCCATACTTTTTCCTTCTCGCTTATTGGTCGTCCCCCAGCCTTGATGATTCTAAGTCGAATATTATTGTATCTCTCCGTAAGCTCCTTCTGTCTCGTTTGGGCTGCATTCAGCCTTGAACTGAGCGCTTGTTCACGATCTACGGGAGCTTTCCGCACAGTTCCCCTAACCGTGCCGTTTGAGACATCGTGTATCCTCTCGCCGACCTCGACGAGCTGCGTAAGTTGTCCGCGCATCTCACCTTGCAATCGTTCACAGCGACGGAAAAGGTCAGAGGCTGCAACTTCCAGTGCATGGGTATATGCGCTTAAGATTCTGTGGGCAGATGTGAAGAGTTCCAAAGTTGATGGTGATAGACGGACGGGTTCTTTGAGGGTATGTCTATGGCCGTGGGGCACAAACTCCCCAACGAATGACACGAGGGGAGATTGCGAGTATAATACAGATGGAACCTGGTACGGTGGGCGTGTGTGCGCAGGTATGGGTGCATGGCCCTCTAGTTCTCCGGAGTCTGATGGGGCCATAGATGCCCTAAAGTCTTCATATTCAGGGGAATCAAGCAGGACGGCACATGGCGAGGAAGGCGAGAAAGTCAGCAACAGGTATCCCAAGTCGTAGTCAAATATGGGCAAACAACCAGCTAAATGTTCCTGGTCACTGTTTGGAGCCAGGTTCGAGGGAGGTAATCGCAGCATCTGTTCCCGTTCCGCGATCTCACCATCACAAATTATATTAATACGGAACGCTGAGCCAGCTGTATCTTCCGATCTTAGTTCCGGCTCCATACGATGAACCCAGGAGGACAAGGAAAAGAAGCTGACGGTCCTGGCAGTAGTCACGAAGAATTCGTAACGGGATCCAAAGGCTTCCGAGAATATAGGCCACATATTCTGTTGTCTGTCCTTGGCCCTAACAGTTTCCAGTGATTCCAGAAGTAGTAGCTCGGATGGCTCAGACATGGGCGTGCTGAATGTGTTTTTGCAGGTCCTAGGAAGCCATTGTCCTTTCACTCCGTCCATTTCAAGGCACACATGGAGTGTTCCTATTGACGTCAAAAGACAGATGATTGTACCAGATAGCCCACTCTGGGCAATTTCACTTAATAGCTCGGGTTCATCCTCTCCGGCCATCAGATCATCAATGTCTGCTCTGGAAGCAATGACAAGGATATCTGTGATGTCCGTGTCTTCCTCAAGTTCCTCGCATTCAAACAAGAAAGGCCCTTGGAGCCGCGGTATGGGACTTGGGTTAGTCGGACGGGTTCGAATTTCCGTAACCATTGCTTCATCTTCGATCACAGATATGTCCTGATTATCCATCTCCTTGAGCCACTCATATTGTTGCTGGGTTGCTTTGAGCTCGTCGTCCGAGTCTATAGCCTCGGCCTGCGCAATGGCTAGTTCCCGGACGATGGAAGATGTAAGAGATGGGACAGTAACCGGCGAAGCCTGCCACTTTGACGGCAAAAGTGGGCAAAGGGCATAGACATCACCAGTTCGCATGGCTACCCAGAGCGTCATAGAAGCCCATGCATCTTCCTCCTCGTACCCGTGACCGCCAAACCTAGCAGCCGCAACTTCCATATCAAACGAGTCTGCGGAGAAACCCTTATTTTGACCGAAGCTTAATGGGGTAAAGTCCTGATCCATGGAAGTTCCGTCAACCAGTTTTTTCAAGTCAATCGCAAGCGTAGGCCTGTCAAAGGACCAATGGTTCTTGCGATCTATCTCCCATAGCCGAACTGCTGAATCGGCAGTCACAGTAACTATGCATCCACAATTGGTATCATTTATTCCCAAGGGGTGCCAGAGGACACCAACAACTGGTGATTCAGGTATAACATGGGTGGTAGGTCCTAGTTGGAACGTTTTGACGCGAATAGGGGAGTAATCTGGTCCAGAAAGATGCGAAATATCAGGCAAGATCGCAATATGAACGGTATGGATTGTTGTGATCGCCAGGAAAGCTCCATTGGGAGAGACAGCGAGTTGCTCAATTTTGCCATAGACGGGAGTATTCAGTGCCTATCAAGTGTAACCATTAGCGTCTTACCAGTCTATAAATAAAAAAGGCCACTCGTACTCTGTAATATGAAGCCTTTGAGGTATCTCCTTCTTCCCGTTCCTCTGATTCTTCTCTAGCAGCATTGCGCTCCAGCGTACCATTCTCTTTCTTATCTGCTCCACTAGCCTCTCCAGCAGATTCCTCCCTCTTCTGCTTTACTCCTTTCCTCCATTCATCTTTCAATCTCGCAAGATCTGCCCATCTGATCTGGTTATCGATGACAGTAAAGACTTCCGTGCCTCTTCGAGCAAGTGTTCGAACCGGCCGTGGTTCCTGCGTGGGTTCTTGGATAGCTTTCTGTGTATCGCGATGCAATGATGACGACAACGACTTATCCTTTGCTTCAGGACAGAAGAGATCAACACCTGGAGAGGGCCTGGCTAGCCACGGAGGAGAATAATCCACGATTCGCGGCATATTGACGTTGGATTTGAAGATACGTTCTCGCGGTAAAATGGATGGGAATAAATGGCCGTAGAGAGTATTGACAGGTTTATTATAGCGCAGCAACCCTCATACTTGTCGTATCATATCTAGCTCTAGATCCTTCACCTCAAGAGCAAGCTTGTTTGTCGTATAGATCAATGTTATTTTTCTTCTTGCAAGTCAAAAAGATGAAGTTTTGACAACCGCGCGCCAAGCCTCAAAGCTCCTTTTTAGCGCGCTTCAACTTTCGAGCTTCGAGACAACGAGGACAAGAAGAGGAAGAAAAGAACATCTACAGCTTTCCCTATCAACAAGAACTTGTGAGAGTAGAGAGAGAGATGGCTACTCCTCGGTCTACAGTGGAGAGGCTGGACAAGCCCAGCACATATTTTAGCAACAAGGTATGCGCTCTGGCTGGCTTCTGTAAGAGAGTCGATCGCTAACTTGCTCAACCTGCAGAACAAACGCCGGAAGTCGTACCATGATCGAGAGCGCGAGGAAGATAAACCCCAGGCGGACTTTGATGCAACATTGAAAGAGGCTACCACTTTATATGTTGGAAACTTGTACGTTTTCAGCAGGATGGTAACAGTCAGATATTGTCTAACAATTATCCCCTAGGTCATTCTACACAACAGAAGAGCAGATACACGAGCTATTCGCAAAGTACGTCTCCAGTTAACCTGCCGAAGGAGCATTATCTAACGATTTTAGGTGCGGCGAGATAAAACGACTAGTAATGGGCTTGGATCGATTCCAAAAGACACCTTGTGGTTTCTGCTTTGTCGAATATTACACGCACCAAGACGCTTTGGACTGTATGAAGTATATTGGAGGAACAAAGTTGGACGAGAGAATCATTCGAACGGATTTGGACCCTGGATTTCAAGAAGGGAGACAGTATGGGTACGTTATGATTGGCTACTGTGGTTATTGACGACAGAGCTGATGACTTCACTAGGCGCGGTAAATCCGGAGGACAAGTTCGTGATGAGTTTCGAGATGAATTCGATCCCGGCCGTGGTGGTTATGGGCGCGGAATGGGAGATGATCGTTGAGTGGAGGTATATACAATGCGGTGGGTTGGGTGTCCTAACACCTAAAACATGGACGCAAGTCTCTTATCAGATACCCAAAAACAAGCAACAAAAAAAGTTCAAAATGAAACAAAACAGAAAAAAAAATCTATATATTCTTGTCTATCGAACGACCACTTCTGCTTTCTGTAGCTTTGCTGCCTCACTGACTTGACAGAGCCACCACATGTGAATCCTAGCGTCGTCCGTCAACTCTGGGTGGAAGCTAGTACCAAACACATTCCCCTGCTTTACAGCCACGATATCACCCGGCTCGCCGCTGCCGTCAGCCTTGGCGGGTAACTTGCCCAGGATCTCGACTTTATTGGCCATGGCTTTACGAGCAACTTCACTCTCTGGCTTCCTCGAGGGGGCCACCACGGTGCCATCTATGGCAAGTTCCTCGTCCTGGATCCCATCCTTGGCCGAAAGAACCTTCTCGACCACAGGAGCACGAATAAACACCGCTCGGAATGGTCCAGCATCACCCGGCAAGAACGGCAAATCCAATGGCGCATAAAAGCTCTCGGTCTGCCTTCCGAAATGGTTCCTGTTGACTCGAACATCCAATCCGCCAATGAGATCTTGGCCACCACGCTTTGTCCGGTTTGCCGATTCAGCGAGCAGGATCAATCCGGCGCAGGTACCCCAGGTAGGCTTCCTATGGAGTCTACACGGCTGGTCAATACGTGCATACACTTGCGTTGCGCACTTGGAGTCAACCTACTTGACAAAGTCTCTCAGTGGCTCCAGCAGGTTTGAGCGGGCAGCCACCAAGGCCATGGCAGTGCTCTCACCACCAGGGATAATCAGCCCGTCGCATCTCGCCAGCTCAGCTGCCGTGCGGACCTCGATGAACTCCCACTGTTGTTTGGCGTACGTCTTGCTGCCCCTCAGCTTTTCCGCGGCTACCTTCAGCAGCTGGATGTGCTCGTAAAACGCGCCCTGCAAGGCGAGGACACCCACAGTAATCGTCATTGCATTATCCGGTGTCGTCTCTATCCCTTCAACTACTTTCTTCCTGGCGACTTCGTTGTTTCTTCGTCTTTTCTTCGTCAATTTAAGAGTCAAAAAGTTATCGATAACCGCTGAGTAATCCGGCTCTTCGGTAATAAGTTGTTCCGCTCCTCGGGCCGAAAATTGATGGGGAAAGAACGGAAAAAAGGAAAAATCAAGAAAAATAGAATAAATGCATGGATATTGATTGATATAAAGAAGAGAAAGATAACTGTCTAGGTGAGCTTGAGGTAGGCATGCAAGTATAATAGAGGTAAAGCGGTGGCTCTGACCAAGCAGCCAACTGTGTTATTGATCATTGTACAAACATCAAGACGATATTGACATCGGCTACAACAAGCTCACTACCTGATATCAAATGATAACCAAACATCGTCTGTTGATATCAGATACCAGCATACTAGGCATATCATGGGGTATCGTGAATGCTTAGTCGATCTTTGATGCTTATTATAGAATCAGCGTTGAATCGTATTGTGGCGTTGATCGACAGGAAGCGCATCGATGATTAGCTGTCTAGCTGTCTGGCTGCCTGGATCGATGACTAGCTGGACTATTTAACAGAGTAATATCCTGCAGAGCCTGCCCGATACGATGTCAACGTCTTCTCAGGGCCGAAAGACAGCAAGATGCAGCTCTTCCTCCTTGTCGCAGTCCTGATCGCGGATATCGCCTCTGTCTGCGCTCGCAACCTTCACCCTGAGATCACTCCAGCACCCAGGGTTGAAGACCTGCAGAAACGCCAGGATTACTCGGATCTTATAGGCTGGTACTCATCAAGCGTCTACTGTGTGTCCCCCCGTGAGTCTGTTGAGTGGATGGATGTTCTGACCTGCGGCTAGGGTACTCCTACACCTGTCCGTCGGGACAGTACTATGCTGCCGGCCCACGGTTCGGGGCCTGCTGTCCTACTGGGGAGCCATACTGCAACCCCCTGGTGGGATGCGAGGGAAACGTCGGCGTGTACTCTAACGGTGTCCGGGGCGACTGGTAATATCTTTTTTCTATTTCTCCTCCTCGTACTCCGTACATATATATATTCATACATGCACGTAATATGGAAGATATCCCCTGGCACTTGATACTGATGAAAACACTCTAGCGGAACTGACATATGCGACACGGTCACTATATTCAACTCACAGAATGCTGCAGCTACCGGAATCCACAGCCTAGTCGCATGTTTCTCGTCTGATCGCTTCTATAGCTTCCCCAGGACTTACTACAGAGCGACTTTTGCACTGACAACCAGCACTACTGACGAACCAAAGACTGCCACGGCGACAGCTACCAAGACCGTGACCCAGACTGCTTCTCCGGGACTGGGAGTGAAGCTGTTGGATGAAGGGATGTGGAAGAGGCTCTACATGGTCCCTTTGCTCGCTACGCTCTTTGGATTTATGCTTTGAGCTGTTCGTAGCTTTATTTATTTATTTTAGGGTTAATGATCAGCAGGAATATTCAAATGCTTAAGATACACTTTAGGTTATAGTACCTTTTCATCGGTGGCTAGAAAGCTGTATAAATATACCAAAATGATAGATGTGACGAGTTGGTGGAGGCAGAGTGCGAGGTTTGAACATTGAATATTCAAAAAGCCGAATTTATCAAAACAAACTTGCATAAAATCCTCCTATCCCGCGTACAAAATCCCTTCATCAGCCCAACCTCTTTGCCTTATATCAGCTAGCTAGGGACATATATCTCATGTACAGACCATAAGAATAAGCCTGAAGTGAATAGAGATGGCCTCCGATTCTCGCCTGACAAGATGGTACATCGACATGAGCCGCTGGACTCAGTCGACCACTTTGCTCCCCTTAATCGACACTCTCCAGCCAGCAGAGCAGAAGAAGATCAGAGCCTTCTACCATGTAGTAGACCAGCATATGTCTCTGGCATCCAGCCTGTTGAAATATCTGTACATCCATCGCACCGCCAGACTGCCCTGGAACCAAGTCATCGTCAGCCGCACGCCCAAACCCCACTGCAGACCATGCTATACCAGCACCGGCGAGACAGAGACGCTTCGTCTGGAGTTCAACGTCAGTCACCAGGCCAGCATGGTAGCGTTGGCGGGGTGCATGTACCACGGTGATGCAGAAGGGGACGATACAAGAAGATTAGATCCGTCTTCGCGCGGTGAAAAGGGACCGCCTCAGGTTGGGGTTGATATCACTTGTACGGATGAGAGGGAGAGACGGAACCCGTCGTTTGCACCTAACACGGAAAAGGACTTTCGTGAATTTGTTGATATTTTTACGGAGGCATTTTCGGCCAAAGAGCTGGAGATTATCAAGTCTGGAGGAGGTGGTGGGCAGGCCAGGTCTATAAAGTACCGGACTCGGATGTTCTATACGTACTGGGCGCTCAAGGAGGCTTATATCAAGATGATCGGAGAAGGGCTGCTGGCGTCTTGGTTGCAGAAGCTGGAATTTACCAATGTTATACCCCCTGAGGCTGAGGAAGTAGGTGTCTGGGGTAAGCCGTTGGCTGGCATAGAGATACGGCTGGAGGGAGAGCTGGTTGATAACGTGCGGATGGAGGTTGTTGCGTTTGGAGAGAGGTATATACTTGCCACTGCTACGAGAGGAGGAGGTTTCGACCAAGCTCAGGGGTCAAATGCATGGGATGAATTTACGGCTATTGATATTGAGAAGGATATCGGACGTTGTGCTAGGGGAGAATGTAGGTGTCTCGGCTGAAATCGACATAACAAGAGTCTAGGAACTGGATAATAGTCGTAATTCATAATCTATAGTCTTTTTCTAATGATACAAAATGCCCCATACTCATAATGCAATGCTCGAGGTAATGGATGGAAAAGCCATTGCCCTGTGTAATTCTATAGTTAATTTCAAGGGAATCACAGCTTTTGGACTTCAGGGTAACCCACTGGTGTATTGAAAAGTATATTATTCGGGGTTTCTCGTGTGTATGGTCTTTGAAGTCTAGTTTATTATGGCCAAGGGATGATTAAGGGTATAATAACGGCTAGTCCGTTCACGGTTTATATCTCAACGGCGGTAGAACGAGTCGCTCGAGGAGTGTCTTCCACCACCACCTGGGAATCGGCAATGTCTTTGATCTTTCTCATCTTGTCCATCTCAACCATGGCATCAAGCATGGACTGTCTTGTATTCTGGACCAAGGAGTCGACATCCGCAGTGGTAAGGCCCTTGGTACTAACTGGAGGCAGAACTACACAGTAGCTGTCAGTATACACTAGAAAAAGAAACATAAAGGTGCATGAGACAGTCTCACCCTTGACGTTGATAGTACCCGAAGTGAACTTCATCTTCTTCACGTCCAGAACATGCGAGTAATTCTCAGCCACGATTGGCACGATATCCGCCTCCGCCTTAACAGCTAGATGGAATGCTCCCTTCTTGAACGGCAACATGGTAGGTTCCCGCGCATAGCTTCTCGTCCCCTCAGGGAAGATAATCACGCTCTGCCCCTTTGATTTCATCAAACTGGCAGCATTATCAAACGCCTTGAACGCAGTCTCGCGGTTCGCACGATCAATAAACACGGTCCCCGAAAGCGACATGAACCATCCTAGCAGCGGCACACGCGAAAGTGACCTCTTCGCCGTCACAGCAGAGTACTGAGGCAGCACTGCACCGAGAAGAAGCACGTCCAGCTCCGTCTGGTGGTTCACGAGAAACACAGCGGGCCGCGTAGAGAGGTATTTCTGGCCCTGGATGATGTCGAAATGCACGCCGGTGGTCAGCCACATCGACCACTTGAAGGCTCTAGCGACTGTCCACTGCGCGATCTGGCCGCGCCCAGCAATACGGAGGCATATCGAGGCGAGCACGCCGTAGGCTGCGCAGAACAGGAGGGAAGCGTATGCGGCGAGACAGCGGGCGAAGAAGCCTGCGCGGGGCACTTTGACGGACAGGCCGAAGAGGCTCAGCGTCAGCGCAGCGTAGGACGTGAGGCCCGAGAGGATGTAGGAGAAGATGGCCATGGTCGGTCGGTCGGTCGGTCGGTCGGTCGGTCGTAGATCGGTTCTTCTCCTTCTCGTCCTTTGTTCTGCTTTGCGACGTGCGCGGGAAGATATGTACGTATTTTTGCAGTCTCTTTTTTGTTTGACTATTTTTTTTTCCCGGGTCAGGGGTTCCCAGTGGCTGAAAAACGGGGCGTCCCAACAGTATCAGCCAGCCGTTTACTCGGCATTTTATTTAGACGTCGATGTTTCAATCAATGTTTACTTGATATATTAATAAGATGTCAGGGGTGTTTCTATTTTATGTTGTCGGTAGGAGGTGTTGGTGATGTTTTGGCGGAGGGCATCCGGCTGGTTAGTTATGCTTGATAATCGAGAGATGTGATACAGAGACAAAAATAAATAGATACAATGATATAAAGCAGCTGCTAGCAAGAATCTATTTAGAGTGAAGAAACTGCTTGAGAATGTCGGTTGACTTAGAAGAATCAAGCAAAAGGAGGTTGATATGAAATCGGCCGACCAGCAGCCCTTGTCTCGTAGTAAAGACGAGAGCCTAGTAAAAAGCCGACGGAACTCGATGAATATATTAGACAATTAAGACGGTAAATAGAAGAAGGTTGGCAAGGTGTATAAAAGAGATAGGAGTAATTATACAGGGTGAAAATCGAGGCTGAGGGCGGAAAACTTGGCGGGTGGAGGGCGGAGCGGAAGAGTAGAAAGAAATACAACGAAGACAGTCATATGGTTTTTATAGTTCTCAAGCTCAATGTATGGTAACAATACTTCAGTTGATTTTAGGTAGGACGGAAACAAGGCATATTTCCTAGGACGGTCGAAGTCAAAAGGAGAAAACATATCAACATCCAGCCCAAGCAAGCAACCCGTCCGTCCCTTTTGTACGTAAGGCAAAATGTACATTCATTCCCTGCCGAGCAAGTCAAGTTGAAGCCTGGCAGGGAGAAGAAAAGTAACCTCTCCGCGTCCCCTTTACCGCTCTCATGTCTGTCTCCTTTTTTTCCACCTTTCTGTTGTTTCTCTTCTCTTCGCTCCGTATGCTATTACCACTGCGTTATGCTCGTTATGCATTATCCCTGACTAAAAGAAAACAAAAGCCAACCGGAACACCAACACCGAGGAAATGAAAGAAACGGACCAAGACCCATTATGCTGGTTGAAACGGGGATGAAGGCAGCTGGTTATTATGCTGTCTTGTAGGTAGTTAGGTAGTAGGTTGGTAGGAAAGTAGGAAGAAAGGGGTAAAGAGTAAAGAATACAAGTGAGGTGGGCTGAATGAAAGCACGAATAGGGCTGGAGTATGGAGTGGAAAGGAGGAAAAGGGATGATTATGATGGGAACATTAATCATGTCATGTCGTCATCAACGTCATCAGGGTTTTCAATGGATTCCATGGCCTCCTTGATGAATTGGGCGGCCTGTTCATTCGTTCGTTAGTTACGTCCCACAATAATCCTGATACATGGACATGGGCTAGTGGGTAACGTACCTTTGGATCCAAGTTTAGGGCGGTGGTAAAGTGTTTTATTGCGTTGCCCTTGTCCTGTATCATTTTATATAGCTTGCCTAATAGATAATGCACGTTGGGCTCGTCGGGAGCCACGTCCTTGAGCACCTTCAGCTCGATGTGAGCGAGATTCACCTCGTTGAGCTTGAGTAATGTTCGTGCTTTGCGTAATCGCGCCAGCACTGAGTGAGGCGACAGTGATGAGGCTCGACTGTACTGCAACAGCGCGGCCTTGAGGTTATTCTGGCGCTCGAGGACCAGGCCTATGCTGCATATCAAGACGACGTTGGCTGGATTGATGTTCGATGCAGTACGAAGATGCTGTTCGGCGAACTTGAGTTTGCCCATCCGCTCGTAGACCTTACCGAGACCGTACCAGGCACTGTAATGTCTAGCGTTGGCGTTGATGGCATAGCGGTACGCATCCTGGGCCTTGTCGTATTCCTCGTTGGACATGTATTCATGTCCCTGGAGAGTGTAGCCGTAAGCAAACCTGGGGTCCACCTGTGTTGCTCGCTTGAAACATCGCAAAGCCTGGTCGTGATCTCCTTGCAGGGAGAAGGAGTTTCCAATCGCACACCACGATTCGGGTGCCAGGCGATCGGTTTCCATCAGCTCGTGAGCGAGATATGCCAGTTCAACTTCGTTCTTCAGGTGCCAGAGCACTGTTGAATAGACCTCCATGCCTTCCAGCTGCGAAGGCGCTATTGTCCGCACCCTGGAGAAATACTTTTCGGCATCACTGTACAGCGCCTGTTCGTAATACGCCCGACCGATCTGCGATAGTACCCAAGGCGTTTCCCGTTGATTCTGCGGTAAAGAGTTATATATCTGGAGAGCATCCTGACACCTGTAGCTACAGAGTGCCGCGTGTCCGCTCGCCAGCCTTGAAAAGAGATCCAGCGTCCATGCCAGGGCGTCAATCTCCTTGGACTTATCCGGCAGTTGAGGTCTTGATGGCCCATTAAGAGACTCTGATGAGGTCCCATTTGACCGGCTCTCCTTGGTGTCGGCATCTGCTGATTCGCCTCCTTGTTTTCGAGACGAGGTCGTCGATCGCCCCAGGGGAGCTGTGGTGGCGGTGCTGCGGCTCTTCGAGCTGGTAGACTTTGCTTTTTTTATCTCACGTCCTTCCCGAGTTCCCAGACTGGCTGCAGCCGTAGAGAACTTGCTGGTAGGCCGTATTTGATTGAACAGCCGAACGCTTCGTCGCTGGGGCGCACCAGGTTCAACCTGCTGCGGTGTCGTGTTTGTGGGAGCTATATGTCCCGAAACTGTTCTTTTGCGCTCCACCGCCGAAGCATTCTGTTGGGAGGCAGTAGATTCCTTGCTTTGGGCAACTTCTTCAGCCGATGCTGACTTTGGTTTCGTCTTGGATCGTGTGCTGGTCGGTTTGAGCCGTGGCGGTTCTACACAGCTTTCAACGCCCAGGACCTGCATTGTCCGTGACTTTCGAGCGGGAGCAAAGGGTGGCTCCCCGTATGTCTCTCCCGTATTAGGCCCGGTCCGGACGCGGAAGTCATCCGAATCACTCTGGGCGACGGGAGTTTCTAGTCCTTCGGGGAGTAATGCAGATGCAGACACCACGCTGACACTGCTGCCATTGAGTTTTTCCCATAGCGCTGAGCTGCCGTAGCTGGTACCGTTTGTCGATGAAAAGGGATCAACGTTGTGGTTAGCACTCGGCTGTACTTGGAGTGGTTGGCTGTTTGTGATGGACTTCTCAGAAAATGAGCTCTCCGAGGCTGACGGAGTGAGCATGGCCACCATTTCTGGTGTCATCTTGTAGATATTCGGTACTCTCACATTTGCACCTACACCTTGTTAGTAGCCATACATGCTAGAAAAAGAATCAAAGTAAGCCTTGACGTACCGGTCTCGGAAAGTCCCAGGAAAGCATCCCAAAGGAACGGGTTCAGTTTGAGAGCTTCAACATAGCAGTCGACAGCTTTGTGTATGTCCTTGTGAGCATGCCATAGTTTCCCCTGGAGGCAAAGCACCGCAGCTGCATCAGGCAGATGCTGTCGTCTGTTTTCACTGTGTTTATCTATGTACAACCGTTAGACGCCAGCAGTCAAAGCTTGGAGAGCGGAAAAAGAGAGAGAGAGAAAAGCTCACTCCAGTTATTCTTCGACGCCCACTGAGGCTTACTCCGCTCCAAGGCCGTGATTCCCTCCATGTAGTTTCCGAGGTCAAGACAGGTCTGAGCATAGATGTAGGCACACCCGAGATGCGTCCCCCGAGTTCCGGCATTGCGACAGACCTCCCAGGCGTACTTTGGCTGTCCGGACTGCAGCAGACACAGGGCGAGCAGGTAGGCAGCTTCCGACGACCTGGGCTCGAAGGCGTGCAGCCGGCCAGCCAGGAACAGAGCGTTTCGAAGCAGATTATTATCGAGATGGTAGTATATGAGTTGCCGTAGCTGGCTCGAGATATGGGGCCCCGAGGGAGCCATGCTGGGCGGTGTTTTCGAGAGCGACAGAGGCAGCGGTAGAGGTAGAGGGGAGCTGGCTGGCGGCGAGGCGACGGCGTCCGCCCAACTCCCGGTGCGTAGGTATATCGAGGCCGTAGAATGCGTTGATTAGGAGGTAATACGCTTGTTCATGCATCCGCTGGTAGTTTTTTCTTCTTTTTTAACGTCTCTGGCTGGGTCCGCGAAGAGTGCCTTGCGCGGGCGTACAGTTGCCGTCAGAAGGGCGACTCCAGCAGCCGAAGTCTCATAGCAGCCGCAGAAGCGCTCTTGACGGTGAGCCACGGGCTGGCAGACGGTCGACCGACGGCGCGCGAGGGCTCTTCGTCTTCGTCTTTCGTGTTTTCGTCTTTCGTCCGTGGCGCGGGTGCGAGTTTGCGCTTGGGAGGTTGTGTTTTTGTTGCCTGGGAGATGGGAAAAAGGAGCGGACGGCGAGACAGAGCGACGAGAGCGAGCGAGCGTGAGGTAGAGATTCCGTATCTAGCTATAAAGCGACAGACTGCGACGGCCCTGCTGGCCTCGGGTCTATCAAGCAGGCAAGCAGGCAGGCGAGCAGTGGTGGCTGTCGATATCAATTCCAACGGGCGAAGGAAGTTGTTGTTCGTCAATAACAAACGCGGGTTTCTGGCGGCGACCAAAAGGCACAGCAACAAGTGGCTGAAAAGCTGCACGCACAAGTGGCTGAACCACAGACCCTTGGAGGAAAGGAAACACGATAGCAACGGCCTTGCAGTACGGAGTACGGAGTATATTGACGAGAGACGGGAAACACGGAGGAGCACTGTTTGGGCGGCTATATCGTGGAATTGAGGCCATGGCACAGGTAGGGACACTCGGTTTACGGACAGCGAGCAGCTGCTAACAGCTCGATAGAAAGCAGCAAAGACGCTCGCAGCTCGAAATACTTCTCTGCTGCTGCAGACACACATTACGACGGCCTCGCTGCATGCTCTCCTGCTGCTGCTGCACTTCGTCTTCGGCCGGCCGGCGTCGCTGTGGAAGTACGTGCTGCTGACCTCGCCTACGCTGGTGATCGAGTTCTACTTTGAACGCCTGGGACGGCCGCGCTACGATGCGGCCAGCGGCTCGCTGAGGTCGCCGGGAGAAGACCTGGATGCGCCGGGCCTGACGGAGTACTGCTGGGACGTGCTGTACTGGACCTGGGGCTGCATGGGGGCGGCCTGCATCTTTGGAGACTACGGGTGGTGGATGTGGGTGGTTGTACCGCTGTATTCGGGCTGGCTGGCCTACACGACGTTTATGGGCGTGAAGTCGGGCCTGCCTGGTGCGTCTGGCATGGACATGGGCGCTGCAGACGATGCCGGACAGGCTGAGAGCAAGAGGCAGAAGAAGCTGGAGAAGCGAGGCCAGAGAGTCAAGTACCGATAGACTTGCCTGTTCACTCTACTGGATGGCTTGCTTATACATGCTTGTACCGGTAGTCAATGAGATAACCTGCCAATTTCTCTTGACTCGGTGCTATATCAATGATATCAAAAAACATTTTCTACTCTTTGTGGACATATATATACTTGACTGGTGTTGAGTATATACTGGTTATTACTGAAGACACGGCTAGAGTCAGGTCGATAGTCGACAATAAAATACATGAATGTCATAAATAATACATTTCGCCCTGATTAAACGAGAGTACATCTGAGACTGTATAGTGGTAGCAGCGGTAGTAGAAGTAGTGTAATAGTGTAGCAGAGTATAGTGTACTGGGAACAAGAATGCACGCTGGCATGGGAAAAAGAGGTATCGTATCATCAAACAAATATCAGAAGAAAGAAAGATAAAAAACGAAAAGAGAAACAAAGAGACTCATTTTGGTAGTTGTGGTGGTATTAATAGCCGTGGATGGGTTCGCCGGGAGTAGGCTCCTGCGTCTGCTCTGGCCTGTCTGGTTGATACAGCTCAAGCAAAGCCGCCTGGGCAGCTTCCAGGGCAGCAGTCAGTTTGGCAATTTCATCTCTGATGTGTTCACGGCGTTGTTCGGGTGCGGTAGGCTCAGATGGCGGCATGGCTTCGAGAGAGCTGATCGAGGATTGCACGGATGAGACCACATCGCCGAGCCTGGTGCTTGCATCTTTGAGCAGAGTGCTGGCCTTGTCGTTAGGCATGGGAGTCTTCTCAAGACCGGCCTTTGCAGAGCCGACGAGTGAGTTTATCTCATCTGTTGCTGAGCCGACCATCTCATGGAGGTCAATGGGTTCAACTGGAGATGTGGATGTAGGTGGAGTAGGCTCGATGGCTGTGCTGGAGGTATCTTCTTGCTCCTCTGGTTTCAAATCGTCAATGGCTTGGGTCACGAATACTGGTGCTTCAGCTTCGACTTCGACTTCAACTTCGGCCGCGGCTTCGTCATTGGTTTCAATAGTAGATGAGACTGGGTTAGTACCCAAAGTGATAGCTTCGTCAGCCTGGATGGTGTCTTCCTGAGATGTTTGGTCGACGTGCAACTGCTCCTGCTCCTGCTCAATACTATCTATAACCTCGTCTAGATATGATTCTGCAGCACCGGCCGGGTCTGAAGCGGCAGGCTCTTCTACCGTAGATGTAGGCTCGGGTGAAGATTCATCGGATAATTCTGCAGCTGCGGTCTCGTCGAGGATAACGGAAGCCTCAGGGGCCGGTTCGGGCCCCAGGGTCTCGTCCGACTGAATAGTCTCGTCATCTAGTAAAGCAGCTTTTGGCTGCTCACCGGTATATTCTTCGACCCGCGGAGTCTCGATCTCAGCCTCAAGGCTCTCAGCTATAGAGCTCGTGGATGGCTCGCTAGAAACAGGAAATTCGGAGCTATCAGATATCTCTAACGGAGTAGGCGTAACAGCAGGAGTAGATGTAACACTGGTAATCATGTACTTCTTCCTGTTCTCTATCAACTCATCATTGATGTGGTCGACGTTAAGGCCCTTGCTCGTGTCTCCAGCCTCGATCTTTAGCTTGCCAATCGACCGTATTTGCGCCAGCTGCTGTGCAGCATCCACTGCAATGTCCATCCCCCGTGCAACAATGGTCTCGCCATCATCCTTGGCCAAAACGAAGCTGTCGTGCTGTAATCCGGCCTGTCGGATTTCATCTTTCCATTCCCCGAGATCTGATTTCAAAGCGTAGTAGCTTGCCCAATCCTTGTACGTGACACCGTCTATGGCCGTCCAGCGCATTCCGATTTCCTGTAGACCGAGCGCGCGGGCGTTCTCAAGGACGTCGAGTGTGGCGTTGATTGTGTTGGAGACGGCATTTGTGAGCATTTCTTGATACTTGCTGAACCAGAGACGAAGTGAATGTGCGGTGCCTCTGATGGCAAGACTAGACTGTCTCAGCTGCTGTAGGAATGCATCCTGGGCTTTCTCTTCATCTTCTTTCGTATATTCCTCGGGAATTGCCTGTATGATGGCGTATAGCTCCTGCGTTAACGCATGTAGCTGTTCATCGACAACAGACTTCAAGGAAGAAAGAATGTTCTCTCCTGATGGCTTCTCCTGGCGCGCAATATCCTCAATTACCTGGGGAACGTGCGTTCGGACATGTTCAAGTCCTTTACTGGCCAAGCCTGCAGTCCTTTCCTTCCAGGCCTTGAGATCTGTGGAAATCTTTTCTCGCGCGAGCTCGTTTTGCTGAGCTGGGGCCAGCTTGGTAGCAGCAGGAGGCTCCACATACGAGGCTCGTGTAGCCTTTGTCTTTGATTCAACAGAGCTCTGCGTAGATGACTTAGTTGTCGTAGGCTCGTGGACTATTGGACTAGATAAGAAAAAAATTCAGCATTCAAGACGCATTAGAATGGAACAAGGTCAAAGATGGCCTACCTGGTAGTTTCTAGATTGACTTGCTGAATCGTTCGTCCCTCGCGGTAGCTTGCGAGCTTCTCTCCGATTTTGACAAGCTGAGGCTCCACGTTCTCCGAGTAAAGGGCGGCGATATAGGGCCGAACTGTACCCTTAAGGAAGACAATAAGGGTAGACCATGCTTCCTGTATGTATGGCGCAATGGTTGTAACGACAAAGTCATAGATGGTTGCACAGACCCGGCGAATCACTGGACGAGAGCGTACATACGCTGGGATGACGTAGTTGTTGTTGATGTAAACGCTATATCCAGCGGCTACCTGAAGGTACGGGATGGCAATCGACTTCACCGACTTGACGCGAGGATCGATAGACGAGTTGTAGTATTCGATAGCCTGCGCCTGCAGAGGGTCGGTGTGTGGCGATACTTTCTGGCTCCACTGTGACTTTGCAAGGTCCACCGCCCGCTCCACGTAAACAGATACATGGCCCTGATAAATATCCTTTGAGAACTGTGCCGTTGGGGTGTACACCTTCTCAGCCGTCTCGTAAAGCGATTGTGCATATGGCTTGATATGTTCGACGTGTTCAGCGGCGTACTTGTTGTAGTAAGGCGCTATGTAAGGCTCGAGGCGTGTTTTTGCGACTATGTAAGGCTGGCACACTCGCGGAGATTCATCATCAAGCTCGGAGAGAGACGACGGGCATCGAAATAGGGCTATAAAGATCGAGTACCAGATGAAGAGCCTGCAGAAGACGCAGCCTGTCAGTGAGCTGATACTTGCATAACTCTCCTCCCATCCTGGCAGGGGAGCTCAAGGCGTAAAAACAAGGGCAAACAAACATACCGCAAGAGCACGCTTATCGTGCTGCTGACTGGCCGGAACGGCTTCTTCCTCATTGCTCGCTGGCGCTCCTCCGCCATTACAGCTAGCTTGTCCAGAAATGCTGTTTCCTCGAAGGTCATGTCTTCCTCCTCTTCGACCGGCCTATCTGGATCCATCGTGGCTGCGACTTGAGGCCACGCTACCTCCAATCAGCAGCTGTGGCACAGGGTAATCGAGCGTGACGACAACCTCAGCAGCCAGCTAATTCATCCAGTCAGGCTTGTATCCTGTATCGCGTTGTGCTCGGTGCGGAGTAGAAAGTATTCGTGGTTTGCCGGCCGTCAGCTGTCTGGCTGCTGCCTGTCCTTGACCGTGTCGTCGAAGCAGACCTTGTCATCAGCAAGCTGCTATATAAACCTCCCGTCCAGGCAAGGGTGAAGGCAAAAAAGCTGGCGCAAGCAGACCGACCCTGCAACTCCAAGTCCCCGTGTGGTGGCGTCAAATCGCGTCGTACTCCTGTCCCTGTCGTATTCCTCGATCTCTCGACCAAGATCTCGTCCTTATTTTGCTTTGATGCAAGTTGAAGTCACGATTTTTTTTGCCTTTTTTTGCTTTTTTTAACCTTTTTTCGGCCTTGCCAAACTCTAAAACGCGCGTGCCGTTTGGTGGCGGATCCACAATCACATGTTTAGGCGCCCGAAGTGGCAAGTTTGTCCGGTACGCTTGTTCGTGTCTAGATACAACGTAGCCTGTATTCGAAACTAAAAAGACGTTATAAGAGACTAGTTATAGAGAAGAAACAATGTCGATGACAGTAGAAAAAGATACCTTTGGGTAACTTGTAGATTGCTGTTTGGATTGCTGTTTTGGCAAGTTTTTTTGCGTGATTCGTGGCCTGCCGATGACGTAGTAGCGGAATAAGATAAGTCCGCGTAATATTATCACGTGATCGTAATTTAAGCTTATCTGATGGCAAAATTACCGTAAAAAATACATGATTAGTCATCCCCAACGCCTTCCCTCGAGTCAAAAAAAAGGGTCGAAAAAACACACCTTGAGGACAGAATCATCGTTTCTTTTTTGATATCGAGCTACACAGCACCTTTATCTGCATGATAGACGGTATTTGGTAAGCATCACCGCCAGCTGTGTGCCTCCTCTTGCTCATGCACGGTGCTAACCCATTTTCTAGGGCCCCATTTTGAATTGGAGTGCGTCGCAGACCCGACAGCTATTGTTCATGCCACCTCACACCAGGCTCCGTTTCGTCGGCCGTGACGCAGCACTGAGGTGATCGAGGGCGGTTGCAGTCTAGCGAGATAGTACCAACCTGCGAGGACGACTAGTAACTCAAAGCACCCATGGACTGGGAGCGCATGGATCCCGCCGAAGGCCGGTCGGTCACCCCGGATATCATGAACGATCCGGCCTTCGAGACAAACTACGGACAAAGAGCAGGAGGCCCAGAAGAAGCAGACACCTGCCGGATATGTCGTGGAGAGGGGACCGAAGACGAACAGCTGTTTTACCCCTGCAAGTGCAGTGGGAGCATCAAATTCGTCCATCAGAACTGTCTCATGGACTGGCTCTCCCACTCACAAAAGAAGCACTGTGAGCTGTGCAAGACCCCTTTTCGATTTACGAAGCTTTATGACCCGAATATGCCCAGCGAGTTGCCTGTACCGGTATTTGTGAAGGAACTGTTTCTACATGCTTGCCGGGCGATACTTACGTGGCTGCGGTTTGGCCTGGTTGCCTTTGTGTGGCTCGGGTTGCTCCCATGGTCGATGAGAACTATATGGAGAGGTCTGTTCTGGCTTGCAGACGGAAGGTGGCCCGCTCCAGACACAATACAGAGGCCTATTTCATCGGTTGCCAACAGAAGTGTGGCATGGCTAGCTGCTCATGGAACATCTCCTGCGACACCAACCCTTGCATGGGACATACCTAGCATGTCCGCTGCTACCGGGAGCGTTCTGGCGGAAAGCGCTCCACCTCAGAGTGCTCCTTCGATGCTCAACTTTTCCACCGGCGAACCGTTGATATACTCCATTGCGAAAACCTTCCTCTCTAATGCCTTCTCCGCCCCCACATCTCCGAGTGCGAACCAGTCAGCTGCTGCTGCACCAATCAAGCGCATACGACAGCCATCTTGGCTCTCAGATATGACCTTTTTAAATAATGTCACCTCTTCACCAACACTGAATAACATCATCATCGATACCTTGGAAGGGCAGCTTATCACCCTGCTTGTTGTCATATCTTTTATCCTTGTGTTTTTGATTAGAGAATGGGTTGTCCAACAGCAACCCGCAATTAACATCCCTGAAGGCGAGGGGGAGGCTCTGGGTCAGCTCCTAAACCGTGCCATGGAGCAGAACGTGGCAGAGCAAGAGGAAGAAACAGAAGATGACGAAGAGGAGGAGGACGAGGACGAAGAAGAAGAAGATGAGGAGGAGGGTGAAGAGATTGCTGGTGAAGTCGATGCCCATGAACCTGAAGAGCATCAACAGCAAGAATCGGATCGTGAACCTCAAATTGGACTCGATGATAATACCCCTGTGCAAAGAAGAGGCATTTTCGATGATGACGCCTTCCCTGATGCGCAGACATTTAATCCTTTTGCTCCAAACTACGCTGGCCCATACCCCGAAAATTCACCTTACTCTCGCCATGCCCGCGCACAAGATCCGCCAATATTCCGTGGCAATTTCCACAATCATAACCGACCATTCCAGATACCAGCTGATGCTTCGAACCGACCTAGTATGTGGGATGAACCGCAGACAAATTTTACAGGTCAATCAGAGGGTAGCCGCCCCAACTACCCCGAATTTGGAGCGAGCGAGCGTAGGGAAAACGCAGACGATAGGCCTGATCAGGGTTCTTCATCTAGAACGACTATCGCTGCTGCGCAAGAGAACATGCCCCCTTTTAACCCATTTACTGGGCAGGCCCCCCAGTGGAGGTTCCCCGACTTCGATGAGGAACATACGCCATCGACTGAGGAGTCAAGCCATCAACCACCACGAGCAATTTCTACCGCCACGGACGCATATGATAGTCATGCTCATGCGTCATTCAACGAGCACGATCACACAGACATGGAAGAAGCCGCAGAAACACCTAGTCTAGATACCCAGCTTCCGGACTCCCAACTGGGGAATGTGGATAACAATGCCTTGAACTCAGAAGTTGCTGCCCCGACCCATCGTGCTGCTGACAATGAATTACAGAATGAACCAAATTCTGAGAGACCTACACAAGAGCAAGCAGAAAATGCTTCATCAGCACAGCCCGCTGCAGCTGCTCCCAGAGAGGAACTGCTGTATACTCCTATAATCCCACCCAGAAACTTTTTGGCCAGAGCGTTCAACTTCTTCTGGGGTGCCGTTCCAATTGTGCTCCCAGAGCCGGAAGACGCGGAGGGTGGTGCTGAGCGCCAGCCTGCCCTTATCCGCCAGCACCAACGTCACAGACGTGGCAACGATGCAAACGAAGCTGCTAATCGTGCCCGTGCTGCTGCCGCCGCCAACGACGCTGTGGACAACGACCCTGAAGCAGTTGAAGACGTAGATGACCTTGAAGGCGTCATGGAACTTATTGGCATGCACGGGCCTTTGTTTGGCCTGCTGCAAAATGCGGTGTTCAGTGCGCTTTTGATATCGTTTACCGTCTCCGTTGGCATTTGGCTACCCTACCTCTGGGGTAAGATTGCTCTGGTGATGCTAGTCAATCCTATCGGATTATTTATCAGAGTTCCCCTAACTGCTATCTCTATGTTGGCTGATATCACCATCGACCTTATCCTTGGATGCTTTGCATATGTGGTGTACCTCATGAATGTTCTGGTTAGGGCAATTTTAGCCCAGCTAGGCGTATTCATTCCTAGTCTCGGGAAGCTCTCTGCAGCCAACTCCATTACCTTCGCCTCTCTCTCCTTGATGGAAGGCAGCAGCCAAAGACTAACAGGAATTCTCACCACGGTGTTCACATTCCATGAATCCGACCTCCCCATGTTCTCCGCCATATCGCACGAAGCCCTAAAGCTCCACCAAGCCAGAGTCGCCTATTTTGGCAGCATACTTTTCAATGGCGGCAAGGCTCTACTCCGTGATATACCCTTGAGCATAATCCAATCAGAGAGCCCTCTTTTGGTAGCTAAAAACTTCCTTATCAGTGATTTTCCTCGGATCCCCGGCTTAATGATGACCGCAATGAAGAGCACTGGAGGTGTTTTTGGCATCATCAACTGGCTAACAGATTGGTCCACTTCGAATGCGCTGATGCAAAAGTCTTCAAACTATGAGCTTAGTCGCTGGAGTTCTAAAGATCGACTTATCGCCATAATTCTAGGATACTGCTTTGCTTCCCTTCTGGGCATTGCATACCTACGTATATCTGGCGTTATATCCGGAACTCGCCGTGACGGACACAGAAGAGATGGTCCTGTTGCTGAGATTCTGCGCCAGGCAGGTGGTGTGATGAAGGTTATCGTTATAATTGGGATTGAAATGATTGTCTTCCCATTGTATTGCGGTATCTTGTTAGATATTGCTTTACTGCCTCTCTTTGGAAACGGCCTATTCGCTTCTCGGGCAGCATTTACTTTGGAGTCCCCGTTAACGTCTCTGTTCGTCCACTGGTTTATCGGAACCTGTTATATGTTTCACTTTGCGCTATTTGTCTCAATGTGTCGAAAGATCATGCGCAGCGGTGTTCTATGTGAGTTGCTACCCAATCCTTGCCTTTTTTATATTTTGAGAAATCAATGCTAACCCCGGCAGACTTCATTCGAGATCCCGATGATCCTACATTCCACCCAGTGCGTGATGTTCTTGAACGAAGTATCACCACGCAACTTCGAAAGATTGCATTCAGCGCCCTGGTATACGGAGCGTTGGTTGTTATCTGCCTGGGTGGGGTTGTTTGGGGCTTGTCCCTTACATTTAGTGGAATTCTTCCGGTGTACTGGTCTTCGAACGAACCAGTTCTAGAGTTCCCAGTGGACCTTCTTTTCTATAATTTTGTCATGCCCGTCGCAATCCGAGCAATAAAACCTTCCGATGGATTGCATACAATCTACGACTGGTGGTTCCATGAGTGCGCTCGAGTCCTTAGGCTCACACATTTCCTTTTTGGAGAAAGAAAGCCTGATGAGGAGGGATATTATGAATACCTTACATGGAGGGATGCTTTTGTTAGCTTGTTTGCCAAACAAAAGCCCCAGCCTAGACGTTTCCTCCGTAACGGAAGATTCGTCCGGGCACCGGCATCTGACCAAGTGAGAATACCTAAGGGTGAGCAGGTATTCGTTGAAGTCAATGAAAAGAACGAACGAATAGACGGAAAGCCGGATAATGATGACGGCCGCCATGGCAAGAAAAATACCATGTACTCTCCGGTTTATGTCCCGCCGAATTTTCGTGCCAGGATTTTCGCCTTCTTGCTACTTCTATGGCTTTTTGCCGCAGCTACGGGCGTTGGGATTACAATAATACCCCTTATACTTGGACGACGGATGTTGTCGTGCATGTTCCCACCTCATATCCGTGTTAACGATATATATGCGCTGTCAGCTGGTGTTTACGCCATTGGAACAGTATATTATGCATACCTACACTTCCATAAAATATCTAGCACTCTCCGTGAAGGTATCCAGCCATACATGAGATCTCCGAAACAATTACTCTACAAAGCCTGCAACTTGGCACTTCGCGCCGTTCGAGTTGCCTACCTGGCTGCCGCAGTTGGACTGTTCCTCCCTTCCGTTTTTGCCTTAATTACAGAGTTCTATCTTTTAATACCACTACATACTTATCTAAGCCCATCAGAGACGCACGTTATATACTTCGTGCAGGACTGGACTCTCGGAATCCTATACGCTCGGATGGCTGTTCGATTCCTGCTCAGAAAACCTATGTCTCTTCCGGCCATGGCGTTGCGCGGCATTATTCGGGACGGCTGGACCAATCCCGATATATGGCTAGCAACAAGAGTCTTTTTCATCCCTGTGGCTATCGCTGTCTTCGTTGCTACTACCTGCCCACTCCCCATCGGCTTTATTCTCAACTCCACTTTCTTCTCCGAATCTTCTTCAACAGTCCACTCTCAAGTCTATCGATACTCCTATCCTGCATTCTTGGTATTGATTCTTCTTCTCTGGGGGTTACATTTGCTTCAACGACAAATTGGTGTTTGGCGAGTTAGCATTAGAGATGATGTATATATGATCGGGGAGCGGCTTCACAATCTCGGCGAAAAACGTGCAAGAAATGTTGGCACCGCTAGGAGGATGATTACTTCGTGAACATCTCTATTTATTTATGTATACATATATTGTTTCCGGCTCTACGTTTACAAGGTGGCGTTTGACCATGGCTTTTCATCTGCTTTCTGTTCTTCCGATTTTATACAGACCACGTGAATGATACAGGTGCAATGTTCATATGACTAATTAAATTCGTTTACTTGCTTTTTAAATCAAGACGCACTAAAATAACTAGAGCATGTCACATAATAAGCTTTACAGAAAGCTTATCTTGTTTTGCGGCTCTGCTACCCGATGGCTTCCAAGGTTCTCGTGGTTGATGTTGACTTATATAAAGTAGATACTCTATACTTGTCAGCAGTTAAGCCGTATGCTACCATTGAGGCTTGCCAGTCTTTTCTTTTAGGTATTAGAAAGCGTCAACACATGGGCTATATCTATATGTTATACTATTATTTCTTCTAAGTGAAGTTACTTTTAGTAGGTACGAGTTGCTACCCAAGACGGTGCCCTAAGAGACGGCAGGCAGCAGCTGTATGTAGAAGAGAAGCAGAGTCTGGCGATAAAGTAAAAAGAGATTAAAGTACAGAGCGTCCAAATTTAGCGCCTAATGTAGACTGCATTAGTTTACCCTTGTCTACTCTATCAGGATACAGCTATGATATTCATCCGGGAAACGATACACAATGTAGATAATCCCACATACATATCCCTATTTGCCTATCTATTATTATGAGGAAATAGACTGCCTTCATGTCTTAGTCGTACATAAACGTGCGCTAGTAGGCTCCCCACCCAAACGAGTCTGAGCCTAGATGAATTGTGATTAGCAAGGAAAATGATTAGAATAGTGAATGTGACGTTCCAAAGATGCTTGGATCTAACCTGTGGGTAATAACCCGGCTTGATTTACTTTGTTTGCTAAGGGTGATATTCACATAGATATACATCTGAGAAATTCGCTATATAGTTAGGCCATCGCCGGGTTAACTCTCTCCAGAGAATCAGTTAACTACCTGTTAACGTTACCGCCTAATTTTCCCGGCTTAGCAAACGCACGCTACCGTCTGCAGGTTCATGGGCTGAACGCTGTTGTTTCTTGCATATTACTATGTGGCTGAACAGGAAATGCAGGCTCGAGATCTTTGACAGGGGTGTGGGTGGCTGCCTTGCTGCCTTGACCGCTTGTCCGGAGCCTGGAAAGGCTCTCTTCCGGGCGTTCTCTCTTACCCTAGCATCTCACCCGTAGCCGCCTGAACCTCCACTAACCATCGCTTCGCCGCAATAACTAGCAGCCTATTCCACTTGTATTACTATTAGCCTACAACGTGGCAATATCTGTGAGCAGAGTCGTAATACGCACGACGATCCTGTACAGCCTCGGCGGTGCCTTGCTTACAGAAAATGACTCTGGAACAGGGCAAGCTGGCCCAAGACATAGAGCTACAACGGAACCAAGGAACAATACACGATAAAAATAGCCAGGAGGAGACGAATGCGGAGCTAGATGCCGCGTGCCAGGATGAACATGCCAATGACGGGGATTATCCCCACGGTATGAAGCTTGCGGTGATTGTCGGCTCTCTGGCCGCTTCGGTCTTCTTGGTGGCCCTGGTAAGGATACCTAGCATCGGAGTGGTTTTTTTGGAGGAAAAGCAGGTTAATACATATTCTTCTAGGACGAGACTATCATCACAACTGCAATCCCGAAAATCACTGATGATTTTCATTCCATAAATGATATTGGGTGGTATGGATCTGCGTAGTAGGTAGATATAATTTACATCTCTTTTAGATGATGAAACATGCTCACTGATTATAGCTTTATGACTTTTGCGGCCTTTCAACTTATATTCGGAAAACTATTTTCGTTTTATCCTATCAAATATGTCTTCCTTGCCTCGGTTGCCATCTTCGAAGTCGGCTCCCTGATCTGTGCCACCTCTTCAACCTCTAATGCCTTCATTGTAGGCCGTGCCTTCGCAGGCTTAGGGAGTGCTGGCATAAATGCAGGATTCATCATGTAAGCCTCAAAACCCTTTCCTTTCAAACAGACGTAAACTCATTATAGATAGTATCCTGGCAAGCAGTCTTCCACTGGCGAGGAGACCGATATTTGTCAGCTCGTACAGTGGCATGTATGGCATCGCCTCCGTCGTAGCACCATTATTAGGTGGAGCGTTCACTACAAAAATGACGTGGCGTTGGTGTTTTTATATAAATTTGCCAATTGGTGGAGCTGCTGTACTTGCGATGGCATTATTCTTCCATCCGCCAGCCGGTGCAAAGAAGCCATCGACCACTTGGCAGCAAAAGCTTGGTCAGGTTGATCTCTTTGGAACCGCTGTGTTGGTCCCAGGAATCATTTGCTTGCTTCTCGCTCTTCAGTGGGGTGGCTCGGTATACAAATGGAATACCGCTCCACCAATCACCTTACTATCGGCAGCAGGAGTGGCTGGTCTAGCTTTTGTTATAGTCCAGGTCTGGAAGCAGGAGAGCGCTACTGTGCCTCCTCGAATTATCAAGCAGCGCAGCGTGGCATTCAGTGCCTTTTATGTTTTCCATGCAGGGGGAGCGCTCAACGTCATCCAATACTTCGTTCGTGTCCTTGTTATCTTCTGCATTTCGCCCACTAACGGCTTTCTAGATACCCATTTGGTTTCAAGCTATTCAAGGCGTTACAGCGTTTGACTCGGGCAGCCGCATTCTGCCAACCACCCTCGGAACTGTGGTCTTCTCTCTCGTTGCTGGCATCGGTGTTGCAAAATTCGGATATTATACACCTTTTATGATCCTAGGTGCTGTCTTTCTAGTGACTGGGGCCACCCTGATAACGACATGGCAAGTTTCATCGCCCGCTACGCAATGGATAGGGTACCAGCTCGTATTCAGCGCCGGCGCCGGCCTTGGTATTCAACAATCTCACACGGCTGCTCAAACAGTTCTCGCGTCTGTAGATGTGCCGGTCGGGGCCGTTGTCATGATCTTTGCTCAAATTCTTGGCGGCGCAATGTGGCTATCTGTAGCACAGACTGTGCTTACAAGCCAGTTACTTAAAGGCCTTGTTGATGCTGTTCCAGGTATAGATCCCAAACTTGTGCTTGACAAGGGAGCAACAGGTTTCCGGGAAACGGTTAGGCCGGAATACCTGGGTGATGTGTTAAAGGTATACAATTTTGCCTTGACAAGAACAATATATTGTGGAGTTGCTCTGGCTGCTGCAGCACTAATTGCATCGATGGGAATGGAGTGGAAATCAATAAAAAGGTATCAAGCGGTGAGCTAACTTGAAACATGATACTATACGTTGCAAAGTTGACTTTCCCAGCTCAATGCATTTTTTATATGCTTGTATATTTATATCAAGAGGTGCTAGTATATAGAAAGCTGGTATAACAGTAGTAATGATTTTTCATTATATAGTTCTATAGTTAGAAATTATAAAGACTTAAATGCTTTTAATCGTAGATAACAGTACTTTCTAAAACTGAAGTAATGCCATAGAGCATAGTGTGCGCCAAGCCTACGGAGTACCTCACGTCTAATATACAATCTAGTGGTCTGTGCAGGCGCGGAAAGCACGTGCTTTAAGCTTAACTGGACAGAGTTATGCACGTGATGAGGCTGACCCGCGGTCTATCCCTTTATGGAAAGTTCTTCCGGATCAGCGGGACTTTAGGCTGCATGAATCTCTGGTTGCTGATTGGCCAGCGCTAGGCAGCAATGTTCTGGGGCTTTGCCGATATATATAGACGACAACCCTGACATCCCAGGCGCAGGCACAGCCTCACAAGAAGAGGACCGCGATTCTCGTGATATAAGGCTGATATATATTTCTCTAAACTGCCTACGACACTGCGATTCATCCCACTTCACGAACATTGCATCTCGCTTTCACTACTGAGCGCTCTGCGGTAACTCCGACATAATGTCGGTCCTCAGACACGGAAGCGCCTTTCTGCAGCGCCGGCTGACGAAGCTGTATACCGACACAAAATCATCCTGTGAGAGCGTTACAACAGCTGCCAGACCGAACGATGACCCCGAACTTGTCTCTCTCAACCGTCACTTCCGCACTCAAAAGGATAGGCTCCTCGCGTGGGGCCTTGACTGGAGCGACGCCAGTGCAGCGCAGCCAAACGATATCGACGAGGCCCTGGCTGAAGCTGGATTCAGTGATGTCGTTGCAAGTGTCATGTCGTCTATCCAAAAGCTCCTCAATGAAGCAGAACGACTACAACATCCTAACCCTGCAGCTATATCATCGGATGGAATAGGGAGCAAGGCTGCTGATGGAAGTTATACTACGAGCACACCTGGTGGTGTGAAGACAACTTGGACGGAAGCAGAGATATCCCGATCTAAAGTACTGCTGGAAGAGTTAACATCCCATATTGATACCCTTTACGACTTGTCAGCATCTAGGAGGGACATTAGTATGGGCATAAGCTCAAGTAACCCCCAAAGCGAGAAATATGCCCACCACCGTGGCCTATCAAAACAGTCCAAAGAGGCTAAGGAAGCCCTTCGCCCAAAATTGCCAACTTCGAAATCTGCCCCCAGCAAAACAACACACCATCATGAGATTGCATCAACTAAAGCTACTCACGATATGCCTGCAGGCAGCCCTTTCATCAATATGCACATTGATCACACTATGACGTTGGGACATGCGGTATTCCAACAACAGCAACAACAACAACCATTCCATACTCAACCAAATGAGGAATTTTTTCTTGATCGCAACGCTTTGGTCCTTTCTAAAGAGCGTGTCTCACATGCAACAACCCCCCCACCATACGAAGCAGTCGCTGCCTCGACTAGCTCAAGAGCAATGGGATATATAAATAGAGATGCAGTTCCTTCTTGCATAGCTCGAAGCTGTACAAGTGCTTCTGTCCCAGTGATGGTCGAATTTTTACCGATCTTGATGGAGGCTCAACAATCCCTCGCTCAACCATTAAGAGAACGGTTAAAGTCCATAGCTCAAACACTTAATCGTTTGATTGATAATTCAAGGGTCTCTCATCTTGGTTTGCTGAGGTTTATAGGTTACTATATTGACATGACCTATTCCCGATATGGTTTCGTCTACCATACACCTATTGATAATTTCCCGTTTTTAAAACAGCCTTCTGATACCATCCAACCAAGGTCATTGGTTTCCCTTCTTCACAACGGTGATGATAAACAGGAGGGCCCTATCCCAAATCTTGAAGATCGATTGGCCTTGGCATACAATCTGCTGTTGTCGGTTCTACATCTACGCAGCCAAAACTTAGTCCATGGCAGCATCAACAGCAATAACATTATGATATTCCCAGGCGTTCATCTATCCAATACTGGGTCCATTAGCAACGGGAGCTTGGACTACCGCCGACCTTACTTTACTTCATTTAGCCAGTTTGACAGTGACGACAAAAATGCCCCGCTGGAACCCTTGTCCTCGAGTATGTATCGCCACCCAGAGGACAGGAGAGCCTATGGCGATAAATCAGCTTGGGCGTACGACCTATACAGTCTTGGGCTGGTCCTACTAGAGATTGGCCTCTGGACACCGATCGGAAGGTTATGGAAGCTGAAATACAACAACTCTATGTTCAAGTCCAGGATTGAAAATGTCTATGTCAAGAAGCTAGCAGCTAAGTGCGGCGGCGCTTATATGCAAGTTGTCCAACTTTGCCTTGACGCTCCCAACTTCCATTTGTTGCCGGAGCCAATGGTCGATTTAGGCCTTAGAATTCCACAGACATACCATTACCCCTGGCATGACCCAGGACAATCAAATGACTGGAACACATTCTCGAAGGATTTTGTTTATACCATTGGTAAAATCCTTTGGAGATGCTGTGGCATTGATTTCTTCTCCCCACCTCCAGCTTCTGACCTGGAAGACTCTCTCCCTCCCCCCTTGGGGCTTGGGCCAGAGTCATCATCAGTCCAGCAAATCCCACAAAACGAAGGAGATATGTATTTTATGGAGCCAACCGTCTCAATTGATGTTCCATATGACATCTCTGCCAATCCAGACATGAAAAACATAGGCGAAATGTGTGAAGGTAATGAGAAAAAGGCCCGGAAACGTTCTATGAAAAAGTGGTCAAATGTGGAAATACCTGACGAACACCTTCAGGCCTGGAATAAGGCTTTGATGCCGAAACTGAGCAAACTTCTACAAAAAATCCTGAAAGACTCACCAGAATCGTGCAGCGCAACACTCCTTGTTGCAGGTGAAACCGCAGATACGGCTAAGACCACTATATGTGTCACATGTACCAATGTCAGAAAGGTCCGAGCAGCTCTGAAGAAGTACTTTGAGTACGACCGCGAAAACTGGAATCTCATTGTTATTCGTGGAGATATCAAACGATCAAAGGTCCCACGGAAGAAGCGTCGGAAGCCGAAGTTAAATCAGGGCATTATAGCCCCAGAAACCTCAAAATCTGACTTCAATTCCTATTACCAGAGCAAACCACTATGCGGCGCTTCTATTGGTGCCTTCCGCTACGATGAACACTTGCCACCAGTTTCTTACGGTGGTGCAATCATTGTGGATGATGTACCGTATGGGATGACAGTCCACCATATGCTTGATACTCCCTGTGATGACGATGATGATTACGAAGATGACTACGATTATGGTGATGAAGACTACCCTCCGCGCTCCGCAGCAAACTATCCGTTCGGACCTGAGCGTACTGACCGCGAGACCTCATTCACCTGGGGTGAGGCCAATATTCACGAAGACGGCTATCCCTTAGAATTCTCCGATGACGAGGACGGTGACGACGACCAGTCTATAGCACATAGCCTTGATGAAACATTTGATGACCACTGGCTCTCTGACAGCTACTCCAGTGACGAGGGGGACGATTATGGTGGCATTGATGATGATGATGACACAGCTTCAATTGGTGATACTGTCGGTGTTGATCCTGATCAAGAACCTCGAATCATGGTAACACAACCTGCTCTCGACGATATTCATGAAGATTTTTTTCCCAATCCCGAAGATAGGGACGACGAACACCTTGCATCCCATTCCCTAGGCTATGTCCATGCCTCTTCCGGAGTCCGAAGGTGGACTAAAGATGGCATCAAACACGAAGTGGACTGGGCACTTATCAAGGTCGATCTTAACAGAATGGAAGCCAAAAACCTGGTCCCAGTTTCATCACTGCAGCCAAGTACTTCAAGACTGAATCGGCGACAACCATACAATGGCAACAACGGAGCAAGATCGTTCCGGACTCTAACCAAAATTGCAAAATTCGATGACCTGGGCGGCCAGAACGTACAGTGTTGCGGCCGAACAAGTGGTTTCCAGAGTGGAAAGATTTCCAAGGCTCTTACTCTGGTAAAGATGTACGGTCGTCAATCCTTCTCGACCAGCTTCAGTGTGGATGGCAATTTTGGAGGTATGATTGTTTCCAATTTCTTTTACTAAAAGACGAATAATAGTAATAATCTCTGCTATAGTTCCTGGGGATTCCGGTGCTTGGGTGTTCAATGACAAAGGCCAGGTATGTGGCCACGTCCTTGCATGGTCTGAAAAGAGTCGAAGTGCCTACATTGCACCTATGGAGATTCTTCTCAACGACATCGCTCGTACGCTTTGCGCATTCAGTGTGAAGCTCCCCGATGGGGATGAAGAGATATGCTATCGTGACAGCTCGCCGCCGCCACCGTTGCGAGGAATTCCTCCTCCGATGCTCTCTGTTCACGCAACGCAGCCCCTTTCGTCGCCAGCTCCGGTGATGGCTGAACGCCTTCCAGTTGATTTGCAAAAGCTGACTCTTGACCTGGAAGAACCGCCACGCAACAATTCACGAATTGGGAGTGTGAAGAAGAAAGATGTTTCAGGGACGTATAGAGCTCGCAGTCCCCTCATGCCGCATGCCTGCATGGAGCGACAGATCGCTTGAATATATTGTATGATATTTAGCTGTTTATATGAATACCCAATATACCCTGTTCTTTTTGGAACTATGTCATATTTTTATCTCTTTTAACAAATGCGAGAGTATTTACCTACCCAACTATATTGCCGTACAGATGTTGAATTGAGTAAATATTTTGAATGAAAATCCTTCGCAGAGCCCAAGAGCAATGTGAGAATATATGTGTATGCTTACGGGGATAGTTACACATGAATATTGAATTGAATGTAAGGTAATTAAAATTCGTCCTGTTCTAATTTTATGAAAGAGTAACTATCTAATCTCATTAACTCCGGACTTCATCTCGTAATAACATAAACCATTAACCGGGACCAAAAAGAACAGAATATACAGATGCAAACATACAAAGGGAGAAAAAAATCATGGAACAAAAAGGTGCAATGCAGAAGTGCAAGATGATTTAAGTACATTGAAGCCACAGAAAGGATAACCGGCCGGTCGTTACCCCGTGGGGTCCAGGTCATCATTAAAATTAAGATGAGCCCAAGTATTTCAGGACAACAGCCTTCTCAGCGTCAGGAAGCATGTCGAGAACCTTTCGTACACCGCGGAGACCGCCTTCCTTGTTGCCCATGAGCAAAGAAGCAACTTCAGCAGCAATTCCGTCGGTCTTGAGAGCCTCAATCTTCTCGTAGACGTTCTTCTTGTTTTCTTCATACCAGATGGCGACTTCACGATCATTTGACTCGAATTCATCATCGGAAATTCCAGTCCAGGCCTTAAGTTTGTCAAGGTTCTCGTCACGCTGGGTGCGTGGGGTGCTGATGCTAGACACATTGGTTCGGGCTGGAGAGTCGGAGTGAGTTGGAATGGGGGATGAGGGAGAGGGTGACGAGGCTTGAGAACTAGCGGTGGAAGGAACAGTTGTGGTGGCCATGCGCTTAAGGATGATTTCTTCGCTTAGACGACGGCGGAGACGCCAGTAGAAGAAGCGACGGGCATTCTTCCATTCAAGGGGTTGGCGGATGGTGCCCTTGGCTTCCATACGGCCCGCACGGTCATGAAGGTCAGCGAATTGCAAGGCAATTTGCATGTAGACTGGGAGGAGTCTCTCTTCGCGCTCGGTCATCTGGGCCTTGATTTCGGATAGCTTCTCTGGACTGTGGGACTTGTCCTTGAGAGATTCACGGAGAGCACCATATTCAGGATCCAGACGGGCCATAGTATCAAGCTGCTTATCGCGACGGTATTTGATGTTGACGATACCCTCGGGCTCTAGGATACCACCACGGGCCTCAACATCGGCATACATCTCCATCTGATCAGGGTTGATGGTTGGATCGATAACGACCCAAGAACCACCACGGAGTTCACCGTGTGGTGGAATGTATACGAAGATTGGCTGCTCGTACTTAACAAGGGCATCGACGATGTAGGAACCGTATTTGAGAACCTCGTTGTACATGTCACGTTGACCACCAGAGAAACCACGCCAGTTAGCGAGAATCATGACAGGCAACTGCTCACCATTGTTGAAGTCCTTGAGAGCCTGGGCCGTCTTGAAGGCAGAGTTAGGGTACCAGACACCTCCAGCTTCGGTGGACAAAACTTCCATGGAATCAGGGTTGGCAGGGTCAGCAGGAGTGACACAGTCGACAGATCGGGTTTCAACGGCAATGACACCCATAGGGATACCGCCAAGTCTAGCACGACCGACAACAACAGTTCTAGCCCAGCCACCAAGAGCCTCTTCGAAAGAGCCCTTGTCAAAGAGACCGGAAAGGAATCCTTCATCATCTTCTTTACCGCTGATGATCCAGCGGACATCGTATGGCTGTCGTGGTGGAGGGCAGTAAGTGATGTCTCGGTTCCAGGAGTCAGCGGATGGACGGATTGGAATTGGAGCACCCTTCTTCTCAGGGATGAAAGACATCCATTCAACAATTTTGGTGATACCAGCAAAGTCATCGTTGGCAGTCATATGCGAGACACCATTCTTGTACATGATTTGAGTACCACCAAGCTGCAAGTTGGAAGTATACACTTCACGGCCAAGGAGTTTGTTGATAGCTGGTGCACCAGTGAGGATGATGGGTTGACCTTCAACCTGAATGGCACGATGACCTAGACGAACGAGGTAAGCACCAATTCCGACAGAACGGCAAGTAACAAGGGTAATAGTGAAGATGTCCTCGTATGCCTTAGAGGTGGCACCGGCAATCAAACCGGAACCTCTGAGACACTCAACACCAAGACCATCCTTGGCTCCAATGATGGTGGTGATCTTGTAGCGCTCTTCACCATCCTCGGTGATCAACTCAGTGATAAGATCCTTCTTCTTCTCCTTCTCGAGGCGCTTCTCAACCTCTGGGGTGAGGTAGAGATACTTGAATCCGTTCTCTGGCTTCTCAGGGTTGTTCCAAGCAACGTTGAACTGAGACATAAGTTCATCAGCCATGCCGATACGGGCACCAGAGTTAGCAGACAGGTAGATTCTGGGAATGCCCAGCTTTCTAGCCAATTCAGTACATTGGTAGAAGAACTTGTCTTCCTGTGGGCCGAAAGAACCAATCTGGTACGTGATATCGTTGGCAACGACAATGAAGCGTCTTCCACGAGGATACTCTGGCGTCTTAGCAGTGATCAACCATCCGACCATACCGTGGGTGTTAGTGCCTGGTTCACGAGAGACTTCTGCGAGGTTGTCCCTGTCATCGAGAACAAGTTCAGAATACTCGATGCAGCTGCCTGGTGCAGGTCTCTTCTCAGCCAAGGCAGGGTGAGCGGCAATGGCAGTGGCCCAGCTGTTCTGGAAGGCTTGACGGAACAGCTCTGGGAAATCGTAAACGTACTGAGTACCCATGAGATGGGCCTTGTAACGCTTAGGCTGGAGCCATTCCTTGGTAGGATAAGGAGTAGAGACAGGACGCAAGTGCATAGATCCGATCTTGGTAGTGCCGCCGATCGAGTGGAAGATCCATTCACCCTTTTCAGACTTACGCTCCACGTAAAGCTCAACCTGGATGATATAGCCGGAAGTGTTGGTGATGACAACACGGAGTGGGTATGGTGCGCCAGTAGCCGGGTCAGTGCAGAGAATACGAATTTCGGCACCAGTGACACGCAGACGCCAGAGACGGCGTCCGAAACGTTCAAGGAAGCCAGCCAGGGCCTTCTCGACATCAGTTGGCTGCAAGGGGAAGACAGGAGTGAAGTTGATGAAGATATGGTTGAGATCAGAGTTGTTGTTACCAATGATCTCAAGTGCGTCAAGGATGTCAGTCATCAAGTTGTCGGCTTCAGAAATAAGATACTCCGCAGTAGGGATGTCATCACGTAGTCTGCCTGGACGAACAACGGCACGAGTGAAGTAGCGCTTGTCAACTGCATTATCACTGAGCTCTGGTCCCTTGCCAATCGCCTCGTAGACGTGCAAGTTACGATTTTCAGTGAAAACAGGCTTGATCTTGAATTTGGATAGACGGCCAAGTTCAAGCTGGAAAGCAAGTGCTGGCTCGCTGTGACGGATACTCACGTCTTCAGCATAGGTAGGTCCACGGAAAGTGAAGTAGCCGGGATAAGTGCCATCCTCATGACCGCAAACAAAAGTGAGGCGTCGAATTCCACGAGCAAGCAATTCGCCCTTTGCATCGTTGACAAGAGCAGTGAGACGAGAAGAAAGCTCGGAGTCATCCAGGTCTTCAACATCACGGATAGCAATGTTGCAAACACCGGTGAGTTCTTCATCGGGGTCAGAGCGTGGTACAGGCTTGCTACGGTCAGGCAAGGTACCGTTCTTCTTTGGCTTGGCTGCAGCGGGAGTGGAACGTGGGAAGACGCTAAGAGCCTTGTAGAGAACTTCCTCTGCCTCATCGAGATAGTGCACTGGGATTAAGACACCCTTTCGAGTTGCCTCATCGGGACCAAGTGCCTTGTTGGCGAAGGCCATATCACTGATAGATCCGATCTTCTTGAAGGGGTTGATCTCCGAGATGGGTGTTCCTGGAACAGACGAGGTGGTTGATTGAGAAGACAAACCGAATTCAGAATGAGGAACTTTGCGCAGGATGAAATCCCAGGAGACGAAGAATGGTGCATCACCGGTGTTGTGGTATTCGATACCCTTCAGAGCGTAGGCACGATAAGCACGGCGAACATATACTTCCAATGCAGCGAGGGACACCCATTGGTCATTGTGGGCGAAGAAGAGAGGCAGAACGTCGAAGACGGTGTACTTGGAGTCAACAACTTCCTTGAGAACGTTAAGATCAGGTTCTCGGTGGTCCCAGCCGGTCTCACCGTACTTAGATTCAATCACAGATGAGCGCAGGATGTGCTCCATCTGGGCAACTCGCTCCTCGAGAGAAGGCAGAGCACACTGAATAAGCACCTCACGAGCCTTGAGAGCAACCTTGGCAGTAGCGCGAGACTCAAGTTCTGCCAACTTGCGAAGGATAGTCTTGAGGTAGTTTGCGACGTTGCCGACATTAGGCTTGTTGGGGCGGTACATGTCAAGGATGGCAAGGATGAGGTTGTTCTTGGATCCGATCTTGCTATGCGATAAAACAGTCTGAATGACCTTTGAGATATCCTCCTTGTTCTCGTCACGGAGTTTCAAGATGACACTCTCGTCACGGGTGTTGCCTTGAGCAAACAAGCGCTCGACTTCCCAGTATTGCTCAAGTAGGGAGACAATGATCTTGTACTCCTGGACCTTGAGGCCGTCCTTGTAACGCTCAATAATCTGAAGGAGGGGAGCAATGGTGGCCCGCAGAGCTTCGGCATCAGCGGCGGCCTTGACATTCTCGTCAATGAAGCGGGTGACAGCCTTGAGAAGCTGGGCAGCTGGGAAATCTGCTTTGCGAGCCTTTGCACGCTCAATAACCTGAGTCATCTGAGCATCGAGTTTCTGAGGCATGCGAGAGTGAAGAGCAGAGGCTTCAGCGTTCCATTCTCCATAGGGAAGTTCTGGGTTGCGCAAGACCTGAATGAGTTCGCTCAGGGTGCTTCCCATGATAACCTGGTTGTCGTATCCGAGGAGAATGTCCTGAAGGGTCTTAAGGAGAACCGTGAAGCGCTGTGGGGGCTTGTTGCCGAGCACTTGAGGTGGTCCCAACTCAGGTAGCTGACCAGTGAATGGAGATGCATGCTTGACTCGGGAAGGGTCATCAAGGGCAAGGATACCGAGAATATCGCCAGCTTCAAGGGTGGCTCCGGGCTGCTTGATGAATTGGACGACACCATCCTCCTGGGCGATCAAAGGCATGTACATCTTCATGACCTCGACTTCGGCGAAAGCCTCACCAGAGCGGATATGCTCGCCATTCTCGACAGTAAACTTAACCAGCTTACCGGGGCTGGGCGTTCGGAGCTGTGTTGGATCGTTCTCCTGTTCCAGGAGGCAGGTCTTACCATCAACAGAGAGACGAGTGGCTGCGGCTTCTTCCTTCCAGTAGACGTTATGGCTTCGTCCGTCAAGCAGGATAAGAAGACCACCATCAGCAAGAGCACGAACACCAACGGTACACTTGCTACCGTTGATAAACAGGTGGTAGCTGTCGATGGAGGAGCGGGTGGCGGTAAACTTGTAACGCGAACCTTCATAGATGAAGTCAATTGGGAAGACGGTGTTCAGGACGTCCTTGGCAGGAACCTGACCCTTTTCGATGCCCTTGCGGTATTCAGATTCGCAGGCTTCACTGGCGAGGTGAGCCTTGGTCATAGCACCGCAGATAACGGCGACCATGGGATCAGGCCGCTCAGCGGTAAGCTTCTTGGTGATGAGTTCATCAAGCCATCCGGTGGTGATAGTGTTGTCCTCGAAAGCAGGGGTTTCAAGCAACTTAATTAAGTACTCGACGGTGGTCCTGAAGTCACCACGGATGCTCAATTCCTTGAGAGCAACAACCATGTGCTTCCTGGAAGCAGAACGGTTCTCGCCGTAGGCAAAGATGTGGCCAAACTGGGAATCAGAGAAGCTGTGAATTCCGCCAGCGGTACCCACAGAGAAGTAACCCCAGACGTTGGAGGAACTTCGGAAGTTCAGTTCGTGCATCGTACCGCTGGAGGGCTTGAAGCCTTCACCTGGATCTTCGGAGGTGATTCGGCAAGCAGTGGTGTGGCCCTTTGGCTGAGGACGACGCTGGACCATGGTGCTCTCCTCGTTGGAGAAACCAAAGTCAATAGGGGAGGAGGTGTTAGGGTCCACGCCGTAAAGGAGACGGATGTCACGAATGCGGTGAAGAGGAAGACCCATAGCAATCTGGAGCTGAGCAGCTGGAAGGTTGACTCCGGTAACCATCTCAGTAGTAGGATGCTCGACTTGAAGACGGGGGTTGAGCTCGAGGAAGTAGAACTTGTCGTCCGCGTGGGAGTAGAGGTACTCAACGGTACCAGCAGAGACGTAACCGACAAGGCGGCCGAGACGAACAGCAGCCTTCTCCATCTCCTGGAAGGTAGTCTGCTTAGCAACGGTAACAGGGGCCTCCTCGATAATCTTCTGGTGTCTTCGCTGGACGGAACAATCACGACCAAAGAGGGAGATATTGTTGCCGTACTGATCAGCAAGAAGCTGGACTTCTAAATGTCTAGCGTTTCCGGCAAGCTTCATGATGAAGATAGGAGATCCAGGAATCTCGCTAGCAGCGGCATTGTAGAGGGCCTCGAAGTTCTCCTCGGAGTCGACCTTGCGGATACCTTTACCACCACCACCTTCGGAAGCCTTAACCATGACGGGGAAACCAATCTCACGAGCCTTCTTAAGACCCTCAGCGGGGGAGTGGGTGCAGCCTTGATCATAAACATTGTCCTCCACGGTAACGATGCCCTCCTCATCGACTTTGACCTCATCTACGCCCGTGCCCGACCACGGAATGCAGGGAACCCCCGCGTGCTGAGCAACTATCGTAGAAGAGATCTTATCTCCGAGAGAGCGCATTGCGTTACCAGGAGGACCGATGAAGATGATCTTTTTGGGTGAAGCGGCGAGAGATTCAGGAAGCTTGGGGTTTTCAGACGCATGTCCCCTGCAGACCGTTAGCTTAATGATCCTGCGAACAGAGCAGGTTGCATCAAATGCGCAAAAAAAAGGAATACACCTACCATCCAGCCCAAACTGCATGCACACCTGTTCGTTCCGCAACATCGACGATCAGCTCGACGTTCGCGTAATTATTATTATTAGTTCCACCAGGGACCTATTCAAGTCAGCTACCGCTCTGTACCATTATATATGAGAAGAATGAGGCCACCCACCTCTACGTATTGATCTGCCATACGAATATAGTCTGCGTTCGCTCTCAAGTCCTCCGGAGTTGCCATGACGGTGAACTGGATGGCCCGCTCATCGCCAAAGGTTTCGTAGGCCCATTTCCTCACTGATCGGATCTCCTTAACGGCCGCAATACCGTTATTCGCAATCAAAACCTGCACAATCGTTAGCTAGTGCTTTCAAAACACCGTTTAAAAGGCAAATATTGAACACACCGATGTGATAACGGAATGACCGTCATTCTTAGCCACGAAGTCCTTGACCGCACCTGGAGGTGCTAGATCCAGCCGATTTCCACCGATGAAATGTGAGGGGAGATTGTGTTTGGCAGCATAGGCGCTGCCATAGCCGTTAACGGCCGTGGAATTGCTTTCAGACATGGCAATTTGGTGGTGGTGGTGGTGGTGTAGGCAGAGGAAAACCCGGCGGTCTCAAGCTGTCTTCTATAAGGGGTTCGGAGAGTTTTCACACTCGGACTCGGAGCTTATCGAAGTGTCTACTGGCTGCAGAGTCACTTTCGACAGTGAAGAAGCTGTCAATGCTGTATGTGTATGTGTATTTCTATGTGTATCAACGACCGACTGCCCGTCTGCTGTCCGTCTGTCGTTTGTATGTGTCTTAGCTTGAATGACGCAGCTACCAATGGCCGTTGCGGGACGAGGGAGCGTAAGAAGAGGAGGAGAATTAGATAGTTGGAAGAATGCGGTTCCACGCAGACGAACAGGGACAATGAGAAGAAGAAGTAGAAGAAGTAGAAGAAGAGGAAGAGGACGAAGACGAAATATGAAGCTGAGAAGAAGAAGAAGAAATGAAGTCGAAGTTGAACGAAGAAGAAAAGTTGCTGTTCTTATTTCCCGATCGGGCGAGCCTCGAGCTGCTCGCGGTATTGATGGCGTATCGCGCGCGTCACAAACCTTGGACCCCCGCACTAAGCCCACACACTAAGCGTGTAACGTACCGTAACTGCCGTTACCCGCCTTTCTATCCACCTCCAAAAGGAGCTTTTTTACTTTCGCTGTTGAGCGCGCAGAAAGTGTCCGCGAAACTGCGAGGGTGAATATCTCTGCCTGTAGACCGTCGATGGCGCTGATTCTTTTTTAGCTAGAGCTGCCTGGCCGTCTGCTGCCCGTCTGAGCATCCCGATCCTCTGTCTATGCATGCGATGTGCCTGTCGTGCGGCGTGCAAGCGTGCCTGCGTCGTCTCAACCGGGCCTGAGTTTTCCCCCAACAGAAAAAGACGCTAACCCGGTTAGAATGAGTGACTAAGCAAGGCTTAGGTAAGGCTCGGAGTTGGATGCCGAGGCTGAAAAGCTTAAAAAAGACGGAGATTAAAAAGGAGATAAAAAGAAACGAGGAAAGGAGAACTCGTGTCGTGGCGGTCGAGGTACGGAGTAGATTAGTGAGAGAAAAATAGAGATATAGAGATATAAAGGTATGAAATAGCAGCGTAGATGACGGTGGTGAGGGTTTAATGCTCCGAGAGGTTGGGTTTGTCTAAGTGGTTACATACATATGGTTGGAAGTAGAGCGCGAGTTTAGCTGGACGAGAGGGTATAGGGGCCTGAACAAAAGAACGAAAAACAGATGCGTCATTATGTATCTAGATGGTAATGCTTGAAAGAGTGATAACTAGTAGTAGTAGTAGTAGTAGTAGTAGCAATAGTGATTAGGAAAGGAAGTAGATTGTGCAAAGTCAAGTTGGTTCATGTTGGTTCATGTTGGTTGATCGGGTCTCGGGTTTCGGGGCTTGGATCAGGCTGGATACATAAACTGTCCGGTCCCGTATTATTTCGCCGTGGGTAGATGGCGAGACTGGCATGGCAGGAATAGATGTATGCAGGGTAGAGATATAAGAATAGATAGTTAGAAAGGAAAAGAAGTGTTTGTCGCGTAGGATGGCATGTGGTGTCTTGTCTTGTTTGTGTATATTCATTAAAAAGATTCAACGGGGTGTTGATTGGTTGTTTGGTTGTCTGGTTGGTTGGTTGGTTGGTTAATTAGTATGTCTCGCCGAGGCTACCTAGAGACGAAGATGGTCGAGGTGTCATGCTCGCCTTCCTCCTGCCAGCTGACGGCGGAAGCATATCGCCGTCCCTCCTCCCGAGGGCTGAGGTAGTTCGTCGAGGCGTCAGGCCGCTTGGTGTTGGTATAGAAGACATCCCGCCGCTCGTCCGTCGCAGCACCGAGGGAGTGGGGATGGAGCTGCCGGATCCGATGCTATCATAGCGTCGGGGGGTGGGAGTGTGCATACTCAGGTCCATCTCAGCGTTGTCTTCGTCGATATACGACATGCTGGCGGATGGGTTGTAGTTGCTTAGTGATGAGCGAGGGCGTCGAATGCCGCCGCTGCTACCGGTGCTGCTGACTGATGGATGGTGCTGATGATGGCTATTGTTATTGTTATGGTTATGGCTATGGTGCTGGTAGTGGTGGTTGTCTGACACGCTGGCCATGCTCATGTTCAGAGAGTTGGTGGTGTAATGTCCCGGAGTGCGCGAGCCGCTGAGACTACTGTTTAGGCTTTGGCGAGATTCAGGGCGTGGGTGCGCAATGCTGCTTGATGAGGTCATGTTACTGACGGAACAGCGTGATGATGACATACTGGTGCGGCTCTCTGGTCGTGATGGTGTTGACTGAGCCGGTGGGGGGAGCCCAAACGAGTTTCGTCCCTGAGGTAGATGAGTCCCTGGTGTCACCGGCGTGTGCGGCGTCTCGTGGTTGTCCCTTGAGCTGCTGGCCACGCTACCGCTCGATCGTTTCCTATTGCTGCGGACCGTTACTGATGAAGGCATGTTGTATAGAGGACCGCCCATGGCAGAGCCGGTGCGAGGGGATGCTCGAGGTGGTGTGTCGACCGGTGCTGGTAATCGAGATCGTGCAGACTGAACACGCTCCTCCAGCTTCTGCATCTTCCCAATCAGTCCCCGGATCTGGTACAGGGAGCTGGACTTGGGAAGGCCATTGGAAGTAGACTGTCGTCCTGCAGACGGGGTCATTCGGCCAGTTGAGATAGATGGAACTCGGGAATGTCGTGAAGATCGAGAAGCCGACTTTTGATGCTTCGACAACCCATTAGTCTCAGATATAGAGACTCGAGGCCGTGGCATATTTGGAGTGGCTCCCCTGAACGCTCCATTTGTGGATGACTCCGAGAAGGGTGGTGATGGCGGTGTGGCGATCTCTGAAGCAATCGAAGAGGCAGACTTGGTCAGTGGTGTTGCGATGGGCGAAGAGGTAGTCGTTGCCGGCGAGTGGTCGGCGTCGAGGCGATGGATGATTCCGTTCGTAGAAGTTGACTCTAGTAAAGAAAACTTCGCCTTTCGTTCCAGAGCAGCTTCGGCCTTCCGCAGTTTCTCCTGGACGATATGAGTTTCCACCTTGAGGTCCGCCAACTCGTCACGCAGCCGCTGCTCCTTGATACGCAGCATCTCTCGCTCCTGTTCGCCATTCTTGATCTCTTCCTCGAGCAGCACGCCCCGCTCAATGGAAATGTTGTACTTGGACTCTATATCTTCCAGCGAAGAGGTCGTGTTGCGAGCCTGTCTCTCAAAGTCGTCGTTGGCCACCTCCGTGTCCCGGAGTTTCAGCTGCAGCGTCCGGTTCGAGTCTCGTAGCGTAGTGATTTCTTTCTGCAGCGTGCTCTGCACCGAGTTGGCGTCCGTCTTCGCCTGTTTGTACTTGGTCTATCAATCGGTCAGTCAGCGTCCGCACTACACCTTTATTGCGGTGTGCGTGATTTGTAGACAACTCACCTTCCACTCCTCGACCTCATACCCCAGACTCTCGACCTTCTCCTTTAACTTCCGCTCCCTCTTCTCCGATGCCTCGATGTCCTTCTCCAGCTCGGCCTCTAGTTCGCGACTTGACGACTGGAAATCAGTCAGTTCGGCTTCGAGCAGCTCATACTGCGACTTGTAGTAAGCGATGGCGTCGGCGGTGCTGGTCTTTGCATTGGGCGGCGAGGACGGGGGATCTGCCATCGCCATGTTTGCGTCGTCCACCTGCAACCACCTGCGGATTATCGATGTTATGCGTCCTAGAGGCAGTTACCAAGCCCGTATTTTATCTCGCGATAGCCTGTACTCGCTATCGTCCCTTTGCAGCGCGCTGTTGAGGGTGACCGAGTGGCGGCCGTCTTTAATTTGCGCCCAAGGGTGTTGTTGACGTAAGAGACGCTGGGTTATCGTCGAGATAGTCGGAGTGCCGCGCAGGGTGTTCATGCAGACAGGCCGGAGAGGAACCAGCCTACTTGCCCTGCTACCTACCCGTCCCTCTGCTTTCCGTGTCGCCGTCGAAGTCGCTGGTCGTCTCGCTGTCGTCGCCGTCGCCTTCGCCTTCGTCGTCTTTCGTTTCTTCGTCTTTCTCGTTGTTTTTGTTGTTTGATGTTGATGACTTGCTGACTCAGCGAAACCATGACAACCGTCACGTGGATGTCCAGAATCCTTGTATTAGTTGGGAGTTTCAAGGATAAACACAAATTATATTGCTTGATAAGGGGTGTTAAAGGGTAGATAACGAGTATTTGAGGCAGGTGGAGCGTAGTAGTGGTTTTTATGAGATGGTGGAATCTATTTTTTCAGCTAGATATGACAATAAACGCCGGAGATGCTACCTATATACAATCCCATTTCATATCCAAAGTAACTATCCAAACGTTCGTAAATCGGTTTAAGGTCAGCAGGGTGTCGGTCATGACTGAGGGTCCGTTGTATCCTCCACAGCCTTCATGCCTGCTCCCGTAATAGTCTCAATTCTCCCCTTGGTCGTTCCAGCCAGGACACCCACGCCAATGATACCACCATCACTAGCCTCCCGCAAGAAGATACTCTTCCCTCCATCCTGTGGCCCACCACGCAGCAGTATCTGATCAATATACCCCTGCACATGCTGCTTGTACATTGGGTAATGCTGTATCACACCCCCCGAGAACCCAACAACTAGCTCCTCGGGACTTCGAAGGTCGCTCGGTTGTAAGAATGACGTCGCCTCCCGTGTAGGTGTGTGAGAGATGGAGGCTAGTTCTTCAAGGCTGCGTAGGTGGATGTGGCCTGTACATGCGAGCAGACCTGTGGTGGCAGCAGCTACTAGGGCTGCCGATCGGTTTTGCACTGTGGCTGCAATGGTGCGTAACACCTGTGCACTTTCTTCAGTCCAGGTCCATTCGACTGTTGACGAACGAGGAGGGAGTTTGGTTTGCAGCTCATATGCAAGGTCTTGCTTGGTTAGAGAGGTAGAGGCTATGGTGATAGAAAGTAGGTCGGTTGTAAGCCGGTAAGGCTCGACCATGGCCTCGGGGAGAGCTTCATCAGGTATCCCGCAGACGGTCTTGAAATAATCATGGGCAACGATACGGACTAATTCGCCTATGTATCGGCCACCAACCATATACTCCAAGGGCTGGAAACCAGGTCGACTGCTTCCCTGCGTAAGCGTGTTGTCCCAGTCCGAGGCAATGTTAAGTTCCAGCAAGGGCAGAGAAGAGTCACGGAGAGTCCATTCCGTGCTTACTAGAACCTCGGAAGCATCGGGCTGGTTAACTCTGACTGGGCGGGTTTTCTCCTCGTTAAGAGCGTCCATATTCATTAGGATGGTGGCATTGCATCCCGAGCCGACGATGAGGCCCATTACCGCCTTACTGTTGGGGAGAGACGGTACCGAGTATGCAAGAGACGCCAACGTCCCAACCGTATCATTCGTAATAGCCACAACTCTCAGCGTTGGTAGCCCACTGCGCCGTAGCCGCTTAGTGTCTGAGTCAAACTCGCGGTTGGCGCGGCGTATATGGCGGTCATAGCCATCTAGTAAAGCCTCCCGGAGGTTAAGGTCTGAGTTTATAGCAAATCCCTTGCCAGTGGGCATTAATATTGCTTCATGAAGATTTCCCTGCCTGATACACGTTAGCCCTAACAAAAAGGTAAAGGAACGGATAACCACAGAGGGAGACGTACTTTATCGGGAAACAAAATGAAATACCCATATCGACCGATGGAGGAGAACTACTCCCTCTCGGCTCTAGGCTGTCAGCCACAACCTCAGCAACTCGGTCACCAATCCACGCAAACAAATCTTTGGCATTATCCTTTTTCAAGCGGTCCTCGATAGGCCATGCTTTCTCCAGCGTGCGCCGTACACGCGGTGAAACCACACCATCTTTACCATGGACTCTAGCTGCCGGTACGGAAGGGCCTAGCAGATCAATAAAGGCTACTCTAAGGTACGACAGGCCAACATATGCTGCTAGATAGTGACCGGTCTCCTGTCCCGTGGGGAGGCGAGTCACAGCCGTAGGGAAGAACTGTTCCAGAGAATTCGCCGCAACATCCTTGAAAGTCTTCGAGAAGCGGTATGCAAGGTCGTACACCGTGCTATCATCAAGAATCAAGGGCTTTAAGAAGCTGCCTACGCTGCTATAGTCATCGTCACCGTCACCGTCGTCGTCTTCTACATCCGTAGAAGCAACAAGCTCCATGCTGGGTATCATCTCTGGGAAATCTCCTCCATACGAGCTTGACGGCAAAGAAGGAGTCGTCATCTTGTTCCTGCGCAGTATATTAGCCTCTATCAAAGAGCTGTCAGGTCCTGTGTTTGTTACGTCTTGATGTAGGCCTCGATCATCGGTTGTCCCAGTTGCATGTAAAGTTGTATCTATAACTATAGCTTGGATGGCTGTTTCGGCCTGCTGGTGATGTACCTATGAGCCGCCGTCATATAGACAATCCCGTCAGCTCCGCCTGCAGCCTCAAGTCCCTGCATAGACAGGCACCAACCAAGCCTATCAGTCAACTACCAAACCAACTTCCTGTGACGTTTTTCTTCGTCGTCTTCGTCTTCGTCTTTTTGCTTCGAGATCTGAGTAATCCTCACGTGACCGTCTCTGGCTGAAGGGCGAAAAGTCCATCAAGAAGTAGAAGAAAAGGACGAAGTGAAGGCGAAGTGACGGACAGAGAAGAAGGCAGCTTGCAGAGAGCGTCCTGATAGAGAGCCTAAGAGACATCCCAGCGAGCTCCTCGTCTTGTTGTATAGGTGAGTTTGTCCCCCCGGCTGCGTCTGCTTCTACTTGGTCCACCACAGGCTCCGGCATTAGTTATCTGGCACCACCACAGCTTTCCGCCGTACCTCCACGCACAGCGACCCTTGGCTATATTCCATACCTACCGGCCCCATCTCTACCACCCCCCGGCGCGTCTCTACATATGCTTGCTCGCAATGGTGCTAACTTCTGGAAAGAAGGGCAGTCCGCTGCACCCGGCCATGCGGTGAGCATGGCGGACCCTACAGACCTGAATCTCGATGCGCCCAGCGACCTGCAAGATATCCCCGACCTCTCCCCCGTCGACGACCTCGTTCCACCGCCTGAAGGCACATATCCCGATAAAGCCTCGTTGATAGCATCGGTGCATGCGCACGCAAAGGCGCACGGGTACAATGTTGTGGTCAAGTCGTCGAGTACGCCCACTGAAAAGAAGCCAGGGCGGACCGCGAAGGTGTGGTTGAGATGCGATCGTGGAGGACAGTACAGGCCCCGTAATGGCCTGACGGAGGAGACTCGGAAGCGGAAGCGGACATCGAGACTGATGGACTGCCCGTTCATGCTGGTGGCGGCTGGAAACCCCGGAATCTGGACGCTTACTGTGCTGAATCCGTCTCATAACCATGGAGCCATCGTCGATAAACCGCGCCAGACGCCTCACCACCGCGTCAAAAAGGGCCAGGTTACTGCTGTGCCCTACGACTGGCCTCACGATGCTACTTTTACCCCCTTCACCACGGCTCTGGTAGTCGTGGATATGCAGCGTGATGGTAAGAACGCTCGCCGTCTTCACTAGTTCTGGTCGTCTGGTCTGACATTGCTTTAGTATGCTCACAAGAGGGATACATGGCGTATCAAGGCTACGACGTCACTCCCGCAATGGCTCTAATTCCTAAAATCAGGCGGCTGCTAGATGCTTTCCGCGCAGCTGGCTTCCCAGTCTACCATACCCGAGAGGGGCACAGACCCGACTTATCTACTCTCTCTACTCGAGAGAACTTCCGCTCCCATAACAACCCCACAGCTACAGGAATTGGGTCCACTGGTCCTCTGGGCCGTTTCCTTATCCGCGGTGAACCAGGCCATGATATCGTCCCAGACCTCTACCCACTTGAGGGTGAGCCCGTTATCGATAAGCCAGGACGTGGCGCATTTGCACACACGGACTTTGAGCTTCTGCTACGCAACAAAGGTATCAAAAACCTTGTCGTTGTCGGCATGACAACCGACGGAGCTGTAGCGAGCACTTTGCGAGAAGGCTGTGATAAGGGTTTTGACTGCCTGCTACTGGAGGACGGTGCCGTAGCACTCGATCACACTCTTCATCTCGGTGCGTGCAATAGCGTGAAGATGGAAGGCGGCCTGCTCGGTGCTACTTCACGCATAGATGACCTCATGCATGCCGTCGATAATTTCAAGAACCTCCTTGTGAAGAAAATGGCGCCACAGATGATGGTGCCTTGAGAGAGCCGGGTCATAACTCCAGGTACTAGTATTTTATCTCACTGTTCTTTTCTCGCTTACACCATTTTTGTTCTATTTCTTGTTCATTTATGACACCAAATGGCGTTGGGTTATGGCGCTTGGGTCATAGGTTTGTTACTGGATTTACCATTTTAATTACTTGCTTCCCAGATGGAGGCTCTTTTTACATTACTTTCGGGGTGTCATAATAGCTCCTAAGAAAGTTGAAACCTCACTATTTAGTTGGAGCATCTTCAATTGATTGATTCACTCTATCTGAGGACCATAGGAATATTCAGAGATCAATTCTTCACTGTCCTCTATGTATCCCGTCCGTTAGGCACGACTTTATAATCGGTGCAATAAACTCGGCGCTGTAGCGTCTCCAGACTGTTCTAGCTAGACTAGAGACCTTGTTCGTTTTCTCTGTTGAGAGCGCAGTAATAGATGTTGAGCCATTGGGGCTTAGTACAGTATATTTCGATCTGATCTGCCACACAAGGGTCGAACATTAGTGATGGGACTGCTGCTCAGTGGCATCACGTCAAGGATTTTGGATATTATCCCTGGAGCTAGAAAACAAGCCAAGGTCGAACCGAGCTCGGCTCAAGGCCCCTGAAGGCGGGAAAACAGGCCTATGCTGCCCATTCTGGCATTATTTATGCGAGTTTTCTTTCGTGCCCACGTTACAACCACTTCTTTCCCGCAGCCATAACTCTCGCACGGAACACTGGGCTCGTAATCTCCATGCCACGACGATAAAAGGGGCTCATAGCTGCTTTCACCCAATTTTCATAGACTTCATTCATAAACTGCCGGATCGCATCTTCTGTCTGCGGAGAGGTAGGATTATGCGCTATCGACGAAGACGAACTTCGGGATGAGCCTGAAGCCCCTGAGAGGAAACCGGAAGCGGACAAGCCACCACCACCACTACTGCCGGATCCTCCCGTGGCAGGCTGAGAGGTCGACGGTGGAGGTTGATGTAGTAGAAGAAACCGCACCCCTGTTCCTGTGAGAAAAGCGGAGATATATGCTGAGGCTGGTGGGTAGGTATCGATATGTTTGAGGTACCTAGTCAAACAATTAGAGCCAGTGCATGCGGTTAAAGAGGTCTATGGGATATAGAGCAGACATACATGGCGCCGTTAGTCCATTGGACTTCTTCAACGATATCCAGACTTGCATGTATAATGAACTGGTTCATGTATCTCTCGTTATCAGCATATCGGAATCGAGCAATGCCATCTGCGCCCCCTTTTGAGGTCCCAAATGCCTGGCTGAAGAGCGGTACGTCTGCTGATGACAAGATCGTAAAATAGTATGACATGTTGCGTCTGCTGTTCTCACGATATCCCAGGCAGTAAGTATGCTACCGTGTACTAGCAACACTTCAAACTGTCCTTCCTTTGGTGTCTTGTTGACATTAAAATCAGCCAAAGTGACGTTCAGTGAGATTATGTAATTCGATGCGGCTCTGTGTCACGTGCAACAGCTCAAAACCTTCCAAGGTTAAAGCTTCGGTTTTGCGACTTTCAATCTCCAATTCAACAACAATCACATTCGAGAACTTCAGATGGCACCGCCAAAGCTCGGTTACGGACTTAATTTGTCCAAGGCGAATACGAAAAAGCCGTCAGGCTCAGCACTTGCTGGCCAGAAACGGAAAAGCTTGTGGGCTGACCCAGATTCCGAAGACGAAGGCCAAAAGGGTGGTGAATCAGGTGGTGTCGAGATCACAACATTAGGTGGCTTGTCATCTTTCCCGGAATCAAAACCTTCACGATCAACGGATGAAGTGCCGTCAAAAAAGAAGACGGCACCGTCGAAGCCTGGGGCTGCGCCATCAAAGCGAGAATACACTAATCTTGCAGCCCTCCATACCAGCAAGAAACACGCAAACGAAGCCGAGGCTCTCGACCCATCGATATATGACTACGATGGAGTATACGACTCTCTACATGCGCGGACAAAGTCCAAAGCCTCCAATTCAAATGCTGACTCGGCATCGCAAGGACCGAAATATATGACTGCTCTTCTCCGCAGCGCTGATACAAGGAAACGAGACCAGCTACGGGCAAGGGATAAACTACTCGCTCGCGAACGAGAAGCTGAGGGAGATGAGTTTGCTGGTAAGGAGAAGTTTGTGACTGCTGCGTACAAGGCACAGCAGGAAGAAGTGAAGAGGATAGAAGCCGAGGAGGCCGAGAAGGAAAAGGAAGAAGCGGAAAACAGGAAGAAGGGTATTGGAATGGTTGGGTTTTACAGGGATGTGCTCAAACGGGATGAACAGCGACATGAAGAAGCTGTTAAATCTGCGGAAGAAGCAGCGAAGAACAAAGCTACCGAGGAAAATGATGAAGGGGAGCAGGAGAAGACTGCAACGCAGATCGCGCAGGAGCTCAACGCCAAGGGTGCCAATATTGCCGTTAATGACGAGGGAGAAGTTGTTGATAAACGACAGCTGCTTACTGCGGGATTGAACGTTGTTTCGAAACCTAAACCGGTGGCGGCGGCAGCTCGTGTCCCGGGTTCCAATGCTGGTGCAAGGCCGTCTGGTACTGGGTTTGACCGGGGTGGTATCCGAGCTGCGCGTGAGATGCAACGAGCCCGACAGACCGAGATGCTTACTGAACAACTTGAGGAGAAACTACGGAAGGAGAAAGAAGAGGAAGAAGCTAGACTACGTGAGCTGGCTGAGAAGAATAAGAGCCAGAAATCGAAGGAAGATGTGATGAGCGCAAAGGAAAGATATCTTGCTCGAAAGCGAGAAAGGGAGAAGCAGAAGGAGAGCAGCGGATAATAAATTTCAGCACACTTCGTTCTCGTTTCGTGGTAATGTATATACTGCGGGTGTAAATGGATGGGTAAGGTCTATATGTACGTCTGGGATAATGTCTCTCATGGCATAGAAAATCAACGCAAACCGCACAACTCCTGGCCCAGCCAAGATAAAAGGATGGCCATACCGGAAAAATCTTTTATATGGCTTATTTAGCTGTCAATGCAAAACTGAGACCAATGATACCCATGCCTGCAAAGGCGAAGCCTATACACAGCCCTCTCCTGTGAGAGAGCATCATGCTTTCGGCAAGGAGTTGCAGACCTACATTCGTCATGACACCAGCTGTGATTGCAAACATACAACCATATACAGCTGAGGAAGGCCCGTCTGGATGACCCTCACCTATAGGCCTATTATACTTGGACGAACCCCAAATCCATAGAGCAGCTATCCCTGCTCCTGCAGGTTGACTTATACCACCTAGCAGACTGGACCAGATGATGGCTTTAAGTCGTGACCTGAGTGCTAGGTACAGAGGCAGAGACATGGCAAAGCCCTCTGTAATATTGTGGATGGAAATTGCGACGAAAACGGACCAGCCGAGGGCGGGGTTTGTGTGGTTGGTAGCATAGGTGATGAATCCTTCTGGGAGTTTATGCAAAGCTATGGCGAGGGAAGTTTGGAGGCCGATGGATAAAAATGCATTCTGTGGGACATGATGATGATGCGCTGAAGGCTGTTCAGAAGGTGGCGAGGGGGCATAAGCGGTGGTTGCAGTGCTGGCCGATGTACCGAGAACCACTTGTTCGGTAAGATGGCCGGAGCCAGCTTCTTCAGCAGTACCAGCAGTTGGATGATGAGTGGCTTCTCTGTCATTGGTTGCAGGTTGGGTAAGGATGGTAACGTCGGTCACTTCCCCAGGCTCGACCTGTACCCTGAGCTTCCTGCACTCGAGCCCACAAGCTTGCGAAACACCAAAACATTTGCCATTTGCACACGAGGGTTTAGAAGATCCGCCCATTATACGGTTTAGCTGCTCCGAAAGCTGTGCCGTGACCGACGACTTGTTCAGTGTTCCTACTCCATGCTGGTGGGATGCACCGGTATGTTGATGAGGATCAGACTGGCCACTAGATCTAGTACCGCCGTGGCTATGCGGCAGGAGAGGGGTAGTCTCCGTGGTTTCAGGTTGCGCATTATGCGTTGTATCCGCTATTTGCTCGATATCATGGGCCTTGTGAGGTTGTGAATGCGAGTGCCCGCAACTGACAACGTGAGAAGGCATCCATCGATGGAGCAAGGTGGAGAAGATGTTTATAACGATGATACCAGATAAGAACAGCACTATGAGGGTGTATGCCGCTAGCTGTGGGGAATATCCGGCTCGGGTCAGGTAGTTCTTCGAGGCAGGCAGCATACTATACAAGGCCGTAAAAAGCTGACGGTAGAGTTAGCCATGGGGGTTTTCCGCCTTTGTTCACAGCATGTGGGACACGTACTACCACGCCGCCGCTCAGGCTCAGCGAAGATGACAGGAAGACATCGCTCTCCGCTATCCTAAAGTCCTTCTTGCCGAAGTACTGTGCAATGACGTCCACGCAGATGAGGCCGGATCCGAGTGCACACGCTTATTATATCCAATCGTTAGCATGACGTATAGTCAAACAATAGCAAGACTCAATATACCGATGCCGCTGATACAGCTCATTATCCAGCCCTGGATATCATTTTCGGACACCATCCTGCTGGCCGGGCAGCGAAATCTCCTGGCACAGGCTCCGTATTCGAATATATCAATCTCCTCACCCCGCTCATCCACACGCCACCGCAGCCTTTAGAAACGTCACAGGCAGACAAGTGCTGATCCGGCAGTAAGTCAACAGCACAGTCGCGGCATAGTAGAGGGAGAGGAAGCAGGAGACCAGCAGCAACAAGGCGGGAGTCGAGGATTAATAAACGACGACATCCGGCGAGCTTAGACCAGCTTTTGTTTGGCCCATCCGCGCGTTTTGTAAGCGACGGAGATTCATCAAGGTTTCCTAAAGCGGACTAGCCTCGCCCCCAAGGTACCTGCCTCACGTTAGCCCCAATAAAGCTTATCACGTGAACCATAAGGCAGATTAATAAGCACGTCCCGCGATTCGCCCGGAAAATTTACAGAGAGAAAAGGTGGCGAGCAGAGGCGGCCAGGAGCGTCCGCAGAAGGAAGAGTTAGAGAAAGCTGCTTGGAACCCTCTACTACGTACATATCTCCGAGAAAGCAGCAGCCACGAAGTCTTAGACATGATCTTCCGCTGGATGGGGCTTCCCCAGCACGCGAGACGAGGGACTCCAGTACGTAATTGTTTTACAGGGGAGAGCAGCTCTTGGCTAACCTAACTTCTGCATATTCTCCAGACACGGCTCCAACATGATGTGTCTCTCGAAAGGGCGCGCAGAGCCGATGGCACCTTCTATCTCATCCCATATGCCCGATACATCCTTAATACTCCGTATACCCTCCGTATTCATTTTTTCTGCCTCGATGCAGGGCAGAGCTGCGCTTTTGCTGCAACCTTGAGAGACAGAATCTGTCATGTGACACTGAAGTCGGCCCTTAAAATAAGGTTCCCTTCCCGGAAGCACCCCATATTCCAGCTGACTAATCACAGCCCTTTCTCGAGGAATGTGCCCTGTCTTCCCCTTTTCCCCTGATAAGCAAGATAGCATCCTTGAGGTTGACTAAGCTACCCTTGCAGACAGCATGGTGATAGCTTGTCTGCACGTCAATTTAATGTCTCTTCTATACTAGGTAACTGTCTAAGATGTTGGTTCTTGATGCTCCGTTTGTGGGACACAGTTATGTGGAATGACAGCTGTTTATTTGAAACTGTTCAACTGTGGCTTGGCGTACACTTCCCCTCTTGAGATATACTACGAGATTTATATAGTTATTACGCCAATGTATCAACAAAATTATCAATTGAGTAATCATTCCTAACGACATATAACTAGATTATTGCACTGTGTATACCACGTATAACATTGGGCTAGTTTATACAGGAGCAGGAGTGAAATTTCACGGCTATGTCACCTAAAGCTAGACACTTCCTGTGTTCCATATATCAATCAGCAACAACATAACTTTATAGTAGATATCCATGCTGTATGTATGTAGGGCTTCTAGGCAGGGCTTCTGCTCTGTACCCTGGATAGCCAAAGTCTAAGAAGCACTTTAACCCTAGATCAGCACTTTGCTGCTTCCTTACTACCAGTTACCAGATAGATCAGGGCCTCAAAAGACATGAAAGAAAGGAGATCTTTCTACTTTCGTAGCCCTATTGATTGTGTATTTATGTGATTAAAAATAGTTGTATGTTATTGTGAGTGGTGCCTGGCCCTTTCGGGAGGTTCCAACCTCGGAAGGGTTGAATAGAGTTAGGAAAATATTAGGCCCGAGGATATCTAAGTGGCCCGTGCACTTTTCTTTTCTCTCAATCAGCAGATCAGATCACGACGACGACGGCGACAAGGAGGACGATAAGGAAGGCAACGAAGTAAGGAGGGCTTGTATTCGTTCTTTATTACTTTTATGCACTCATTGAGGCCAATCCTATTGCTTTAAAGAGCCGTCTATACCCGCATTGAAGATGTCAAAAGCTACGCTCGCTATCATCGCAGCCGCTGGCGTAGCAACAGGCGCCGGTGTCACTGCCCTGTTATACTCCTCCAGCTCGTCTCGTCACCAGCCTCACTATCCTCCACCAGCTGCTCGGGCACCCCCTCCGCCGCCCACAAGCTCTCCTGTCGCCACCGCTGCCCGTGTCTCACCGCCGGTCCTTCCAACCACCCGCTACCCAGTTGACCCCAGCGGACTATTCCAATATGGCTTCCCTGGCCCAGTCTCAGATGTTATCGATAGCCCTTCCTTAACAGCCGGATTCGACCGTCGAACCCGTAATCCAGCCTGGGTAGCCGAACACATAACTCCTGAATCCGTAGCCCAGCGAGACGGAGACCGATCTCACAGCCAATTCTACGAAGAAGAATCCATCCCAAGTGCTTTCCGCGCACGACTAAGCGATTATTACCGCTCCGGATATGATAGAGGACACCAAGTGCCTGCAGCAGACGCCAAATGGAGCCAGGAAGCAATGAATTCTACTTTCTCGTTGGCAAACATGTGCCCTCAAGTCGGAGAGGGTTTCAACCGCGACTACTGGGCCCACTTTGAGGATTTCTGCCGAAGGCTGACACAGAAATACCCATCTGTCCGCATTGTCACTGGCCCGCTCTACCTACCCAAGCGTGATCCCGCTGACGGGAAGTGGAAAGTCAGCTATGAGGTGATTGGCAACCCCCCCAACGTTGCTGTGCCCACGCATTTCTACAAAGTCATCTTTGCCGAAGATGGGAATGGAGAGGACGGCAAAGTCAGTCTTGGAGCATTCGTGCTTCCTAACGCCAGGATTCCAAACGATAAGCGATTGCAGGATTTTGAGGTGCCGTTGGAAGCCATTGAGCGTGCCAGTGGACTTGAGTTTGCTAGCAAACTACTTCCTTACAGACGCGGTGTGCTCTGCCAGGAGGTAAAGTGCGATATCACTGTTCGTGAATTCAAAAAGGCAAGCGACAGGAAGAGCCTGCCACCCCGATGAAGCGTTTTGTGATGTTTTGTATAGAATCATGTACCTCTTTTTTCGATCTATTTCATGTAATATATCACTAGTTTGCTATCTTCGTCTGCTTTCTGGTGTTTTTTATCCTCAAACCTATTTCCTTAGATGTGACTTGTTTTCAGGAGATATAGCGTGGGGTTTCAGCGAGCAATCATACAAGCTTACGATTTGACAGCATTTCACTAATATCATAATTGAATGATAGACGGCTGCTCCTATCCTGTAATGATATGCTTACACGTACCCCGTACGCAAATTGCTATTCGGACGGTAAGCAAAGGTAAACCTGTAATCGTCCGTTTCGGGCTTTCATGCAGATGCAGTCTCACAAGTGCTGCAAGCCAGCGCATACATAGGAAAAAGAACATGTTTCTGATCTCTCCTGTTTCGTTTCCCTGCATGTTCTATGTTCGATATGATCAAGCATAAAGGCCAGCGTTTCCCCGCTTCCATACCCCGTACACATCAACCCAACAGCTAGTATCCCCTACACCGTACACTGAAACTCGTCTTCTATACAGTGCTACCATGGACAAACCATTTGGCAGGTAAGAATTGTCCAGTTTACTCCATGATTCTAGTTCCTAAAGCTGTATAGACTCATCCGGTCGGACCTTTTTACCTTCCTCATTGGGCCTAAAAAAGTTCAGTTCATTGTCCATGCTGAACCTATAGCCAAGCAATCATCTGCGCTCCATGGCCTGTTGAACGGCAATATGATAGAGGCCCATTCTAGGACAGTAGTATGGCCTGATGTGGATGAAGATACCTTTGTTCGGTTTTGCGAATTCTGCTATTTTTACAACTATTCCCCGCCTAGTTGTGGTTGGGATGGCGATGCCGTAGAGGAACCTACTATGGAGGAGGAACCTACTATTGCGGAGGAACCTACTATGGAGGAGGAACCTACTATGGAGGAGGAACCTACTATGGAGGAACCCGCTGAGGAGAAACCTGCAGAAGAATACGGTTGGAGCTTTGGAGGCTTTGGAGAATCGAAAACTGCTTTGGCAAAACGGAAGAAAAAAAAGAAACGGGGATTCCCAGCCTCTGAATTATCTGAAAACTTGATGAAAGATCAAGAATACCCACTCCCGGAGAAATGCGCTCAGTTTACTGATCAGTTCGAACCTTTCTCCAACGTCACGAACGATCAGGATTTTACCCCTGTTTTTCTTGGACATGCCAGGCTATACGTGATGGCAGACAAGTATTGCATCGAGACGCTGAAAGAACTTGTGCTGCACAAGCTCCAATCAACACTCAAATGCATTACTCTCTTTCCCAACAGAATCCGAGACGTCATCAAACTAATCCAATTTGCCTATGATGAGGATAACACGCGGGGAGGCACCAAAAAGATGAACCCTCTAAGGAGACTGGTGACGCAGCACATGACAACCGTGTTGGAAAACGTTGCCATGCATGCTGCTTTTCTCGAACTTCTTCAAGAGGGTGGGGAGTTCGTTTCTGATTTTTGGAGAGTGGTTTGGGCAAAGCGAGTGCCAGACTCGTAGGTCGTCAGTTTGGCTTTTGAGATAGAGACTGAGCGGTCGCCATAGAGCTCGGGACATGGGCGGCAACCGATAAACCGGCCACATCCTCGGTCCTCTTACATCATAGCGGGCGTTCTATCCATGCATCTAGAAGCCGTAGTGAGGAGAAACTGCATGAAGGAGATGCATACCAAGAGCCTCCGGGCCAATAGCTGACAGCCAACGCCTAAGCAGCCTATAAAGAACCCTGTGCAATGTATGCAACGACCCTCTGTAATCAACGCTATTAATAGCCAGACGCTGTAACCCGCCCTCACGGTAGTATCCCTTAGTCACGTCTCCTCTCTTCTCCTCTCTTCTGTTTTCCCGTCGATATTCGAACCCCGTCTCGAGGTTGATCCCGCCATCTCGACGTCTGTTGCTGTCGATGTTTTTGATAGAGAGAAAGGCGGCGAAGAAAGAAGAACAGCGCCTGGCCTTGGCGTCCTCTTTCTCTCTTTTTCTGCCAGGCTTACCTAAGCAACTCAACTTCGACTTCGGCGTTCACGACGTCAACTTTCAACTTCAACTTCAACTTCACGCTTCAACTTCACGCTTCATCGCCAGCGGGCTTGACAGACTCGAGAACAGACGGAAGAGAGCGAGCAAAGGGCGTCTCGTGGAGTAGACGGAGCAGCCGACGCACTCGGTTGGTCCTCGCCTGTGTTCCGCGTGGTAAATAACCTTCCAAGGCTGACGCACTAGCCCCATCTCACGTCCTGGCCTGCCCTCGCCCTCCACAGGGGGACTTCAGCTTCAGCCAGCGAAACACGCCTCCTTTCAGGGAGAACAAAAAATAAAGAAGAAAAAAAAAAACGGCCATCTCGACACTTATCACATCTACTCTATCACGCTGCACACAGTACGACCTGATCTCGGGCCTGCCAGATAGGGCTTCCTCCTCCCTCTCGACCATGACATGACATGACATGGCCAGTGTGCGATGTGGAGGAGATCCAACACCACCACGATAACCACCACCTCTAGGACGACTACCACGGAGACGGTGACCGCCATCAGGATGCCGTGGACTCTCCGGGCTGGTTCGAAAGATGCTGCAAAGAAGCATGTGTCGCCCGCGCACTCGGAGGTGGAACTGCCGCCTCGACGAAGCGAACACTCGACTCGGTCACGTCCTCGCTCCCCGCTGCCCCGACTATCAGAGACCCAGACCGTGGACGGAGAACACTCGTTGTTGACCCACGATTGCAACAATGGAAGCGGACCTGATTCTGCTAGGGAGAGAGATGGTAAAGATCCTGCTCTGTCTCGTGCGGCGACCAAGAGAAACCGGTTTAGCCTGATGAGGTTCCGCCACGCTTCCGACCCCCAGTTGTCATCTAGCTACCAGAGCTCGGAACCGCCCCCGGTTCCTAAGCTCATTCCTCGTAGGTTTTCCCGGTATCAAGTTGGCTACATATATACTGTAACTGAACTAGAGAGAGAGAGGAAGAGAAATGTTTACTGACGGGATTCTAGCACCTACAATTATCACAACTTCACCGACCAGCCACAATCTGGAACAACCGGTAAAGGCCCTGCCTCCAGGCCAACCACAGGGTCAGCTGCATTTTTCGCGGTCATCACATAACCTGGTCTCCGATGGAGAACTTGCTTCTCGAAGCTCGAGCCCGGGACTCATGGGAAGGCCTAAAAAGGACCGTAGTGCTAACTCGACACCTCCCGCCTCCTCCAACGCAAGACACTCTCACATCTGCTTCGAAGAAGCCGGAAGACTGTCCACCGCCTCTCTCCGTAGTGGACATCGCGCCCATGCACACGCAGACTCGCAGTCCGGCTTCTCCAACGCTCGCCTATCCGAATCTTCTCGCTCTGACGCCAGCTCTGGCGATAGATCCATGTATTATGGCCAGCCATCGAAGAAAGAATCTACCTCTGCTTCGTCATCCATATTCCGGTTCCCCCGTCTAAAGAAGAGCAGAGCATCTCTCTTCCCGGTCCCGGTCAAATTACCTCCCTCGGAGGGCCAGGCATACCACCGCCAGACCCAATCGAGCAAATCTGCTGAACTATTCAGCGAGTCAAACCTACCCTCGCCTTCCCATTCATCTTCTGGCCGTCCAGCATCAACCGCCGGGTCTCCTAGGCCCCCGCTCTTCCGCAAGGACTCTGCTACCTCGGGTCGATCCAAATCTTCCGTCTCCCCAGCTGCCACTGATCGTGCCAAACGCCGTGCCAGATCTTCTACCCTCGGCTCCCTACACCAGATTCAAGATGACACTGATAACAGTCTAACGCCAGATGCCACTCCACCAGCAATCAGTGCTTCTCGCAAATCTTTTAGTGATCTTTTTAATATCCACACCCGCCTTAAACACAGCCAGCATGACCTCGCCATGTCATCTCGGGCAGGAACGCCCACTGCTTCCACACCTGGAGCTGGGCCTAGTCCAATGACTCCTACCACATCTAAGCCAAACTCATTTTCTCTCGCACGCGAACTGTCTTCTTATCCACCCCGCTCTCCCACTGATACTTCTGCCACCTATCTATCTCGCCTAGAATCCTGTGTTCACCGTGGTGCCATTGCGACGATTTTATCCCAATCCGCAGAAGAATTCTACTCCGTTGCTCTACGCAAGTATATGCGTAGCTTCTCCTTCTTTGGTGACCCGATGGATATCGCGATTCGCAAGCTGCTGATGGAAGCCGAACTGCCGCGTGAAACTCAGCATATTGATCGCATGATTCAATCTTTCGCCAACCGCTACCATGAATGTAACCCCGGAATCTTTGAGTCTACCGAACAAGCATACTTTATTTCTTTTTCGCTGCTCATCCTGCACACAGATGTGTTCAACAAGAACAACAAGCGCAAGATGCAACGTGCGGACTATGTCAAGAATACCCGTGGTGAAGGTGTGGCTGATGAAATTCTGGAGTGCTTTTATGATAACATCTGCTATACCCCCTTTATCCATGTTGAGGATGAAATTAATCTCAGCTCCCGTCTCTCATCTCCTAAGGCTCGAAGCAATCTCATGACGAAGATGGCAAGTACAGACCATTTGATGAAGTCATCCAAGGATCCAGTAGACCCATACGCGCTCATTCTCGAAGGCAGGGTGTCCACTTTACGCCCTAATCTCAAGAATGTCATGGAACTCGAAGATGTCTACTCCTCGACCCCGGCCACGAACACACATCTACCCTCCCCTCCTTCTATAGCACAACTAAATAATACTTTCGATAATCCATGCAAGCTTCAGATTGTCTCTGCTCGTTCGCGGCCAGATGCATTTATGACTGAGTCGACAATTGCTAATCCAGCAGAGTCACAGCCTGGCCTAGTCGACATCCGTGTTGTCAAAGTCGGTCTGCTCTGGCGGAAGGATGCAAAAAAGAAAAAGGCTTTGTCACCCTGGCAGGAATGGGGTGCTGTGCTTACCGGCTCACAGCTTTACCTATTCCGGGATGTCCAATGGGTAAAGTCTCTGATCTCACAGTATGATGCAAAACATAAGCAGGACAACCGGCCTCCGGCAGTAACATTCACACCTCCCCTTGCAGCATTCAAGCCAGACACAATTATGTCTACTGCCGAAGCTGTTGCGCTGCTTGACTCAAGCTACAAAAGACATAAGCATGGCTTTCTTCTTGTGCGCCACGGTGGGTATGAAGAAGTATTCTTGGCTAACTCGGACGTGGAGATGGCGGAATGGGTGAATTTGATCAACTATGCTGCGACATATCGCACTAGTGGCATTCGCATGAGAGGTTCAGAAAAGGAGAAGCAGTCTAACGCCGACCCGCAGCATACCCAGGAGGCGCATGCTGCTCGCCGCGCACAGATTGCACAGCACATAAAAGAATCGAATGAGAAATTATTCATTGCACAACGCCAGGTTGATATGTTGCTAAGAAATGCGAGACACTTGCAGCATCTTACGCCCATTCATCCACGGACTAGAGGCCAGGTCATCCTTGCAGCAGGTCGGATGGCTGCTAAAGTGAAGTGGGCTCGGCTTGAACTAGAAAGATTGAAGTGTCATCGAGGAATTCTAGCGAGAGATCTAGCGGAAGAGGAGGGCCGTGTTGGTGCGGGAGGTTGGAAGAGGGAGGTTGGTCTTGCTCTTGGTCAAATGATGGATGGTGCTGGGGACGTTGGGGAAGACGGCACATTATTGGGTGAAAAGGACAGTGAAAGAATATCGCTATCAATAACAAACGGGAATGGGCTAGTCGGAATCGAAACTGCCTCTATTGCTGCAGAGAGCAATCGACACTCGATTTCGTCGACAATCGCATCTAAACATACGAACTTTTCCACCCCTAATCTCAACTCTGTGACAACGCCGACCACAGATACAGACAGCATTTCAAACGCAGTTACTCCACGGCCAAGCGTTACGGATGATGATGATGACGAAGAGCAACGTTTCCTCCGCGAAACAGGCATCCTCGCTCTGGACACCGTCTCCCTGTCGAGCCCACCAAACTCGCCGGGAAAACACGAACCTATTACCCCCATCTCCACCACTTCCACAAACAAGGATGCTGTTCAGCCCTCCCCTCCCGCATCTTCTGAACGCTCTAAAGTTCGTCGCAGCTTCCAGCGTACTCTTCGAGAGGCCCACCATAATGTCCCTCTTCATCGCAATAGCCGTAAGGGCCGAGACCGTGACTCTTCCACCTCTGCTCAGTCGTCTACACATTCTACTTCCGCCGGTGCTAGTGCTAGTAATGGCAACAACCCTGGAACCCCATCTACTCCCGCAGCTACCTCCGATGAACCTGGAACTCTCCCCCGCAAGTCTCCCAGCTTCACTGTTCACGGCAAAAAGGCTTCTATCATCACGTTCGGCTCTGAATGGCAGACCCTTTCGCCTGAGCAGAGACTAAAGCAGCGTAAGCCGCAGTCAAACCAGCAGCTCCAGCCAGCACAAGGCCAACCGGAGAATGGATTGACGGCTATTGACGACGGTACAGACTCGATCTTCTCGCCTTCTATAGTCTCGACTATTGGACCTGATAATGCAGAACAGACAGGCACGCAGATAACTAGATCGACTAGCATCGCATCTTCGGCCCTCACTTTCCATTCTGTGGATGCAGGTACTCCGGCTGTTGCATCTCGTTGCTCGCCAGCAATAAGTGATGTGTCGCATACCCCAGGCCCCGGTTCCGGCAACACCGGCGAACATCAAGGCCCTCATGATGATTCAAAGCTTGTCTTAGCTTGAACAAAATTCTTACCTCTACATTTTCCCTCCTCATTTCCTTCCTGGCCTTCATCTTGAACCGTTCCTTTTTGCATTTTCTTTTCTTTTCTTTTCTTTCTTTTTTTTTTCAGCTTTCTTACCTTTTCTCTTCTCAGAAAGAAACGTATGATGGATGGCATAACGAAACAAAATACCCGGCTTTTTTCATCTTTGTGGAATACATAAAATACCGTTTCTTTCTTCTGCTGTGTTCCGTTTATTTTCTTCTTTCCCCTACACGCTGAGCGCACTAGTCACTTAAACTTATTTCCCTCTCTCACCCTTCCCCTTGATTTGCTTTGCCCACTTAGCCATTTATTGCGGTGTACAACTCTAAGCATTCCCCCTTTCCTTTCTCTACCTGTTTTTTATTATTATTCCTTCGTCAAGTGTCTACGTACATGATATATGCTGGGCATGCGTATGTAAGATACCTCACGCTCTCTGTTCAGCTTTTTCTTTTCCTTTTTCTCTATCTTCGTGGTAAAGGATGGGTGGATGGATGGCGGGATATGTTTCTGTTTGCTGTTTTGATCTTATACATTGCTCTGCTTTTCTAGCTTTATTTTCCTATTTCTGTCTTTTTGCCTGGTTACGTATAGAAATGGTATTAGCATTCGCTTTGCAGCTCTGTAAATTGATCAATAAAAGCTAGTTCGTTATTAAAACTTCAGTTGTCATCCCATGGCCGTGAGAATAAATGCATGCCTTTGAAAGCGAAAGCAGAAGATTTCAATACAACAATTCATCGTTGTCTTCGAGTTGAAACTCTGCTTAGTCAGCATCCTTATCGATTGCAGCTTCAACTTCGCGACTTTTGACGGGCTGAAGCAGGATCGGGAAATGCATCTTTGTAGCTGAGATAGCTGTCTATTTACGAGTGTATTATTGCTATATAACATATACAGCTACTTTGTCTATTATATATACCCAATTGACTACCGCTATGGCTCATTCCAAACGCAATACCTCGCTGCCTCATTTCACGTCCTATGAACGGTCTCTTCTACGCTCAACCTGGGGATCCCAGAGTACTCGACTATCCCGTGAATCCTTTCTACCCTTCTCCTCATGTAGACTGTGTCTTCTCCCAGCCCGTGAACCGGTCGTCGCTTGCGCCACCAATGGCGACCTTTTCTGCCGAGAATGCGCCGTCAACGACCTCCTTGCACAACGAAAGGAAATAAAAAGGTTGGAAAAAGAACGAGAAATTGCTCAACAGGAACGAGATGAGGATCAAGAGCGATTAGCTGCGGAGGCACGAGATCGAGAACTGAAAGAGTTCGAGATGGTTAGCATGGGACTTGAAGAGAGGAAAGCGAAGAGGAAACGAGAGCTAGAGGAGCGAGGAGGCGAGAATGAGAAAGGTAGCAAGAATGGTGATGAGTTGCCAGGTACTCTGGAGATAAAGAAGAGGCGAAAGGAGGGCTTCGAACTAAATGAAGTAGAGATGCGGAAAATAGCGATGGACGAGCGAGAGAAGATGATGAAAAAAATTGAAAAGGAGAAAGTATGTGCCATGTTTATTTATTTCTCTGCCTTTCAGCATGCTAACGGGGTGTTAGGCGGAATCGTCGAAATCCCAACTGCCCTCCTTTTGGGTACCGTCCTTAACACCATCTGTTGCTGAAAATGGAGATGATGCCAAATCCGCAAAACTCAATCCAATATGTCCTGCATCAACACCACAGAATAAGCATGGATACTCCTTAAAGGGGCTGGTGACGGTTCATTTCACAGAGGAGAAAGATGAGAAGACAGGTGATATGGTCCGCATATGCCCAAGTTGCAAGAAGGCACTTAGTAACGGACTCAAGGCCATGCGTAAGTCATTCTACATTGCTATATCTTATACAATAACTAACTTCGTTCTCAGTCGCCAAACCCTGTGGACACGTTATTTGCAAACGCTGTGTCAACCAATTCATGACAGCGGACAAAGGCGCAGACCCACACTCTAAAGACCCTTCCGAGACAGAACGTATAGGGAAGGTATTTTGCTACGTCTGTGAAGCGGACTTGACGAGCAAGAAAGCGAGCAAGGAAGGGAAGAAGGAGAAAGAAAAGATACGGCCTGGTCTAGTGGAGATATCGTCTGAGGGAACAGGGTTTGCTGGCGGCGGAAAGAACATGGCCTCCAAGTCCGGGACTGCATTCCAATGCTAATGGGGCCGGCACAATTCGTTTAGCCCAATGTACAATAGACGCGGGTAAAAATAGGTAGGTACTTCTTCGGAGAATTAGTTTTCTTCACATTCAAACTTATTGTGGTCACCTGAGCTATAGCACCAGAATTGATCACATGACGCCTATCAATGGCATTATGGTTTTCCAAACTCAAGCTTGGACATTGTTTATTCTGAGTTCCTCGAATTCTCATTGGATGAGCTTAATTAAGTTAAGGTTATTCATTGATTTATGATTTTATATCTTGGCATTTGAAAGACTGTGAAGAACAAAGTACAGTGAAGTTTGTTGGTTTTGAAGGAGAATAAATGATAATAGGCTGATGATAGATTTTGATATGCCTGTTTAAAGGCCTAAAATATTGACTATAATATACCATTATCATATTATTGGTCGAGGCCGTCCGTTACACATACAAAGAGATTATATGCCACATTATATAAGCTGATGGAAAGTGAGAGAATCGAGTTGGCAAATCCGAGACTCTACTAGAAGCACAAGCTACGTCTCACTTTTATATTCCAGCACCCGGATATCAGGGCTCATGAATATGTAGCGTCAAGAGGTTGAGCTTAGCTATTATATGTAATAGCCAACAATTGATATTAAATTCTCAAGTATCAACGCTTTGAGCTTAGGAATGGATTCGCTAGTAGTATATAATATAACCGTTCAGTGTGACACAGAAATTCGTGAGTAGATAGAGATAGCTCAGGAAGAGAGATTGGTTTAGGGCATATATGAAACATATATCGCACTGCTTAATAGGTATTTACTGGGGTGAGGAAATAGTAGTAGAATACTAACTGAGAGCTCCATGGCTTTATCAAGTGACATTCACTCTTGTAACACACTCCTAAGGAACCTACTAGCGCGTTGTTGCTGGTATCTTTGTGTTCCTCCTCGCTACACTATAGAATAAACCCTCCAGCCTAGCTTTGTTTTTCTGTGATAGTCAACAACCAACTTTCACAGCCAGGTCCGGACCGCAAAAGTAGCAAAGATGCCAGCACCACACCGTGAGTTTCTTGAAGTCTGGCTGTATGATATAGCAAAGCTGACCGTTCTAGCCTATACAAAGCTCAAGCTCCCGGAAAACGCGCCCTTTGAGCTGAAGCCTTCTCCTGGAAAAGGATGGGGTATCTTCGCGACGAAAGACCTCAAGAAAGGAGACCTGGTCCTGAGCGAGAAACCGCTTTTTGTGATCAAGTCATCTACGAGCAAAACCACTGAGTTGGCCGTTCTTGCAGCATTCCAGAAGCTGAAGCCAGAGGATAAGCAGCAGTTCTTATGCCTCCGTAACAACGGCTCTGCGAGATATCCTAGCATGACCCATGCATTTATTGACAACAACATGACCGTGTCCAGCATCATCACGATGAAACGTGGCGAGAATCCAGCCTGCGGCATGTTCATCCTGCAGCCGAGATTCAACCACTCGTGCGTTGCCAACTGCAAAGCACCATTCAGCGGCAAGGAGGCCATCTCTACCTATGCCATCCGGGAAATTGCTGCTGGCGAGGAGCTCACTCTCAGCTACGACGCCAGAATCGCCTTCCGCCCGGTCAAGGAGCGCCACGCTGCCCTTGGCTTCGTGTGTGAATGTCCTGCGTGCAAGGTCGGGACGCCCTTCCAGGAGCTTAGCCAGATCCGCCGAACACTCATCCGGGGCCTGATGTATCTCCAGGACGGCGAAGACGTGGACAAAAAACGACACGACAACTCGTCCGCTATCATCTTCTGCCCCAAGCTGAAGAAGCTGGCAGAGGACGCCGAAATCAAGCTCACATCCCGCTTCATCTTCCAGACCTTGGTGATCTTTCTCATGGAGGAAGAAGGCCTGCTGGATGCCTTCACGCAGAAGACCCTCCGCCGCAAGCTCGATTCCGGCGTCATGCTCCTCCAGACGGACAGAAACGCTCGCATTGCCCGGCTGGCCATGAGACGCAAGGGCTGGCTGCGCAAGTTCGTGACGGCCTTGAGACTGTACGGTCGTGAAGACGCTGCTGATATGTATGCCCCCGTGTACTACGGGAGCGCTGGCCGCAAGTCCCTCCGCCTGTAAGAGACAGAACCGCTCCGTCTCATCACCGTCATGTATCCAGGCAAAGCGAATGTCCCTTTTATGTAGTTCCAACGGTCGACTAGCAATTGGGGTGCGGTGGCTGAGGCTGTGGCGTGTGGATTTTCTTTTTCACTTTCTTTTGCTCGTATTCACTTGGTTCGATTTTCTTCTTCTGCCCGGTTCTTGCAGCCGATGAAGTCATGATTTAAACATCTCGCGGCCAACATCTTCGAGCTCAGCTCAGCAATGAAATAACAAGTTAAATAATCTCCTTCAATTTGCCTGATCGGATTGATCTCTCGATGGCAAGATGCATTTCTCTGTCCGCCTTAGCCTGCTTCTGACGCTCGCGTCCTCGCTGCCTCTGGTCTCGGCTATCCCACAGCACGAAGACCAGGCATATACATTCCCCTCGCCCGGCCGTAGCGCGACAGCAAACACAGATCCGGTGCTAGAAGTTGGGCGGGAGACACAGCGGACGCCGTCTGCATGGACGAGACTGCGGGACTCGCTCGTTGAGTCGGTCTGGGGCCTGCCGCAGCGCAAGGAGGGCGGCGAGTGGAGGACTAGGAACCAGGTAACGACGGCCTCAAGGGCGCCAGCAACACTGCAGGCGAGATACGGAGAAGACGTCGTCCTTAGATTTACGATCAAGACGCAGGAGGAGGTGAAGGCGCTGGTGGAAGCGTCCAATATACTGTTTCTTGATGTCTGGGGCAGCCATGATGACTGGGTTGATATACGGCTCTCCAGAGATGTTGTATGTATTCTTCCTCCCCTTCTTCTTTAGCTATATACGTGTGGAATGCTTGATACTGACGGATATAGATCCCATCACTGCTCGGACTGCTCCCTCCGTCTCTACAAAGCTCTCATGTCCCTCTGATCCGCGACCTGGCCCAGACCATATACGAATCATATCCAAAGACCAACCCATCTTCGCCCTCACAGCAGGGACCTACGACCCGTCGCTTCTCTCCGTCCGCCAGCACCTCGAAAACGAAACCTCAGGAGACCAAGAATATCTTCTTCCAGGACTACCAGCCGCTCTCTGTCCTTCTCCCGTGGATGCGTCTGCTCGTGTCCATGTTCTCCTCCCATGCTACCTTGATCAGCGTGGGCACAACGGCCGAGGGGCGCGATATTCCTGCTCTTCGAGTTGGCGTTCATCCTACAAACAATGCACAGCAGGCCCCTAGACGGAGGACTATCGTCATATCCGGCGGTGCCCATGCTCGAGAATGGATCAGCGTCTCCACGGTCTCATACATTGCATACTCCTTCATAACCGGATATGGGAAGTCCAGATCGATCACCAAGCTGCTGGAACAGTTCGACTACGTCTTTATCCCCACTGTCAACCCAGATGGCTATGCATATACCTTCTCTACCGACCGTCTGTGGCGCAAGAACCGACAGCAAACTTCCCTTTCTTTCTGTCCCGGAATCGACCTCGACCATTCCTGGGGCTATGAATGGGACGGCAACGCAACTCGTAGCAACCCTTGTTCGGAAAATTATGCAGGTGACCAGCCGTTCGAGGCTATCGAAGCACGCGAGATCGCTACCTGGGCCCGCAAAGAGGTAACCGTGAATAACGTTCAATTCGTTGCGTTTGTGGATCTGCACTCCTATTCACAGCAGATCCTGTACCCGTACGGCCATTCATGCGCCCATCTACCCGCCAATCTAGAAAACCTAGAAGAACTAGGTGCCGGCCTAGCGAAGGCCATCCGCAAAACCTCACGAGAAAACTATGACGTCAAAGCTGCATGCAGAGGCATTGTGGCGTCCAGCATGGGTGATAAAGATGCAGATGAAGCAGTGACCTCATCCGCGCTTGAGAGTACCGCGGGAAGCGCGCTGGATTGGTTCTATCATGACATGGACGTCCGCTTCTCGTACCAGATTAAGTTGCGAGACAGAGGGAGCTACGGCTTCCTACTGCCGAGAGAACAAATTGTTCCAACTGGAAAGGAGATCTACCGCGCTATGGTAGCCATGGGCAAGTTCCTAGTCAGCCCACATATCCTAACAGGAGATTTGAACGGGCCACACGCAGCAGAGGAGACACAGAACTATGATGATGACTTTGAGGAGGACGAAGCTGAGGAAGACTCAGATGTCTTCCGTGCACAGGGAGATGATATGTCGTCCTAGATTCGTTTCCTTTGGACTGGGGACTACTGGCGACTACAATAACGACTTTTGGTTTCTTCTACTTTAGGCTATTTTCTTCTTGGGTTTACATGTATGTGATTGGTATATTCGGTATATAAATTCGATAAATCGGCAGTGTGCTCGGTTAATGGCACGTTTTTTGGTTCTCATTCTTCTATTATCTTCTTCTCTTCCTCCCCCTGGTCTCCTCTGATATCAAGTGGATCAGATAAGAACTCCAAGCTTTTTACGCTCCACACTACTTTAAATCTTTGATCACCGCCAGATTGATATCGCCCTTCTTCACACTCATGTTGGACTCGACTTTGGCGACTGTCCAGTGTACACAGGCGGAGGAGTGATAAACGAACCGCTCTGCCTGCCAATGGGGCGATTTCCTTCCACTTTCCGCCGCCAGGTCTACTACTACCTTGCTTTTCGTTAATATATTACGGCCCCTCATTTTTTGGCTTTCTTGCTCTCAGCCAGTTCATCCATCCCCTGCAACATTCTCCACACTGGCAATTCGTCAAGGCAATGGTCGGCTTGGGATTGCCGAGCAGGTTGTCGTTAGAGTGTGCTTCGATTGCACTCTTTCCCCCCCTTCTGCTGCGCGGGAGCCGCGATTATCCAATGCACTCGACGAAAGTGAAGATATATGACAAATTTTTTGTATCCTCCTCACTCACCGGATGATTTTTAGTTATCTGATAAAAAGAAAACATCTACAAGAGCGGAAAAAATAGCAAGATACGCCTGACTCTTCTTCCGAGTTTGCATATTTGTTTTGGTGGGAGGGGGAACGAATGTATGATAGCTTTTTTCCGCTGCGAGGCCCTCGACATCAACAGCGATTTCGTCTATATCTTCACCAAAGTCACTGAAAGCAACTTATTTTCGACGTTGACAGTTTAAAAAATATTATTGTCAATAATGCTGAGCACAGGCTCAACCGAACAGCAGCTTTTGGCTGCTGATGGGGATGTGAAACCCAGATGGTCATTTATTGAGAAAGCCGAACGGTCACATCGTCGTATACCCGGGCTGAGAAAGATACCATTGCCTGCTCTGGCTATTATTCTGTTTGTCGCATTGATAAATATACTGGTCTGGGTTGCGGCAGGAATTGTGCTGGTGAGCATTGTATATCCGTCTTGAGCAACTTTTCCGTTAATGCTGACATGAAATAGGCATATCACCCGTAAGCCTGCTGGAGCCGGTATAAGTCTTAGGTTAACTAGTTACTAACTCCCACAATCGACTCGCATAGATTCCTAGCCTCAACGGCGGCTCTTGCATATTCTCTTGGATTACGACATGCCCTTGATGCGGACCATATATCTGTAAGTGAGTTATATAACTTACATTGACAACAGTACCTAACGATCCATTACAGGCCATTGACTTAATGACTCGGCGTCTCCTTGCAACTGGCCAGAAAGCAGTTACAGTAGGGACTTTTTTCTCTCTTGGCCATTCAACGTAAGTTCTTACCGAAAATACGCAGCCTGTTTGTTAACTAACATTCCTAGTATCGTTATCATCACTTCAATCGTGGTGGCAGCCACTGCAGCAGCGGTATCAGACAAATTCGACAGATATGGATCTATTGGGGGCATCATCGGCAGCTCTGTCAGCTCCGCATTTCTGATCCTCCTGGGAGTCATGAATGGGTATATCTTGTATAAGCTCATTCTGCAAATGAAGAAAGTTCTTCGCGACAAGAACAGGGGAGAGGAAATGTGGAAAATTGAGGGAGGAGGTATTCTCTTCTCCATTCTCAAAGGGATGTTCAAAATAATCGATCGGTAAGTCAACCTGGTTACTTTGCTAAGCATAAGCCTAATATACTATGCTGATAACTAAATGTTAGGCCGTGGAAAATGTATCCACTTGGAGTTTTATTTGGACTTGGGTTCGACACATCTTCGGAGGTTGCTCTTCTTGGGATATCATCTATCCAAGGATCAAAAGGAACTAGTATCTGGTTGATATTGATTCTTCCCATTCTGTTCACATGTATGGCCCAATATCCTTTATATCCATGTGGTTCGATGCTGATCTGATGTGTAGCTGGTATGTGCCTGGTCGACACTATTGATGGTGCTCTCATGCTCTCTCTCTACGTTCAACCAGCAGCACATTTTCTGGACTCAAAGTCAACGTCATCAGCTGCAGAATCCGATACGCCTATCCTCCAAGAAGTGGTTGAGCAACAACCAGCCCCAGCCGAAGAATCAATATCCCGGAATCCACGGGACCCGGTTGCATTCCTTTACTACTCCATAGTCCTCACTTCTCTGACAGTCATAGTTGCTATCGTTATTGGCGTCATCCAGCTTCTAACCCTCCTCTTAAACGCCCTGAAACCAGAGGGGAAGTTCTGGGATGGCGTTCAAGTTGCTGGTGACTATTACGATGTCATTGGTGGTGCTATATGCGGACTGTTCATCATTGTTGGAGGCATAAGCGTCTTAGTTTATCCACAGTGGCGACGGTGGGCTGAGAAGAACCAGGCAAGCCTTCCAAGCGACGACAGTCACGTCAGAGCCCAGGCTGACGAAGAGAGTCGAATTGGGGACCTGGGTGATGCTGCGAATACGCGAGGTCAGTCGCTTTATCAGGCAGATGAAATACCTGCAGAAATCTCCACAACAAGGACTGCGGCTGATACGAAACTTGTTTGAACGAAAAACATCCATACTACGACTATCGATCGGCTAGCCATCCGATTAGATTCGTGACCCTTGGAGATAGATATGACGATGAAACGAAGGTTTATCGAATATTAATTAACCGTGATTTAAACAGGGTTTGCGATGGTATAAACGCACTACAGAGTATTTCATATCATAGATCGTGATGTGCCGATCACATACATCAAACGAATCGGCTTTGACTTGTTTGTAGCTTTGCCTCCATAGATATGCAATGAGGTAGTAAGCTAATGTGAAAACATACCTTGTAAGATGACAGTAGAAAGAAGAACGTGTATCAAACAATTATTTTGGTTATGATTGTATATTCAAAGGTCTAACTAAATACAGAGTAGTTAATAGTTACAATTAAGGCATTGAGTAACGAAAAGAAGCGAAAGTTCATGAAGCACGGCTTCAAGTTATGATGGGCATCAGAATTCCGAAAGTCAACCGCTTAGTTGAAGAAGCTGCTAAACATCTTGCGCCAGTGCTCACCACCGAAGTACTTCTTCCAGAAGCCGTCGAAGTCGAAGTCATCACCACCTGGGAAGGGGGTGTGTGGGTGCTGGGGAGTTGGTGGCATAGGGGCAGGGGCGGGAGTGGATGGCTCGCCGGGGGCAGGCTGCTGAGGTTCGGTTGGCTGCTGGGGCTCGGATGGGTGAGATGGCTTGGGAGATGGCTTGGGGCTCTTGCCGTCACCCTTAGCACCGCCGTTGTTGATGAGAACGTTGGTTGGGGTGCCTGGGCCGACATCAGAGATGGAGGCGCTACCGAGCTGCTTGAGACGGTCGCAGACGGCACCGCCGGAGATACCCTCGAGAGCCATGAGGTAGGCGGCGAGACCAGCAACGTGAGGAGCAGCCATGGAAGTACCAGACATGGACTGAGAACCACCACCTGGGCGGGCAGAGATGATGTTGGAGCCAGGGGCGAAGAGGTCAACTATGTCAAGTTAGTAAAGATTTCTTAGATAAGATATCTTAGAACAGATGACTTACGAGATGGACCCCAGTTGGAGAAGGAGGAGCGGCTATCATCCTCAGCAGAGGCACCGACGGTGCAGACGCTGGGCTCGGAAGCAGGAGAGCTGCTGCGAGCATCAGTGTTGTCGTTACCGGCGGCAACGGAAAGGAACATGCCCTGTTCAACAGCCTGGGCGGCAGCACGGTTGAGGGCGGAGCTAGAGCCACCACCGAGAGACATGTTCATGACAGCCTTGTTAGTGCCGCCGTTCTGGCGAGCGTGCTCAACACACCAGTTGATACCAGCAACGATGCCACTGGTAGGGCCGCTTCCGTCATTGCCCAAAACCTTGACGGCAACGAGCTTAGCCTTCTTAGCGATACCGAACTCCTTACCGACCATGGTGCCGGAGGTGTGGGTGCCGTGGCCACTGCGGTCATTGTCATCACCGTCGTTTACCTGGTTAGAACCCCAGATAGCACGGCCCTCGAAATCTTCGTGGTTAATATCGACACCAGTGTCGACACTGTAGACGGTGATACCCTCACCGGCAGAGCTGTCGTAGGTGTAGTCCTGGGTTCCAGGCTTGGAGCTGGAGATACGGGCAAGACCCCAAGATGGGACGTTGTTCTGATCAACCTTTCCGTGAACAGAGATGATAGTATCGGGCTCGACGAACATGACCTACCAAAACATCAGCTTATATTCCGACATATAGACATACAGAACGTATCTGGCGTATCTAATAACATACCTTGGGGTCCTTAGCAATGTCCTTGATGGTCTCATCGTCGAAGACACCGCTGTATCCCTTCATCTTATGGAAGTTGTACTTGTGTCTCATACCAGCGTTCTGGACGGTGGCACGGCGGGTGATGTTGTGGGTATGGGTGGACTGGAGCCAGCTCTGATGGTGGTTGAAGTCATCATCGGAGGTGTCATCCTTCATCATGACAATGTATGAGTTGGGGACTGTCTGCGCATGAGGCATGGACAGGATTTGAGCGGCATTGGCGGCGGACACAGCCGCAAGGGAGATGGAAATGAATCTGAAAACACCCATGGTGAACGAATGACAGGAAGAACGAAGAAAAATAAAGAAAAAAAAGAGTGTGGTACCAGGAGACTGGTGTAAAAGAATGACTGTAGATAGTTGGAACCTTGGTTGTCAAAACAGCACAACGAAAGCGGATGAATCGATTGTTTATATAGCTATAAACTCCATCCCTGAGCTCAGCCGGAAGAATAACATTTGCCATAGCTAGTGGATCTCAAGAGTGCCCATGCATTAAAATCCTCACATCCTGATCCATTCGGAAAAGTATCCTTGTATCAGCCAGAGTCCACATCAGTAACAGAGGGTAGAGCTTCACCAAGAATGGAATGCGGTCAAAGTCAGAGTGGAGAGATGGTTTAGAACAGGGTGATAACTGCTGCCAAGGAGCAGGCATACCAAGTGATGAGATAAGATGGGGCAGCTCCTGGTCTACAAACCGGGACGCTGAAGTAATATTGCAGACCAAAACCTTCTAGTTATTGGCAGCAGATATATCGACGGATATTAAGTGGACGGGGACGCCGTGCTCCATCCTGACGATTGGCCACACCGGTGTATCCAGGTCTGGATTCAGGGGGTAACGGAATCACTATCGACCATAACTCGAGATGTTTTCTAGCTGGTATCAACGCTGAACCCGAGCTCAGGTTTCTATTGAAACTCGAGGAGGCAAAAAGACAAATACTAGGCTGAAAGGCAAGTCACAATTTATTCGACACAGCAGCTTCCCAAACGAAGGATGTCTGCGGTAGTTCTATCCTGTTGAAGCGTCAAGTGCATCAACGCAATCGTTGGCTGGAGGAATATGCATGCATCGCCAAAGCAGCACTGAAGCTTGAAACGAAACTCCGTTTTCTTAGCTCCTTATTTTTGCCCGGGGACAATACCCAAAGGTGAAGGCTCCGTATTTCTCGAGACATAATCTCGCTGATTAAAAGGGGTTCCCAAGTTCCATTCTTGCACCTGCATTGCACCTGCAAGGGGAAGCTCTGGTCAGGATAGCCGCCCGCGCTCCTGCGCCATTTGATTGGTGGGTTTTAGTTGCAGCGATTAATGACAAGGGTCTTCTTGACTCCTCTGCGACAGGGGCTGGTCAAAAGTCAACAGTCGGAAAGTTCTAGGATGCCTGCCACGCCCCAAAATAATACGACAAGCCTCCAAGAAGCTCGTCTTGTGCCGAGGAAGAAGTTCTGGGAAGCTAAAAGCTGCCAGGGAGTGGGGGAGTCGTCCGACAAGGCGCGGTGGATGTCCTGCATTAAGGAAAATGCCAGCCCTGGAGAAGAAAACGAGGATAAATCATGGCCGAGTTCTAAAGGAAATAATTAATCGTCCCAGCATCAACTAAGTAACCAGGTGCCTTGCAAGGAGCGGTGATGGTGCCACCCAATAATGCATATATTAACCTTGTGTTAAGTTGCATGAAAGATTGTAGTTATGCATCTCTTAATGCGAGAACGGGCAATGAGATGATTTTTGGCTCCCGGTAGTGGATGTGAGTGGGAGGTTGGAGCAGGGCCGAGGACTGGTGAACCACCCGTGAGTTATGCGTTCAAGTACAAGTCCAAGTGGAGTGACGAAAATTTGGTCAGGAGAGGAGAAGAAGTGGACGTTGGTGAGCCCCAACGGCGAGACACTCACTAGCCACAGGAAGCTAGTTATCCATTTGGTTCCTGCGCTAAAGCGGGATAAGCTAGTGGCAGACGGGCTGAGCTCAAAGATATGAACAAGGAAGAACCACGCCCAGGTCATATAAAAAGGCCATTATACCATGAAATCTCCAGAGCTTTGACTGGGGCGTTCCTGGGAGGGCGATGAGCACATATCGCTTAGTGAGTTGTCTGCCTTGGAAACCTGTTGATGAGAAAGTAAAACTTCAACTCCGCTGAGCCAAGTTTAGGTCAACCAGGAAGATTTCAGTCCTGAAACATGTTACTCCGTAAGGTCCAAGTGCTGAAATATGATTCATGCAGCCGAAAGGAAACTCTCCATTTAGAAACGTTTACGGTGTACTTCTCGCGATCCAAAGGCTCAAATCGAAGCAGCGTGACACAGCCAGGCCTTTCAAGGAACAAACAGAATGAAACTTTCCACGGGCGCGAGAATTCACCGATCACTTTGCTTTTTGTTCCAGGCACGGGTAAAATGTTCCTATATGCAAAACCCCCTGGAACATGAATGCAGTTCTTATTTCGCCGGTGATTGCATGACGCCATCACACGGCATAGGTCACCGAGTAAGGGCATTCTCTATAGTTGGATTTGGTAGTTGGTACTCTGCAAGCCAGAACTCATATTTTTCCACGACCTCACTTTCACGAAATATGATACATGATGGAGAGGAAGATATCCCGCGGCTAATTCATGCGTTGTGCTTTGCGCTTCGTACTCCATATTTACCTTCCGTTGAACCGATTCAAGCATGAAATAAGATTCCGCATTTTCACCTCCGTGAGTACTCCGCCTGTACGAAGAGAAATCCCGCAGCTCGCCAACGCAGCCATATCTGGGGTTGATAATGGTATGTGTATCCACACTGGCAACTAGACATACTTGCCTCCAAGTTCCAGTCGCTGTCTGAGAGGCAGGTTTTGCCGGAAATAATGGCATCATAGTCATGCTGCATATGTAGCCGACTTTGTCAAGCAAGAAGCTGTCAAAACGTCAAGGTTCATCCAGAGCCGAGACCACGATAGCCTCATTCCCCTGCATGCTCATCATCCTGAGCGGAAATCGCGGTGATCATCATACCGGGACCAGAGTGAGTATATATGTATTGATCGCATTGCTATTCTCCATAGTATATACCATAAACGGCAGAGCCAGAACTATCTAGCTGTTCATCATCCGCTGAGGAAGGTTGGAAGCATATATAGGCGTGAGTTGTCCCAGAGGGGCCGTAGATGCATGTGTTGCCGTGCGAAAAAGTGATAGGGTCTCTTGCTCCATACTTTGCAGTCCTTCCTCGATCTCAATCCATGGGCCACAGGGCGGGACAATATAAAAGGCAGCTTATCCGCTGTTTCGATGTTCCAGTGGTCCGCCACACTAACAAGTTGGCTTCCATGTCAAACACGGGTCGAAGCGACAGTTAAACTCCAAGCGAGTTCTCAAAAGCAAAGAAGTTCCAACTGGGCGGTAGCGTATGGAGTACAAACTCCCTTATGCCCTTAATTCAAGCAGAGGATCAGATGCTGGCAGTGTCAATCTCCTGCTTGTTGTTTATGTATTTTCTTCTCGTCGTCGTCGCTTTTTTGTTTCATCGAATATCAAAAAGAAAGTGACACACGTGACTCATTTCGGAGTAATATTATTCCTACTGACATTTCACGCGACTATCCCTGATATCAAAAAGTTGAAACAAGAAAACTACGTCAGATCTCGAATTAATCTCACGAACGAGATCATTCTCGTCAATCTTCTTCCAATTTACTGTGATACCTTGATGAAAACGCTCATCAGAATCTTACTGTCTGCCGCTGATTTGTCTTAAGATACCCCTCCATGTCGATGGTTGGTACAGTTGACCGTGCCTGCTTTGGCTATGTGTTATTCCATACCTCGTATTCTGCCCGAATTATATTCAATAGCCACTCGGATGAATTTATCCCATTTGTTGCTATTTCTCTTCTCTATGTGACCCATCCTTCTTCCCAATAGCACCAGCTTCCATGGTTCGTGCACTACACCTTATATTGTATATATTATGAACGCACTGTTATGAAATTTGAGTTATATTGTTTGCTGTTGAGTCGTCCTATTTTCTTTGGTGCCCCGAGATTGATACATTTTACTGGCATGGATGTCTAGAGTGCTTCTCAAAGCAATGGAAGACCGTGAACTTCCCAGTTCTCCGCCTGCCGATAATAGGGGAACGATTGACCTCAGCACTTGCCCCACTATATATGTCCTTCCTACTCATATTTCCCTGGAAGAACTCCATCGGATTGAAAATATACTTTCAAAATGCGGTGCTCCATTAACCTATGATATCACGGAGGCTCAGCTGGCTATAGGCAAGGTCTCCCATGAAAAGCGTGCAGCTCTGGAGCTTCGTTCAAAAGGGCTCTGGACAGAAGGTATCTCTTTGGCGGCAGCAATCGAAGAACCAGCTCAAAAGCGGCGACGACTTGATAATGATAATAAACATATTCGGGTCCTCAAATTAAACTGGATACATGAGTCCATGAAGGCAAAGGAGCCTTTACCATTTGAACAATTTACTGTTTACGAGGGGCTTAAGATACCAAAACCGCCCAACTTAAGCACATCGCCAAGTACAGCCTCACTAGGTGAACGTACGCCTCGAGAGGCTGCGCTATACCAAAGCCCAGGTAGAAGCATTCTTGAAAGGGCTAAAGGAGACACAGTATCATCACCCAAGCAGTTTTTCCCTTCATCTCCATCTCGCCGGATGAAGGCTACCTTGAGCAGTACTCCAACTCTTAAGCAGAGACCAAAGTTGTACCGCGCCTCAACTTCAGACTTGGAGGAAGAAGCTTCTCTACCAGATCCCCCGGAGTGGGTACGCACCAAAGTTGTGTACTCATGCTGCCGCTCCACTCCGCTACATCCCCTAAATGCGCAATTCATCGACCAATTACTCAAGATCAAAAAGATTCGCGAGCTGACTTTGGATGAAGTTGGAGTTCGTGCATATAGCACATCTATAGCTTCCTTGGCAGCATATCCATATAAGTTGAAGTCCCCCGAGGAAGTTCTATCCCTACCAGGCTGTGAGAATCGAATTGCAAATTTGTTCACAGAGTGGAAACATAGTAAAGATGGAACCATAGAATCCACACTGCCACTCACCACTGACCCAGCACTGAGAGTGATTCATTTGTTCTACAACATATGGGGTGTTGGAGCTAAATCTGCCAGGGATTTTTACTACCAGAGGCAATGGAGAGATTTGGACGATATAGTCGAGCAAGGCTGGGATACCTTATCCCGAGTACAACAGATCGGAGTGAAATACTACGAGGAGTTCCTTACTGGAGTACCAAGGGAGGAAACAGAGTCTATTGCGAAAACCATACTGCGCCACGCTAAACTAGTGAGGCCAGATGCCGATTTCGATGGCAAAGGAGTTGAGTGCATCATTGTTGGTGGTTATCGGCGAGGAAAAGAAGAGAGTGGTGACGTGGATGTCATTCTTACCCATCAAGACGAAAGAGTGACATCCAACCTTGTGTTCGATGTTGTTGCGAGCCTTGAGCAAGAAGGATGGATTATGCACACGCTTGCTCTTCATCTAACAAATACTAATCGCGATCAACAGACCCTACCTTATCGTGGGGAAGCAAGTGGGAAACCCAGGTTTGACAGCCTAGATAAAGCCCTGGTCGTATGGCAAGACCCTAACTTTGATGATAGCCCTTCAACGCTATCCTCAACCGGAGGTTCCGGTGATATTCAGTCACCGCCTCACATACCAAAGGAGAAAACGGAAGGAACAAAAGTGAGTGAAGACGTGAAACTACAGGGACCCTCCTCCCAAGATACAGGCCCTGGTGCCCTGGCTGGAGAGCTCGGAACAACAGCTGCCCCAATCCCAGGAAATCGCCGAGTGCCAAACCCAAATCTCCACAGGAGGGTTGATATTATAGTATCCCCGTTCCGAACTATAGGGTGTGCAGTGCTGGGATGGTCAGGAGATACAACATTCGAACGGGATTTACGCAGATACGCCAAAAAGGTACATAACTGGAAATTTGATTCCAGCGGTGTGCGGTCTCGAGAAGGCAGTGGGGGGAGGGTGATTGACCTTGAGAGCAAAGGGAAGACATGGGAGGAGAGGGAGAAATTGGTCATGGAAGGATTAGGAGTTGGATGGAGGCCGCCAACTGAGAGGTGTACGAGGTGAATACATATAATGCTCCGTACATGTGCTGGCTAACACAACAACATCACTTTCTTGCCTATCATACGCGCCCATTTTATCCAGAGCGGAGTCGATGAGCGGGGTGGCAACCAATAATACGCGAGTCAGCGGAAACACTGAGATTGCATGAAGGAGCGGATGGAAACTTTATTGCAGGCATCAGTCAGGGTTATCAAGCGCTCAAATCCCAGACAGTTCTGAAACGCCAGTGGGCCAGCCAACCTATTTTGCGAGAACGAGTTAGCTAGCTTTTGGTTAAACTGTCTTGTGGATATACCGGAGCGAACAGCATGTTTTCCGTCTGCACTCTGGACAGAGTACATACCTACCATCTTTTAGCTACCGCTACTCACTCTGTTCCCTACTAGCACCACCCCTTTTCCAAAAATATACCTATGGAGAACTCCGTTGAAGGAGATAAAACAGGGGAGAGGGAAGGGTTTGTAGGAGGCCGATTACAGCATGGTATCTAAATAACTAGCGAGACGGCTATAACTTGAGCAGGTGTCTTTTCTATCTCTACCTACTTGTCGATAACTACCACATCACGACCGGGACTTTCGAACATCGGCTGCCAGCCATGACCGCCATGTCGACAAAAATGTCAGCTGAAGATGTAATTACATATCTATCCAACCCTCCAGAGCACCTAATAGGGCCAGTGGTCACTATCAAGGAGCCGGCCAAGTTATCAACCCTGACCCATTCTGGTACATCATCTCTTGGCCGTCTAGACTCTCTATCGCTTGAAGTTTTGCACATGATCTTACATTATTTGGACATTCGGACCCTCTCTCGCGTCTCGCGTGTCTCCCATCGGGGGAGGGCTACGGTTGAATCCCTACCAATATACCGTGCTCTCATGAAATATATACCAGATGTACTTAAAGCGCTCGGCCAATGCAGGCACCTACATTTCTATACTGCGAGAATGCTCCTCGACCTTTTAAGGACAGAATGTTGTGAAAAATGCGGAAAATTCGGTCCCTATCTGTTCCTTTTTACAGGTGAACGATGCTGCAATGAGTGTCTAGTGTTTGACAAATATTTCAGGATGATTACATTCCCAAAGGCTGAATCGAACTTCAACCTCGACCCAGGGGAACTTGGACAACTTGCCTCTTTGAAAACTATCCCTGGCGTTTATAGAACGCATATGGTGAGAAAGTCACGACAACGGTTGAAACTTCTTCACAGGGACGAAGTATCTCAACTTGTGAAAGCTAAGGAGAAAGAGCGTCTTAGGGCTCGGTTAGAGGAAGAGGAAAGAATGCGGGATGCCGGCCTCGAAATAGACAGAGTCTGTACACTTTATTTATCTTCCGATTCGCTGGATTTGGACGAGGAAGGAGGGCCGAAAGAGATCCCTGAATTCGCCGGAACGGGAGTAATAAACTTACCACATCTGAAGCCTGACAATACTTCTGAATACGGCCATTGTTGCAAAGGGTGTGAGTGGGCACGCTTGCGATATTACTCCAATCGCACGATAGTTGATGTAAGGCTTTTGGAAACTCCGAGGTACAAACTGCGCTCTCTGCTTTGGCGGAGAAGCTTACGCGCTTGGCCGAAGGGTGAGTTTCTGAAGCACGCTGAAGAGTGTGCTGGGGCGCAGCAATTGCTCTTCCAATGGTACCGGCGCCGCAGGGCCAGAAGAATGATTTGATGTGACTATATTTCCGGATATACCATCAAACTGGCAATGTGCCGGTGATAGTGAGGATAAAACGAGTGGATGAGTATATGACATAAGGCAGAAGGGAAGAATCCAAACATCTAGCTCTGGGATTTTATTTATCTGTGATATGACATGTATAAGGGGATGGTGGGTTGAATAGTAAATAGTAGCTTGTACATATGGAGAGGATGAAGAAATAGCGTAACAAAAGCAAAATAATATAATAAGGCAATCAAATATCCCCCGCGCAGAAGAACCGGTCTCTCCTAGCAAGTAGACAAAGCGAGCAAAAAAAGGGCGATCTAGAAATGAAGTACTAAATGAAGAAAGAGGACCAGAAGCAAACAAGCAAGCAATAACTAGCTGATGGCTAAATCGATCCAAATCCAAGGGGGAATAAAAGGGGGAACAAGAAAGGGGGTGGGAGGGTATAATAACTGCCTCCGTAGAAGGAGAATGAAATCATCATGTCAGGAACAAAGGGAGAAAAAAATAGCGGTGAGAAATAAAGGAGGGGGGAATGAAAAGAAGAGACATATGGGTCAAATATTATACTACATATTGAGAGCAAGATGCTCAAGTCATTGGCCGTGAACTTGCCATTTCTCCATATCGTCCTCTGCTTCTCGTCGTGTCATAAGCATTAACAACCCTCATCTGGCCACCTTCATCGGCCTGACTGAAGGCATAACCTCTCTGTTTGCGCATACGTTGGACCTGGCGGACCTTCCGGATAGCCTTCTGGAACTGTTCCATGCGTGGTCTGTAGTCTTGTACGTTGTACTTCTGGATCTCTTGGACGTGGTGGTAGCTTTGTGGGTAGTACATGCGTTTAGCGTACTTCCAAGCAAAGTCACGAACAAGACAGAGGCAAGGAATGAGAACTGCCATGACCCAGACGGTTGGGAGGGGGTAGAGGTGCGGGATCATTTGGTAGTATTCGAAGGAGAATCCGATGCTGGGGGCAGCGTATGCGTATGCGGGGATGAAACCGAGCCAGACGAGCAATGAGCCGGGGATGGCGATGACGGTGTATTTGGTCCAGACGTTGGTGACCAAGGCTGCCTTGCCGAGGACTGTTGCGAGGACGGCAGTGTAGAGAGCTGTACCCCATACCCAAAGGCCGGAAGTGGTTCCGTCGCTGGTTGGCATGTCGTTTTTGAAGATCTGTCGGGAAATAAGGTATGCGATAAGGGAGTGGTAGAAGCCGTTTCCAACCCAGGACCAGAAACTGTGCATCTTGAAAAAGGTGCCTTTCTGGCCGAGCTGGTACAGTTGAGGGTATCGATCCAAGAGTCTCGCAGAGATAAATTGGTCAAAGATACCCATGGCGAAGGGAGGGAGAACAGTGAATAAAACGTTATATAAAGAGAGCGTCCAAGATTCGTAAATAACCTGTCCAGAAAACGAGTTTTCAAAGGCGTACTTTGAGATGTTAGCAATGTACTGATCAGTCAATGATGAAGAATACTAGACTTACCCAAAACTGTGTCATGTAAAGAACGATATTCTTGTAGAATGAATATAGAATAGTCTTGCTAACACGAGAGTAACTCCAGGAGCCGTGAACGAGAAGCAACTTTCGAAGATATCGGAATTGACCAATCGAAATATCAGCGCTTCGAGCTGCTTGGAGACCCTCCATACCGCTGATACCAACACCAACGTGAGCTGCTTGAATCATGGAAACATCATTGGCGCCGTCACCGATGGCAAGTAAAAGAGCCTTGAGATGGCGTTTTACAAGCTTCACAACAAGAGCCTTTTGTAATGGAGAGACACGGCTGTTAAGGTTATTAGCTGAGTTCAGTTTGTACAACAAGGATTATAAATAGTGACGTACCAGCAAATAACGGCCTTACACATGACGGCGAGATCCAAGAACGTCTTTTCCAGCTCCTTCTCAAGGGCATAGGTAAGTGATTTTCCATCAATGATAAGCGCTAGCGTTTCAACGTCGGCGGAATTGATTTGACTTTTAACTTGTTCGAGCTTCTTCGTCAAGTTATCTCGGGTACTTTGGGCATTTTCCTCGTTGACAATGAGTAAAGTCATGTCTTCTGAAATAAGCTTGCAACTCATGCCGATGTTTATAGCGGTCTCCTGTCGATCACCAGTCAAAACCCAAACTTTGATACCAGCCTGCTGTAACGTGTGGATGGTATCAGGGACGCCATCCTGGAGTCGATCTTCGATAGCAGTTGCACCAAGGAGGAAGAAGTCCTTTTCAATAAGCTCAGCGGCTTTATCTAGTTCTTCCTGTCTGTTTCCAGTGACGGTGGTAGAAGCTTTGTTGAAGACCTGCCACCATTCCTGGAACTCTTGTTCGGAGATTTCACGCATTGCGAGACAAAGGGTTCGAAGACCTTCAGAGGCGTACTCTTCGAGATGCTGAAGGGTTGTTTCCACAATTGGGTTTTCTTGTCCGAGACGTTCGAGAATGACTGTATCGGCTCCCTTGCAGTATATCCGTATTTTGCCATCGGGACATCTGAAGATTGTCGACATGCGCTTTCTGGTGGAGTTGAATTCACAGACGGCCAAGAGTTCGAATTCTTGCTCTTCTCCTCGAGCAGAGATGCTGACGAACTTTGGCTTTCGGTTGGTGAATTGGTATCCTAGCATGACGGCACCTTCGACAAGAGCACCTTCATCTGGAGAAGCGGCTTGGTATTTGATCTCGCCGGGCTTATCATCATTCCGCTCAGGGATGACAGTATGGCAGGTAGCAAGTAGAGTGAGGAACTGGACGATGGCGTCGCCTGTAGGATGGGAATCTATGTGCTGCTTGAGCTGTTTGAAGTCATACATGGCCGTCTCTGTATCATCGTTATAAGCGGCCTTTCGGTCCTCGGGAACAACCTCAGCATACTGGATACCGCCGATGGAACACTGCTTGAACTCCATCTGGTTGCAAGTGAGGGTGCCTGTCTTGTCTGAGAAGATGTACTCGATTTGGCCGAGTTCTTCGACCAGAGAGGATGTTCGACAGTTTGAGGGAGTATCAGTGGGTTCATAGTAGATGTCGAGATCGGAGCTGATGAGAAAGGCGTGGTAGTACTTGACGATTTCGATAGTGACAAAGAGCGAGATGGGGACAAGATTGGAGTACAAGACCCAGTAGGTGAAGATATCGGAGAAGAACTGCTGAGCGAGGTTGACGTTGCTGTAGTCGAGGTAGGACTTGTTCTTGGAAGCTGTGGTACGGATGACCAGATCGCCGATGGAACTTATCAAGCTGAGAGCAACGAGGATTCCAACCAGCATGAGAATCTGCAGGTTGACCATGTGTTCGACGGCCGTTCGTTTAATGGGTGTTGCGGTAGCATTTCTCATGAGCTTGGTTTCGTGTCCGGTGAAGACAACAACACCATGGATCCAGGGGGTATTTCGCAGAGTAGCTCCTCGAAGCAGCAACTGGTCGGGGGCAAGGGAGAGCTCCTTCTCGCCTCCGCCGGATTGCATAGTCAGGGTAGCTTCATAGGTGTAGAGACTGCTGTTGGGCTGTTCGGATTTGATCCTCGAGGTCAATCTGCTAAGCTGGCCAGCGCTTACAAGATCGGCGGTTTCGGGGATACCTTGCTTGATCTTCAGGTTGGTCTCTCCGTCCAAGTTGGCTGTTTCAATGTAGCAAAGAGCTTCGGGCTCGGAGCTGGCGAGGAGGACCAGATCTGCCGGGAACGGTTCCTCGGACTCGACCCGGACGATATCTCCCACGGCAACGTCTATCCATTTGACCCGCTCGAAGTTGGAGCCACGCAGCACCTTTGTCTTGGAGTGGTTGAGAGACTTGTCCGAGCTCTTTCGCTTGTAGTCTTCGACCAATTCCTTGATGGCAGAGACTATCAGCACGACGATGAGCGGTCCAATGGTGGTATATCTATTTGTAGGCGAGATGTTGGGGATCTGTTGGAGGACGGCGGTGAAGAGGAAGAACAGGTTGGCGTATTTCGAGAACTGCTCGAAGAGGAATTTCGGTAGGAAGGTGAAGATGTTGTATTTGGCTGTAGATATGTGGTTGTCGACGAATTTGTGCGCAGCGTTTGCGGGAGCATTGTTGAGCAGGATGATGCGAGGCCCCAAGGTCGAGGGATCAGGTTCCCGTCGTCCAAAGCCGAACTTGAACTTGCTGGACTTGGGCTTGCCAGGGGGCGTCTCGTCTGTGTCTGCGGTGCCGACTCTGCGGGAGGCAGCTCCGGCCTCAGTCAAGGGCAGATCCATCTCAGAGTACTCAGGCGTGATTCCCAGCATGTTCTTTGCTCTGCCCATGATGCCGCCGCCCAGGGCCATGATGCTGTTCCGGTCTCTCGCGCGGGCGTCGCGTATAGGGGTGGCGCCGTCAGACCTGTCTCCGTCGTTATAGTATCCATACGCCCGGTCGTCCTCGAGATCGTCTAGATCAGAGTACCGCTGGTAATTGTGCAGGTCTGAGGTCTGCGAGTACATCCCCGTAGCATCGCCATCGCCTGCGTACGCCCTGCCGGCGCCGCCCTGGGCCTGTCCGTGGGCGTTTCTGCTATCACTGCCACCGTTGTTGCTGTCTATGTTCTGTACATTGCGTATGGTGCTGCCGCCGTGCGCTGGGCGCCCCTGGCCGCCAACAAAGTCATCGTAGGAGACCGACGGCCGCGACGACGGCTGCTCGGAGTCGTTGATGTTGAACTGCTGCACCAGCCTGTCATCTCCCACCGGCGGTCTCTGGCCGGAGCTGTACTGCGAAGGCCCGTCGTCGAGCTGGAGGAGGTTGTCGCCGTGGTCGTGGCCTCCGGGAGGCCTGCCGCTGGCCATGTCGCTTGGTCCTGCGCGACCCGGTCACGGAGAGGTAGATACGAGGAGACGCTCACTCATCGAAGGAGGCTGGATGTCTTTCTTCTTCTTCTCTTCGTCTTCTTCTTCTGCTTCTTTCTTTTCGGCCTTGCTTGGTGGTTGTTGCGGGCTCCTTAGGGGGGTTTGTCTGTCTATAGGCACAGTAAGGATCAGTATCAGGCTGCGAGATCAACCAGCCGCGGCGTCAACTCGCGGGCAAAAGGACACACAATAGCAAAGGGCGAGAACGAGGGAGGCCGTACGCTTGACCAGGCTGCTTGCTTCTTCAGTGGCCGTTTGCCCTGCTGCAGCGTTGCGTATGAAACTCGGGGGGTTTTTTCTGCGTTTCTGCTCAGGAGCGAGATTCGTACGTTCTGCGAGGCGAAGCAGTTCAGCCACAGCGCAATTTCAGGCCAAGCAAGCGACGACGTGTAGGCACAACCAGCGCCTGTCTTCGTTTCTATCTACAGGAGACCGTCTGCGTTTACTCTACTGGCTCGTAGGTCGCTTCAGAGGCGTCTATGCTGGGTTTATTTTTTTTGGTTCTAATTGCTAGTTATGGGACCGGCTGATATCGACTATTAATAGCTCGAGACAGCGTGGGTCGATCGCAGCAGCTGCTGGAGATCCGGCGGCCAGATGCGAGCTGCGAGCTGGGAAGCGAGCTTGACGGCCGGAGAGGATTTGGGGGACGCTGCGGGCTGGCAGCATGGCTGAGCTGGTCGTAGCCGGGGCGTTCCGTCACTTGCTGGAGGCAAGGAGGCCTGGCATAGACATACATGAATGAGAATGGCCAGGCAGAGACATTCCAGTGAAGATGCCACATATCGGGATCCCAGTGTCCGTAAATTAGATTGCTTCACTGGATCGGTAACGTGCTGTCTGTACGTTTCACGGTCACCTCTCGTGGGCAGCGCTGAGCCCTGCCGTCGGCCGTTTCTTCTCCCGCATCTGTTTGTCCTCCGCCAGCCGCGCGGAAAGCAGCTTGTTAAGCTCCCTCACCTTCTCCAGCGCAAGCGTAGAGCTGCTCACCATGTTCACCGGGTCCGCCGGTGCTCCGTCAGGCTTCGAGTACAGCGCAATCTCCCCCGTCTTGTCGAGAGCAACGACCAACGACCCTTCACTAACTGCCTCCTCGCTCGTGGTAGCGTCCAGGAGCATGATCTTCCCCTCGTCGTAGAGATTAAAGGTCACTGACAGCGGGATCTTGGTCAGGTTCAGCTGCACAGGCACTTTCTCCTCCGTAGTGAAGACGGTCACCTCGCCGTCTCGCACTGTAGATTCCGGCAGCCGGAAGTGAAGCAGTCCCGCCATGATGGCAAGACAGCTCGCATCGACCAGCCCGCCGTCACAGTCGAGTATGTGGATGTCTGCCCGCACGTTCCAGCATATCATTCCCTTCGAGATACAGAGGGACTCCGTGTCCAGCGCATTGGACCGTCGAACGATCTTGTCGAGAGTGCGGGACAAGCTGACCTCCAGCTCCGACGGCCTGCCCAACCCATTCAATTAGCTTGTTCCTTGCGCTTGTCATGATTAGCTTGGTCGATATCAAACGCACCGTCCGGTCTCGTAGCCCGGTAGAGCCATATCGTTCAATTCCACCACCACAGTGAAGATCCCGTCACAATCGCGCTCAGGCCGTGGAGTCGTCAGCTCGGCGGATATCCGTACCAGCACTCTATCAATCACACTCGATTAGCACATCTCCAGCCTTTGTATAAGGGGTTATACGCTCTCCCTCTCGCTGTACTCACGTTGTCTTCCCGAGCTGCACCTTGACGCTGCCATGTTCCTCTCCAAAGGTCAGCTCGACAGGCCGGAGCTGGTCGAACCGGCGTCCATCGAGCCGCACGTTCTTGTGCAGAGCTTCGAGGATAAACGCCCGCTCATTCAATGAGATCTCTGTGTCTCTCGCCATCCTGACGGCGTTTCTGTCGTTGCTTTGGAGCTTTTTGCTTCTTTTTCGGCTTCAACTTTGCACTTTGTAGAGTGCTTAGTCAGCACATACATCGCATTTGATATTTTATTTGACGTTAACATTATTATTATTTACTTTTGATATTACTATTTGAGAATGAGATTTATGATATTACGGGTGGCTGTGGGTGGCTGGTTTTTATGCTATCGGAATAAAGGATAGTCAGGGGTTACTGTCAGGTAGGAGAATAGAGATGAAGATCAAGTGATATATCAATAACGGCTGGAGATGATTAAATAGCGTATATACTTTGACAGCTCTCTAACCCTATCAGACGGCATGTAACCGGTGGCTGGTATCATAAACGTTAGAGATTGTTCGCCTGCGTATGTAGGAGAGACAGAGTTCTTAAAGGTTTCGTCATCTCTGCTGGTCAGGTACGTTGTCCTGCTGTTTGTGGAGCTGTATGTATGGACAGCAGCCAAGTTGTAAGGCTGATCGTCTGTCAACGATTATCCAGGCTATGTAGTTTGTAGGAATGACCATCCCGGAGCAGCGGGATGGGCGCCGTTAGCCGTAAGGCATGCTGTTTGACCTGCCAATGTGGCTGTCATTCCTCGGCGCAGGGTGCTTATAAGCTTAATGATAGCTTCTTTAACAATTGCTCACTTTGGCTTATCGTTTGCTCCAGCAAATAACCCTGGTAGCCCAGAAGGCGGAGGAGGATAGCCCTGCTGCCCAAAATTCTGAGGAGGCATTCCGGGAGGTGGGAACTGCGGGTTAGGAAACATGTGCGCCATGTTTGGCGGTATGCTGCCTGGGTAGAAAGGTGGTGGTGGTGGTGGGGGAGGAGTGGCATGCGGGAATAGAGGTTGCTGGCCCTGGCCTAGTGGTGGAGGTGGAGGAGGGTAGCCACCCTGGGATAGCATGGCAGCTAAGCGTCCAGGGTCCATCTGCGGGAGGGATGGGGGGATTCCGGATGCATTGGGCGGCGGTGGAGGTGGAGGTTGTAATGCTCCGATACCAGGGAGTAGGCCGGGTAAGCCTTGGCCTTCAGTACCAGCGTTTTGAATGCCAGGGATCTGTGACTCCGCGGCTTGCCGTTGGTCCATACGGCTCTCATCTTCTGCCTGTGCTTCCTGTTCTTCTTCCTCGCGCATCTGTTTACGTCCAAACCCACGGTTCCATGTTCCTTGCGCCTCGGCAGCCTCTTCTCCGATATGGAATCGGTCCTTGAGGTAGTTTATTTCTCCTGGTCTGGCACGGGACCAGAAGCGGGTGAAGTTATCTTTAGATCCCGAAGCGAGAATGTGGCCTAGTGGGTGCCAGTCAAGGGACCAAATAGTCGCTCCGTGGGCGTATTGGATCTTATGTGCCGGGAATATAACCTGTGCAGGAGTGTTCGTAGGATCCGTAGTGCCATATGGAGCAACAGTAGGCATCTGCCCAGCAGGAAGGTTAGGCTCGTCAAGCAGATAATGGTATAGAGACCCGTCCTCGCTGCCAGTAGATATCATGTTGCTGTGCATCGGGTGCCAGGCTAAAGACGAGATTGGTTTCTCATGACCCCTCAATATACATATGTCCCGCATCATACGCAGGTCAAATACACGGCCAGTTTGGTCGCGAGAGGATGTTCCCAAGAGGTTCGTGTTGACCGGCGAAAATTTCGTGGTGGTGACGGTGTTCTTATGTGTATGTAGTGTTGTCAAGCACCTGCCAGTGCGAGGGTCCCAGAACTTGACTTGGTGGTCCTTGGAGCCTGAAACCAGCAGACCCTTTGTTGGATGCCAGTCGCAAGATTTGACATCCCATCCATGCCCGGTCAGAACCATCTCACACGTTCGAGCCGTGAAATCAAATATCTTCAACGTCGTATCGTCAGAGGCTGAAAGAAACTTTGAATCGTTGGGGCACCATGTTAGATCCCTGACGGCTTCTTGGTGCGCATCGTCAACGGTTTCGACGTTGTTAAAATTCGGCCTCCAATACTTGACATCGCCCTTTTGTCCGCCTGATATAAGCCAGTCGTGGCTATGCGACCAGGCAGCCGATGTCACGCCAGCCTGAAATTGGTCATAATGCGCCTAATTTCCCCCAGTTAGCAACCAGTCCTTATACATAGAAGCTGACTCTGCCTTACATCCATGACAGTTTCAAAATTGAAAGCCGTGCCGTTCCATAGCATGAATTCACCCGTGTGACCACCGGTAAGCAAACGACGACCGTCCGGCGTCCATCTCACGACTGTTATAGGTTTCTTTGATTTTCCAATGGACTGATGTAGGTGTCGAACGGGAATCGTACTCGCTGCGGAATGTATAGTAGCTACCGGAGGAAGTATCTGCCCGAGTAATTCAAGGTAAGCATATATTTCCCCCAGCTCAATGGAATAAATGAAAAACACCGGGTTAAAAAGGACGACAAACATCAACGGTATAGCTAGCACTCGGCCGCTCTGCCTCCAGTCTGGGAGCTCCCTTGTATCGAGGCTGTCGAACCCGCACCCACTGCACCAGTGACGAGCCATAATCCGTGACAGGCCCTGTACAGCCATGAGTTAGCAAGCTGTGTTCCTGATAAGCTCTGCCCTGGGAATCAACATACTCGGGCGTCGTGGGCCCAAAGCCGGCCGCGGCGCAAACCCTCCTTCGGCCCCGTCCTCGAAGAAGGCCATGGCAAGTAAAACGACAGCGTCACAGCAGGAGAGAGGACAGAAAATAGGCCGGAAAGCGCTTCTGCTGCTGCTGCTTGTCTTCTTGATTAACCAAAATATCCAAACATCGACAGGTTTGAGCTTCAAAGAATGGATTATATAATTTCTTATTAATAATTTATATGATACATTAGTAATCAAGCATGTGACCACCGCGTCGCGTTAAAAAATAATAAGAAAAAGAAGCAAAAAGGAAGTAAAAAAGACAGCGAGGACGAGACGAAGCGAAGAAGAGAGCAGGCGAAGGGGATACCAGCCATCAATTCACCATGGCAGAGAGCAAGAAGGACGGGACGGCGGCGGGTGAGCCAGGGGAGAAGAAGAAGCGGGCCGAGTTGACGCCGTTTACGCGAGGCTTGATACTTGGGCGGCGCATGGCTGGGGCATCACTACGAGAGATCTCAAGGGCACTCAATATCCCAGTATCTACGGTGCAGAATACCATCATGAAGGAGAGCTCGCGGGTCGATGGGGTGTCGAAGCCGCGCTCGGGAAGGCCCAAGAAGCTGTCAGACCGTGACATCCGCATGCTCATCTCGCGCGTCCGCTCCAACCCAAGCATCTCGTACGGCGAGCTGGCCAGTGGAATGCCGGACAACATCTCGAAGTCAACCATATATCGGACCTTGAAGCAGCACGGAATAACGAACCGGCCGGTCAAGAAGATCGCTAAGAATTAGGCGGTGACCTCCGCTTAGCGTCGATCTCTATGGCAGGTGAGTCGATGATGGCATCGATTCCAAAGTTTCAGGGGCTCGTTTTTTTCTGTTGGTTTTCGCCACTATGGTTTTATTCATTCCGGGAGAAAGACGACATCAGTCTTGTTAAGATGGTTGATGATGCTGTTAGGGAGATGCTTCGGGATCGTTCTGAGCTACTTGAGTTTTGGAGTACCATTCACCAGCAGAAGCCCCCACAAAGGGGGTGCAGAATGTTGATCCAGTGTGCTTGTGGTGGTGTACCTGTATATTTTTATATGGCTACAACCAGATAAGCTCCCTTGGGATCATGTTTTATAGGGAGACTACGCTGTTGCATAAGAGGATACTGTACGGAAAGCACGCTTTGGTTCTTCGGGGGAACGGCTGGAAAGTACTACACGGTATACACACTGGCTGTGTCTATGTATATAACACCATATGCATAGGATATACCACTATATCCAGCTGCAGAAACCAATGGAATGTGCTTCTTGAGACCTATTGAATCATCGACTTTTGGGGAAATCTGGTTGAACCTCCTGAAATGCGCATCACCTGCAAACTTTCTCTGGCAGACTCTCCCTTTGCCCCTTCCATTCTACCATTTACGTCAACGACTCTGGCATAGAAACAGATTGAATCAGTGGCTTGAGAGGATCCATGGTTCTGGTGTCTGTCAGACGACTCTCCCTATGACGGGGTTGAAACCCCCTATATATAAGTCCCTTTTTTTTCGAAGGCATCCATCCCAGTCTTCTTTCCTTTCCTTAACGACCTGAAAAAATACGCCGTCTACAGCTCCTACTTCCACCTGTCCAGAGATATACAAGGTTGCTGTGTTCATCTCGAAAACATCGGTGCATATACCAGAATGGCTGGCCGTCATTTCCAGATCTACGTCGACCCAGGCTGCCAGCCTGGCAACGACTCCCCTCAACGACCTGTGTCTCTCCCCAGTAGACCTACGCCCGCCGTAGCATACAACTGGGACGATCCTTCAGAATATCAAGTCCCGGAAGTTGCTCCAGGGCGGAATTTTGCAGTACGTAGACTCCGTCACTCGGGCCTTCCTCCCTGCTGAAGACAGACATGGTAACGCATTTTCATATAGGAGCGGTTAGTTAGGAGTGCCGAGATGTCGATCCAGCAGCACGTAAGTACTGCATTCCACCTGCTAGCAAGCGTCTTCAGGTATTTGATTCGATATCCCTAACTGCCCAAACACAGGAGCGCGACGTAGCCATTTTCCGCGTGCTCTGTCCGACAGAGATCTACTATATCGGGACCATGCTTCTGAAAATCGTCCAGAAGCTGCACTTGTTGGAGGACGAGCCCGTGCCTCTCCACGCGCTGATAAGTGAGGCCGAGGAAACCAAATTCGACGAGCTCAACGACTATCCCGTGCCTGTGCGCTACTGGGGGTCGATCCGGGGCATAAGAGACGTAAGTACCTGTCTGTCTTTTATCTCTTATTTATGTTACTATACTAGCCGGAACTTGACTAACGGCTGCATTGCATATCTAGTACTTCCGCGAGGAAGAGCCTGACGCCCGGTTCCCCGACACTGCTGCTCATTTTGCGACGCTGCTTCTCCGGCCAGACAAGCGGTACCTTCGCCTGAGATGGAGCGGCGCCTTCGAGCTCGCATACGGCAGATCCGTCCTCGAAATGGCCACTACCTGGCAGAAGGAACTACCAAATCTGTTGCAAATACCGAGCGACGACTGGATGTTTGGACCTAATCTTTGATATCTTCTTTATCTTCTTTTTTGGGGCGGTTATTTATGCATTTGGATGGCGCATCTTGATACCATTTACATTTTGATATTGATGTTTTATCATACCATGTACAACTACAGGATCTTATACTTCAATCAAGCATCTTTCTCGTTCATCTAATACTCTCCCAGACTCCATTTGCAGCTGTATCCAAGCGCCGTCCGAGCTGCCGTCCCGATATCCAGTAAATAGTTAAAGATAAGCCGCCGCCATGCAGCATCGGAGGCTTAACCACCTAAGCTGTGTAACTAAAAGCACCGAGTGGCTGCAGACAGGCCTGCTTGCGAGTTGCATACTTTAATGCCGAGTTACACACATGCATGCATAGTTATAGTTAGTAGTTACATGCTTGTCTATGTATCTCCCTGCTGGTATCTCGCGGCATCTGTACTGCGCATCCATGAGCCAGGGAGGCAGCCCCTTGTCCGTCAAAACGGCGCCAGTAAGCTCTCCCCATGCGGCACGTCGACGATGCAATGGCCTCCATGGCTGCGTCCAAAGCGGCCTCTGCTCCTCCTGGCCCGACAAGCGAAGGATGAGGATCTCGCCAGCCCGTCTCGTCGTTGTGTCCAGCGATGCTCGGGTCGCGGCGATGAAACCGCGAAGCAAGGAAGCATCCCAGCCAGCAAGTTCTGGCCGGAGCAGGATAACGAGCTGGCTGCTCTCTCGTAGACGGCCAAGTTGGCCGGTCATGCAGCTGTCGATGTATCTGTTCGCCCAGGACTCCGTATAGCTGTGTATATTTAACCAGCCGAAGTGACCTTGAGCTGACCAAGAGCGACAACCTGCTGGCGACAAGGTTGAGAAGACCCGGATCTTGGAAGAGTCCCGTAACATCTTCTTGTCTTCTTGCCGTCTTCTATATAACCTGTCTTCCGGCTCCGTCTGCTTGTCGGCCTGATATACATAAAGACTCCGTACCTGGGCAGCCAGCGAGTTAGTGTGAGACTGCGGTGTCTCTGATTGTCGCCCCCTTCTTCGCCTTCGCACAACTTCGGCATTTTGATACAGACAGACAGCCAGACGCCGGGTCAGCCAGATGAGACGCAGAGCTTAGAACTGCCTGGTACAGGGCCCTCGAGAGACGTCTGCAGGCCCGCCTTCGCCGAATCATCTAGATACACACTGAACATATATTTATTTAACAGCCGAAGAAAGAAAAGAAAAGAAAACATGGCGATTGTGACTGAGACGGAGGTCAGCCACAGCACCGCAGCAGCGCTCACAGAAACGACCAACGCCGGCCTGAACGGACGCGGGAACTCGCTGCAGGAGAAGCAGAAGCAGAATCAGCATCAGAATGGCCATCAGAACGGTCCTCATCACCATCCAGGCCGAAAACTGCGCAGCAAGTACCGCCATGTCGCAGCGTATCACTCGGAGGTGAAGCCATCCTGCCTGAGCCGCGAGACGGAAAAGACACCCAGCTTCCTGGGCTTCCGGAACCTGATGGTCATCGTGCTGATCGTGATGAACCTGCGCCTGGTGGTCGAGAACTTCATGAAGTACGGCGTCCTCATCTGCATCCGCTGCCACGACTACCGCAAGCAGGACCTGGTGCTGGGCGCCGTCCTCTACGCCCTTGTACCCTGCCACCTGCTCGTGGCGTATCTCATCGAGCTGTCTGCCGCGCAGCAGGTGAAGGGCGCAATTGGCCGCGTCAAGAGAGACGAGGCGGCGTCGTGTACGAGCAAGGAGCTGACGGCGCTGCAGACGACGTGGGCGTACGTTGCGTTTGCGCATGCCGTGAACGCCAGCCTGTGTCTGCTGGTGACTACGTATGTGGTCTACTACTACATCCACCACCCGGGCATCGGGACGGTGTGCCAGATGCATGCCATCATTGTCTGGCTGAAGAACTGCTCGTATGCGTTTACCAACCGGGATCTTCGACATGCGGTGCTCAACCCGTCGCCGGACAACAGGCTGCCGGAGATATACAAGTCCTGCCCTTACCCGCATAACGTCACGATATCCAACCTGTCGTACTTCTGGCTGGCGCCTACGTTGGTGTACCAGCCCGTATACCCGCGGACAGCGCGTGTGCGGTGGTCGTTTGTAGCCAAGCGGGTGCTGGAGCTCGTTGGGCTGGGTGTGTTTATATGGATCATCTCAGCGCAGTATGCGGCTCCTGTGCTGCGTAACTCGCTGGACAAGGTCGCCATGCTGGACTGGGTGTCTATTCTCGAACGGATGATGAAGCTGTCGACCATCTCGCTGGTGATCTGGCTCGCGGGATTCTTCGCCCTGTTCCAGTCCTTCCTGAACGCTCTGGCGGAGGTGCTGCGGTTCGGAGACCGTGAGTTCTATAGCGAGTGGTGGAACAGTCCCAGCGTAGGCTCGTACTGGCGCTCCTGGAACCGGCCTGTCTACCATTTCATGAAACGACATATCTTCTCGCCCTTGGTCGGCCGCGGATGGAGCCCGTTCGCAGCCAGTCTAGTCGTCTTCACTTTCTCTGCTGTCTTGCACGAGGTGCTCGTCGGCATTCCCACGCACAACATCATCGGTAAGTCGTGTCTCTCTGTTCGTTTATTTAACGTTATGGGAGGTACTGATTGTTAATGTATAGGTGTCGCTTTTGCCGGAATGATGCTGCAGCTCCCTCTGATAGCTGCCACGCTTCCGCTGGAGAAGATGAACGGTCAGACAGGGAAGATAATAGGCAACTGCGTCTTCTGGCTCAGCTTCTGCCTTGTCGGCCAGCCGCTGGGAGCATTGCTGTATTTCTTCGCCTGGCAGGCCAAGTACGGCAGTGTCAGCAAGCAGGCCTTGTCCCCGAGTCCATAGAGGTTCTTCGTCTTCTTCTTCTCTGCCGTCGCTCGTCAACTGTAGGTCGGTTAACTGCAATATTACATTCTGCTTCTCTTCTCGCCATCTGCCATCTATCGCTAGAAGTTACCGTCGATCTGTCCTCAAGTAAATAAACAAAACACTTCGCGGCATCCCTGCTTCGTCCGCGCTTTCGTCCGAGGATTCGGCTGCAAGAACTGCACCGGCTCGGTTGGTCTAATCGCCCCGTATTCCGTGTCAAGGGCCAGTCGACGGATGAGCTCGAAGCTTCCATGTCGTACGCTCTGCAGCCTGAAGGATGATCTGTAGATCGGGGGTAGAGCTGTATAAATATCTAGATCTCTCGTAGTGTTTTGTAGCTGTTAATTCTCCATCTTCCCCGTTGCGTCATAGTCGAACCAGAATAACACTTGGTCAACACAAGAATAACACATCTACAACTACACAACAACCACCACGGCTAAATCTCTATAGTCAAATCTCTAGTCAAGTCTACGGTCAATTGATTCAAGATGATGATCCCAGTCCCAGACGGTTACGGGTGAGTTAGCTGCCAACATCTCAGGACGAGCACAGCTAACGTCTGCCACCAGCAACATCATCGCCGTCGCCCTCGGTGCCATTCCAGTGCTCGGCTTCGTCCACGGTATAATCACTAGCACCAAGCGCAAAGCAGCTGGCATCCCTTATCCTCACAGCTACGCCTCCATCGAACAATGCAAGGCCGACGTGAGTTATCTCCCCTGAATACTTCCGCCTAGTTTAGTCCAATGCTAACGAGTTGACTCCGTAACTACAGCCGAAAGCCGATGCCTTCAACTGCGCCCAGCGAGCCCACACGAACTTCCTTGAGAACGCACCACAGACGATGCTGCTCACCCTCATTGCTGGACTCAAGTATCCTGCCGCCACGACCTTGATCGGAGCTACCTGGGTGGTGATGCGTGTGCTCTTCTTGTACGGATACGTGTACTCTGGCCAGGCTGCGGGTGCCGGAAGGAAGTATGGAGGAGGCTTCTGGTTCGCTCAGATGGCGCTCTGGGGAATGACGGTATTTGGAGTTGCGTTGCCCATGATGCGGACTCCTGCTTCGCCTTTCTAGCTTACGGCTTATGTATGATACTTGCTTTGCTTTCTTTCTTTCTAGTTAATATGGGGTAAAATGGACATTCTAGTGCTTCTACTCATGAACTTTTTTTTCATTTTTGAGATATGCGTTGGAGGTATGCGTTCCATCCAGCAGCTTGGTACTGTTTTATAGCTTCCACCGGGTCAGGAGCAGCATATATACCCCTTCCTGAGATGATGAAGTCTGCTCCTCTCCCCACAGCCGACTCGGGAGTCTGATACTGCTGACCCAGCTTGTCACCCTTTGAAGCAAGATTGACACCCGTCGTGAACAGCACAAAGTCTTCATCTGCCTTGCGCTCTGTCTCTGTCTGGATATCGCTTAGGGACCGCGTAGCCACGAACCCCATGACGAACCCAGCATGCTTCCTAGCCATCTCGACAGATAGCTTGGTGTACTCGCCCGTCGCCATTGAGCCCTTGGAAGTCATCTCGGCGAGGATCAACAGACCCCTCTCGCCCGCGGGGTAAGGAAATTCGGCGGAAGAAGATACCTGCGCCAGGGCGTCGACGATGTCTGACCCTGCTAGCACGGCACAGTTGACGATATGCGCCCATTCAGAGATACGTAGGCTGCCGCCATGGTACTGCATCTGGACGGTGTGGCCTATATCGACGAATTTTCTGTCCTCGAAGATAAGGAAGTTGTGTTTCTGTGCGGCGGCCTTGAGACCATCGACTGTCTGCGGGGAGAAATCAGTGATGATGTCGATGTGTGTCTTGAGCACGACCATGTGTGGTCCGAGGCCTATCTTGTGCTTTATGTCAGGTTTTCTTTTTTTTTCTTGTTATTGTCGTAGGCAATGGAAGTGTCGAGACTCACGCTCGGCCAGGTCTAGCAGTGCGCTGGTGGTGGTGACATCTGCAGAGACGACCACGTTGGACTGCTTCTGCTCTGCTATCTCGAACAGCCGCCGTACAAGCGGGTTCGCGTGCGCCTTTGCGCGGTCCCCGTACGAGGCTTGGGACCTTGACGCCATGGTGTCTTTGTCTTCGTCTCTGTGATGTCTCGTGAAGTAGATGTTGAGTAGATGTTTAGATGTCCCGCAGCAAAAGAAAGACTTACTAAGAAGCGCGAAAATGTAGTCTATATAACCACCGCCAAGCCTTATGACATTGTTTATTGGTGAAATTGAATTAAAGCTGAGCTTAAAAAATGTTTTAATTGGTCAATTCATCAATAAATAACGTGACCTCCATAGACTCTATATGACTAAGCCATCCTTATCCCCGCAGGCTATCTCAAGATACAAACATCGCATCAAATAAATCTTCCTTTAGCTGGAAGAAAACAAGCAGAAAATATTCAGATCGGTGATATCAATATGTTTAGACATAATGCTGTCGTCGGCTGGCAAATGTTATGAGCTTAGTAATACCATTATGATCAACCCAGCGCTTCTCCTCACAACGAAAATGGCCTTGTGGTCTAGTGGTATGATTCTCGCTTTGGGTCACCGAAGTTGCGAGAGGCCCCGCGTTCGAGTCGCGGCAGGGCCCCATTTCTTTTTCTTTTTTCTTTTTTTATTCTATTCCCTCTATATGCTCGCTCTTGGTAACTGCTATGGACTTTTTCAGTCAATAATACTTTTCATACTGTGGGAGAAGTAGTAGTGCGGGTGGTAATACTAGTTATGTACCTGGCTGTATAACTACATTGTAGAGAAACTATCAACGATTGCCTACTTGGTTATCCTAAAACAATCATGACTCTGGCATTCAGCTGGCGCGGAAGCCCAAGTAACTGAAAATGCTCCAAGAGATCGGTGAGCTTGACTTCTAGAATGCTAGGTATCATGAAGCACCGGCGCTGAAAAGGGATAATTAAAATGCTGGGAGGAGGGAGGAAGCCTGTGGGATTAACTGGGCTGTCCGTTCGTACAGCCCTGGACGAGTGTTTGGAGAGCATGTAGAAACTGGCGACCGTATAACCTATAACCTGCTATACTGTCTGGGTATATACGGAGCACAGCACACAAATCACAAGGTCGATGGATCAGAAGATACCATCTTCAGGATAGGAAGGATGATAACGATGACCAGCCAGCCATTATCCAATACTCGTTCATAATGATGGATATAAAAATTTAACTAGTAGCAAAGACAGGTAAACGAGGTTTAATATTATGTTACTACGCCTCACACCGGCCAAAATTGTCACAGCGACATTGATTGAATGATGGACAACTATTTATATTGTAAGCATAGCTGGTCAGCCCAATGAAAGAAGGGGGAAAAAGCAAACAGCAATTAGCAACAGAATGGTACTTACTAGACAGGTTCCATTCCGAAAACCACATGCCAGACTTTCTCCATCACCCAGCCTACCCCAAAGCTGTCGGTGGTTCTTGTCCCAGCTACCCAGCTCAACATCCTCTCATAGTCTGCTTTGGGCCTTTTCAAGACCTGTTTCCGCGACACTACAAACTGCGCACAGCATACTCCGCCAATATGTTCTGGAACACTTTCGTAAGGGACTTGGAATAGGTACATGTAGATGTCCGCTAGATATAACCGAACATCCTTGTGACGGGCATCTTGTAGGGAGGGATGTCGTGGATTTGCACTGGTAGGGCAGCCGGTGTCTAGGGAGCAGCGTAGATTGACGTAACCTTGAGCATCAGCAGCCTGGTACCGGAAATTATACAACACTTCACTGGTTTTGCTGCCAAAGAAATTCGTTGTGCCATTGGTCCTCGTCGGCATGGATGAATACTAGATAGTCCGGTAGGCTTTCGTAGTATTCAACAATGAAAGTTAGGTAGGCGACAGCCTCGCGACCCTGGATTTCACGACCTGGCGCAGAGTACGGGATTAAGAAGCCTTTTTCAGGTGTTGATTCGGTTGTGTAGATAAAAGGCGTATAATCTGGACTGTGGCACATGGGATAGGTAGGTAAGCGGATGGAAATTGTAATCGCCGCACGGATTTGAATTTGGCTCTCACAACTGCATGCAGAACACTTCGAGCCATCGTATGTCTTCCTTTCTTGTTTTTGCTAATATCAAGGCTTTGTGGACATTAGTTGCGTTACGAGGGAAAGTGAAAGAATATAGAGGTTCCGTCTCTAGATATCACAACACTATTAGACTCTTCCAGGCGGCAAAATATCTGTATGGGAGAAGCATTACCGATCGGCGGCTGAGCCGGCTTCCTGAATTGCAGGTAGTACAATGTAAAACTAAGAGCAACTAAGGTACAGACCACCAAGGCGGACTGGACACGTTTCGACGGCCAAAACATTCGTGACATTTTGTGCGATAGGCAGTAATAACGGTAATAAGCACTCCATCTTATATAGGTACTGGAGGCCGTATCTCAGCCTCATAAGCTGTCTAAGCTCAATCTCAGTGCATATATGTCGCACATACGGGTCCGGCGTAGAAATTGGAAGCCAAGGAGCAAACGTCATTCTCGCACACGCGTACTCTGTACTCTGGCCCTGCCGGAGGAAAAAAATGATCTGCAGCTTGACAATACCCACTGCAAACACGATGCAGCTCATCAACAACACGGAGCCGGCAGTTGTGGGAGGTAATCATCACGTCAATCTCAACCATGCCCCGTAACTTATGAAGTACGGATCACACGGAAGGGAGATTAATTTCTCATAAGGGTTTCGATGCATGACAAGAGAACGATCCATAGAGCTGGGAACCTGTTGAGCTCCTGTTTTTGCAAGGGTTCATCCGTTTTGAAGCGAGTTCTGTTGCTTTGCCGAGCGCTCAGCAACCTGCAGATGGCGCAGCGCTAAGCACAGTAACTAATTACCGCTAAACGCGATTTTGTCTCATCAAGGTTGCCAGTAGTTTTCGATTGTGTTAACACGGCAGACTCTCTCGATTTGTGACGCGCAAGATGGTGAGTGTTGAAAAAGATCAACTCGTTAACATTAACATTTTTAACATTCGTAGATCCGGCAAGTCCCGAGAGTTTGGCGCTGGCTGAACCTAAACGCAGCCTTAGCAGTTGGCCAGTTAGTTAACTAGTTAACTGGTTACACAGCTCATTTCCCATGGCCCGATATACCCTAGTATGGCCGTCGAAGTGATACAGATATGTATCTCTAAGGAATAGCAAGGCTAAGGCACGTAAGTCTTAAACTAGGCATAAAGATGAGTTTAATGAAAAAGAGAAAGCGCGTTGTGTACTTCATGAATATACTCCGATAAAATCAAGGCTAGTAAAACGAGCTAGGAGTCGGTTTCTATAGTAGCTACAAGCTTGCCATTGACAAGGAAGAGTAAAGCAACGATCCGTATTTCTATACTTGAAGAGGAGCACAACACACAAAATTCGATGTTGAAAAGAAAGAAAAGAAAAGGAAGAAATAGGACCCTTCTAGATTCTATTGGTTGCTCGTTTCGCTAGGGTGGTCGCTGGCGCCGGCGAACACCATTCTTTGATATTATTGATGAGTTCAATAATCGAGAAGTTATTGAACTCGACCCCCTATGGTCGGTAGGTAACCCACTTATTGATTCGAGGTTCGTTATTCGTTAATGATATGCTGCGTCTCCCAAACTCGTAGACGAGGAACCAGAGAATGAGGGGCATGAAGAATAGGGCTTTTTAATAGGCACCTGTAAAGATATAACCCCCTAAGATTGCAACCATAGCAATAAACGAGTAGATGAATCTTGAATACGCCCATAAACGCCTTGTCTAAACTTTAAATTAATTAGTTGTGATATAAAAGTTTGCAAGATATTATTACTTACAGTACCATAGAGCTCCATATATAGAGTATTTCCAAGGTCTTTATTCTCGAATATTAATTCAGTTTGCGCCTTACTATATAAGTAGAGGTTTACCCTGGCTCCTTTAAAATAGATAGGAAATCGTTCGGCATATGCGTCGCCGGTGGTAGCTCCTCCAATATAGCGGAGCAGTCTTTTACAAAAGATATCACTTCTTCATTAGTGGCTTCGGGTTTCGGATATTCAGGGCGTACTTATACCCAGGAAGGTAATAGATTAGCAGAGTTACTTTGAAAGTCGTGAGACGGAGAAACGAGACTTACCGTGTCGTCTTTGGTCAGCCATCGTATCTGCTGTATGGACGTCGAGAGAAGACACGAGACGTTCAACATCTTATGAGCTCAGATGTATGGACACTTTTACGTGACTATAACCAACTACCTAGGTGCCTAGTTAACTCCTTAGCATAGAACATATGACGCCACTAGTTACCTAGATACATGGCAATATTTAGGCTTACCTTGTTGTAACCCAACCGAATGCAGAAGTAGAAGTGGGTTTTTGCAGTGGGCTCTGTGAGGCTTGCCCACTGGGCACAGCCGAGCCAGAGATGGAGAAAACCATAGAGATGAACTAAGAGACAAACGGTGGTTAAGCGTGTGTGTAACTATGTCTATGCCGTGCTTGAGGTCGAAGAAATACTGACCTTAGAGTAATGATAAATACTCATATAGCCAATATCTGTGCCACAAAGTTGGTAGTGTCTCCGCGGGGCAACTTTTCCCTTTAGAATATAAAAAGCAAGGAGGATGTTTCTTCTCGGGATACATCTCGATAGTGGGCTGAAGGGTATTTTCTGGCGTTTGTTTGTTGCTGGATGTCAAGGTTGTATTCCCTGCCTGGAATCCAGCAACTGTTAACTACTGCCTCGTACATCCCACTTGCCAGGGTTGGGACGTATGAGCAGCGAGGAAAGTGCCAAAGGATGTCATCTCTTCTCTAGAAGGACAGATAGTAATAATGAAGATGGAGATGTTGGAGATTGAAGCGTTTAAATACCCCAAAGACGTCGAGGTTGAGTGAAGTCGGAGTCGAGTGAAGTCAGTTGCAGTGACATAACGAGCAGTGAAGTAGTTACTTATGGTGAAGCAGCCTTGGGGTGAAGCAGCTTTGCAGTGACAGAGGGCCATAGTCACTAACAGGTACCTAGGTACCTAGGTAGGTAGTTAGCTAACTGACCAACTATGCTAACCCTGAATCATTCGATCGATATTTCGAAGGTAACTGCGCGAGAAAGTTCGCCAAACAGATAGTCGCTGGCCATGCTATCAAGTTTGACGACTTTATATCCCGTATTGAGAGCACTGTGAACAGTTTTTTTGTCAACGAAGTCTTTGACATAAAAAGGGGCCTGGATGCTCCTATATTCCCCATTCCTCATTTCTCATTCAAATTCCCCATTCATATTCTTCTCTTTCAAGGGAAGAAGAACCCCAGTCCTTCAGAATAGCTATCCATGGCCGCCATCTGGACTACTTTCGAGAGAACTGGAGTTACTGTCCCCCGAACTAGCTGTTCGTTAGATATCTCAACCTCGAGATACCAATCTTCAGTGTCATCTATTCCTAAAGATGAATATCTTCAACTTTCCGGAAATACCATATATATTGGTTTACACCGGCTGGATCGTGCTGCATCAACCGGAGCCCTTTAAGTCTGGCTGGAACCGTCATGGCTAGACCGTCAGCCCCGATGTGCCTCCAATTTCGGTCTACTATATGAACAGCCTTATATGGCAACCATTTGCCTTGGAGTATATGTGGACAATGGCACTAAAAAGCTATCGTTGTTAGCTATGATGGTGACTGCCCATTATTACCAGTCCCAAAAACCAGTTCTTATTATTCTTGGGCTGAATTGTGGGCTGCTTAAAGTTGGAGGAGAAACTGACGGCTATGAACGCGTCCCTGGACGTATTATCTGGAAGCGGAGCCTAAAGAAATATCAAAGATATAACTTCACCCTGCCGACCCGGCCACTGGTGTGGGCTCACTCTAGCCCCAGCCCTAACCTAACCAAAGCATCAAAAAATGCACCATCATTAAAAAGCGGCCTCCGCTCGATGATATGGGGCTTGATAGGTCTATACAGACGCTTATGACGGCACTAAGGGCATCTATAATAAGGATCTAAGCCCCTGGCGAGCCATTTCGCCTGCCCGGAGCGACTCTGTTGGTCGCTGGATCAGTCCCTTTAGGCAATATCTATCCCTAACAGTAGGGACTATGCATCATATACCCTTCGGTCGTACTATCAGTCTAGTCCCAGACATCTCAGCATTTATAAGTACCACATTTTATCAAGGCAGACTTATCAATAGGCCAGGTATAGTACGCGGGGATATGGCCTCGTTCTCAGGATATATGGTGCGGACATTCCGGACTTCCCCAGGAGCCTCTTTTTCATGTCAGTTTCCAATACAGTTTGGAAACGGAAAGCTGGGTCGTCCTTATTCAACCCGCATTACACTTGTGCTGCTACCAAACTTATAACTACTAGGGCTCGTGAGAAGCAATCACGCTCAAGAAGAAATTCTTGTCTTGACGTACCATAGCGAGGAACTTCACGCCCTAAGGTAATTGATCAACCATCATCTAGGATTCAAGAAAATCCTTATCCAAACTGTTGATTCATCACAAAGGAACGAGAAGAGTATTGTCATGATTTCAATAACGCGACCCGGCAGAGATCATGGGGCTTGGGTTTGTTGCAGATATTCAGCAGCAGTATGTGGTTTTGTGAAGCCACACGAATGAAGTACCGATTCTCCAATAGAGACAACGTCCCAATATCTTCGTTTCTTGTTCCTAAAGTCAATCTATTGAGAGAAGCGGGTATCACATTTGATGATGATATTGTTCACCATATCTATGATAGTCTTGAGCCTCAACTGCAAACCTCTCGCCCCATCGACAACGATTATAATGACTATACAGTTGAAGATTTGAGCCGAGCGAGAGATGGACTTGTGGGCCAAGCCCTCCATATGTTGGGGGGATGCCCAACACGATCATATAATACCAAAGACCGTCAATGCATCACTCCCGGTGTCATTAAGCATTGTTATACCGAGTGTGAGAGTGAGCAAGTTACTGATTTAAAGGCTGCAAGGGCGTAGAAGATAACTCCGTCATAGCAGTGGGAATAGTAGCCTGTGCAGAGAGCTGGTGCAAATTTCCCTAGTCGAAAAGAAGTTAATCACGCTGAGGAACCGCCCGAGATTGACGAGATATACCTCTGTCCAAAAGGTACGCAAGGGTCAAGTTGTCTAAGAGAGACAGTTTTTCCGTCTTGGGTATATGTAAATCTCCCAGTGAGTTTTTTCTCGCTGTATAAGTTAATTGTAGCCCGAAGATTGGCCTTCTGTTCCTCAGTAGTCTCTGCGCTATCGATCATAGCCTGCAGCTCCGCAATACGGCCTCCCACATCAAACGGGATTGGGATGGGATATACCGGGAGAGGATTGAAAGGTCTGGAAGACTTATTGCGAGAAGAAGAAAATAATAATGAAGCCAGTAGTTAACGAAGCTGGAGAAATGGAAGCGGGCAAATATACCGAAGACGAAAGTGGTTGAAGTGACGTAGTGGAAGACGCGAAGGAGTTGGCGTTGAAGCGGAAAAGAGTTGGTTGGAGAACTATATCGCCACTGGTCATCGCATATTGTTGAGCCACAAGGGACAAAAAGGTCCAACGCCCCAAGAATACCCTGAGTAATGAGTGCGAGTCGTAGCCAAAGTGGAATATCCCAACACATATGGACAATATGGCGGTCTAATTATTGTTCTGACACGTTACTCTCACTATATAAGCACGTAGGGAAGGTAGAAAGACTTTATTACTAAGGAGAATAAGGCTATATTATTGGCTAATAATAGCGCCTTAACTTACTAAGCTACTCTCTCTGTATTTGTTTATCTTCCCAAAGCACCTTTCCCCTTAGGGACACTTTTTTCTCTCTTCTCTTACTCTACTATGGAGTATAGAGTAGTAATAAGTAAAAGAGTGTAAAAAAATAGTGTAAGAGAGAGTATAGGGTAGAGTATAGGGGAGAGTGTAAGGCCAAAGATTATTTGGTTATCCACCTCAATCCAATAGATATTAAAGACTGAAGTATGAACTGAACTAAAACCTTTGAAGGTGTCATTATAAGATACTGGGGAAAATGTATAATTATGGATCAGGGCTGTAGATTAACCGGTTAAAGGTGTCTAGATAGAATGTAGCTGTGTCTGACTACCCTGCTAATACAGGCTGGGGATAAAATCAACAAATGCTGAACCGTCCACTCTAATAGGCAACCAACAAAAAGGTATGAAAAGTATAGAAACATGAAAACGTCTTACATCTATGCGTTGAGCTGGGACGGAAGGGATGGAGGGCAAGGAGAAGGCATACCCTTATAATCAAATATTCCAACAGGTTGCTGGCCAGTTGGGCTGGGATACAAGGCCAAAATGCAGGATATCAATAACGGGATCGTGAGAAAGTGATAGGCGGACAAAACATAGGAGACTGGCCCCGTTGGCGTGGGACGTCGAGATGAGATACGTAGCGTCGTTTAAAAATCATTTGAGCCGTGTCAGATAGATCGAGTTATTCGTAATTTAGTGACCGTTGGAGCCATTGGAGCCATTGGAGGTTTTGGTAGTCTTGCGGACTACGGCGTCCATGGCCTCTGCGACGTACTTCAGATTGCTGGTGTTCACTATAAGAAAGGGTCATCAGTTTAGTCACTTATAACTTAGTTAGTGGTGAGAAGAGTAACTTACGCCCTGCGATGGAAATACGACCAGAGTCAAGCAGGTAGATGTGGTATTCACGAAGGAGGCGGACCTGTTCCTTGGTAAGGCCGGTGTACGAGAACATGCCAATCTGGTTGATGATGTGTTCCCATGTTCCCGGGGTCTGGAGTCTCTGCAGCTCATCGTACAGAGCACGACGCATAGACTTGATTCTGCTGCTCATGGTGATGAGATCTTCCTTCCACATCTCGACGAGAGCCGGGTCGCTCAAGATCTTTGCGGCAAGTCGTGGTCCTACATTGGTTTAGTTAGTGTCACTGCATGAAAATGTTAGAAAGCAAGTTATGTATCCAGGCACAACATACCGTACGATGGTGGCGTAGAGATCTCGCCACGCTGAAGCTCAACAACCTGAGATCTGGCGCGGATGGTTGTCTCTGCATTGCGGCAGACAAGGTGGAAAGCGCCCGTTCGCTGGCCGTAGAGACCCAGGTTCTTGCTGAAGCTCTGGGCAACGCAGAGTTCCATGCCACGCTTGGCAAATTCGCGGATTGGCCAGGCATCGTTGTCGAGATCTCCGGAAGCAAAACCTTGGTAGGCCGAGTCGAAGAATGGGAATAAACTTCTGCTCTCGCACAGGTCGGCGATCCGTAGCCACTGAGCACGGGTCGGGTCAATTCCGGTAGGGTTGTGAGCGCAGGCGTGGAGAAGGACGACGTCACCGGCAACAGCATGGCCTTCGAGCTCCTTCATCATTCCCTCGAAGTTAAGTGATCGTGTGGGCTCGTGGTAGTAAGGGTACGTCTTCACCTGGATGGGACTGCCGGAGGTTCCGCTCGAAACGAGATTCCAGATCAAATGGTGATTGGCCCACGTTGGGTCTGAGATCCAGATGGTGCGCTTTGCATTGGGGTTGGATAGCTTTGGGAGGTGGTCTGCTAGAAAACGGGCTCCAATGTGGTTTGCTCCGGTTCCTGAGATGGTTTGAAGACTGGCAATCCGTTCTTTTGGGACGCTCGACTCGCCCGTTCCGAAGACGAGATCTCTGGCCATATTGTAGAAGGGTGCATATCCTGGGATGGGCAGGTATTCATGATCGAAAGTTGGGTCATCGAGGAGTAATTGCTCAGCCTGTAACATGTTAGTGACTCCTGTATCAGTAGGAAAGAGCGTAGGAGTATCTTACCTTCTTGACTGCCGGTAGCCTCCAACTCTTTGCCTCGTTGTCTCGGTACACACCAGCGCCCAAGCTGACTTTGTCCGGATGAGTGTCAGCGGCGAAATCGCCCATCAGAGCGAAGACTTCATCTGCTGGTGCTGTATCCAGCTTGCAAAAGAGACTCTCTGGCTGTAAGGGTGCCATCGTTTCGCCTTCTTTTTCTCCTTTCTTTGGTTCTTGCGTCTAGGTATCCGAGATTGTTCCTGATATGGTCGAGTACTAACCCTGGTACTATTTTCCAGTGCAGTGGGCAGTGACGTATTTATGCTCGATCTCTTACAGGACAGAAGAAATGATATCTCTTTCGTTCCAGCAACCCGTCGAGAAAAAGCCCGAGTCAAGTGTATTCATATAAGTACCATCCGCCGATAGAGTTTTGCAGAAGCTAAAACCGGGCTTTTCAATTCGTATCTTTTCTTCTTCCTTCTGCGTCTTTGCTTTTTCACCCTTTTCAACGTCAGAAAGTCAAAGGGTTTCCGGGATCAGTCCCATCCCCTGTTGTGGCGGCTGGCTGGCTCCCTTTTTTTTTACTTGCGATGGTCTTTTGCCTATCTCCTTGTGCTCTCCACCACCTCCTCACCACGAGGCGCAACCTTGGAAGGATGACGGCGACCAACGCCCAGCGGTATAAAGTAATCTGGTAAAATATGCGCGGACAAGCGGATACCCACGGCTGGTGCAATACTTATATGGAGTAACGAGCTAGTACTTCTGTCTTCTTCTGCAGTTTGGGAGCAAGCCGTTAGCACACTCTGCATGGAGTACGGAGTATCCGCTGACTGAATGCTGGATGATGATAGACAGCAAATACGAGGGAAATTCAACTTGTCTTTGACTGAAATACCTCTTGCCTCTGGCTCTGCGGTATTTCTACTAGCCTATTTCCCTCTTCACTCTCTCTGCTTCATCCCAGCGAATGAGTGCTCTGTGGCTGTTCCTTGAACCCGGAATTTGCTCCCCGGGGATGTTTCTTTGCTGGACGTTCTTTTTTCTTTTTCTGCTTTGGGAAATAGCCGGTAAGCGGCTTACATAAGGAGCACTCGCTGAACCGAGGCGAATTTATTGCTTATATAAGGAATAAGTCAGCATGCGCTTATTCGCTTAGATAAGCTTGCCCCTTTTCTGTTTGTCGGACTTCGACTTCACTTTCGCCGACTTTTCCATCTAGAAACGGAATCAAGATGAGACAAATAACAAGCTGATGCCTGCTTATCAGAGCCATGGGCTCCTTAATTGCGCCATCTCTGCCTGGCGGCTCATGCGCTGTCCTCGGAGCTGGAGTGGAGTGGATTGGCCATTGCTAGACAGACTGCTGCCTGGATAAGACCCCTGTCGAAGGAGAAAGGAGATAAAGAAACGACAGAAACCAGAATATAAAAGCACTCCATTCTCTTCTAAGCCGTGGATACCAACAGGATTTAATGGCTCGACGACTCACTTCGTCTTTTGTTAAAGGCTTACGTGCTCCTCTCAGCGCTCGTTATTCGACAATGTCCCCTGCCCTAAAGCTCCCAGGTTTTGGTATCCCTCTGAATCAAGCTGGGAAATGGAGAGCATCTCTAGGCGATGGATTTGTAACCAATACGGAATACAATAGATCCAAGAACTTCAGACATAAGTTATTCGACAATGCACTAGACAAAAATGATATCTATGGCGCCTATGCATTGTGAGAGCTCCTATTGCTGAAGCCATTTGGGTAATGGTTAGCTAATATTTTTCCTTGTATACGGAGTAGCATGCCCCTGCTTACAACGAGGGAACATACAATGATTCACGTCATGAATGATATCACTGACAAACCCGGCTGGGAAGACAAGGTAATATGCCTTTTTTTTTTCATTCCTTGAGTTACTTCTGGTGACTCGACTGAATAGCTTTTATTTACTAGGTCTTTGACATGAATATCACCGCCAAATGGAGGCGAGAGCTTCTAGAAGATGATACCCTAGATATAACAGAGAAAATGGTTGACTGGATCATTGATGAACTTCAGTACAAATCAAAGCCATATAAAACTGACGGCATTATCTCTGCGCTTGCCTCTGGTGTCATGAAATCCGACACCCTTATTCCCTCATCTCTTCAAGAATCACTGAAAGCATCAGTTGCTCGTCTCGAGAATGTACCTGAAGCGCAAAAGGACTATCATCCTTACACAGATAATCAGGTACTGGATCTGGTCCATCCTTCACTTTTCCCATTGGTTTATGGCAAATCACGGATCGTCAAAGATGGCATTCTCAACATTCATGATGGCATCACTAAATCTGGGACTGGAGAAATAATTCCTATCCCTTCTATGCCAGAAACCGGGGCTCCCGGCGAAGGCCGCCGGGAAACTCACCCTTCTATGGGAAAGATGGATCGCCCTTTCAGTGACAAGTTTCAGTGGCTCCCATGCGATGTAGCATTCCGGCCGATGGATGATCCGACAAATGCTTCGCGCGAGCCCATCGATTCAAGCATTTGCACCATCACCAGTTATATAAATAACTTGCATCCTGAGGCACACAAGGAATTGTATGCAGTTCTTGAGCAAATCATTACATGCACAATCCCTTTGTGGAATGAGACATTATCCCGTAGCAAAAATTGGCCAGATTATAGGCGGATTGAATACACTGCCTGCACCTACGACCCGGATCCAAACGACATCCCAGAAGAAGATCGGCCTCAACAACTTCCTGATGAAAATGAGGATGACTACTGGCAGCGGCTCGAGGAGTGGGAATGGGAAATTCGCAAGGTAGTAAAGCCTGAGCCGGGGAAATTCGTCCCCGAGGAGGAGGTAAATGTCCATGATGATGGCAAAAAACCACTAGGAGAGCGAGAGGCCATCAATCTTCAGAGGGACTACGGGAAAACAGGCCTGCAAATCATTGTGAAGCTGGCGAACATTTATCTTACGCCTGAAAACAATAAGTATGCGGGGGGTTCATGGCATGTTGAGGGCCAATTGGTATGTATTTCGTGATATAATCTTCTCATGCTCCTTGCAAAAGTATAATAACCCCGCTCTATAGAACGAACACATCTGTGCTTCAGCGCTATTCTACTACGACAGCGTCAACATAACCGAGAGCCGCCTTGAATTCCGTCAAATGGCCAACTTTTACGATATTGATGATATCTCCTACGAGCAAGACCATCGTGAGTGGCTGAAAGTAGTGTTTGGAGTCGAGGATGAGTACTGCACTGCCCAAGAGATTGGTAGTGTACTCTGCAAAGAAGGACGTCTCATCACATTCCTAAACACATTACAACATCGTGTCCGCCCTTTCGAGCTGGAAGATCCTACCAAACCAGGCCACCGAAAGATCCTTGCGATGTTTCTTGTGGACCCAAACATTCGCATCATCTCTACGGCAAATGTACCTGCGCAAAGAGAAGACTGGTGGAAGGAACAGGTACCGTTGGACAGGGCTCTGGGAAAACTTCCAATGGAGCTTTTTGATGAGGTTGTTTCTCATCTGGATAACTTTCCGATGACTATGAAAGAGGCGAAAGGACTGCGCCTCGAGCTGATGGAAGAAAGGAAAACTGTTATTTCTGACCACAACAATGAATTCACGTCTCATGGCTTCGGACTATGTGAGCACTAGCCGGCATCTATGTTTTGCTACTATCTACAATATTAGTTTATAGCTTATATTGTCCATCATTATATCAGGGTCAGTTAATGTACTAAGAACGACGGCTAGTGTCCTCCTATAACAGGTTAATACTGCGCCAAGTCTATAACTATCAAATTCCTGTTGCCTTGCTTGGCTAAAGTTTCCTGAACATATCTACAACATCTTGGTTGATGTGTTGGGGCATCGCCAACTACCTACTTCTCCAGTGATGATCCTGCCAGCCCATCACTAAATACCCGACCCCAGACTTATGCCCTAGCCCTAAGCCCTAGCCGCTTCTAACCACTGAGATCCCTTTTGCCTGTCGCGGACTAGCGCCGGCAAACCCCGCTGAAAAAAGTTATCCGCCTGTAGCCGAGGTTGGTCACCTGCCTTTTTAGTGGACACCAGCAGCCTCAATATCAACTTCGACAAGAATCAATCGATACCTGTGAGATGTTTTTGAGGCATGATGTTATGGGCACGCTACCTTGAAGAGTTTATAAACGCGGATGATGGAAATAATAATGGTGCTTAATCTTTCCACCAATAGGTATGTATACATATGGATGTTGGTTTTGATTCTGGCTGCTGCAACAATGTGCATATGGATGCACAAGGGATTTCCTTTTCTCTGGAATCTCGCCAATTGGCTAATGCTTACTTTTTATACACTGAGCTGAGATTAAACAACGAAGCTATGACAGCGCCCTTCCATCCCTGATGCAGGAGATGACCAGGGTGTGGATTCAGGTCCAACCGCCCCCTCAATCATCCTCCAAAGCATACTCCGTAGACATGTTGAGATATGCCACAGCTACCAACAAAACACCGTCTCGCATAAAAACCACTAGCTTCTTTTTCCCCTCACTTCTCGAGGCAACGTGTGACGCAGGGCTTGCATATACGCAGACTCCGGTCCCTGGTCAGAAGCTCAATTCTGGGGCCGCAAATGGGTCATCTGCTGGATCCTCCACCCAACGATATTCCATCCTCTTTGCGACATCTTGTGCAAATTCCCTGCCATAAATCATCCCGATAAAGGCAAGCATGGCGTCTGTACCCGCGCTGATACCGGAGGATGTCCATATATTTCCATCGATCACCCATCTGGCGCTCCGCTGCCACTGGACGTGAGGGAACGGCCTGATCGACTCCTCGTACCGTCTCTTATTGGTCGTTGCTTTCTTCCCGTCAAGTAGGCCTGCTCCAGCGAGTACTTTTGCTCCTGTACAGATGCTAAATAAATATTTGACATCCGGGTATAACCTGCGAGTAAGCTGGACGGTTGGCTCAATGTTGGCGGGGTGATTGGTACCCAGGCCACCCGGAACGATGAGAACATCGATGTCTGTAGGTGGATCATCGTAGCTGTGTGTAGGAACCACACTTTCAGAGAAGCCCCATCCAGGCTTTAGGTTGACTGTGGGAAGTGGTGGTGGCTTTGTGCTCACTGGGCTCAATGTTGGCCCAATGATAGAGAGCTTGATGCCGTTGTTGAGAGAAGTGATGTTGAGAGCATCAAGAGGGCCGAAGACATCGAGGGCCTGGAAGCCTTCGAACAGAATAATGGCGTAGTGTTTGAGATCTACTACAGTATTAGTATTTTGCCGGGTAGACAGTAATATCCATGCCTCTTAGTATCTAAGCTTGTACAGCCTGGCCGGTAAAGGGTAAATACCTGTAGAATTGGCCGCCATCATGCTCTATACTTCCTACACCTTGTAAATCAGCAAATGTTGACTCCGGCTAGAACGTATACCGGTTTTCCGTCGTATAAAGAGCAGTTTAGCCAGTTGGATTGAGCAGTACTCATCCAGAGAACGTCGCAATCTGGACGATCAAGAGGCGAGGAATGGCTTACCGGTCTCTGAGTAGTTTTCTTGAAGATTTGAATCCTGTCTTATTGTCCAAGCCGTCCGTCTTTTATATATTTAATCCTCGTTGTGGAATGTGTAAATGAGATCAAGAGTGAAACCGCATCTTCGTACTTGCACTAGCGGGGTGACTCAAGGTGACAGCAGGCTGAAATATCACATTTACTAAATCTATCAAAATTCATGTTTGGCATTATTAATATTGCGCTCAATTGCATATCTATGCATGAAGATAGGCCAAAAAGGTCTCGTTGGATTATACAAATACGGAATGGATAGTGTAGGATTCACGTAAAATCAACGGGAGGCAAGCCCCTTTGCGCAACAGCGCTGCTCACGCAGTTCTGCACTTTGATAACTGCATTCTTCCAGCCAGACGGTGATAGGCTAGACCTGCTTGAGGGGCTCGTGTTTCCCGTGCTATTATGACAGCTACTGTTGGAATCGTTGACGAGCCAGCCTAGCCATCGCGTTAAGTCAGTGGCTTTTGAAATATCCTTTTCCTCAAGGACGACTCGTCTCAGATACTTGGTGAGCGCTTCTACGTCTTCTTCGTACGGTTCGTCGTCTTCAAATGATGCATACCATTCACTTAAGGCCTCACGAAGTTCCGGAAGAGAAGACAGCCTTTTTGATGTAAAGGTAGGTTTCGCAGGACGCGGATCAAAGCGGAGGAGTCTCTGCTCGGGCTCTACGGGGACAGAAGCATTATTAGATCTACGCTGTTTGATCCGCGTATTCTTCTCATGCACGGAGGCAAGGTTTACGCCTCCTTGCTCTTGGATTAGAGCCTGTCTGCGCTCTTCTAGAACTTCCTGACGTATGTCTTCCGGCAAAGCGGCAAGAAATTCCGCTGAGATCTCGCTACCGGGATTCGCGGATGTTCGTGTGGAAGTATTATCCGGGGAGTTGGTGCCTCTATGGGTGAACAACGGGGGCTGAGGGAGTATGAAGCTCGACTGTGTGTGGGTAGGCCCGGTTGCCGACCTAGCAGCAGCTCTTGGTCGTCCTCGTCCGCGACCAGACCTTGGCTTTGTTGGCGTCGTAGGTTTTTTGTGAAGCGGTGATTTTGGTAAAGGTGTAGGGCTTGAAGAACCGATTACTGGTGCGTTGGCATTTTGCTTATAGTAGCCTAGAACTTCCGCCCTTACATCCTCAGGTAATGCATTCAGGGTGTCCTGATCAAGTTGCGATTCCGGAGGAAGGGCTGTTGATGCAAAAGGCGTATTCATTGAGCGTTGTGCAGAAGCTGCCGCTTTTAGCTGCTCACTGACACTCGGTCTCTCCCTTGGAGCCAATTTAGACCGAATATCGCCTGGTAGTTCTGCAAGAATTGAAGGATCTGCTTGTGTCGGTAAGATGAACTGTGTGCCTCTTGTATTCAAGGGCTTCTGAGATGTATCACTTAGCGAGTTGCTAAAGGCTAGTGACGCAGATATATGTGGGCTTGTGTTCTCCTCCTTTTTAGGACTGAGAATTTCATCGGGATCTTGAGGAATCATCTTCTCCGAGCTAGGGCTAGCCGCTTTGAACTGGAGCTGCTGCTGGCTATTTGGTTGTTCACCACCGGGGGTAGTTTTAATGGGCGTGAGCTTCGTCATTTGCACTCCCAATCCTCTCAGGTCCCCAGGTGAGAAGTTAAAGCTGCGTAGAATGGAAACTGCTTCTTTACCAATGATATCACTTGCATTGGTTGGAGTATGTAGGGCGACACTCTTATTAAAAGTGTCACATTTGCCATGCCCGAGATGTTTAGGTGGATCAGCCGGTGAATCAGCAGCCTTTCGCATTATCCTCATCGTCAGCTGTCTGCCTTTGACCCCGTTCTCCAACAGCCGACGATGTAGCTCCTCACACAAGCTCTGCACAAACTCATCCGCTTGTGTCTGGTTAACAAACCGAATTCCCCAGTTTATTTCCGCTGAAACAGACTTTCGAATTACTTGGTCCCCAACAACAGTGTTGTCGATTCCTCGTGCATACTCCCATAACTTTGCACCAGTTTTTGGACCAAGATGGCCGGTTAACCTTTCCCGGCTAAGCTGGCGGATATCTTTGACATACTTGACGCTGAGTTCTTGAAGTTTTGCCCCCAAACTGTGCGCTACACCGGGAAGATCAGTGACAGTAAATTCACCAATAAAATCAAGCACATTTTCTGGCTTTAGCTGGAACTGGCCGGCAGGTTTTGCCTTTTTCAACGCCAATTTTGCCTGTAGGATATTCTGCCCAATGCCAACAGATACATGGCAACCAGTTTTCTGCTTGATGGAATCTCGCAAGTTTTGCGCAACTGTATCTGCCTTTTCTTGTTCCCGATATGTTGATGCTTCAGACATTGCTCTTCCGTCAGAGCCACCAGCCTGAATACAAATTGCAGAAATATCAACAAGGGCCTCATCAATGCTAACACTTTGAACAATGCCATCAATGTCAAGTATTGCTTCGTAGAACTTCCTGCTAGCGTCCTCGTATGCCGGAAAGTCATAAGATAGTACTTTGAGCTCTGGGCAGAGCTCCAAGGCTCCCTTCATCCACATCCCGTTCTTAACACCGAATTTGCGTGCAGGGTAATTGCAGCTAGCTATTTCGGATCCTGGACCAGTTCCATGTGCAATTGCAACGGGTTTTTCGGCAAGCTCAGGGTGCTTTTGCAAAGAAACCGCTGCAAAAAAACTGTCAAAATCCACATGAAGAATATACCGCCTTGTTCCAGGAGGCCGTTTGACAGATGTAAGTTTTGCGGTACCACGTTCTTGGGCGATGGTTTGCAGCTGTGCTTTGAGCTCCACCTTCCAGGTTGAAAGGTGGTGAAGGCGAGACTCACGGTAGTACTGCTGGATAAAATCGGGGTTCACTACGCTGGATTGCCGGATGTGTGCTTTAGAAAGTAGTAAGGCGTTGTGTTCCTCAGAAGTTAGCTGCTTTTTCCTGTCACATTCCGGGCTCTTGTTCAGCTGCTCCGAGGTGGTCTGTTCCGACTGAGTCGAAGGAAAAAGATAATCTGAACCCGGTGTACCAGCTTCTCCAGGGGCTGTCGGAGAGGCAGCACCACAGTCATCCTGAGTCATTGCTTGAACATCAGTTACCAGCTCGTCTTCTACAGGAGGGTCTTCCGTAATGTTCGCGGTTGAGGAGGATCCGACCGTTTTCCGGGAGCCAAAAGGTGGCTCTTTGTTTAACTGAGAAGTGTACCAGCTTGAATCTGTTTGGGTCCTGTAACTTTGTGACTGGGTATTGTTTTCGGCAGAAATTCTACCGCTGATATCAAACTTCAGAACCTTTTGCGTGGTACCTTCATCAAGTAGACGATACGACTCCCACGGTAACATACGGCCAGCTTCGATACTGTCAACAATCCATGCCGGCTTTACGACACGGTATCTCCGGAACTCCTCTTTTTTTCGGGGAGTTAATGCGCTGGCAATAATGTGAGTTGCCGTTGTTTTCCCATCGAGATACTGAAGAAATCCTCCACCATGGCTCACAATCATACGGTGAAGATCGTTCAGTGACGGTTGCGTGTACCCATTTATATGTGCCACAACGCCTTCGAATATGGGTGGATTGTTTGGAGATGAAGAACGGATTTCAGCATCTAGATTTTGAAGCTTGATTTTCTTCCGCCGAAAGTAATCTCCAAAGCCTCCAAAACCAGATGCCCCATACTCTTCGCCGTCCTCTCCAACAAACTCATCTGATCCTGTTAGCCGTGTAGTATTAAAATATTTGTAGCACCTGCACTCACGGTTCTCGATCCTCTTACGCGTGGCGTTGGAGCCTGCCTCAAGTCTAGAGCCCATTGTTCGGCACTCTGTAGTTGAAAACCATATTCAAAACAACTGTACGCTGTGTTTCAAGCCCCACGATTGTCTGTTCAAGCTGTCTTTATGCTTAATATCGTCGTTGATACCTATCTATTGTCGTGATGCAACTTTTCGTACGGAGTATCTTTAATGGTTTATTGACACGAAAGAAACACGCCGAATGCACCGGTCACATGACGTATTATATAATCATGATGAGCTAACTAGCCATTGTCGGCCTAGCGCGAAAAAGCCAAAGAATTTTACTTTTTTTTTTCTTCTTTCTTTTTCGTTGCTATGTGGAAACGAGAGTTGGAGCTTTCAGAGAAAATTCTCTATCTTCATTGAGGTTTTCTTCCTGTTGCTAAGAGAACGAGCTGGGTCGTTGTCCGTTCATTTTTTTCCCGTGACTTGCACTGCACAGAATTCTCTCGTTTAACGAAGATAACCATGTCGGGAACTCAGCCAGTTGCGCTCTACGCGGCCAAGGTACCTCCAGGTGCCCTGGTGCCTGCTGTTCCCGATGCCGCTGCTATGGTGTGTGGATGAATTCCCTGATAACTAACGAACTTGCTCGTGAGGAGGCGATTTAATTGACCAAAATGCGCTGTAGTTCCGTGTGACCATGGCTGCAATTGATCCCGACGCGGTGCCGGAGTATGAGGATGAGGCCCAGGCCAACAAGGCCCCTCGAGCTACCTTGAAGATCATCCGCCCTCCTCCTGGTCTCGACTATGACGATGAGGACGACGAGGACGACGAAGATGATGATGACTCCGACGATGAGACCAATGGTGGCCCAAGTGACCCCGCTAGAAAGAGGAAGGCCATGCTAGAGGCTGCTCTGAAGGATATGGACGATGGCATGGAGGAAGACGATGATGATGACGACGAGGAGGGAGATACAGACCTTGCTGCTGCTATTTCTAAACTAGTCAAAGGCAAGGGTAAGGCCTTGGATGATGAGGATGATAGCGACAGTGATGAGGATTTGGAGCTCGATGAAGTTGTTGTCTGCACACTTGACCCAGAGCGCGTATGTTCACCGTCTATTCATATACACGCACACACATTGATGAAAGAAAATGCTGACAATTTCTATAGAACTGCCAGCAAACTTTGGACTTCGTGGTTGGTGAGGGTGAACGTGTCTTTTTCAAGGTCACCGGCACTCACACTGTGTACGTCACCGGAAACTATGTCACTCCTCTTGAAAACATGTATGACAGTGATGATGAGGATGATGAGGACGAGGACGAAGATGACTATGATCTCTCTCCTGATGAAGATGAGCTAGCTGCCCTCGTAGGTGATGATGATGAGAGTGATGAGCTAGATGACATTGCCAACCCAAGGGTTATGGAGATCGACACCGACGAGGAGGAAGAAGTCAAAGCTCAGCCCCAGACTAAGCAATCTAAGAAAGAGAAGAAGGGGAAGAAGCGCCCTGCAGATGATTCCGATGAGGAGCCAAACTTGGATGACATGATCTCCAAGACCCTGAAGGACGAGCCAGCAACCAATGGAGAGGCCAAGTTGAGCAAGAAGCAGATGAAGAAGCTCAAGAAGAATAACGGTGAAGCCGCTGAGGCTGAGGCTGCTAAGGCCAGCGCCAAGTCCGACAAGAAAGTGCAATTCGCTAAGGAACTTGAACAAGGCCCTACCCCATCCAAGGCTGCTCAGACTGGCACCCTTGGTGTGAAGCAGGTACAAGGAGTCACCGTTGATGATAAGAAGCTTGGCACAGGCAAGCAGGTCAAGAAGGGTGACCGAATTGGGATGAGATATATTGGAAAGCTCGAGAATGGCAAAGTCTTCGACTGTAAGTACCCAGGTCCACACTCTATTCTTCTACCTTTGTTGTGCAGCAGCTAACACACCAAAAATAGCCAATAAATCCGGAAAGCCTTTCTCTTTCAAGGTTGGAACGGGCGAAGTGATCAAGGGTTGGGACATTGGTATCCCTGGAATGGCTGTCGGCGGCGAGCGAAGACTCACCATCCCAGCTCATCTTGCATACGGGAAGCAGTCTCTCCCTGGAATTCCTGCCAATTCTAAACTTATCTTCGACGTGAAGCTCCTGAACATCAAGTAAATATGGACAGGCCAGTGTTCGTCCGCTTTTACACCTATTTTAATGGAGTCAATGGGTTCTGTTATCTCATGCCATTACTTCTCTCAGTGGAGTTTTCTAAAAATAAAAGATAACAAAAACTGAACAAAAATTATTTCTCAGGCTTTCTGTTGGTTTATGGACCATTTCTCTTTTTCCTTTTCCTTTGTTGGTGTTTCCTCCATGCTGATTTGTTCGTGTTGCTATCGGGCGATCCCCAAAAAGACTGGCGTTTTATATCCGCATGTGTATACTTGATTAAGATTACTTTCTTATAGAATAACATTCAGACCGTGTAGTTTGGCTCGAATCCTGTTCTCGTAGACCATAGCCTTCGGTTTAAATGCTCGTCGCGCCCAAGCCACCCATTAGACATTCCAAACAAGGTCAAGATGTGGCCCGTGTCCTCAGTTCAAATAGTTAAAGTTTTTAAGCATAAATCAACATCATTAAAGTAGTCGACGTCATCAAAACCCTACATGATTATTTCGAAGCGCAGTTAATTAGTACAACTATAGTGTCTTGCTCTGAGCTACCACCGAATAGCTCTGCTGCCAGTGATGATGTCGCGATATTTAATGGCCTATGGCCCCCGGTCGGAGTTGCTGTCAAACTCCAGTTCCTTTTCGCCCTTTCCGCCCACGCAGCTTGGGCTTTCTTTACGTACAATACCACAGCAACCCATAGTGGATTTCCCTCTCAATCATATATACCTATATATATATATACATAGCGCGAAGCAGCTGAGGCTGTTTACTCCCTATGCCTATGCAAGCTGTGAGAGCAGAATGCCTGCTATCGTTTATCAAGGCATTAGTTACCCAAGGATATCACATCACCGCATGGTACATCTTTGCTACGTTTCATCATACACTCCTTTTACTCTTTATTTTATTTTCTTCCAAAAGATCCCAATGGTTTCTGATAGCCATAGGATTTTTTAGCTTCTTTCCTTTTCTCCTACTATACCTATATACGTGCCATTCTCATGACGATATCATGAGCAGCCCCGAGAGTGTATCGCCAAACGGAACCCCTTCCAAGACAGTAGTTCCAGTCGAAGGTAACAATCCGTCTTTGCCTGAGACATCTTTACACATTGAAGGGGACAACAGTACCAACGGTGCAAGATCGGTTCGTGGTTTTTTCAAACAGAAAGGGTCAAGATTTCTTTCACTATTTAAAGCACGCAAAAGCGGAGGTGAGTTACTCCTGGCCTGGGTCTCAGGTGCATCATATACTAACTGTTCCCATGCGTAGGCAGTATCATCTCTCAAGGGATCCAGAAAACGGCCTACCAATCAAGTAGAGAAGACGGAGCCACCAACGAACTTCTAACGAACGGAAGTAGGCCTTTCAGCCCTGAGGGAAATAACCAAAGCATCGACCAGCCTGCAGATTCGGGTGCTTTGCAAAAGAGAAAGGAGTCAAAAGCTGATCACAGTAGGCACTCCTTCGGAAAGGAGACCTGTGCTAACAACGCTGCCCTAGAGCAGCAGAAGACGAGCGCCCCCAAAGGTTCGTTGCCATCCAGCCAGCAGCGACTTCGTTCTGGGATAGGTTTAACGAAGAGAATATCGGATAAATTCTCAATGTCATTCGGACCTCCAACTGTAGTACGTCGTACAAATCTGCGATTACGACCAGCTATAGGGTTTTCAGTTGCTGTACAGCCTTCTGCACCATCTACACTTCAGAAATTGGGTGATAATGCCCAAGATGACTCGGACTCCTCAGCTTCCCACTTAGGTGGAAGTGGCACTTCTCACAAAAGCCAATCCACCAATCCTACCTCGGAAGGCAGTCCTATCTCCCTACCAAAAAGGACGTCTGCAAGCTTGACTGGCAAAGGAAAATGTACTGTTCCGGCGAACAGTGCTTCATCGGAAAGTCCGCAACCGTCATTTGGAGACACCCAGCCGACCCTTATCAAGCCGTCAATTGTTACCGTAGAAGCAGCCGCGGCGGCAAAGATCTTCCTTGAAACTCACTTTGATTCTTTATTCTCCAAAGAGCCTCCCAGGCTACGCCGTCAGCGTGAACTTGAACGGTTCATATACTCATTACCTCTTTCAGAAGAGGAACGGCGGGATGTTTGGTATGCCTGGTATCGTCAAGAATCCAACCACCTCAGAAGAAATCGTGTGATAAGGACACATTCGAACCGAAGAGATGGTAAAAAGAGCCCCTTGGTTTCAGGGTATGGAGTGGTCAAAGTTTTAGGAAGAGGCAGCTTTGGTGTCGTTCGCCTGGTTAAAGAAAAGAACGTTGGCATCGAACCCGAGCTGTCAACCCCAAAGATACCACGGTCGTTCCGCCGAAAGGGTCCAGAAAGTCTTAAAAAGAATGTCTTCGCGATGAAGGTTATCCGCAAATCTGAAATGCTCCTAAACTGTCAAGAAGGTCACCTACGAGCGGAGAGAGACTTTCTAGTCGCTTCTAACAAATCTCAATGGATCGTGCCGCTTATTTCGAGTTTCCAGGATAAACATAATCTCTACCTAATTATGGACTACATGGTTGGCGGTGACTTTCTTTCTTTGCTGATGAGAAAGCATATCTTATCCGAGGCTGTCTCAAAGTGGTATGTGGCGGAAATGATCCTTTGCATCGAGGAGGCCCATAGACTTCGTTGGATCCATCGAGACGTAAAGCCAGACAATTTCCTAATCTCAGCGTCTGGTCACCTGAAGATTTCTGACTTTGGACTTGCATTTGATGGACATTGGTCTCACAACGAGTCATACTTCCACAATCACCGACAATCATTGCTCAAGAAATTGGGTATCAAAATCGAAGGAGACGCTGAGGATAAGAAAGCTGCTGCCAAAGAAGCCAAAAAGGCATACAAGATTGCTAACTCCCCTGATGGGAAAAATGCTGGGCCAGTGGGCAGGGAGGATAGGAGGCAGCCTTGTCCGGGTGAAGACATTCTTCGATGGCGAAATCGCCGAGAGCGAAGGAGATTGGCACTCAGCATGGTAGGCACTAGTCAGTATATGGCCCCAGAAATTGTGAACGGAGAACCATACGATGGTAGATGTGACTGGTGGAGTGTTGGCATCATTCTATTCGAGGTGCGCATTACCTATCATTTCCGGCTTTCAGGGCACTTCATTTCGTTTCCTCATAATCTGACACTAACCAATGGCCCGTAGTGCCTCTTTGGATATACACCGTTTGCCGCCGATTGCAGAGAGAAAACCAAGGATAATATCATGGTACAGTCTCAATTAAAGACATTCCTTATGACTAAAAGCTGGTGGATTGTGGACTAACGGGCAAATATTTAGAACCACAAGCGTCACTTGGTATTTCCAGCAGACCGTCCATCCGACCGACTGGTTTCCAATGACGCCATTAATCTTATCGCAGGAATACTTCGAGAAAAAGATGGACGGCTGTCCTCTTACAAGTATTCATTGAATGATTGTATCCATTCAAAACAAGTTTCTGGTACTATATTTGATAAGGCCGCTGATAGCTTGAACAAGAATTATCAGGGTTATTACGTGTACTCAGATGACGCCACTGATATTAAAGAACACCCCTTCTTTAGGGGGGTTGAATGGGAAACTATGCAGTACTCAAGGCCCCCATTTATACCCAAGGTACGGAGCTGGGAAGACACCAAGTATTTCAACATTCCAGTTGCAGACAGAAATGATGACACTACGGAAGAGATCCTTCCAGAAGATGTCCAAGTTGATAATGATAATGGAGCGCCCAATGCAAAGCAGAATCAACAGTGCCCTAATGCCGCAGAGAACGCAGCTAACGTCAAGAAAGCTACGAAGAAGAAGGGCAAGCGGAAAGCCCGTGATAAGATTCTGCGAGACGAAAACACGGGGAAAATTGCATTGAGCATTCGGAAACAGGAGGCGTTCTTGGGGTATGATTATCATCGTCCGACAGATGTCTTTAGTGTCTTTGACCAGTGAAAAGGGGAGCACTGGTCCTAAAGACTAGTTCTGGGCCTCGTTCTGACGAGAATATATTCCTTGTACTGGGTTTGGGCGCCACACTGGTATAAACCTGGCATTGAAACTAGAATGGCTTGCTGGATAGTTTGTAAGGAGAACTCTCGAGGCGTCTATTGCTTAGATCGTGTTATGCTAGATTGTCCTAGATTGTCCTAGATTATCATTATTAAAGTGCCAGTCCATTCGCTAATAACTAACCAGCATTATTCCCGTCTATTGAATTTTGGCCGGCTTACTACTAGATACATGGATTAGTAGAAGCGAGAAGGTGAACAATATTAGCCGACTTGGGCATTAACTTGAAATAGTCCCATCTAACGTACAAAGTAACAAAGTAGCTCAACTTCCCGGATATTTAAATCATTAATAATTCTGCCGCGGATAGACTAGGAAAAGGTATTAATCAGGGTACTTGACACTAAGCACAAAATCACAAACTCCTTAAACCCGATATGCATTGCATTTATACACATTTGCCTAACATCCTTTTTATTCCATAAACAAGCCAACCAGTGCGCCGTAACCGCTCGATATCGCAGAAATTCGGGTTTAGAAAGATTAAAATAGGAATGTTGGGATAGCACGGTTTCCAGACTAGGAAAGCCAGCTTCCGTTAGCCGGGCGAGACGCCTAATGCAAATGCTGGTAAATTGGAAGCATCCTCTGGCCTCATTGATCCATTGAGAAGTGGACAGAGTCTGAGGAAATTAGTTAGCAAGTTGTACTTGATCAAGTAGCCAAGCGAGGGTAGTGAGGAAAAGTGGCCGGGAGCTTCTGCGGGGCGGAGATATTGAGGTATTATGAAAACTGGAAGAAAAGAAAACTTGTATGTTGGTAGGGATAATGAAATGGTAATTGCGATATTGGTGAAGTGTGGATCGAGGAAAATGTTGATGGTTGAGTGTTTATCGAAAACGAGCAACGCACTTTTTGTTAGTCTTGATATGGCCAACCTGGCCACAGTTAGCACACTTCCTTTGCGTGCCTCCAGGTTTGGAGCCACCTGGGCCACTAGGAGCAGGAGAGCCAGCGGCTGTAGTAGGTGACATTTCCCGGTTACTTTCAGCCATGACGCTTTTCTGCTTTTCTCGAGCATGGCGTCGCTCCTTATTCCGTTGAAGACGACGAAGCTCATCCTCAATGCTGTACAAAGGGATTTGGTTAGATATATAGATAGCCATGTAGGTTAGGGATATCATGGTAAGAACGTACTGTTTCATATTTCGAGCATCGACTTCAGGATTACCTGTAGGTTTAATATCAACAAGGCTATAGAGTTCGGAGAGTTAGTGATAATTCGTAGGAATACTAGAGTAAGGTTAACGCACGTCATGTTTGCAAGATCCGCCTCGTGGCGCTGCTTTTGATACTGCTTGATCACTCTGGCATCTCGTATAACTTCTTTGACTGTTTCAATCTGGCCTTTATTATTGCGGATCTGGCGGGAGATTACCATAACCTTACCCGACTGACTTGATGTGCTGAATCGACTGAACTGACTGGTTGTTTCATCGTCACGACGGCTGAAGGACGGAGTCGGACGATCAGACCTCGGCGTAGGCTTTCCGAACAGTTCATCAGCTTCTCCCATATCTACATCACTTTCTTCGTCTGAGTGATGGATAGTTGAGGATAAGCTAGACTTTTGGCTTTCCCAAATCCGGCGAATTGATTCTTCATACGACTTTTGTTGTCTGGCGACGTTGTAGCTGTGGCCTCCAAGCTCCTTCTGCCGTTGAGCATCAATTTTGTCTTCTACACTCTCACCAACGGCTCGGAATCCTCCCTTCATGGACGTCTTGATAAAGCTAAAGCCTTCTCCACGGCCAGTGGGATCACCTTCTCCGTGAAGCTGCAGCATGGCCTTTCCTTGAGACGCTAGAAGGAAACTCCTGGTGGTTTTCCATGGAGCGAGCTGCTGTTCCAAGCTTTCTCCTTCCTTGCCTTCGTAGTCATCGCCATTGTCTGATTCGCGGTCATATCCGGCATCATGGAGCTGCTGCTGACCAACTTGCATGGCCTCAAGGAGACAAACATCTTCAGGCTTAACATATCCACGCATAACGTCTTCGCTAGGCACTGACTCTCCGCTCTTCATTTCCCACTCTTTGTGGTCTTTGTTAAACTGGAGGAATTCCTTCATCTTTTGTCGATTTTGCATATCTGTTGAATCGGGGAAATGTTCCGTCACCTCAGCCACGCTGACTCTGTTATTCCCATTGCGTTTTATTCGACGATAGCATATCATTTTAAGACGGTTCTTTGCAGCAGTCGTGACTTTTCTAGAATGAGGTCCTGGTACGTCGATGGATGGGAACTGTTGACCAGATACATACAAATGGTCGATGTTCCGTATGAAATAGCTAGAGCCCTCCACACCAGTGCTGTTACGTACAATGAGAAAGTCAGTGCTTTTGACATCCTGGCGGAAAACGGGAGCACGGTAAAGACCCGTGGTGATAGTTGGCGTAGTTTCTCCTGGATCGACATGACCAAAGCTGGAGAACGGACTCTTGTCCTGAGGAAGCAGAACTGCAGTTTCGCCAATCTCTGTCTTTGGCCGAGAGGGGTCCTCTGCATTTTTCTTGCGGTAATAGTTGATCAAGCGGCTACCCATACCGAAGTTGGATAACATAGTTGGATACTCTTCCGAATGTTCTATCAACAAGGCATTCGAGTTATCGGCTAACGACAGCGATTTCGTAGTGTCGAACAAGGTCTTCGCATCCTTTCCCTTTTGATGTTTCCGCTTGAGATGTGCGGGAACCTTGAATGTGAGTGGGAGGTTGGGATGGAATGTTAGTGACGGGCGGTGGAATGATCGAGCTTCGGGTCTCGCAAGTTTTGTCTTGTAGTATGGCCACTGGAGTCGGATTGCAGGCAAGCTGTGCTCCAGGGCGATATTGCCAAGCGTGCTCCGTACCTTGTTCTGATGGTTTTCTTTCAACATGTCATAAGCCGCATCATTCGAAATATTGTATCTTTGCATGAGACGCTTGGTTAAACCACTGGATATTTCACTAGTGCTCTGAAGCTTGCTGGGTTTGATCTGTGTGACGGGTTCGTTACTGGAATAATCATCCAGCAACAAATACGGGTCATTCATATCTATCCGGATCTTTCTAGCAAGTAGAGCTGTAGCTTCAGCTGGGTCGTCAAGGCTGGGGAGATCAATATGCGAGTGTGAGAGGTAATCAGCAGGCTCTCTTCCGAGTTTGCGCTTCTTAGTTGGCTGAGCTACTTCGAATAGCCAGTCATCTTCATCGTCTCGGGGCACGTCAGGGGTAGTAGCTGTGTCATTCTCAGGAGAAGGGCTTTTTATGTCCCAGTCTGCGCAAATGAATTGCAAATCTTCCATGGTAATACCACCTGGTAGGTCATCGTCAGAATCATCGCCGGCTTCTACGTCACTTGATTCGACAGACATGGAGGGTGGAGTCATAACCGTGACGAACTGGTCGGTTTCTGTCGGCTTCTTTTGCGTGTGTCCAGTAAATAAGAATGCACGCTCTTGATCCGGGGCTAACTCGATATTGATCTTTGTAGGATTGATCCGTTTGGGGGGTTTGAGGGGGGCTTTGCCAATGAAGCGAGCCTTTTTAGGCGGTATGAGCTCCATAAAACGGGGTAGGGCATTCTTATCAAACTTGGGCCATAACGAAGCAAGCAGCTCTTCATTATTTTCTGGCGGCGCAGGGGGGTTATCCGGGCCATATGCGGACATGGCGAACAGGGCTTGCTGAAGCTGATAGTCTCGGAGTGTAGCGGGGTCCATATCGAGAGTAGGCGATGGAGGTGCCTCCTTTTCGCTCTCGACATCCTCGTTGAAGATATCGTCGTGCGCCTCGAGAGACCGCTGTGTAATACCGCTATCTCCAAATGCGCCCCCGATACCGTGGTCTGTAATAGGGAGTGAGAGACCGATAGCCGCCTCCTTCTGCACCGGGGATGAAGGTACATCTCCAAACAGGTCGTCAAGCTCGTCTCCCTCGCCTTCTCTGCCTTCTTGAAAATCATCGTCTCCGCCAAATAGGTCTCCCAGGTCGTCGTCCGGGGGTATAGTAGCAGTCGGTTTCGCGCTCGGAGCTGCATCTTCCTCGTCTGGAAGCTCGTCATCGTCAAAATCCTCGTAATCTATCGCGTCGTCTGCCTTTTCTCCTATTTCTAGGTCTCGAGTCAAAAAGTCCATGTTGGCATTCGGCTCGTTCATGCTCTGCACCACCTTATCGAACTCATCGTCATCCTCCGCAGGCTCGAACTCGTCTTCGGCGAGATCCCCCATAATGCCAGCATGCTGAGTATCCATGCCTGATGGCTCGGGAGCGAGAGACTCAGAAGGAGAGGCGGACATGATGGCGCCAGGAAGACCGTTGGCAGCTCAGGCAGCGTTCAACTGGAGCTCGTTTGGGGGGCGATCTGAGCGACTCCGCTGGTCACGACAGAGGCGCGCGCCCCCGTATCAAGTGAAGGTGTCTTCCAGGTGACGAACAGAGAGAAACCGTACGTCTTTTGTTAGTTATTCGTCGCCTTCATCATCTTCTTTGCTTTGCTCTGCTCGTTGCGATCCAAATATCAAAAGTAAAAAGAAGCTTCAGATTTCCACTTTGGGGTCGTCACGTGATATATACTTGGTTCTGTGTTGTTGATAAAAACTAAAGACGAGCAAAACAATGCTTGATAGAAGATTCGATACAATGGTAGTGTTATTGAGAGGTAGCTGAGGTAGGCTGTTGCTGTGGGCAGTCAGCTGTGTTTGGTGTTGCTGTTGGTGTTATTGAGCAAAGGTGACTTTCATTCATCAATAGGCTGAAAGTCTCCATTGTATATACATAAGGCCTTGCTGGCACCCTCAGAGCAGTAATGCATAACAAGTGACTTCTTGTCTGGAGCAGTAATGGCAGCTAGCTGTCTCAGATCTGAGGTACGAGGGAGGAACAGCACCACATCCCGGGTGAATTTGGAGAACTCGGCGTGGAGGACTTCTAGGGAATATGGCTCCATAGTTGACAGGTTGAATACTGCATCAGACCTATATCCTGGGCCTATTTCCAGTCTGTCAGTCTATTACTGTACTGCTTATGTCGTAGCTGCGGTGTTAACTCACCACCCCATGGCGGACTACCAAATATGACACTATACGGAGCCAGATCCTTCAGTTGGTCCTGAAGAAGCTCGAAGCAGTCCCCCACGAACCAGGTAATCTTATCTGCCACACCGTACAGCTCAGCATTGTGCTTAGCGCACTTCAGTGTCTCCCGGTCCTTTTCAATGGCGTAGACACGCTTCCACCGGTTTGATTTTGCAAACGCTATGGTATTTCCACCTGCTCCAGCAAATACATCTATCAAGATACACTTCTTCTCCGGAGCTGCCTGTGCCATATGAAGTGCTATCTTGCTTTCCGCCCCGTTAATAACGGTTTTTCCCACGAAAAAAAAGGACCAGAGGACCTACTTCGCTACAGGTTCCGGCGTTGCGCCAAACCATGCATCGTCCGTCAGCCAGACGCCTTCATCATACTTGGAAAAGATCTTGTATCTCTGAGCCCAGTAGCTATCGTTATCCGTCAGTCATGCAGTCTCTAGGCTCAGAAGACCTATCAACGTACTTTTGGATATCCCACGGAACCTCTGCCTTTGTCCGGTAGTGATAGTGCAGGGACTCCGTGTCCTCCCTAGCCATGATTAGACAGCTCTCCCGCGGTGCATCTTCTATCTTGAAGCCTGCAAGTTGCTATTCTGTTCTTCTTTCGTTTCGTATTCTTTTCTCGTTGATATCAAAAGTGACGTTATTGAAAATAGCTGCAAGCTGTGTTTGTTTTGTTTGCATCTCGAGTTGGCCAGGTTGAAGTTGAAGTTGAACCTGGAGCAGAGAAGAAGAAGACATAAAGACAACCAGAAGGCAGGAATACAAGAAGACAGGAGAATAAGAGAGCCAGGGAGATACAAGAGGAGAAAAGAAGAGACGAAAAGATACTGCTTTTGCCCGCAAGCACCATGTTTGGTGCCCTGAACCGCCTTATCAGCAGCCTCGATGCAGACACATCCTCCACGCAGTCGCATAGCAGAGACAACGCATACGGCTTCCAGGTGCTGCGAAACAAGAACCCAGACCTACTGCTAGAGCCGTGGTTCGACTTTATCATTGGAATAAATGGCCATATTGTAGTATGTAGTGCTGTCAGGGCGGCATAGGATAGTTGCTAACAGACACTAGGACGAGGCAGACCCCAATCTATTTACTACAGAAGTACGCAATTGCGCCGGTTCAAGCGTATCGTTGGATCTCTGGAGTGCCAAAGTACGCTATGTCGTCCATCTGCTCGTTTGCATTGCTACAAGTCAACTAACTCATCCAGGGCCAACGGACACACCAAGCTATTGTCCCGATATCAGCGTCCAACCCGTCTCTCGGCGTAACACTTCAGCTAGCACCACTCTCCCTAACACAGAACATATGGCATGTCCTATCGATACCATCACCCCAGAGCCCTGCTTACCTGGCTGGCCTACTGCCACACTCTGATTATATTTTGGGAACGCCAAGCGGGACACTACGCGGAGAGACTGCGCTTGGTGAGCTTGTGGAGGACCATTTGAACAGGAGCCTGACTCTATGGGTATACAACAACGAGTTCGATGTAGTTCGAGAAGTTGAGATTGTCCCCAACCGCAACTGGGGAGGTGAAGGGGCTTTGGGTGCTGTTCTGGGCTATGGTGCACTTCACAGACTACCTTTAGCACTGAGCGAAGAAGTATCAGGGCCAGGAGAAGTCGTCTTTGCAACAAAGGAAGACGGCCACAGTGCAGAAGCCAGCATTAACACCAACCCTGTTATGCCAGTGTCTGAACCCCAATTCCTAGTTCCGGCTAATATAGTCCCGTCAGCGGGTGCGCCCAAAAAGGCGGCACCGCCGGCTCCGCCGGCTAGGCAAGCACGGAAGAACCGCCATGTTGAGGCACCTTCGTTTGACGATTACTTTAAAGAAGGTGAGGAACGGAGCCAGAAAGAGGATTATATTCCTTCTTCGAGAACAGCGCCTGTTGCGCCACCTCCAAAGGCTGGCGGAGCTGTCTCATCGCCATCACCTACAACGACGCCAGCACCTCCTACCGATGATATAGGCGGGCCTCCGGATGAATAAACGTCTGATGAAACTGCATTTTCTTGTCTTTTTAAATGCTGTAAAAAAAATAGCCAGCTGAACAAGTTAGATCTTCAACATCCAGCATGAATATGAATTTTGGCGCCTCTAAATGGTGTTGGTAAAGTACATGTATACAATGGCACTTGGAAAGTGAATATAATAAGAGCAGACCTAGCTCGAGGTTTATCGCACCTCTCCCGGTTCTGTTTGTTTTTTTTCGTTTACTCTGTATTTTGGCCGATTGAAGCCATCCTCTCACAGTCCCTTACTGATCCATTTCTCGAGGGTTTCTCGGCCCTGGCCAATCTTGCTTTCCATCCAAACTCGCGTCTCACCGCCGACTCGGATGGCCTGCTGTACGGAATGCTCTGCCACATACTGAAGGTAGAGATGGTTCTCTGCCAACGCGGGAACTTTCTTCTCGTACTCCCACACCAGGTCAGACACGTTTCTCATGGTGATTGGGAGCAAGCTCCAGGCAGCAACGGTGCCCAATGCAATTGGAGAGGCGGTTCGGAGAAGTATTCCTCGGTTCCGCGAGACAATCGAGCCGGCCATTGCGGATACCAGGACATAGATACCGCCGGGTAACAGCCGCTCACCGGACTCGCGTGGGGGTGCCAGCGAGGCAATTGTGCTTGTAAACTGAGACTCAGCGTGGAGGACGCGGGCAACGGTGTCGTTGAAGCTGTTTTCCGCTACCAGGGAGTGACGGTATAGGAACAGACGGACGTGTCGAATTTGCTCGGCCAACTGGTCAGTTGGGGTTGGAGAACGGCTCTTCATGAGAGTAGGAGTTTGCAGCGAGGGAGTATCTGGCTGGCTCGTCACTGGTTTTATAGCAGTCTTCTCTATCTTGCGGAGGATGCCGCTGCTGCTGCCATTGCTGCTGTCCTCGTCCGCATCGTACATCGGTTTCTTCGACGGATACTAAGGCAACATCGTCAGCGTCAAGAACTGGGCCTCCAACGGTTCTCAGCACTGCTCGCCGTCTCTTATGGCCTGCCATATCACGTACCGAGCTGTGTGGAGGAGCTTCTGCGTATGCGGTTTGAATTGGGTGGATGGCGGTTCCCATGGCCACCGCAGCACCTGCGGCCACCAGCCTCTGCAGTTGAAGCACACCGTTAGCATCTCCCTTCAAACATACAAACACTCGCGGCTGTCCAACTTACCCGCTGAAGCATTGAGCCAAGCATCATGTCCTGTTGTCTGCGGCGTTAGTTATGGTGGAGGAGAAGACGAAGAAGAGAAGTTGAAGCTGAGGTTGACGTTTGACCATTTTGGGTTTTTCGTTCTCGGCAGCAAAGAAAAACTTCGACCTTTTTCCGACGACAAGCAAGCAACGAGCAGCAAGCCGACGACAGCGAGCGTTTGAACACATCAATTGACCGTAATACGCAGCATATTGGATGTCTGCAGACCGGCCGGTCGAGTGCAGAAAATGCTCCGGGCTCTCCAGCCGCGGCCGTGGACCTGCCAGAGGTGCCTTGTGCGGATAAAGGCCGGCACTTCTCGCGGTTTCTCGGTGGCAGCACCAGAACGTACGAGATTTGAACAGGCTGCAGCAGGGCTATCCGCAGCAAAGAGACACGATGATACCAACCTACGGCTTGTCTTTGATTCGAACTCGTTCTGGCGACAGTTTTCCCAGCGGCAATCGGGCTCCTCGAAGCGTACAGGCCTGCTGCAGAACCAGTATCTCACCAACCCGGAGGGATTTCGCAAATTCGCCCATATCTCTCTTCACAAATGTCAGAAGATTGTTGGCAAGGTGCTGGCAGCTTCAACTCTGGATGAATTCAGGGGCATGGCCCGGGATCTCGACCAGTTGAGCGACCTGCTCTGCCGGGTGATAGATATGGCCGAGTTTATGAAGACGAATCACCCTGATCCTGCGATACAAGAGGCTGCTACGGAGGCATTTGCATTTATATTCGAGTACATGAACATCCTCAACACAACTCCCGGCCTCCATGAACAGCTAAAGCGGGCAATAGAAAACACTGAAGTTACCTCCCACTGGAGCGAGGAGGAAAACGTTGCGGCCGCTGCTTTCCTACGAGACTTTGCGAAGTCTGCCATCCACCTGCCTCCCGAGGATAGACATCGCTTTGTAACACTGTCAAATGAAATAAGTCAGCTTGGTCCTGACTTTGTTAAAAACATGAACCCGGAGACGTCTCAGCTGAGCTTTAACAAAAACCAGCTTCAGGGGTTGGATCCGGCTCTCCTTCGAAAGCTGAAACGCTGGTCAAAAGTGATTATTCCGATGTACGGTTCAACTCCAAAGACCGCGTTGAGTACGGTTGAAGACGCGGAGGTCAGGCGCCAGATTCACCTAGCTTACCGAACTTCTTCCCGAGAGCAAATTGGACGGCTGGAGACATTGCTTCAGCGGAGAGCAGAGCTGGCCAAATTGTCTGGATACCAGAGTTATGCCCATATGACTTTGAGTGATAAAATGGCTAGGACCCCGGAGGCCGTGGTCAACTTCCTCTCGTCACTAAACGCAAGCAACCGCGGTCAGCTAGACGATGAATTGTCCAAGTTGCTTGCGCTCAAGCAGATCGAAAACCCATTGGCATCCAACCTTCAGCCTTGGGATTACTCCTACTATATGGAAAAATATTATGTCAAGCACGGCCGAGCAAGAAGATCGCGGGATGCTGATTTGCTTCCTTCATTCTTCTCACTGGGAACAGTGATGCAGGGGCTTTCCCGTCTTTTTACCCACCTATACGGTGTCAGGTTTGTTCCAAGTGAAGCCTTACCAGGAGAGACCTGGAACCCAGACGTCCGTAAGCTGGATGTTTGGGACGAGGATGACAACCATATCGCCGTCGTATACTGCGATCTTTTTTCACGGCCGGGCAAGAGCCCCAACCCGGCCCATTTTACCTTACGAAGTTCAAGAGAGATTTCTCCTGCTGAGATAGCAGAGTGTGCTTCGTTGCCGGATTCACCCCATCCAAATGATGGAATGGCTACAGCTTTAAGGCCAGGCACAAAGCGACTTTACCAGCTCCCTACTATTGCGCTTATATGCGATTTCGATACTCCAGCGTCCAATACTCCTTCAGCACCGCCATCTCTCCTCTCAGAACATAGCGTTAGGACCCTCTTCCACGAGATGGGCCACGCTATCCATTCAGTTCTTGGCCGCACGGATCTCCAATCGATCTCAGGGACCCGTTGCGTCACCGACTTTGCGGAGCTGCCCTCTGTCCTGATGGAAAGCTTCGCCATGGACCCACAGGTTCTTCGCCTATACGCTCGGCACTGGTCAACCGACGACCCATTGCCTGAAGATATGGTTCAGAATATCCATTTAAATCGCCAGAACCGTGATAGCATACATGGTGGCATGGATAATGAGACGCAGATCATTATGGCGTTGATGGACCAGGCCTACCACACCACCTCAGCTGGATCCCACATCGATAGTACTGCTATCCTGCATGCCGTGTCCTCCAAGAACAGCAGCATACCCGACCCTGCAGACTCCAAGACTGCATGGCAAGGTTATTTTACCCATTTGTTTGGTTACGGGGCAACTTATTATAGTTACTTGTTTGACCGAGCTATAGCCAATAAGATTTGGTCTGATGTGTTTGGGGGTGGCGAACTTTCAGTTGATAGGAATGCTGGCGAGAGATTCAAAAATGAGGTACTGAGATGGGGAGGGGGTCGTGATGGTTGGAGCTGTGTTGCTGGCGTCCTCGGGACAAGCAACGCCGCCAATTCTAATGGGAGGCTTTCCGAAGGTGGCGAAGAAGCCATGCGAGAAGTTGGCCGTTGGGGTCTTGGTAAGACAGGAAGTTCGGAGCCATAAACGAAGTATCGTGGATAGATATTTCTTCTCTCTGTTTGGAGTCACTCCGTACATATATCTTCGGGACAAATATACGCACATATATACCCCTCACCGAAGCATACATGACTAATATATACACAGGTTAGACATTTCACTGCATTTACCGGAGGAGCATTTAGATGGATACACAATATAAATTGGTTATACGTTTGACAGCATCCTTTCCTTTCCGGCTTCTATCCTTCCTTCTTGGTTTTTCCTCTTCTAGAGTGTCACACATAGACCCTTGAAAGCTCATGCAGTGAACTATATGCTATTTCCAGGGCGATATCCTAGGTATAAAATTACGTACCCCTGCGGTGCATACCCCCAACCTACCCAGCCAACCCCCTTTTTACTAAGTGATGATACTCTGCATATAGTACCAATTCAGTACCAGGCCTAGACTCTTGGAAACCCGCTATCCCATGTTGCGAGGGATACCCATGTTTATCGTCAGCCTGGTCACTTGAGTAACTAGCATGTCAGCCCCAATATCGAGTATTGCATCATGGCTTCGGAATGTTACATGTTCCAACACATCTGAAGCCTTCCACCCATACGTTGTATGACACGCAGTACCTATGCATGATTGATAACAGGGGCCAAACCAAACAATAATGGAATGTTGTGCACAAGTTTTCCCAACTCAACGGGGCCACCTTATTCCCACGAATTAAAATTTGGGGAATGACCCGAAGTCCGGTTACTCCACGGTAGCCGTCAGCGGTGTGCACTGGGTACCCGGTACGTGGGTTTTCAAATACAGCCACCGCGGGTGTCCATTGAGGTTGAAGTCGCGGGGATCGGTCGAGATTCAAATTGTGGCCGATTAGGCCTCACTTTTTGAACATCTTCTCTCAAAGCAGCCATCCCTCATTTTTCGCCCTTCTGCTGAGTACTTCTCCTTTCTTGGGGCTCGGGAGGCTCTTGAATTGTAGTCTGAGAGTGTATTCATGACACTCTCTCGTCTCCAAATGCAGTTTTGACGTGTTACTGCTATGGCTACCAAAGGGTTTTAAGGTGGTATACTGGTCCCGTGAGGAAAGCTCCGCTTCTTTACCCTGCAGTTTACTTTCAGAGGGCTTGCATGGAGCGCATTAGACAGTCAGAACAGATCACATTAATATTTTACTATCGGGTTCTCTCGGGGCTTCGGTCGTTGGTGATGGAAAACCCGCCCTTCATGCAGTGGCCCGTTAACCAATCCTCTCAGCAGGAGACGAAAGTTCAGCTTTAAAGTGCTTGTAACAGTATGAGATGCATGGCTGATAATCCAGGACTGGACTAGAAAGTTGATAATGTTACTTCCCCGAAAACAGGTGATGATGGTATGTTTTTTTATCCCATCCGAAAGGGAGGAATTGAAAATGATAATGCCAAAAATTATCTCATAAAATGTTGTTAGGCGTGATAGAAAGCGCCTGTATCATGCTGTGATGGAGAGATCTAGAATTGATAAGTCGAAATTGACACAAGGGTATATATACACTGACGAAAGGGATTATTTGAGAATGATGAGTAATGGAAGGGGGCCGCTGAACACCAACACATTCAAGAAGATTTACATACGGTAGAAAAGGGGTGAAGGAGAGCAAACAGTAAACACTTTTACCTCGGCATTTTTAACCACAGCCGGCCGTAACGGTCATTAATTATCCGTATGCGTGTGCGTGTGCATGGTGTTGGGTGGACGAAAAAAAGAACGCAAGAATGAATATCAAAAAGCCAACCCTCCCGCGATGCGGTTCCCTGTGCAAAAAGAAGGCGGTTAAGAAGGTTCTCACGAGGATGGCTTTCTACCAGTCACAACATGGAACCGTTGATAGGCATGAACTTTTCGATCCGAGATGCTTTGCCTCACACCAACCAAGAAGACTTCTATTTCCTCTTGGGTCCATCCGAGTCCCCTTGGTCCGAAAGGCGCATATGAAAATGCCGCAACGCCATCAAGCCAATTTCTCTCACTCCAGGCACCAAGACGCTTCAAATGCGGATCTTTTGGCCAAGTGTTCAACGGAACCTTCGTAATGGTTTCCCTAACGTCTTCGAATCCTGCCTCTCTCATCCAATTGGCAATTTTGTCAACAATAAACACTGGTCTGTCCAGATTTTTTGTGGATAGACGCAGGTATTGGATCCAATTCTGGAAGTCGTGTGGGCATCGGAAGTCATCCTGCGGTGGAGGTAATGTGTCGTCGTCACAGAAAAGGGTGACATCCCATTCGTGACATTCCATGTAGCCCCCCGGTTTCAGGTAATTGAAAGCGGTTTTGATGAGAGACTGATAGGAGTCGAGGGCTCCGAGAAGCATTGACGAACGGATATAATCAAAATGATCTTTCGGCCATAACCAGTCTTCTTCTGAGGCATCGTCAACATAAAATTGAACATTTGGTGGTACTTGCCCCGGCTGGACAGGAGACAAATCGGTTCCGATAATCTGGGCATCGGGGAATATCTCAGCTGTAACAACGGCCATTTAGTATCAGTCGGTTTGGGTTGTTGATCAGGTGGAAAAATTACCCATTTCGATTGGCCAAATGCCTGATCCGGTACCAATATCAAGCAGTCGTTCCGGATTATTCAAAGGCGCAAAGAAAATTCGTCCTTCATTTATCATCCGTATTATTTCATATTGCATATCCAATCGGTCTAGTTCTATTTCATCGTTGGGATAGAGGTATGCTGTGGCGTTGCTGTTAGCCTTACTATGATATTTATGAATCATTGGACTGTCGAGGGATATTCAAACAGAAAAGGGGAAAGTGATATTCCAATATATGATGGATCACTCACTTCCTTCATGGTATCGATGGTACCTCCGACCACTTTCCATGGGATAGTCGGTGATACTCGAGGTGAGTGACATGGAGCTGCTGAGTGGAAGCATATCAGTTTCGGTTCTTCAAGCTTCAATACTAGCGCTAGACATACTCAGGGTTATAGTCCTTCTCATATTCGCCGGACTATTGGAAGAGATCAAGTCAGAACCCGCAACGCACATATTTACCAAACTTGACTTTTTCCTTCGTTTTCCGGACTCAATGTACATACATCAGGTGTGATAGCACGAATTTCATTGTCCGCAGCAGCGGAATGGTCGGTCATACCGTCGAGAACTGGTGCAGTATTGGCTGTCATGATGGCAATATTTCTGTGGTTCGAAGGGGTCTCTTTGGCGCAACGTGAACCCCTTGAATTTTCATACCATGTGTCTGATAGCACTATCAGGCGAGGGAAGAAGCGCCCTGTGAAACGTCTTTTATGAAGGATTCGAGAAGCGGCGGAACACCTTCAAATAATGTTTTTTTTTGGGGCTGGAAAATCCAGGGAAGTGGATGGGGGTGTGGAGGGAGTTATATTCGTTTCCCGAACTACCAAACACTCGGGGGCCTGCAACCACGCAAGATGGGCAGAGCCAGAAGCTTAATTTGTAATTAACCTTTGTTTTCGGTCTACCAGGCCTATACAAAGGTTTTTTTCATTTCCAGGCCGAAAATATAAGTCCAGGGATGAAGGTTGAACCTGTGTGTTGGGCCCCGAAAAGGCCCTGATACCGGGTTGTACCAGCAGATGTAATTTAACGTATTTCATGACCCGAAAAGCGATCGACCGAGGAATGTTTGCCTGTCGTGGCCACCCGGGCGCAAAGTTTGCATCAGAGAGAAAGCCTCTGTTATCTGACGGAGGAAAGGAAGGTTTATTAGTGTTGGGGCTAGTATGAGCCCATCACGTCTTGTGCATCGTATGCCATCTTGCCTGGTTAATCTGCCTGTCCATGTTTGAGCAATAAAACCCATCCGCGGGGGCCGGGACTCGTATACCCATTGGTACACATATCGATGACAATGGATGGTTCTGCAGTTCAACGCCCGCTAATGCATTCTTCCCATGCCGCTCCAAACAGTTGGAAACGATGATTGAACCCTAGCTGGGCCTTTGGGCCAGCCACGCCCCGGTAATAGGCTACCCATTAAGACGGTTCCCAGAACCTCGCAGTAGCCTTTATTTTTTTCGCTTCTTCTTCAACTAGTTAGTTCTCAATTCAACAAGCTTGATTGCTAATCTTTCTCATCCCCCACGCCTAGTTTGAAAGTTGGGAGGCGACTGCTCTTTCGCCTTGCTGGATGAAAATAGCATAGGTTTCTGTCGACAGCGAATAGTGACAAGTGGCGCCCTGTGAGCCTCGACGCATATCAAACCCATGGAACTGGAAAGTTTGCAAAACGGATGGCCCATGTCCACGGTGACTCCAAACCCATCCAGTGAACGTGCGGCATAAATGCCAACGCTGAGTTTCGACTGCAGTCCTTCGTCGAATGAGACCTGTCTCGAGACGATCGACTGGGCCCTGGCTCTTCGTTATGATAATACGTCAGCTATAGTTAGAGTTGCACGCCAGCGCCCAGAGGTCGTATCGATGGGTGAGTTGTCACATGGCACCGCCTAGAATTGGACTGGCAGGATGACTGGGCGATTGATGAATTCCACCATTGTGCCATACTCCGTAGTACTGTCGTCCCTTTCTCGGAGATATAAAGCTGTTCTAGCAATTGGCCTGGGATCCTAGGATTATTATACCTAATATGTATAGTAGACGGGCCAGCGGTGAGGATCTACGGTTGCATACTCCGTATGTAAATACTAATCATCTGCAACCAAATTTCCCCCAGTCGTCCCTGATTATGTCGTGCATGCCACCCTGAAGAACTCAGTTATTGATCTCGGCTGATTGGAAAAGTACTCCGTAGGCTGAGGAGAGCTGGAGAATCCGGAAGCTGATCAGTGGTTTTGCACGTACCTCTTGCACCACCAAATTCTTGTCCCATAGTCACGCTTAGCGTATCAGCCACGCGGGATATCAGTATGCCATTAAGAATAGAAAAAAGAATGAAAAGACGGCAGAGTAGAAGAGGGGGAAGCCAGTCACAAACCTCAGGAAACGATGAGAGGTGACGGTGGAAGGGCCAAATGCTGGAGGCTGTGCGGAGTATTCCATTTACCCATAGCTTATGAGCACTACATACCCCTAAGCGTGTATTGCCCCTGAACCTGAAACAAATGGACGGAGCGGGTGGCCTACTTATGCAGTGGTGGTGAGCGGGATACAGCTTTCGTGCCATAGATGCACAGTCCCAGCGGGAGAATACACCTGAAAGTTTGGTGAATTAAGGATTAGCTTCCGCATAAAACAGCTGAGGCTGTCAATTTGTCCGACCGTCGTTGATTTACATGTCAAAAACGGTCGTGACGGTCAAAAATGAAGCTGAAGCTGAAGCCGAAATTGAATCGTCCCCTTTTACCCTTTTGGGAAGTCAAAGGGACGGACATTTTGTCCAATCGCACACGTGATCATATTAGTCATTCATGCTTAGTCATGGGTTATTATCAAATTCTCGAGAAACGACAAAAGGCGGTTTTTTGGCGATGATAAAGAACGACGTGAAGACGGACAGCTTGCAATTGGACAGCAACGCAACGGTGCAGCTGCTGGAACTATAGGCATTGGGCCGCTGCTGGATGTCTTTTTGCAGACATGCCTGCCGAACGGCGGCCCGGAAGTACGGGAATCCCGCAGTCGACCATGTCTGGGTCAGCGACGAGCTGGTTGCATCGACCTTCGCGAGCTTCGTCCGGCGGCACCAGCGACGTTATGGAAGCAGCGTACCCGGGCCTTTCGAAGCAAGGAGGCGGCTTGCAAGGAGACGCAATATGGACTTAGCCAGTGTAGTTGGCCCTCCTGCTGGACTGGATGCTGCACTCATGTTTGGCTTTTCGAGCGCCGATAGACGACCACGGGGAGAAGCTTCAGTTCGCCCTTCCCCCTTATTTCAAACGCCTGCTTGTGAGTGCTATCGAATTTCCATGCTTTTGTGGCTCTATTTATCATATTGTCTAACAGCACTGATCATATATAGACAACAATATATTCTCACCCGAAGCTTACAACAGTTCGGCTGTTCCGGTGTTCAATATACCAGAATTAAACCCTTGCCCTCCCCCCTCGCGCCACCACCAGAACATCCATCCGAACTGAGGAGAGAAAAAGACATCCCTCCCGCCCTGGAGTGTGTCTTTGGTGATAGTAACATTTCACTAAACACGATTCGTTGTGTCCTCAGGGATGTTGATATAAACCTTCGCGCCCAGCCAAAGCTCAGCAAAATGATATTCGATCACATACTTACAATCCAGAAAGTATCGAGATGGGCGACTGCTGATTTGCATGCCTTCCTCTTGGATCCATCGTTGAATACTCCCGGCTCGAACAACTATACGGCCTTGATGGACTACTTGACGCTGGAGAAACTTGCATTACCAATCATAATAGAGCACATTTGCCAGTTGAGAATAGGTTTGACTCTCGGGACGGTACCTCTTGCTGAGATTCAAAATATAATTGTTAAGTTACCCCATGTCAATGCTGCTGAGGACTCCTTTGCGCACTCTCAGCGGGGCTTTCTGGTGTCCGCCTATACAGAGCTTTGGACGGGCTTACGGGAATGCTCTGTGTTAACGGCCAGTGACCTTGGGACTTCAACTCTTAAGCTGTGGTTAGACATAATGCTAGGCGCCCCGGCTGGAACTGAATCGATTGCTTTATGTAATCACATCGTTCATGCTTTGAGGAAGAGGGACCGCTTAGACCAGAAGACAATGTCCAAGGTTCTTTTGTATACCCTCGAATTCGCCACGGAGAATCAGGCTATGCCAAGAAAAGACGGTTGGATAAATAGGAAAAGCCTGCAATATCGCCTCCAGGAGATCTCAGATACGTTACGATATTCATCCAGGACATTCGCTATTTCTAGCATACTCGGCACTACGGAATATTTGATATGCTCGCCGAATTATGATGCAAACCGCCCTCAGATGTTGCTGCTTTGGTCATGGATGCTGCAGCGCTTAGTTGGGCTTCGGGACATGCTTTCCTCGGAGATATGGATGGAGTTTCAAGCACCGTGGCCGAATAAAAATCAGCCAGATAAACCCCTTACTACCGAAGAAGTTTGTTTTGTGCGGATGTGGTTGCTAAGGACTATCGGCCGCCGCACGAAATGGTATTTCGATGTTGACAGTCGCCGAATGGACCTCTTCGGGAAACACCTCCTCTACCTGAAACAAGTTTCTGGATTGCATGGAAGGGGTGATATGCTGGCTAAAGTCAAGTCTCTTATGGCGCGTTTTGACAACCTGGGTCTTCCTTGCACAGATCACGTTCTTGTGACGGCGGTTAGGTCAAAATATATGGAACGAATGGGTCTTGCTGGGCCTTTACCGCAGTCGATGATTTCAGTCATAAACAGCCTTGACTGCGGTGTTTTGCACAAGCCAGAATTTATGTGGACATACGAGAAAGGAACGTCGGTCAAGAGCCTTGGAAATGCATTGTTTGAACAAGCTGCGCTGGAGACCGACATCACCGACCCACACTTTCTCCATCGTTTATTGCTTTACACGGAAAGCAACGCCATACACTCTCGAGGGGTACTTCTTAGACTCATTGAGAATCACAAACCGCTCAGATACGCCTTGCAAAAGCTACGGCTCTCACAACCTGATAAAGACGCGGTAGTAGAGGTTACTCGGTATCTGCCCGAGGGAGTACCCATTCTTGACCCACAGGCTTGTCTCAACACTATAACTTTCCTTGCGTTGGTTTTTGCAATTGTTCCCGTTTCTGACCGGGTTGCTTGGAGGTTAACATATCGATGTTGTAAGCTTCTTCGAACGCAGAATGCACCGATCTTGCCTGCCATGTGCCGGGCCTTGTACCACGCTGGTATCCAAAGATGGGTCGACTCTGGAAGCAGGGTGCCATATGAGAGACGGAAATATATAATGGACATATTGAGGGAAGTTGAAGGGCCTCAGGTCGGTGGATTGAAGGCTTCGTGAATTAAAGTTTAATAGTTTGTACGATCTGATCAGATGTATATATATATATGTAGACATATCTATAGAGTTATACCCATGCCTCAAGTCAGTTAGTTCTAACCCCCGATTTTAATACAGGGTTAAATAATGAGATATCATGTCATCAAATGGGATATCGAATTGGTGAGGTCTAAAGATCAGAAACTCTAGTCTATTTAGACGTCAACATCCATCCGCTCTGCTACGACTTCCTCTCCACTGAGCTCCTCAACAGTTACATATCGAGCTAGGTCAGCCTTTGTGATGACCTGTTCATCCAACCACGCCGTTGTTCCTCTCTGGAACTTATAGCTTCTCTCCTTCTCGCCTCGTTCGTTAGGCGTAATGTAGTTCCGCATCATTTGGGTCGGCTTGCCCTTCTCCATCACACAGACATCAACATTGCTTCCGGAGCCCAAATCGTTCCAGATACCTGCCTCAATGGCCTCAGATGTAAGTTTAATGGCTTCATCCTTTGTCAACGACGGCTTCCACATGGACTCAAAGACGGACATGGCGGCTAGCGAACCAGAACCCATGGTGACGTATGGGAGCTTATCGGTCGAGCCGTGGGCGTGTACAGTGAAAAGATGCGTTCCAGTAGGGTCGACGCCAGCCACGACTAGGTAGGCGCCTATGTGGCCCTGATAGCGGAAAAGGTGCTGTTTAAGCATGGTCATGCATGTCGCCACACGGGGAGCTCTGCCGGTTGAGAGAGAATGGAGTTCAATGTTGGAGCTGATCAGGTTGGTTGTGAATTCGGTGTCTGCTGCAGTACCGGCTCCCGCACACCATATCGAAGGCGCTATGTAATGAATTTTCTCACAGTTCTACACGCATATAGTCGTTAGGCCGTACTCGGTTGGATGGCATGTAGCGGGAGGAATATCAAGTACCTTGTCTGCAACAATAGGCCCGCTGGTAGCTCTGGTATCAGCAGCGATCTGTGAGAAAATGTCAGTCATGCACCAAAGAAACAAGTCAGACAGTCGCCCCGAACAACGTACCACTACTCCTCCATCGAATATGCATCCCACAATGGTTGTACCAGTGCTCGTCGCCTTGGGAAGCGGGACTCCCTTTGCGTGGAGGGCGCGGTTGCGGTTGTAGTTGGAGAAGTCAAAGCCCGGCATGACTCCAGAGTTCCTCTAATCGTTTCCAAGTGGTTCTAGCAGCAGTTCTAGCAGTCTCTCAACCTGAATCGGCGTCGTCTTCCGCTCGTTTCTGTCGTGCTCGGCTCCTGTATGTTGTGTCAGTTATCAAAATGTCCGATGTTCCTCAATGTTCGTTGTTGTTGTAAGCTCGAAAGCTGCCTGGCAAGCTTCTGACCAATCAGAGCTCACCGCCTTCTCCAACACCCAAACGGGAAATATCAAAAAACAATTTCAGCGTCAACTTCATCAACTTCATCAACTTCAACGACGTTCGCCTTTCTTTTCCTTTCCCTTGCTCGCGGAAGACAGAGACAGCTGGAGACAGCTGTTGGCCTGCGACAGTTGTGTTTTGCTTCTGCTAGGGAGCAACGATCAAAATTTTCGGGCCTACACTTAAGCTCTTCAACCGGAGGCCTCGTGTCGTCCTGCGCCGCTCCTTAGCTACCTCAAGCCCGACCTCGCTGACGCTCAATGTCCCCAAGTCGCGCCTATATCTAGATAGTGGGCCTAGGTCTCTTTCAGCGGATTTTGAATCGTCCTTCAGGATGGCTTTTTCATTTGGTTCGGGCCAGTCGCAAACTACTGGTGGAAAGGTGACGACGGGAGCAGAGCTTCAGGAAATCGAGACACAGGTGCGCTTTTCTTTTATTACATAGCCAGAGTCAGATGCTATATAGGATGTGACCTCTAACGGGAATATATGTATAGCAAATCGGGTTTCTATCCATTGGGCACAATGCAAAAGTTAAATTGCTTCCTGCTCCCTGGCCAGAGGACTCGCTACCCCCGCCTACTTCTTCATTATTGAGTGTCACGTCGATAAAAGGTCTGCTTGCAGCTGCAGGGCCGGATGGAATAGCGATTGCACGCACAGAATCAGTTCGAAAGGCGTATGCAAGCGAACCTGTGGATGGTAGTGATGTCAGGGCCTTTCAACCGGAGCTACAGATCCAACTTCCGAAGAGGGTCTCTCACCTCGCGTTCTCAGCGGATGGTAGCGCCTTGGTGGTAGCAGTTGAGGGCGGCGATGCATTGGCCGTTTATGATGTCTCGGGACTACTACAGGGGAAGACACAGCCGACAGCTACACTCAACATAAATGGTGCAACACTGCGAGCTTTAGCCCCCAACCCGAATCCAGACACATCTGAATTATTTGCGGCAGTGACAAGCAACGGTGAGCTGTTGATTGCCAATTTGAAAACAAATCAACTTGTTTCGGGCTCGACAGGACCTGTGTTGAAATCCGGTGTCAGCTCTGTCTGCTGGAGTAATAAAGGTACCCAGCTAGTAGCTGGTTTGGGAGATGGGACTGCATATCAAGTGAAACCAGATGGGGAGAAGCAGGCAGATATACCCAGAGCTCCAGAGATTGGAGGTGATCATCATGGTCAGTTGTTGCACATTTTGGACTAATTGGTAGAAGTCGAAAGCTAACCCACTCTTAGTGTCTACTATCCTGTGGTTAGCAAACCACGTATTTTTTATCGTTTATACCCCAACAAATACCCCTGATGGACCCCCACCAGCGTCTAATTACTATATAGCTACGAGGAAACCTCCGGACCAGTATGAGTTCAGAAAGTTGCCTGAAGTTAGCGCTCCGTTTGGTTTGGCAAGGCACCCTGCATACCAGTTCACGGCCCGTATGAGAGATTTCGAACCACACCTAAAGGAAGCTTTAATCATTGCGTCTACCGCTTCAACTGATGTTGGCTTGATCACACAATCTACTGCAGACGGCACACCCACATTCGCAACCCTTACAATGGCTGATGATTCCCGGAGAGCGGTGCTTCCTATGACTGAGGATATGAATGATACATCTCCCATAGGAATGTGCCTGGATCTTTCGAGCGGAGATAGTGTCATTTCTCCCATCCCTGGAGACGAGGAGATTAAAGAATCGTCATCCCCGCTCCCAGCACTTTTAGTCCTCACGAACGATGGAATGCTCTCCTCATGGTGGTTTGTACACACTGAGTCAATAAAGCAGCAAAAACCATACAGCGGCCTAGTCTCAGTTAACTCAAAAGGACAGCAAAGCCAGCCGCAGATCACCCCTTCTCAGCCGGCGGCAGCGACGACTACCCCGGCTAAATCTCCATTTGGACAAGCCGGCTTTGGTCAGCCCTCGTTCGGTAAACCAGCCACACCGGGCTTCGGCATGAGCTCAGCTTTAGGCATGCAAAGCAAGCCTGCATTCGGCTCGCCATCTCCCCTTGGGGCATTTTCTCAAACTCCAGGTGCTTCCGGTACCACCCCTGCATTTGGTTCAACTACACCGCAAACAGGCGGGGGTATGTCTTTCGGTAGCCCCAGCAATCTTGGAAGTAATAGCCCTGCTTTCGGACAAACAGGAGCATTGGGAGCTGGAAGATCACTGTTTGGACAGCCTTCTCTGGGAACTGGCGGGTCAACGCCTGGCTCTGGCTTTGCTAACGTTGGTGCTGGAGGAGGATTCGGCTCCTTCGCATCATCTGGCAGCGGTTTTGTCAGTGCTGCCCAAACAGCTGCTCCTAGTGCAAGCCCGTTTGGAAAACAAACTTCAACAGAGGGCCCTTTTGGGAAACCCCCCTCCAAGGACAATCCATTTGGGCAGCCAGCAGCTACGGAGAGTCCTTTTGCGAAAACATCTTCTAATGACAACCCGTTTGCAAAGGCTGGTCAGCCAGTATTTGGAGCGCCTAGTGCACCATCTTCTGCGATTTCGCCATTTGGACAGCAAACCAAAAATGAAAAGCCATCCACCGGATTTAGTCCTGGGACTGGTGGTTTCGCAGTAGGACCTACAGTGAAACCAGACACATCAGCTGCGATGGACGAGGACAAACCGGAGCCATCTGGCGGGACTTTGTCTATGGGCTCTGCTTTCGGTGATATGCTTAGTGGCATGAAGTCCAATATTCCGAAAGTAGCTACTTCGAAGCCAGCCGAGCCTCCTATTAGCTCGACGCCTACAGCTGCACCACCAACTTCTATATTCTCCTCCCATAAACAAACCCCCTCTCTAGATCAGAAGCCACCATCGTTTTCAAATATTTTCAATGCACCACCACAGCAGGTAAAGTCCCAGCCAACTACCAAAACAACAACTCCCACCGGCTCCTTCAGTATGATCCCCGTGGCGAAAAAGACCCCATCCACCCCCCTGTCTACCCCTGGTGAATCCTCTCACTCACCAGCAACTATCAAAGCGGAGACACCGAAGGAGACACCCAGGGCGACCCCTCCAACCCCGTCAGCACAACCTGTTGAAGCACCCCTCCCACCGGAATCTACAAGCAAGCTTAGCTATGCTCCTGGTGATACATCCGCATCTTCGTCTGGGGTTTCGCGTATTTCAATTGAAGACGCCCCCCTACCACCTGACTTTGTGAAATCCAAAAAAGAAGATGCCCCCAAAGAAGCTACAGATGTGTCCCTTCCCGCAGAATCTGAGGAAGGTGATGCTGATTTCGAAGATAGCGGAGAGGATGTTGGACATGACCTTAGTCCAACGGATGAGGCAGCAGATGACCGTGTTCAAAGCTTAAAAACCTCCCCCGAGAGCTCATTTGGCGGTGCCCCCGACAAAAGCCCTATGAGTGACTTGTTCACTAAGGGTAGCACTTCGGGATTGAAGACAGGAGGAGGGAAACCATTGTTCGGAGAGATATCCAAACCCATATTCCCACCTCCTACACTGCCTGAGCCTCGACATTGCCTAAGTCCACGATCACCCAGTCCTGTTCGTAGCAGATCCGGACAGATGCTAGCCAGGGCAGACGGCTTCAGATCAACCAGTGCACCTAGCGCTCCTGATCGGGCAATTACTCGACGAAAAGCTACACTGGAAGGGTCTATGCTGGCGAGGCAAGTGTCACCATCCAGAGACGTGGCTGAGGACCAGACTAAGGTTAAGCGTGAAGCCGAAAAGTTGGCTGCAGAAACGCAGCCACTCAGTGAAGATGATGAAGACGAGCAGCTTCGCGCTGATCTAGCTCGACCTATCTCTCCATCACCTTCTCTAGATCCTTTCTTACCTCATCAGGGCTACACTGGTGAGAGCATGAAGCCAGGAATACCAGGCCAAATAGAGCTGTTATTCCGGGATATCAATACGATGATAGATACATTAGGAATCAACTCTCGGTCGTTGTCGTCATTCCTGCTTTATGAAGAGTCTGCGAAAGAAAACGATTACACAAGATGGCTCAGAACCCTACGGAGCGATAAATGCTCTGATTTACTTAACGAAAGACAGCTGTTATCAGAAATGGACAAGCTGCGGGTTGGTGTCAATGCACTTGACGAAGCACTTCAGAAAGGGAGGGTGGAAGGGGTACAGGAAATGTTTGATCAATGCCAGCAACTGATCAGTAAGGATCTAGTAATATTACGTGGCCAGTTTGCAAATCTTCAAAGGACCCTCGATGCCCATACCGACTCAATTGCCATTGCATCTGCGCCACTAACTCCGGAGCAAGCTGCACTTCAACAGGACCTTCGGAAGGCGGCAACAGACACACGTTCCAAGGTAGCTGACTTGGAACGAGACATCTCAATATTCCGAGCCAAGATCGCGGATGCGTCCAGATTAGCTAGTGCAGATGGAGACCGAAAAATGGCGCGGCCGACCGTTGAAGCAGTGACATCCACGATCTCCACGATGACAAATATGGCGGAACGAAAGAGTGGTGACGTCGATGTGCTAGAAGCTCAACTTCGACGAATGGGGATTGATGTATCCAGTTCTCCAGCCCCTGGGAGAAGCAGGGAAGGCTCTCCTTTCCTTACACCCGCAAAGAGGACCTCTGCCGTTCGATTTCCTATCACTCCTGGTTCTCAGAGCTCGCAGGATGGCTATGGCCGCAGCGTGTATCAGACCCCAGAATCTGCTGCAGCGCAGCGCTTCCGCTCAAGCTTGTTGGGGCGTAGCAGTGTCCAAGGCAATATTACCAGCGACATAGTTGTTTCGGAAGACTTAGAAAACTGGCGGACTAAGACAGCTAGGCGGAAGGAAGTTGTTGGACACTTGCGAACTTCGCTAAGTAATCGCAAGATCAAGGTACGGGCTTTTGATAGCTGATGCATGGGGGGGGAGGACTGGAGGATGATTCCTTGGTTGATACCCGCCCAAGAGAAAGGAGTATATTTATTTAAATCACACAATGTACGAAACTAGGTCATATTGACGATTGATTGATTGTATTTTGGCCTCCTTCACTTTTTGATGTAAAATGGCTCACGGAGCTCTCATTGGTTACACAGGCAATATCGTCCAGTACACTTTCGGTGGCCTTTCAACCCCAAGCGCCCATCCTTCAACTTGGCCCCTTGGCAATGTATGCGCTACAGCACATCCATGGCCCAACGACATAACATTTACAGATCGAATCACAGCAAAAGATGCAGAACAAAAAAAGCTAATTGGCAACTTCAGTCTATTCGGTGCTTGAGCGATGCACAACCGACGCAGCCGTGGATGATGGGGCAGCAGGATCGGGCTTTTTAAATTGAAGTACCCCTGCCTAGTGGCTTGGAGCTGTCCCGTATATCTGCACCAGTTACTCCGTACTCCGTAAGAGCCAGTTGCCCAGATGTCGAGTGCTAATAAAGAAGAGAGAGGCGCCTAACGAAGATTTCTCGCCTTATTTCTTCCCTCATTTCGCGCTCTTTTCCTACAGCACAGAAACCAGGTCCAGAGCAACCACTTTTCCGGAGTACCGGCCAGAAGTGGGAAGGAGAAAGCACGAAGGGATTTCTATTCGTTTAAAATCATTTGGCTGGACTCCTGCATGCACGCTATACGAATATAGCAATATCTCCATCACTAACGGGCGTAACAGGCCCCGGAAAGACGGATTTATCAAGCCTCGCAGAGTTCAGCCCATCAGCCTTCACCAGAAGCAGTATCGATCCCTTTTGGACCCCAGAAGCAAGGCGCCTATCGGGTGTTTTTGCATGATCAGATTGATACGCTTTCATGGATCCACCAGGGTACAGCTCTAGTCATCTTCATCCAGGTACTGCTTCTGGTCCAGCAGCTTCCCACTCTCCGTCGCCCACTCCTTCGATACATCTCTCTCCAGCCGAGTTGAACCAGGCTCCCATTGCTTGTGATAGTTCTAGTATCACCGAAGATGCCAGTACTAGCTCCCAGCAATATCAGCCGTATTTGAGCAGCACTTTGAATTGGGGAGGGCAGGAGGTTGGAAGTGCCAGCGGTGATGATGGCAACCAGCAAGGGAGCACGACAACTACGGCATCGAAGAAGCAGGTTCAACAACCGACCACGGCAACAAAGATCCGTCGCCGCAATCGAATGATAACATCATGTCTGGAATGTCGAAGACGAAAGCTCAAATGCGACAGGCTTCACCCATGTACCAACTGCTCGAAGTTCAAACGTCACTGTCTTTTCTTATCCCCAACTACCGATGCTCTATCACGCATGAAACTGATGGAGTTAAAGGAGAAAATGGGATCTCTAGAACTTGTCCTCGAGCAAGATGTTGCCGCCAGACAAACAGGCCAAATGAACCAGGATGATCCGTCTCATAACACTAATGCTGCTACCAGTTTGGCACCTGTATCTGGCTTTATGCCCAGAGTGGTAGAACATACACGGAATGATCGAAAGCCTGAAGACTCATTTGATTTAGGTACCTTGGAGGTTCTAGACAACTTGGAGCAAGATAGGGGAGATTCAATCCCAGATGACGAAAGATACCTACGGCCTACCCCTTTGGCCGTCATGGATGCAGCATATGATGATGACGCCGATGATGATACCTTTGACATAGGCTTTAAACTTGGAAAAATGCGGATGACAGATCGCATAGGAGGTTTCTTTAGGCCTAGGATTGCAGATGAGATCTCTGTTGTGCTCAAGGAACCAAAAGTTAGCAATGGGGTGACCGATACATCCTTAAATACCCCAGTCAAGGTCCCGGAAATGAAACCACCACGCCTCAGAGATCTAATGCCCGAAGGCCAGGAATCGTTTTTCCATCCTGGACCTACATATATAGCTCCTCATTCCGACTTCTTTTTTGGTGGTGGCCGAAGGACATCGCTTGCGGACTTCTTGCCGACTAGAACCGCATCGGATAGACTGCTAGAGCAGTATTGGGTATCTGTTGACCCGGTAGCTAAGATACTCCATCGGCCAACTTTCGAGAGACAATATCGAGAGTTCTGGTCTGATGTTTCTAAGAGCCTGGAGCCTCCTTATTCCCTTCAGGCCGTAGTATTCGCAGTGCTCTTTACGGCTGTTGCTAGCATGCAAGAACACCTGGTACTCAGCACATTTGGAGTCGCCCAAAAGAAACTTATCGAAAATTTCCAGCTAGGAACAGAGATGGCTCTTGGAAAGGCCCATTTCCTGAAAACCACAAAAACGCAAACCCTTCAAGCTCTTGTCATGTATATGGTATGTTAAAATCCCTGGATTTCTGGTGTACGAACACATTTAACCGTCTAGTTAGATTCCGATGTGCAGAAATGAAGTCTCACGAACACATTCTGCCCTTGTTGGAACCGCCATTCGGCTGGCGGAATGTATGGGTATCCATCGTGATCCCGAGGAATATGGACATGGCCCTGTCGAGACTCACATTCGTCGAATGATCTGGTACCAACTTTGCTTCCTAGATCTTAGAACAAGCGAGTCACAAGGACCACGTCAGACAATCAGACGGGAAGATTACTCTACCAAATTCCCACTTAATGTCAACGATGCAGATTTTTTATTGCACCGTGACAGCCGCTTAACGGATATGCCCAAATTTACGGATATGACGTTCACTCGCATACGCTTCGAATGTCACGAACTACATCGACTCGTATATGTTGATAGGATGAAGTTAGAGAACAACAGCATTTCGCTCACAAGGGTCTTGGGGAAGATTGAAGCCTTCAGACGGGCCACCTATGCAAAATACGGACCATTGATTTATGTTTCGAATCCGAGGCCCATTCAGCGGGCAGCACAGTTGGTGTTATCTATACTCATCTGCCGCAGTTATACAGCCGTCCTACACAGGTACCATAACAGTGTCTCGGTGAGGATTCCGGATAGATTGCGACAGATAATTATCACGGCATGTACACAGCTTCTTGAAGACGCCATCGAACTGGAAACTGCTCCAGACTTACAACCTTGGGCCTGGTACAGTGGTGCTTTCAACCAGTACCATGTTGCTTTTCTGATCCTGATAGAAGTCTGGGCATATCCTATGCGAAAAGAGGCAGATCGTATTTGGAGATGCTTGGATTACGTTTTTGAAACACCCTCAACCCCCGCTGTCCCAGATAGTGCTGGCAAAAATGCACGTCATCAACTTATAATGCAACGGGATGCAAAAGCTCGGTTGATTTTGGAACAGCTCAGAGACAGGATGACAGCATACCGCGAGATGAGAAAGCTTCGAGTGCCCATAAGCATGGCTGATACCAAGGTCCTAAGAATGACACCGGAAGCGGGAACATCTCGTGAACCAAGCCCACCACAGATGTTAGACCATAGCTCTGGCAATGGTTCTCTGCAATGGGGACCTCAGTATACATCCCAACCATTTGAAGAAAGTCAATCAGTGCCGGCACCCTCTAGTCAATTAATAAACCCCGCACGGTTATCGCCTCCTCGAATGTTTAGCCATGAACAATATCAACTTCAATCCCAGCAAGGCCGCCGGTTGTCACCAGCCTCACAGATGCAACAATATCAACATGGCCAACCAAGCTATCAACGACTACAGCTACCACCACAGCATTCCTCGGCCATTCCCTCCACTTCACCCTCGTATTCTCCTAATCCGGGCTATACTCCGACCTTCCAGCAATCGGGTTATGCGCCAAATTACTCAACCCGCATTCCTGGCAGGGAAAGCATGGATTCAGGTACTGGCTCTGAGGACTCTGGAATGGGGCGTCTATGGTTCACTTCTGGGACTGACAATACCAACGCTGGTGCTGGCCTTGCGCCTCCATTGAACCCTGCACCACAACGACCGTCGGGTATATCGGCTAAACTGAACAATAATGAAGAAGACCTTCCTATGCTTGATATCGACTGGGTAAGGAGTTCATGCCATCAAATCCTATTTCCTAGTTTAACCTCCTGCCTGCTAATACATATATATTGTTTATCTAGAATGAATGGGATAAATTGTTCCCGCCTGATATCAATAATGGGGATTTGAATCTACCACCATTATCGCCGATGGTTGGTCCTACAGATACCACAGCTTCGTTAGACAATATATCGTCGCTCGCTGAAACGACAACTTCGAATTATTCGACATATCCGTATTCGAGCTCTTAACAAAAGCATTTTATTTATTGAACTTGACATTATTTAGGGTTGTGCAACTCATCTTTTTAACTTTTATATACTCCATATAGCCTTGCCCTCCCAATGATGAGTGTTATACTCCTCAGTCCCTCTTTGCAACAATAATCCCAGCTCTAAGGATGCCCCCATTACTTAACCACCTGAACAACCATCCAGCAACCTGCCACTTAGTATAACCACCTAGCCCCATTTTAGCCATATCCTGACATCTTTTCTCCAAAAATGTAGCTAGCCCTGTAAATACATGGTCGGTAATGTCCTGAATGATAATGTTCTCCGTTTTATATCCAGCTTTTTCCAGCATATTTCTATACGCCGCTGATGAGACGAAATTGCCAAATGGGGCGCCGAGGGCAGGTGTCAGGAGACGGAGGAATAGCGTGTTTATAGTCCGCTTCAGGCCCGAGGAATTCGGCGGAGCGAGAAAGAGGTCAAATGCCAATAAGTTTGCGTGGAGCGTAGAGTGCGTGTGCTCGAATATCTCCCTCCGCGAAGGATGGAAATGGTATAAAGTGTCTAGACCCATGACATATCGTTCCATATCGTCATTGTAATCATCTCTTGAGAATGCATTGAAGACGGTTTGTTTTAGCTCTTCAGACCAGGTTGAGGGTTGAGCACCATCGGCGCAGAACAGGGCAATGTTAGGAATTTCGGTGCTAGATTCTTGTTGTTTCTTCTGCATTACTTTCTGCTGCAATCGGCTCTGAGCAAATCCATGCTGTACTTTATCAAGCGTAATGCCGATATATTCGTCAAATATCGGCGATGATGACCTTGCAGGATTCATCATAAGATGCATGGTCTGCTCTCCACATCCGAATCCAAGGTCTAGTAGTACTCTCCTCCTTTTGGTATTTGAATCTCCCAGTATTCTCTCTTCCCCTTCTTTACTTTTGATATCAAGACCAGCGGCCTCTAGGACCTTTTCTAGCAATGCCTTGCATGCTTCAGGAAGTTGAACGTTACGGTTAGCCTATGTCTCTGTCAGCGAAATAACCCATATATCGGTAATTTTTCGTAGGATATCAACCTCCCAGTAACCCATGTTCATCCACATAGTTGTCGGAGGCAGCTGAATATTCAACGCAGCATGATCCAGCCCATAAAGTGAATCATCTTGAGCTGTAGAACTGTCCTGTATTTCGGAGCCGTTGGTTGAACTGCTTGTAATAAAATATACGGCTGTCCGCTTGACCCACGGAAAAAGATATACTGAAGATGCAATCCCAAGTACATAAGCTACTATAATCGCAATAGGCAGTATATATGATAAATTATTGGTATGTTGGAGCATATTTATGGCTTTAACGTGCTTTTGTAATCTGAATGTAGGTCTTTGGTCATTTTTAAGTTGAAATCCTTTTTCTATCCACATAAAATTAAATATTTAAATAACATCCTATTTTGGGTGTTCAATAGCCATGTTTATTCAATTGACGTTAAACGTCGAAATTAGATATATAACCACCAAGAATACCTACTATGAACAACATGAATAATAGGAGCTGAAGTTATACATTATTTAACAAGCTCTCTCATAAATCATCCTCCTTTACTCGCGTGAACATGACGGCGCCTCCATCGACCACCCCCTGGAGCGGATTCCCTTCTCCGTCTGTAGCCCATCCCGCCAGCTCAGTGAAGCCACATCTGCGGTAGAAGGTATCTTTGCCTTTAGCTGCGAGCACACTGGCCGCGACGCCCTCCACTCGCGCCCTGTTGAGCCCCCAAGCTACCAGCTCACGCCCGTGGCCGAGTCTCTGGTACTTTGGCCGCACGGCAAGGCAGTTCAGAGACCAGTTGGTCAGCCGATGGGGAGGTGATGCGTACAGGGCTCCTAGAGACTTGATAAGCGCCTGCCGGACATCCTCTTCAGTGAGCTGAGGAGGCCTGGAAGCAGCTCGGTTGGGGGATATCAAGGCTAGGAAGTAATTGTGGTATATCGACATTAACGATGATATCAAGAGCCCTGCAGTTAATCACTACCGTCAGCATCTTGCCAGACTCTTTTGATCATTGCTTGACCAGGGAGACACTCACTTGGATCCCATTTCCCGAGCGGTTTCCAGACGGACTCCCAGCCAGACCCCATGCGATTCCACTGAGCCACGCCAGTTATGATCACTTTTGGGGACTTGTCGCTACGCTCTTCTGAGATATTGGCATCTTTTTGATCGCCAGGTGATTCTTCACTCGGCTGCTCGGCTTGCTCTATAAAGCTCACGACGAAGACATACGAGTAATTCCACCATTTTTCTAGACACTTCCGCCGCCAGTAGTTCAAATAATCGTTTGGATATTCTCGGCGCAGGGGATGTAAGAGAGGGCCCATAACCTCTTCTTCATGGAAACCCTCTGCAAGCGTTGAGGATATCGCCTCCAGGTCCGAATAGCGTGCCAGACGAATTGGCATCTTGTCATATGTCTCAACTAGTTACCAACACCGATAGTCATACAAAATACCGCTTATGATCGATATCCATTAGTTATATACCCGGACGGGCCACAGTTGAGTAGTTATATCTAGTCGTCACGTTGCTATTACACTTGGCTCGTATTGGAGGCAGAAGAATTTTGCGAGCCATGGATCTCGGCTGCGCTGACTAGGATGTCTTTCAGAGTCCAGAAACACAAACAGGATAACTATGGAAGTAATACTAAGTGGAGACCCGGACGTATCCGAGGCGTTGATTGAGGCCGCTTGAGTGGTTATGGATATTCGCAGGGGACTCTGAACCGCTATTGTGCTATAGTTAGCTATACTTATACCCTGGCCCCTGATGGGTTCCTACATATAGGCAATATTTAAGTAACTAGTTACAGCGTCTGTTTAGCGCGAAGTAGCGCGGCCACTGGGAAAAGTTAACCAGTCCTTAGTTAAACAATACAAATATTATTTACATGCAGTGAAAGCAGCCAGGAGTTAGGGAGTTGGTAGCCGTGGGGGTAGGGCAAGAGGGCAAGCATAGCTTGCTAGACGAGGCTCAATTCTAAGAGCATTGAAGAATGTTAGTTGGTAGAACATTTGGAGGGAATTTCGTGTCCAACGGTCCATCCATGATCTCTTGAATAAGAGTGAGGATAGTGCTCTGGGAGTGTTTAATGCGAATATCTGATAATAAATCATCCTCAAAAGGATCAGAGGTTTCGTTTAAACCCGAGGAGCTGCGTCAAGCCTTTCCATTGCTGAAGAGCCCAGCGCGCCTCTATCGATGAGAGACTGGATGAACTGTCTAGCCCAGCTCTGGCAATTTTCACCCTGAACAACGATGCGTGTCAGCTCCTATCTCGGAGGAGAGTGGTGTTCAGGTGATTTCATGGCCTATAGCTCAAACGTACCGCGAAGGGGTCAAGGGGAGTCGAGCTTATCCCGGGTGCAGCAACACTTTGTGCCACGCCGGCGAGCTGGGAGTTCCAGCTATCATCTAGAGTCCCAAGGAAGACACAGGAGTGTTTTTTGAGCTCCTTGGTTAGGTCGAATTCCTTGTTGACTTCGAGGTTGAAGCCATGAAATGGGCTGCCGATAGCCTGAAACTCCTGCCCAACCTTGCCATTCTCTGTCGCTGTCACCAGCACAGCCCAGTGGGCAGGGGTTTTGACGCTCTCGGGGTAAACAACCAAGTAGGTGTAGAACGTCATTTTTGGACTTGCAGAATCTGAATATTACCTGATGGTTTCGGCGGAGTCGTGGGTTGGAATTGTAGGCTGTGAGTTTTGTAACCTGCACGATGATTACCCCTGAACCATCCCGGCTGCATGCCTTGCTGGGATACGTTGGATTAGTTAACGAGCCATCCTTTCCACAGTACAGCTCGCTCATAACACCAATGATATCATGGAGCAGATAGGCCGTTTTTTACCCTGTTGTCTCTTGGCCTGAGGTCCCGAGAGGAGCTTTGTTACCATATCGCTACGATGTTCTGCCCAGGTTAAAAAAAGGCTGATAGGTTTATCTGGCATGTTTCTGAGAAACCACTGCGCCCTCCGGCTCGTATATTCGTATATTTAGAGAACATCATCGTTAAAAACATAAAAGGGGGAATAGAAGGGAAGAAAGATAAAAAAAAAAAATACACTGGGTATCAATACATGAAAGACAGGGAAGAAAATAGAGCACGGATGGATCCGAAAAAAAACCCCTTCCGCCTAGTCGTGTCGAACACTGTACCGGAAGTCTCGTCGGATAATCATATCATGGCTGTGTATGCTCAACACCGACTGGTTTCCCTGAGAACTGAATGATTGGTTATCGTTCTCACCATCGCCAGAGTTAATCTCGAGGCTGTTAACAGCACTTCGAACGTAGGCTCGATATTCATACTGCTCGGGTCGGAGAAAGCCACACTTACTTGATTCGCCGGCAGCTGGGGTTTTCTGCTTATCACTGTTTGCAATGCTCTTCAAGGATGATAGCTGTACGCTCTTGGAGCCTCCCACTTCTCGTGACGAGCCATATGGCTCTGATACGTATCCAAGTGTTATGCCCATGCCAGTGTGAAACTTGAGTAGGTACCCGCCGAGGTTGGGAATGGTACAGGACACAAGCGAGTAGCAAAGCTCAATTTGTTGGTAGATGAGGGGCGCTACAATGCTAACGCTGGGCTTAGGCTTCTTGGAGAATGACGTTGTCCGTTCAATATGAAGGAGGGCAAAAACAATAATACTGGCAAAGCGGCCGGTTAGCTTAGGACTGGGCAGCGGCGTATGAGGATGGGTAGACGTACGGTAACCTGGGTATGAAGGCCATTAATACACGGCCTTTCCGCGAAGCTCTCATTTGAATTCCCCAGACAACCGATAGTGCTACTCCAAATATAACCAATTCGGTGAATGCATCCAGAGTACCTATAATCTGCCACCTTAGGACCTGTTTGAATAGTTAGACCTTTCATTTTCGGCGGATCGGGTAAATCAGGCATCACTCACTATATCCTTGCACGCCCCGTCGTTGAAAGCCATCATTCCAGTGGGGGAACAGTTGATCAATGCTCCCAAAATCGAGCCAATACCCCAGAGTATGCTCATAGCCAGTACAGCATCGCATGCCATGATATGCATCCTCATATCTGGGCTGAATAAACGACGTATCAATAGAATAAGCGACACTTTTGCAAGTAACAGCCCAAGGAGAAAGAAGACCCCGCTTAGGAGTAGGGTCCGCCCTATCCTTTGAATGCGAGCGGCCTCAAAATCTTCATTATTCCTCCCGAGCCCGTCAGATAAGCCAAAAAAGATGGATATATATTGTGCTTCAGCAATTACCTGAGGTAGGTAAAGCAGATCCAAAGCAACATTAGTATAAGGTTCTTGATGAGATCTTTTGCATATCCTTAGCAGCGGGAGATAGTGCCAGATGGTGGTCTTACCGTAGCAACGAGCGCTATTAGATCATCTAGACCATAAAATTCTCGTTTAACGTGGGCTCTTAGGCCCATGCTGAGGATAACGTAGATGGCACATATAATTGAAGCAACCCAAAGTATACCGCCATGATTGTCTGGTGTCACGGTAGTGAATCGATCCCCTCCTGTGAAGGGTTGGATGCCTCCGTGGCTGGACATCCCTGGTGCCTCAAGTGTAAATAGATGATATTCGGAGAGACCAAAAAAGCCTGGCTACCATGAGACTAAGGGCAACTCATAGGGCGACCGGAGATTTTAACAGTTTTCCTTGTTTGCCAGAAGGATGATATTCAGTTAACCTGGTAATGCGATGCATAATGTAGAAGAAGATTCTTCCGTTATGTAAAGGAAACAGGATTCATTTGAGCCCGGAATGTATCATTCACCCCTGTAGATAACGGTGAGCAGGAGAGATCAAGAAGATTTTCAACTCCCCACCCGAGACGAGATCCTTTTCTTTTTGTAACTAGCGATTGATGCTTGTTCAAGGCAACCGTCAACACGGGGGTGCCCAGAGAAAGAGAAGCGTGTCAAAAAGTGACAGAGAATACCGGCTCCCTGCCCTGTATTCTCCATGATGAAAGATCTTCCACCTTCGACGCCTTGGCCAACACCTTATCCACCTTGCGGACAGTCTGGTGTACAAACTGCCCCAGTGGTGACGAAGTGACAGGTTCCCACTAATAATGTCTTTGGGCCCCGTTATGACAGGTGGGCACGCTATGCACAAATCATGACGCAGGTAATTTCCGCGTGGGTTACCTATATATGAGCACTTTCAACCCAAACGCGAGCCTCCACCATCAGTTAGGTAACTTATATGAGACTTGTTATTAGTTATTCGGATCTCCCATCCCGGCTAGCTAAGCTGTAGACGGGACTCTCCCTTCAGGCTTTCACCACCAACTTGCTGCCTTTTTTGCCGCCATAAGCTGTCGTCCAGATAACGATGGCGCCCAGGCGTGGGCAAGCTCTGGCGTCTCCCGTACCTTAAAAGACTGCGGCAGTCGGGGAGAACGGGCCGGGATTTGCCTTACAAAAAAGTCGTCGGGTGGAGCGCCTAAGTTTCGCCGCCCACCGTATAATTGGACGGAATCCCTGCAGCTGCCCTTGCTCTCTTGGTGCGGAAGTAGGGGATGCGCAGCCGAACGAGCTTCACCCGCTCTTCCCAGTAGGAAAAGGGGTCGGTATTTTACTCCCGAAGACTTGTAAAAAATGCTAAAGCGGAGCTAGAGCGTAATGGGAGCAAGCTCCCGTCGTGTCTGCACGTATGAAACTTTCTGGCCAACTTGACGATTTTTTTCTTATCAGGCTTGATTCGCTGTATAGGTCAGAAATATGCCTTGGCCGGTCGAAGCGGTTCAGGAATGTCTGGCATGCATGAAACTGTTCAGTACGAAGTAAGCTGGGGCTCTCCATGGGGCTGGCGAATGGATAGCTTCGGGGTTAATGAGGAGCCTTGTTCGCTGATGGGAAATTTACGCCGGGCCCCTCCTCATATTCCGTAGCATCATCCCAAGTTGGTAGGTAGGTCGCTCAAAACCTCGGGCCCTCCGTTGCTTTGATCTAGGGTGCAATTGCTCTGTTTGCCATATATATCACCATCGATTTCGTATCCCGTGTTTACAAGCTTCTTGCGCTCGTCTTCATCTCTTCCAAACCCCATACGTTTGGACTCTCGAACGATCGGCAGACGCAAGTTGATTGAAGGAGCCGCAACCGTCCGGGCCAAATTTGCGCTGCTGATAGCTATATATACGCAACAGCCCCAGGAAACAAGGCAGCAGAAAGTGGTGGCTGATAGGTGGGAACTTGGGTTTCATCATGGGCAGAGTATCTGACGTAGAGGTCAATGACGTCGGAGCTGATGTCTCTGGGGACACCTTTATCAGCCCCAGAGATGGCACCGCAAACGATGTGCAGGATATGCAGCGGATGGGCAAGCAGCAGCAGCTCCAAGTGAGTGAACAGCTCAATTGATGTGCATCATGCTGTACCCAGTATGGAAGGCCTTTTTCTTGATTATTATCTTCTAACGCGACCGTCTTTCTCCAATTATAGCGTAACTTTGGCTTTCTATCTATATTCGGCTTCTCCATGATCTTGATGAGCACATGGGAGAGTACTCTCGGGTAAGTGTTCAAGGACTTCAAGATGACCTTTTTTATCTATCAGCGCTGATAGAGTCATAGAACCGCGGCGTTTGGTCTCGGAAATGGAGGAACGGCCGGATTAATCTATGTATATCTCGGGACTGTTGTCGGCTTTTCGCTGGTGATTGCATCAATGGCTGAGATGGCTTCAATGGCGCCCACTGCTGGTGGCCAGTACCACTGGATTTCGGAGTTTGCGCCTCGAAGTTCTCAGAGATTTCTCTCTTATATCATCGGCTGGTTGTGTGTGCTTGGATGGCAGGCTGGTACAGCGTCCTCTTGTTTCCTAGCTGGAACCGAGATCCAGGGACTCGTTATCCTTAACTACGACAACTACGAGCCCCAGCGATGGCATGGAACCCTAATGGCAATGGCCATCATTGCGCTGTGTGCACTTTTCAACACTGTTCTCGCGAAGCGACTCCCATTGGTTGAAGGAGTGGTGCTCATCCTTCATATTGCTGGCTTCTTTGCAATTTTGATCCCACTATGGATTCTTGCTCCACGGTCGTCCTCGAAGGATGTATGGACTAAAGTTGAGGATGCGCAAGGATGGGGAAGCAAAGGGCTAGCCAGTTTAGTTGGAATAATCACACCAGTTGTGTCGCTCCTGGGAGCTGATGCTGCAACGCACATGTCGGAGGAGTTGAAGAACGCATCAAAGACACTTCCCAAGGCGATGCTTGCAACTGCGATGTTCAATGGTTCTCTAGGCATCATCATGGTGATGTAAGTTTCCCCCCTCTTTTTTCTCTTTTGCGCTGGAATGTTGTTTCAATATTTCATGAGCTGACAGCTATGGTAGCACTTTCTGCTATACAATTGGTGACGTCGATAGTGTTCTTGCAACACCAACTGGATACCCTTTCATTCAGGTATTTTATAATGCCACCATGTCCAAATCAGGCGCCACGGCTATGACAGCTATTATGGTTTCGCTGTCTATTTTCTGTGGTATGACAAACATGGCCACTGCTTCAAGACAGCTTTTCGCATTTGCTCGAGATAACGGTCTTCCATTTGGCAAATTCTTTCAAAAGGTAGGGACAGTCTGGTCCTTGCTTTTGTACGGATGGTTGAAAGTTACTGATACCATTCATAGGTTCCCCTTGGTTGGGATATCCCGCTCAATGCTATCATTTTCACTGTCATAGTGAGCTCACTGCTCTCCCTCATCAACATTGGTAGCACGATTGCGTTCAACCAAATCACCTCCCTTGGTCTCTGTGCATTGTTATCCAGTTACATCGTCTCCATTTCCTGTATGGCTCTCAAGAGGATACGCGGTGAAAAATTGCTGCCCTCGCATTTCCGCATGGGCTCCCTTGGGCTGCCTATTAACTTGCTTTCCATTGCCTTCCTGGTAGTGGCGTATGTTTTCTGCTTTTTCCCACCAATGCCAAAGCCACCGCTTGATGGAATGAACTGGAGCGTTGTTATTTATTTTGGAGTGTTGCTGTTTAGTTTGGTTTACTTTGCCTTCCGAGGAAGACATAAGTATGTTGGGCCTGTGGAGTATGTGAGAAAGAGTGCTTGACCTTTCTCCAGTTAATTTTCATCTTCGTTTGGGCGGTATTTTCATAAAAAATAGCTTTACAATGTACAATTCAAGACCCTTGAATCCATATTTTCATATTTTCACAGTCAAGAGGCCGTCCCTGTGGCACCTTAAGACTTGTATGCCTCCTCTACTGGCTGGATTTATGCGTCTTGAGGACCAGTAAAACCTAGATTAACTGGAATAGAGCTGTTTGTTAGTCATAGGACTGCATTTACTCACCTGCTCTGTTTTCAAGTATTTGATCTGTTAGGGTAAGCCGGAATGATAATTCGACAGACCGATAAAGTGCTCAAAAGCATCTTTCGAAACGTATATCCATAAGCCTGCTGTGATGGATTTATATAATGTTTCTCATCAGTTATCCGTTCGTAATACTTTGATCTGACATCTGATGCTTTGCATCAAGAGCGAAGCAATCACAGATGAAGGACGAAGTCGAAATAGCGAGATAAAGTTGAGTGCGGACTTGGGTAGGCAGCCTTTTTACCGGCCAAGGTAGTATTCAGATTTGATGGCATCGCCGGGCAAAGCCTCACTGTATGTGGTGAATGTGCAAGTGTTACGGCCCGTTCATGGACGGGCGTCACGTTAGGCCATTCATAAATAGGATGTAGCTTAGTGTCCAATGTGAGAGTGGGAGGCGAGGAGGGCGGGCAATTATGAGGTGGGCTAGGTAGGATAACATGACGAAGGCAGAGAGATCCAGATTTGTTTTTAAGGCCGCACGATGAGCAATTTCATAACAAGTAGCGGGATAGAAATACACCAGGGAAGGAATTACATCCAGGGAACCAGTGATAATAGAGGAAAACCACAAAATGGAATATCAAAATAAAAGGCATAGGAAGTAGAAAATCGAGAGTTAAAAATACTTGGAGAAAAGATGAGGACTGAGGAACGTATGTTTTTGGTAAAGGAAATCAAGGACTTGGCCTGAGGACATTAAGCGCCCGAAATACTATGGCTGGAAAGCAAAAAGAGAAAGGGATCACGTAGTTTCATACCGGATTAGACTCGGTGTTTTTCACTCTCTGTAAGATGGAGTGGTTAGCAAACTGTACTGTTCATATATTAAACGCGGGAAGAAAACTTACCAAGTCGGGAGTAGAGCATGTACAACGCCATCTGGTTACACTCCTGAGTACCAGTTATAGTGACCAACCGCTCATTGCTGTTATCTTGGGGCTCGTTGATCTTGATAACACTGCCGCTGAGTTGCCGGATTTCATTGATCTTTGCTCCTCCCTTTCCAATAATTGCGCCTACCATATCATTGGGGATATAAATTTGTTGGGTCAATGGCTGGCCAGGAACAGCTGCACCCATCGGTGGGCCGTTTGGAGGGACGTGGCCACCGTGTGGGGGCTGGGGGGCACCATATGGAGCCGGTTGATGAGGCCCGGCTCCAGTATATCCAGCCCGTGGGGAGGCACCGTAGTGCAAGCTCGGCTGCGGAGCATGCGGATGAGGAGCAGGCTGTTGCATATATGGAACACCATATCCCCCAGGAGCGGCACGGTTGGCCTGAGGGTTGTTTCGGCGTAGAGTGTCAGGGTGTCCGTATTGTCCTCCAGCTGGCTGAGGAACATATGGAACAACCTGCATACCACCAGGAACAACACCGGCAGGTCCACCACTTCGGGTAGCATAAGCGGATGCAGCAGGGCCGCCGAATCTCTCGGTCAACTGCTCAACCAATGTGACAGCAACATAGTAGGTTGCAATGTGCACGGCGTCAGCAACACCAAGAATAACAAGCGATCGTTCAGTAGAGAGGGGGAGGCAAGAGTCTGAAGCATTCAGACGAGCGCCGGATGCTTCTTGAATCTCGCGGATGCGGACACCCGATTTGCCAATGATAGAACCGATGAGAATATGAGGGATGAGAAGACGGAGAGGGTATGTCTTGGACTGGGCAGTTGATGGTGCTTCAAGCGGTTCATTGTTGAGGGTACGAATGATCAAACCAAAGGCCTGTACGTAAGGGTTAGAAATGTACTAAACAAATATACGACTGCGTATGTGTGACCTTACCTTTGCAACTGCATCTTGCATGCCACTAACTGTCAGAATTCTCTCTACTGCTCCACGAGAATAGTCGCTGACGGTACATTTGGCACCAGACAGGCGTCTAATCTGAGAGACGTTTTCTCCACCTTTACCAATAACAGTAGCGGCTTCGGCACTGGAAATGACTGCTCTGATGTGTACCCAGCCAGTTTCGTCCTGGGCAGGTTGACTGGTAGCTGGAGGGTTCGACGTGGCACGGTCATTGTGAGAAGCTGTGGATTGAATTGGCTGTGTCTCCAGGGCAGGGGCAGGAGCAGATTTGCCATTGTTAGGGGCATCAGGGACCAGCAAATCACCTTGACCATCCTTGACGCCGTTTTCACCACCGGCACCATTTTCGGCACCGTTCACGCTTTTTTCATTGGTAGGCTTATCGCCTTCTTGGGCCTTGGATTCATCGCCCTCAGCCTTTACAACCTTATCCAAAGCTTGACGTTTGGCCTCTGGTTGATCATTGGGCCCAGAAGGTGAAGATGGGTCCTCAAGGGGACGTTTAGTCGATGGACCGGCTGAAGTTGGAGAAGCAGACATGGCCGAGAAGTATGTAGCGGTGTTCAGTGATTGATTGCGTTTTTCTTTTCTTTGGTTTGTTGCGGTAATCGATCACCTACGTTTGAGAGAAGAGGAAGACTGAGAAAAACAAGGTAGAAGCCGGGGTGAATCTGAAACTTTCTTAGATTTCTTTCTTTCTTTTCCTTTCTCTTGTCAAATCGGTCTTTTCTTATGTACACCAGGAGTTCCCAAGGAAAACTTGCTGGTGCAGTGGTCGGACTGAGAGAAAGGTGATGGGAGGTGTGGTGTTGTTGAGAGCGGAATTGGTGTAGGTAGATATTGTGAGGGTGCAGAGCGTGTTGATTTGTGTAAGATTCGAGCGGTTGACTGGTGTATGAGGATACGAGAGTGAGGCTGATATGGTTTTTTCCGAGCCCAGGAGCTCCGAAAGAAGGACAGTGGTGTTTGTGGGAGAGATTAGGAGGTGTGGTGATTTGTAGTTGAGCAGACGGGTTTAACGAGAACGTCGCCACTCAGCAAGCAGGAAAACAAAGGATAATTGATGGCTGAGTCTGAAAACGCAAGTGAATAAAGGCAACGCGCCAGAAAAACCAAACTTCTAGCTTGTTTGCCCAAGGTATGGACCGAAGCTGCTGGGGACGCGGACGGGTGGTTCCAGGCGTGACGGATGCGCGCAGGAGGCCAAACAAAGGAGCCCGCCGAGAAAGAGACCGCGCAAAGTGTCGACTCAACGGCGAAAACCTAGCAAAACAGCACCAGAAGGCTCGCTCGTCGTTTCGCGATGCAAAAGCGCTGAAGTTGTAGATGAAATTGAAGTTGAAGCTCAAAAGTCGAAAGTTGAAGTTGAAAAAAGAAGTTAGGGGGGTTGGCGCTAGGCCACTTTGGGACATCCGGGGTAGTCACGTGAATAAACACTTTATCACAGCAAAAGAAGAAGCAGAAGAAGAAACAGGAGCAAAAAGGGACAAGAAGAGAGGACAAGAAGACAAGAAGACGAGACAGGATGGTGGCTGAAGATGTGGCTGAGAGGATACGTGTCTACCAGGAGTCGTGTCGAGATGTCGAGAAAGAGCGTGGGAGAGTCGCATTGACGGCCGCAGACTACGAGGAATACAACAGACAGATAGACAAGACGCTGCGCGGTCTACGCGAGCAGGTCCAGCGACAGGAATTGGCTTTGAGAAAGGTATGCTGTATATGTTTGGATGACGCAGTGCGTGTCAGCATGTCTGACCAGTGAATCTAGCTTCGTGCATCTGTGAATCCGCTGGAGTTACCGCGCCCTCACCTACAACCCAATGAACGGTTGGCACAGACTCGCAGGGCGATACAAGCATACAAGTCTCTCTTATCCGGCGGGGAGCTACAGCTTCCGGCTCCGGATTCACCGCTGAACGGCCTCTTGGCTATACAAGAAGCTCAACGGTTGGTTCGAGAATTCAAACATACCATTCCTTCAACGGCGGAGCAGCTCGTTCGTGACCGTGAGAGGTTAAAGGCTGAAGAGGCCAACCTACGAGACGCCAATGCGATAACTACTGAACTCCAACGAAGAATACGGGATATACGCCAGAATGGGGGAGCTGAAGATGAGGCTGGACGGAAGAAGTCGAAACAAGACTTGAATCGGGCTGCAAAGGAACTGATCAAGGAACAACGAAGAAAAGGTGTTGAGATAGATGAGAAAACTGCCGAGCTTCAAAATGCATTGAAGGAGTTTATTGAGGAACACCTCGCGCCGATGCTTGCGGCAGAGAATATGGGTGGGCCGGTTGTTGGTGATCAGATTGAGGTGTCCGATTCGGCTCTTGAGGCTGGGTATACTGCAAGAGGCAAAGAGAGAAAAGCTTCCAGGACCAGCGACAAACAGATTGCTAGTAGTAAGAAGCAGCAACAACGCATAGATGAGCTACTCCATCGTGGCAAGAGAAGAAGTCGCAATGCACGGCGTGATGGAGAGGATGAGGAGGAAAATGAAGAAGACGTTGCAAAAACCAGTAACCCAAGAGAAGCTGCTGCGGAGGAAATGAATTCTCTCCTTGAGTCACTACTAAACATAGCGGCTACGTCATCTTACGTCGAGCTAGACGAGGACTCTGCCGCGTCGAGGTTTTTAGTCAAGGCCAAGATTGCACAATTTCACCCGCGAGATTCACAGAAGCTTCGATTGATCGATGTTGCAAGAGAGTTAGCAGACTAAAAGTCTCATTCATGTTATTCTATGGGTGTATAGTATCGACTAGATGTGCATAGATGTACACCTGATTATTGATAATCCTTCCCCCCATACAAATCTCACTCTTCTAGTCGATCGTGTCATCACGAAGAGCAAACAGCTGTGCAATCAGTTCAGGGGAGTCTGAACGCAGACCGTTGTGGTACATTGTGTTGGCAATGAACTGCTTGCAATTTCGAATGGTAGCAGCTGTTTCGTTGGCGTAGCTAAAGTGCACGTACATATCCTCGACATATGTAGCGGAGTACACTGGCACTTCGTTGCGCGCAAGCTGTTCCTTATCATACAATTCCGGCCAATCGTCGTACGAAGCAAGGATATCCGCTACTTCTTTGAGTTGACCGAGCTCTGCGGATGACTCAAACCAATGCTTGTACACCATCTCCCCGGTGAAATAGATGCCATCGGGATTGTGAGCGCCTCGGAACCCGGAGAAGTCTGGCAGCAGCCTGTCGGCGGCCCAGTTTGATGCCTCCCTGCGATATACAGTTAGATCCTGACGCCCACTCAATCATAAGGTACGGCTCACCCTTGGCAATAAATAGGTTCATGCATTATGGCGTATAAAATACCATTGTCTGCACTAGTGTCGTTCTCAATTAGAGATAGAGTAGGCCGTGTGAGAAAGCCAAACGTGTCCAATTCGTTAATGCACTTCAAAATAATGCCTACATTTCAACGTAGTTAGCTTGGTAGTGATAATATAACCGCTAGAGAAACCGTACTGTGAACCAAACCAATGCCACCTATGTATGCATGTTAGCTGTAAACTATGAAATTGGTCTTGGAGTACGGCCTACCTTTCATTCCAAAGTGAATTCCCAGCTGGAGGAAACGCTCCGGAGTCAACAATGAGCCGTCGGGGAGTTTGACCTGATGAGTTTGGAGATGCTTGAGTATAACCCGCACTCGATGTTCGTCTTCAGGAAAAGTGGAATAGTACACTTTATTCCGCGATTGGACCTTGTCTATCAAGGTCAGCTGTAGACCGTAATAACCGCAACTATTCTAACATACCATAAGTTCTCTCGTATACCGGATCAGGCTTTGACACAAGAGGGGGCAATCCACCAGTTGTGAAGACCTCTTTAAGTCCCTCGGGGCTAGAAAACGAAGGTTAACATTTGCAATACAATCTGAGAGAGGAGAACTCACTATTTGGAAAGGTATGTGACAGCACAGAAGCCCCCAAAGCTCTGGCCTAGAACACTCCATTTTTGCCTGTCTGGGGGGTAGTAAGCAGTCAACAGTTTACGCACTGATTCACAGTCCCGCACAATATTGTCGGCGCGAAATAGTCTAAGATATTCAGCCTGCTTGACTGCATTTCCTTGAAGAGCAAGTGTTGCAGCAGTGATAGGACTTGACAGCCCTGTTCCTCGCTGGTCAAGGAGAAGAATCTACACCCGGAAATCAGCAATGCTTCCCATACCCACTCAGCCAGTTCCTGGTACTCACTTGGAACCCACGATCCAACAGTGGACCAACCCAGCCTACTTCTTGCGGCTGTGGGCAAGCCCCCCCTGGACCACCTTGCAAGAAGACGATCCAGGGCAACTGTCTGTCCTTTTCATCGAGAGGAGACCCTGGCATCCGCCGCTGCACGCTCCGGGCAAACAACCGGAGCGATGCAGAAGACGGGTTTGAGTAATCTAGAGGGACATCGAAAAGAGTTCAGATACCCTCAGTCTTCCTAAGATGGTCATCAGTAATTATGCAATATTAAATTGCAAGTCTCGGTTAAATAATGCATAATGAGATGAACCAGAACTGGCTGCACTAACCAGGTACATTCTGGCAGTACCGGCTCAACAGTTTTGCGGCCTGCATATCTTCTGCCATTGTATATTTAGCCGGTGTTACACAGCTAGTAGATCCGTTATTTGATAAGCAAGGGTTAAAAAATTCACCTTTAGTTTGGTTAAATGGTTTGATCGTTGTTCTTGTTCGATGTTGTTCGTCTCTTGAAGGATTCAGAAGCTTCTGCTTGGCGCTAAAATCGGCTGTTTCCCCGCGATTTTGAGGTTTATTGGTAGGAAAAAGTGAAAAGAGCTGTGTTATTGAGTCGCAGGTCATTTACCGACATTAATTGATTGATTCTAGCTACAACTTAAGTCAATGTTATCATTATCAGAGTCAGATAACTGGCATCCTTATCTTCAATTGCCTGAGCTTGGGAGATGCTCAAAGCCCAACAATACAAACAGTACACATGTTCCACTATATATCAACGTCATTGCAAACATTAGGCTGATTGCATCCCCACTCGGTATTCCGAACTTGCAAAGAGCCTCATGAGCCCTGGCCGCTTGTTTGTTAGTACCGTTGCATAACTACGCCGCAGAGCTTCCGTCCGCTATGGAAAGAAGTGATTCAACAGTATGGGGAAAGGTTGAAGTCCGCATTTTTACAGAACTCTCATTTCAAATAGAGCACTCTGTAGAGCTCTTAGTGTGGACACATTCGTCTCTATCAGATAGTTAGCTGATCCTTCACAGAATCTGCATCTCGCAAGCTGCAAATTCTCGCTGTGATCAAAAAGCCCCCACGTCAAACTAAGGCCCTCACGTGATGCTCCAGTTCAATACGGGACAATATTAATCCGGTGTTAATGGACAAGCACGGGCCATTTCAGCTTTTCGTGGTATCAATAATGGACAAACTTTCGAGTGTTTTCTTCAGAGCTCGCATAGACAGCGCTGCACCACGAGCTATACTCTTTCTATCCGCTACTAATATTCTGCCAGACATATTAAATGAGTGCCTCACATCAATAGCTCTTTAGTTTCCATCCATCTTTAGTTGAGCGAGACTAATTCGTCTCGACTGGCTTCGTTGCAGTAGCCACGATGGCTATCCAGTCCATGGGAATAGGGTTGTCAACACCGTACCTTGATGTCAAGTAATCTGAGACTGCCGGTGCTAAACTAGAGCCATACTTTTCCCTCTGCTCCTCGCTCCAAAACCTCGCTGGTAAATGCAACATAATTGGAGTCAATGCTGGCATCATCTCCGAATGTGTGCTTGTTGCCATAGTCTTTTGCACAAGCCTGACCTGGATATCTCCGAGCCCTCGCTTCTGCAGCTGACTTTCAACCCAGGCGGGATTGTGCCATTCGTCGCCGCTTCCGAGTGACATTAGGAACTCGTCGGACGTGGGTCGTGGAAGATCGGGGGCCACGGTAGCAATGGCAGCGTTGACATCATCACTCCATCCAACTATGGAAAGAAAGTCTTATCAGCAGCTGGTTTTTGGGGTACTCAACGACTCAGACATAGTTAGGCGGACTCAGCATGACACGTCTGATCCTAGTGCATACGTACTCTTTTTCCAGGTTGTGAATGCGAGTGTTCCACCCGGCTTTAGAATTCGGAGGCACTCTATAGTAGGTTATTAGTTGTTGACTATACCTAGTATAGGGAGCCTGGGCACAACAATGGAAGGTCTCACCATCAAGGCTCTCCTGTGGTTTTGGTACACCCATTATCGCTGAAAAACTCAAACGTCAACACCCGTTTGCCTTTTCCTTGGTGATGTTTTCCATGTACTACTAACCAAATGAGGCAAATACATGACTGTAGTTGCTAGCCGGCAATCCGGTCTCCTGCAGATCCGCGACAGCAGTGTCGGTGTTTCCCCATCCTTCAACCTCTATCTTCTCCTTGACAGCATTGACCATTGCCTCAGACAGATCTGCACATGTCAACTTCCACTTACACTTGGTCTTCCAATCAGGAAGCATCTCATGCAGAACGGCCGAGACGGCCCCTGTCCCGCAAGCATTGTCTAGAATGGACAGTGATTCCTCCTCACTCCGAATGGACAAGATACCTGACTGCTCAATCAGTGACGTCGCAAAAGCAGTGGTCACCTTCTCCGCGGACCGGTAGTCTTCAACAACCTTTGGATCTTTCCATATGTCTTCGGTTCCCTGTTGTTGCTCGGAGGCGGTTGGAGTGCTGGGTTTCATTGTCGGAGATGCTGGTGAGAGGTAGAGCGCAGTACAATACAACTTGGAGTAGAAAGGTACAAGAATGTATGCTGATAGATGATACCAAGTAAAAGAAAGAGGGGGAAATGATACAATAGGGCTGGATATTAATATCATCTGCTCCTTGGCAAACCACGCCCCCGGAAAATGCGGAAATATTAGAACGGAATCCAGCTGCGACCCGTTGATACCGACCAATAATACAGCGGTGACCTTGACAAGCGTTTTTTGTCTTCGTCACTGCTGTTTGGACTGGCCTGGAACCAACGTGATTCAGCTGAGTAGTTACCCCTGTTTCTCAAACAACATAGCGGGGCAAGACTGGTGCCTGTATGACAGCTTGGCCCTATGGCATCCATTATGCGGAAGTCTCTTTATGACAAAGTAGATTGTTGGCTCGCCTATGAGTAAGTTGATGAGTGATCCATTAATTATATCGCATTCAGCCTGTCGGCCCTACCACCCAGCTTTGGCCCCTCTCCTTGTGCTGCTGCGGGGCAGTTCAGCTGCAGGTATCGTCCGAAATGCCAGCTCCGATGATTTCCGTGGACTTGGGTTTCCATCTGGCCCCCAGTCGACGCTGGCAGTGCCCAATTCTGCATGATGTTCGCGTACATTGAGTTGAAGTTACATAACCAAAACGAGCAAAGTCCAGCCCTGTGGGGCTTTGGCCAGTTAACTTAGGCTCGTGGGTCGCGGGCTAGTCCGTGAGCTAATTTTAACCAGACATCCCCACCGTTCATAGTAATCATATAACTGATCTTTAACTAGATCTCGGGGCTATGCTAGTTATGGGATACACAAGTCGCAGGAGTTGGTAGTACAGATACTTAGCTTTCCTCTGAGATTGAAATTCAGTTTCTGCCTGACTCTGAAAGATAGTTAGTAGTATCTATCAAGTAGAATACGAGGGATTTCTCGCTCGCGGACAAGCATTTAACCCTCATTGGACCTGGAACTGCGGGGGAATTCAGCCCGACAATGAAGCTATCCTTTGCCTTCTAATATCCTGTATATATTAGTCTTATCCCTGAATATATCTGCTAGCGCATTGACTGAAATACGGGAGATGACCTTTAAGCTTTGTAGGGCAATAGGCCTTCTAGCTTGTTATCTGCATTGACACGACAAGCTAGCTGCGCATAAACCCTGACAGTCACACTCGCTAACGGTCCTTCCACCATCCCCGTAATCATGATTGGCTAGATGCTAACTAATATAAGAGTATGTTTACAGGGATCCCCGCCCCGCGAGCAACTTAAAATATTCATCCTTATAAACAAACGAACTATAATGACTTCTTGTATGTGTACTGGTAGCCTCCAGCCTCCCAATTTCACAAGGGGTTCGAGGCCTATTAAAGCGTACGTATTGTAGTTGATGCGTCAAATTACTAAATGTAGTCAAATATGATGGAACGTAAGTTTTTATTGTAGAAGTATAATTGCCATTGCATCGCTATGCACCTGTCACCTTGTTCAAAAGTAAGAGGCTAACTAATCTTGGATGATACATGAGCTGGAAGTTTGCTAGTTGCGGGAGATAGCCGGTGTAAGTGTAACGTTGCCATTTACTTATGGGCCTCGATGTGCTGGTGGACGTGCTGGGTATCCGCATAAGCCCTCAATTCAGTGATCTTTCCGTCGTGGTTGAAGCGCATGAGAACGGCCATCTCGTGGTTCCATGGGGTGTCTTCAAAAAGATAATGGTTAGTCAAAAAATATAATGAGACTTCGTATACAACCAAGGAAAGCTTACTGTTCTGGGTGGTTGCAACACTGTGGAGGACGGCAGCCTTCCATTCGTCGCGCTCGCCTCCAATGACATGCAAAACGCTGCCCTTAATTGGCTTGCTGACATCGATGATGGAGTTCAAGGATGGCATGTCATCGGACTCAAGGTGTTGCTTGAAGGCATCGAGGCCGCGGTGCTTTCCGTTCAAGTGAAATTCGTGACCGGAGATATGGACTTCGACATCATCAGAGAAGAGTTCGTCCAAATGTCCGAACTGGAAGAGACTCTCAGAGTCGTCATTGAGATCGGACTTTTGGAGCTTGGAGTGGAATTGAGCCTCCAAGAGAGTCTTGATTTCAGCGTTGGTTGGGTAACCCATTTTTGATGATGGTAAGAGCAAAAGTTGCTGTGAGATTTGTAGGTTTGAAGGGATTGAAGTGGTTTCTAATGATAATGATGATGATGATGATGGTGGAAGAAGTGTAGATAGAAGTCTGTCCGGTGAAGGGAAGGTAGAGGATTTTATATCCAAAAGGCCTCTGTTTATAGTTGTAGATTTGCTGACTCCAGCTGAGATGCAGACTAGGGGGCTGGATATGCCGTGTCAATGTAACCATATAGACAAGGTATTGAACCCCGGACTCAGCTCTGGAAACCACGGACATTACCGGGAATGTAGTTGACCCTGTCTCGCTAAGAAAAACACCAACGAGGGTATTGAGGGTTGGTGGCTGGCTGATGCGCATGAAAGTGCTCTATGCGAATGTCGGTAACAGCTGAGTTGACGAAGGATCAGGGCTAGCTCAAGTGGGGAGTTCGGCACTTCCCCTAGCTAACCTTTCACATGCGTAACTATTGTAGCTGAAAACGATGATTAGGAAGGCGGATTAGTGGTATCAACGAGCCCGCAATATGAAAGGATATTCTTGCACGAATTTCCTTGACAGAAAATATTTCCAATTGCTTGATACACCTCCGCTAAAGAAAAACCAAACTTGACATCTTCCCTTTGATCAGTTAGAAAGGTTCAGGTGGCTAGAGATAGTCGTTCAGTTTTTTTATCTGTCTTTTTACAATGAGCCCAGCACAAGAACTGAGCTCCACTCTTGTCTCAATTGAAAATGGGAGCGATTCAATAGGAATGTTTCCCTTGTTGACTGATGGGCATGCTCCCGTTGGCAGCAAGTTTGACCTCGAAACGAAACACCACAAGATTCTTGGGGAGGAAGCCCTGACAACTGGAAACTTGTCAGAGTCCGTCATCATTTCAGCATGGGCAATAACCCTTTCGATATATATTGGAACACCCAAAGTTTCCTTCCACGTCTTACTGAATGATGGATTCCAGTGGCGAGCTTCGATATTCCATCTAAATGCCACCGAGAATCAGACACAACAACAGATCGTCCAAAAATCTCGCAGTTTGCTCCAGCATCTTAAGTCTGAAAGTATTCTGCACGAAGTAACAGTTAGAGAGCTCGAACAGCCAGTGAACACTGCAATTGTGCTCGGCCATGTTTATGGTAGATCAGCTTTGCCAACGCTAAATTTTACACGGGTATTTCCACCTTCCCCCTATTATGCGACGACAGTAACTAACAGCGCAATTGGCAGAAATTGATAACCATGAACGTTATAGCGACCGCGGCTGAGGCAGACTTCCGCTTGGGCTACCAAAACTCTATGCTTTCAGATGGCCAGGCAATAAATGTTGGCTCTACGTTTGCAAAAATATTGTCAGGTTTTGGGCCAAAATCCGATAAACCACTCAGTTCTCTGGAATACATGAGTAAAACCCATGTCGCTCAGCTGTGGAATTTCAACAGTGGAGTTCCAAAAGAACCCTGGATGGAATGCTTCCATAGTGTTGTGGAGAGACATGCGCTGGAACGACCGCTATCTCAAGCCATTGACGCGTGGGATGGGAGGTTCACATATGCTGAGCTAAACAAACTGTCGATGCGGTTGGCAGAATACCTCCAAACCCATGGAGTGGGACCTGGCACTATTGTCCCAATTTGTTTCGAGCGTTCTGCATGGGCAATAGTAGCTATGCTGAGTGTGTCGAAAGCCGGCGGGGCATTCGTGAGCATTCCGCCATATTTGCCGTCTGGTCGAAGAGAGGCTATGATTCAAATGATATCTCCTTCAATCATATTGACGACGTCGAACTTTTGCCATCTTTGGGCCACTGGGCTAAAATGCATTCCGATAGAGGGCAACCGCATAAATTGCCTACCAACATCTGAAATGCCCTTAATATCAAACTCCAGACCCGTGGACACATTTTACATCATTTTCACCAGCGGTTCGACAGGAGTTCCAAAAGGATGTATGGTGTCCCATTCATCCTTCTTGAACGGGGCTCTCAGAAAAGCTCCAGAATGGAACTTTGGACCCGGTCGTCGTGTCCTTCAGATGCTAAGCCATACGTTCGACATGAGTCTCCTAGAAATCTGTACTAGTTTAGGTTCCGGGGCATGTGTATGTGTACCACAAACCGAGGAAATCGAAGATAGCCTTGCAGGTGCAATCAAAAAATATAGCGTCGATCTTGCGGTCATGACTCCGTCGCTTGCTAGGCGGTTGGAACCTGAAGCTGTACCAGGGTTACGGGTGCTGTGCCTTGGAGGAGAATCGTTTCCTAAAGAGCTAGTCACATTGTGGTCCGAACGAGTCAGCCTTTTTCAATTCTACGGCCCAAGTGAATGTTCGATCAATTCGTCAACAAGAGCTATAACACACAAGCACACTGATCCACTGAATATTGGAGTTCCTAATAATGCTGCATGCTGGGTGGTATCTCCAAAAGATCACAACTGTCTCGTCCCTGTTGGCGCCATTGGCGAACTTTTAGTGTCTGGTGCTATTGTTGGCCAGGGGTATTATAAAAATCCTGTCAAGACTGCAGAGGCATTCGTCCAAGACGTTAATTTTCTCTGTGGAGATTCTCGGTACAACGGCTGGCGTTGTTACAAGACTGGCGACCTAGTACGATGGAACTCCGACGGCACACTCACATTTTGTGGGCGTGTGGATAGCCAGGTGAAACTTAATGGCCAACGCCTTGAATTAGGAGAGGTTGAATACCATTTGACTCTGGATAATGAAGTTCGTCATGCAATGGCCATGGTTCCAAAGATAGGGCGATGTAAAGATAATTTAACGGCAATTATATCTTTGAAGTCATCAACAATGGCCGATATCGAGGATAAAATGTCAACGATTCGTGGTACCTTGGCCGAGGAAAGTATGCAATTCATCCGAAAACGATTACAAAATGCCCTCCCAAGGTATATGGTTCCGACTATATGGGCATTTATCCTCGAAGTTCCCATGTCTGCATCTGGAAAGATAGACCGTGTTAAGATACGTAAGTGGGTTGAAGAAATGTCAGAAAGCACGTTCCGTGAAATAACAGGGGGCTCAAAGCAACATGATAACAAGAAGCCTTTGAAAGAGATGGAACAGTTCATCCAGGAGACATGGAGTAAAGTCTTAGACCTATCACTGGAGGAGGTCGGCCTTCATCAATCTTTCATACAACTCGGTGGCAGTTCGATACTAGCCCAGGAAGTTGTTGCAAAATGCAGAAAGAAGGGAGTAGGCTTGACCATGACTGATATTTTGACTTGCGATGGCGTTGCTGGAGCGGCATCTTTGACTACGGCACTTGAGAAAAGTGAGTCGCAGAAAAGATTGCTTAGTTCCACTCCCACACCAATTTGGCGAAAACTTCGAGCAGAGTACGATTTGTCACGCTTAGGGGCCTCACATATCGATGACATTGAAGATGTGTATCCTTGCACACCTATGCAAATTGGTATGTTTCTTGGTCAAATCCAGAGGCCAGGCTCATATCACCTCAGGTTCTTCTACAGACCAACCGTGAAGGACGGAAAATTGCCGGGGATAGAAATGATACAATCAGCCTGGCACAAAGTTGCTTCTCACCATCCTTCACTGCGTACAGTGTTCGTGGATGATCTGGGATTCGGCGCGGAGTATCATTCCATTGTGTTGCGGAAAGCTCCACTGGATGTGTGCATACACGAACGGCCCGCAAATTTTTCACCATCCGAGGCTATGAACGCATTTACCAGGTCAATCAAGCCATTTATAAAAGGCTCAGCGTTCCATAGATTATCCCTATGCGTGTGCGAAGACAAGGTCATGTATCTTATGATAGAGATTTCTCACGCACTGGTGGATGGCGCTGCCATGGAAAATCTAATGAGAGACTTCGCAACTGCTTGTGGCGATGGGCAGCTCTTTCACCAGTCGTACTCTTACCGAGAGTTTGTGGAGTATGTGGCTTCACAAAACAATGAAACGAGCGCTAAGTACTGGACGTCATATCTCAAAGATTGTCCGCCCTGCATGATACCTGTCAGTCAACAAATGACTTTTGACAGCTTGCCCACCCGCTTCTTAAGGAAAGATTTTGCCTATGAGAGGAGCAGGGAGTTCTTGGTCAGGTGTAAAGAACGACATATAACTGTGGCATCTGCCGTCAGAGTGGCTTGGGCGTTGGTTCTCAGGGCATATACCGGGTCAAGTGACGTCTGTTTCACCTATGTCGCTGCTGGAAGAGATGTGCCCGTCAAAGACGTGGATATGATGGTTGGGCTATGTCTAAGCATACAGCCTTGCAGGGCACAGCTCTGTAATAACACCACGTTTATATCTCTTGCGGAAAGAATGCAACAAGAGTATATCGATAGTATGCCGTACCAACACTATCCTTTAACGGAACTGAAGGCGCGACTATACCCAAAAGGCAGTGAGGCAATGTTCAATACAGCCGTTTCAATGGAGTGGACTGCTCGAACTAACCCATATTACAACACTTCTGTGGCATTTGAGGAAATTAGGGAGCAAGATGACCCAACAGAGGTAAGATTCAATCATTATAAACCCTCCAGAACCATTGCTAATAATCCTTTAGTATGATATAGTTGCCAATGTTGAAATCGTTGACGATAGCATGAAGCTTGGCTTTTTATATTGGCCATCTTTTAGTGACGCTGACGTGATACGCATTGCGGATGCTTTTAAGAGAGCACTGAATTGTTTGCTGGACTCTGCCGACAGGCATATTGAGGCTATCTCACTGCTTAGTGAGCATGAATTTGATGTCATGAAGTCCTCAGGCCAGGAGACACTGAGCCCCGCAGAAACATGCGTGTTTATTGCTATAGAGAAACAAGCCATTGCACGGCCAAACGCTCAAGCCATGGTATCTTGGGATGGGGAATACTCGTATAGCGAACTTGTTGAATGCTATACGGCCTTTGCCAGGTATCTTGTCGAGCATGGAGTGAGCAAGGGAGACAATGTTGCCATATGTCTCGACAAATCCTGTTGGTCCGTCATAACAATATTGGCGATCCTAAAAGCCGGTGCTATCTTTGTTGCTACGAATCCTCTTCATTCTCAGCAGCGACTTGAGAGCATAGTGCAGCATTGTCATGCGAAACTCATCATTGTTGAGCCTAGGTATTCTTCACTTTTTGAAACAGTTGACACCCCCGACAACTGTAATAAATAAGGAAATGATGGCTGGTGCATCGCCTCTGACAATATTACCAACAATTAACGACTGTGATATGGCGGCAATCGTGTACACCTCGGGTACGACGGGAGTTCCAAAGGGAATTATGATTGATCACGGCTCCCTCGGGACAAGCGTGCTCCTCGGACATGGAAAAAGCTATGGGTTTGGCAGAGAGACTCGTGCACTGCAATTTGCTGCTTTCACTTTCGACGCTTGTTTACAGGAAATCATCACCGTTCTCTCCTATGGTGGCTGTGTATGTGTACCATCAGAGGATGAGCGCCTATCGAACCTTTCAGGCTGCATGACCCAAATGCAGGTGAATTTAGCACTCTTCACACCAACCGTTGCGAGGCTCATTAAACCTCAAGATGTGGCCTGTCTGAAAAGAATGATATTGTGCGGAGAACCTATGTCTCGGCAAGATCTGGAAGTATGGGCAAGGGCGGTTGAGCTATACAATGGATATGGACCAGCTGAAGCGACTATCTGCGTCTCTGTTAGCGGTCCCCTGGACGTATTGGATGACCCTGCCAATATAGGACATGCTGTGGGAGGAACACGACTTTGGATAACCGAGACTGCAGATGATAACCGGCTGGCCCCTGCAGGTTGTATCGGAGAGCTGGTCATTGAGTCACGTCAAATTAGCCGAGGATATCTACACGATGCAGAAAAGACGGCTACCATGTTTATCAACCCCATTTGGCTGCCAGGTAGCAGAGCATATAAGACGGGTGATCTAGTAAAAAGGAATCCTGACGGGAGCTTGACGTACTGTGGCCGCAAAGACACACAAGTTAAGCTACGTGGGCAGCGCGTGGAGCTTGGAGAGGTTGAATATCACGTATGCGAGTGCTGGGCGGATACATCAGGGGTGGTAGCTGAGGTCATACACCCGGTGGGCGAAGGGAAAGCGATACTAGCTGCATTCGTATGCACTGGCAACGCGGGGAATAAATCCCTCGGTGATTTCGATAGACCCGAAGAAGACAGGGCCGAGTTGTCTCAAGTTTGGGTGTCAAAGGCGTTTATCGAGCAACTGGAAGATCGGCTGCCTTGCTATATGGTTCCATCAATATTTTTCACAGTGCCTTCTATACCTCTAACACCAAACGGAAAGGCAGATCGACAACGGCTCCGTGACATTGGTTCCAGTTGCACAAGCAAGAATCTTGCCCAGGTAAACAATCTTCAGAATAACGCCAGACGTGCACCTTCAGGAGCTAGAGAACGGAAATTGCAACAGTTATGGAGTTCCGTTTTAAATGTCGATAGGAACCAAATTAGCCTGGACGATAGCTTCTTCCGTCTGGGCGGAGATTCAGTCTCAGCAATGAGGTTGGCGACGACCGCAAGAAAAGTTGGTATCAACTTGACAGTAGCGGACATTTTCCGTCACCCTCACATTGATGAGCAGGCTAGGATTTCATCCTCATCTTCCAACAATATATTGAAGACCTTGATAGCCAAGCCATTCGCTCATATTCAGAGAAAGGACTTGGAGCGAGTTGTTTCATTGGTAGGGCTTGGACCCTATGCTAAGAATGCGAGTGATATCGAAGATATCCTTCCAGCAACCGATGTACAGTCATTTTATGCCTCACGAGCAGCTGAATCTTCAAGGGATGCATTAAATTACTTTTATCTGAAATTTGACAATAGCCCTGACGTCACTCTGCTGCGCAATGCTTGTCAAGGCATCGTTGACCAATTTTCGATATTGCGTACAATATTCATACCGACCCAAGGGAAAACTTATCAGGTTGTGATTCGAAAGCTTCAAGCACCTTTAGAGATTCATGACAATATTGAGAACATTGACGAGGCAAGCGACGCATTTTGCCTCCAGGATCTGGAAAACAAAATCACCCCCGGGTCTCTATACTTATCCTTCACATTGATTCGACGTGCGGCATCTGGATCCCAGCTTATCATCCGTATGTCTCACGCGCAGTATGATGGTATGTCATGGCCATTGATTCTCAGATGTCTTCAAGAGTCATATGCTGGAGTTCCTCGAAGCCCGACTCAATCTTTTTCTAGCTTTGTCTCATATACCCTTGGGAAAGTGAGTGAATCGCGGAAATATTGGAGGAAACTCCTGCAGGGGTCTAATATGACTCAAATTTCGACGAAATTCATCACGAAAACACCATTGCAAACAATGTCGAAAACTCATGTCGAAAAAACAGTTGCGTTACCAATCCCGCCAAAAGGTACAACTGTTGCATCACTTGTGAGTTCAGCGTGGTCACTTGTCCTTAGACAAATAACGGGGACGACGGATGTTGTATACGGGTTTGTCGTTGCCGGCCGAAACATCGGTATGCCACAGATTCAGATGGTTGTCGGTCCATGCATGAACACAGTTCCAGTTAGGATCTGTTTTAATTCTATGCGGACAACGGTAGATCTCCAGCGTCATGCGATGGATCAATATCTTTCCATGGGAGACGCGGATTCTTTGGGTTTCCAGGATATTGTGGAGAACTGTACCCAATGGCCGAGCGGTACCAGGTTTGACACATTACTTCAGTATCACGATATTGATGAAACGCCAGTGGTTGCCTTGGACGCTGATTCAGATTCAGGTCCTAGCATTGCAAAACTAGACTGGTTCCGAAAGCCGTACGCATCACCCACAAATATCGAGGTATCTGCTCGTCCGAGTGGCAAAACTCTTGGAATAACAGTGTCTAGTGACAGCAACTTGCTGAGCACTGATTCTGCCACAGCAATCTTGATGATGTTTGAAAAATCTATTAGGATACTCTCTGATGGTGGTGCATTTCCGCTGCATGCTATTGATCTCCTCGCTGTCGCTCCCCGCCAGATCCAGCGCAAGGTTCCCGATCTCTGCCCGCCAGCTTACTTGACATTCCAGCTGTTGAGTCTGATGCTTAGATCATAACTAATGACTTCCATTCAATAGGAGGAGTATGATAATTTTGTTGTTGTTGTTGATTTTTACTCGGTGGAGGCTGAAGCGTTTGACGCGTTACTACGAAGAAAAGTCGCGCTAGAAACACGACCCTGTCCTAAGCGCGCGGCTGCTTGTGAACAAAAACTACCTAGTCAGTTACCTAGCTAATGGCGACCGTTTATTGGCGCAAATAGCTAGCAAGTTAACTAATTAGCTTCTCTTTGAGTTTACCCTCGTCGATTCCTCCAAATTCTACGCACCGATCCCTGTATCCCGCTGGTCATGACAACATTCTAAATCATATCTAGTAATGAATGATCTGTGGCCTGACTACACAGACTCTACACCATCACCGGAATTTGGGGCATATTGGGAAGATGAGAATTTTCTAGCACAGGGAGTGCGCGAGCCAAATGTTCGCTCACAAACTCTATTCTACCACCACGAGCGAAGGAAGTGGTGGATTCAAGTGATCTTAATGGAAGCGATTGCTGGCACTCTGAACAGGTGGAAGGCTCCAAAATGCGAGAGGGAAAGAATTTGTTGAACTAAAAAGCAACGCTGCTTAGTTAGCAACAGCAGAATGAGGTACAGTAGGCTTCTGACAGAATTTTAAGCCTTCACCAGAGCGATAAACCACGAATTATTCGCCCTCCTTCATGATACTGCAACTGAGATTATATCGAAAGAAGTATCAGAGCCAGCGCCTACGATTAGACTCAAGCACGTAAATAGAACTAAAGGAGTTGCGAGGAATCTGGGATATCGGATTCGAGAAGACCCGCTTATATCCCTTGTCAGTGCATCCGAGGAGAGCATAGAAACTAAATTAAAGTCCTTGTATCCTACTAATTGATTGGGCAACCCATGGCTGCCATATCGTCTTCTTCGCTTCTAAATACTTAATATAGCTACTAACCCGGGTCGGCGACGGGGGTTAGACTAGCAGACTGGAAGAGTAATCTATAGCCAATTAAATGGTGAGTTGAAGTTACCAGCGACTATCAACTAACTACTTGATGCCGGGGAGGATAACATCAAGGCATCTATAAAAAAATTCCAAGCCCTCTATTACACGCGCGGCAGTAGAAGTAGACCCGTAATTTAAAGAAATTAGCGCCGGGAATCCCGCAGAAAAATAAAAGAAACAAACCTCCACAACGAAAACAACAACAAACAACAAAACCCGTTGAATTTCCGTGTTTTTTGTTTTACCACTAACTACATCGTGACAACAGGGCTATGGGAGGATTTAGCGAATCCTTTGCCCAAGCCAGACGTGCTGAGCAACATGGATGAGATGCCGGGGCCGGGTAACCAGTTAGTGCCTCGGAAAGGACGCGTTCTAGATTCGCTGCAGTGGCCCCGGCCTGCCAGGTGAAATTCCTCCCCAAGGATAGCTTAACTAGTGTGAGACAGGCTATTGACCAGCTGAGAGTGAGGCGTTCCAGCCCCAGATCACGTGTAGCTGAGCCATTGGAGGGCGTCATTTCGTTCCAGCCCGTTTGATAATTAAGACTTCCTTGGAGAGTCTATAAAAGTACGGAGTACCGCTGTCCCTGATTCACCTTTTGGCTGCAAGTCTTTCAAAAAAAAGCGGTCTTCACTCGCGATGAGAAAAGCAGGCCACTGACATAATAGCCATCGCTTAAATTCCTATAATGCTGTTTTACCAGTCGCTCCTACTCCTCTGTTCATGGGTTTCGGAAGGATGTCTCAACCAGCAAATTCCCTTGGGCTTCGATTCACACTCCGTATACCATCCAAGCACTGCCTTTGAGGAGAAGGTGAATTGGTCATTGGAGCAGTTTAAAGTCCCAGGCCTTGCAATATCATTCATCAATGGTAGCAGAGTCTTCACAAAAGTTAGCAGGCTCCCTTTCATTATCTCCATGCGCTCTAGCTTGATTCTACAGTATCAAAGTCGAAATCCTGGCAGCTTAGACTTTTATAGGGATACGGCGTTGCAGATCTTACTACCTCGCAGCCAGTATCAGAACACACCCTCTTCTTTGGAGGCAGTACCACGAAGGCCTTTACAGCAGCACTGATATCAATCCTGGTGGACGATAACGAGAACTTCCCAGACATACAGTGGGATGCAACGGTCCACAGCATCATTCCAGATGACTTCACCCTTAGTGATCCATGGTTTACTACACAGGTTACGGTTGAGGATATGCTTTCGCATCGGTCCGGCATGCCACGCCATGACTGGGTTTGGTTTGCCAACATGACGTTACAGGAGGCCGTTCGAAAGATGAGGTATCTTCCACTCACATCAACTATTCGTACGAAATTTAACTACTGCAACCTAATGTACATGGCTGCCGCTCATCTCATCGAGACCAAGACGGGAAAACCGTTCAAGGACGTGCTACGCGAGCGGATCCTAGAGCCTCTAGGGATGACCGAAACGTATGTTTCGCTACCCGATGCTCAGGCATCAGGAGGAGAAATTGCACGAGGATATTTTCTCAATTCGACCAGACAACTACAAGACACAGATTTATCATTCCACGAGAGTATCAGAGGCGCAGGAAACATCATCACCTCGGCGGCTGATTACGCGAAGTGGGTTCAGGCCATGATACAACGGAGCCCACCAATTTCACCTGCAGGCTATGCCGCCATTATGGGTGGTCACACTATCGTTTCTCCTGAACCAATGGCTCCCGACACATCTCCAACTTTGTACGGGTTTGGTTGGTTCTTGCGTACGTATGCTGGAGAAGTGATAATACAACACCCGGGTGGAATCGAAGGGTTTGGCAGCCTTGTATGCTTCCTACCGCGGAAGAAAGTCGGGTTTGTTATCCTAGGCAACAATATGATAGGCACAAACGCAGCTGTGACATTGCTTGGAAACCATTTGATCGACGATATCCTCGGAACCCAGGAACAAGACCGGCCAAATTGGCGAAAGAGGTATGTTTGTACCATGACATTTGAACAGTAAACCTTTTAAGTGTGCTCACCAGCATTATAATTCTATAGAGCTGAAGCCACGTTAGAGAACACCAAGATCTCTCCGCGAGTTTTAGACGATCTTTATCCACGTATACCTAGCCCACCTCTTCCTCCACCGCTGAAACTTTCAGAGTACGAAGGCACATATTCACACCCTGCCTATCCAACCCTGAAAATCACCACCGACTGCCCTAGCCACTCACTTTTCCCCAGGCTGTCCGGCAAACAAAAGTTGGGACCTCACCGTCTCTGCGCCAAACCCTCCCAGAGCGCCTTTGGGAGTGAAGCGCTGGTCCTGGAGCTCAGACATGTTACGGGTGACTTCTGGGTAGTTGGGACCTTGATGTATGGTGCCACTTCTGCTACGAGAGGGAAATTCATTTTGAGCCCAGAGGGAACCATTAATCAGATTTCCATTGAGATGGAACCGACTATGGCACTGGAGCATAAGGGTATACACTGGACGAAGACGCCTTAGCCCTGTCCTATACACTGTTATCACTCACTCTGTTTAGTATAGATAGATATATATACTGATGGAACTTTGGTCTTGAGACCATGGACGAAAAAATGGCTTATCTGCCTCACTTGCGTGTGTTTTATGAAAGCCTGCAGGCTACAACGGACTCTGTTTCCAATGAACCTGGATTAGGCGTACTGCTCCGTTCAAGTAGTAATGCCCCCAATGCTTGATCGATTGGACTATTGTTAGTATTCCCCTAATCTGGAATGCCATACACCCCCCTGGATGTCCACCAGCCTTTTCAACCAGGACGCGACGGGATGTCAATACGTGGCTCTGTCCGTTTTTTTTTTTTGCAGATCGGCTTAGCACTGCTCCGCATGCGAGTTTGGATGCCACTAAGATAGTTACACCACGCAGAAAATATCCAATCGACCAGTCAAATCTCGATTGATGCGTCTCTCATCCACATGCACAACCGTTTGTCAACTTTTACACAGCAGTTCAACCTGTGTGAATCTCTCCTTTTTCTGGCCCGTCTTCCAAGTCACCGTTTCCCATAGCGCCCTGCAGCCAGTTCTATGAGGGAGTAAATCGTTTACATGTCTCTTGAACAGCACGCTACAACCATATCTGTCGTCGATTCCTGGAAGTGTCACCCGAAAGTTCATTTTACTCCAAGGTTTGTCTGTGGCGAAGACTTACACCGACAGATACTTACCTAAGGTATAGTACCATCTCACATTCGGGATATTTGGAAGGGAGAGTGGTTATGCTTTTCTGGCTTGTAGATCGGACATACCTGTGCTTGCTAATTAACCCGTCCCTGGGGTAAAAAAGAAGCATCTTGACTATTTAACCTTTGAGGCTAGAGATGGAAAATTTCCTAATGGTAAAACGAAACCGTTAACTAAATAGTTAGTTAACTCACTAGTGGCTTCCAACAAAATAACCAACATGCAGCTAGTCATACTCACAGGCTAAATTTTCATCCCGCCACAACCACAACCACAACCGGTCTTATTTCGGCCTTTATACCCTTTCTTGTGTTCCTTCCTATACACCTGTGGGGGACTAAATAGAGAGCTTAACTCCTATTGATTTCCAATATGCGAGAGAAAGTAATATATTCCTCGCGGTCCGCGATAAGTTCACTTGAGGGAGGCAAGGCTGGACATGGACGGGCTCTACAAACTTCAACTTCCTCCTTGAATGGTACTACTAACTACCAGGACGCCGATATGATAAAGCCGGAGCCCTAGGATGGTGCGGGCCAAAGAATGGTGTCATGACTGAATATTGAGTGCCCAACCGGCTGCTGGTCGACGCCACGGTCAGGCAACACCAGGACCACTAGTTACCTCGCAAAGGCCCTGGCAGATATCAGATATCAGCGTGGGGCCACTAGAGCGCTACTTAGTAGATTTGACACTAGGGAAGCTGTTACGTTACGCAGTAGCTAAAGTCGGGGTGCCGGTGGGAGAGCTGCCGCCTGGAAAATCATGCCATCCTGCCTCGATAACGCTGCAGCCACGCTAGTTAACTACAGGCACTCAGAACTGCGCCATGGTTGTGTAGGCTTCTGGGCGTAGTGATCGAAAGACGTATAATATGCCCTCCATATCTGTCAGTCTTTCAATCCTCATTGGGACCATAACATTGAACACTTTGGGTTGTGGTGATTTTGGCCAGAATACACAAAGTGAAGCGCAACCATGGGGCTCGACTACTTGATGGTGTAAGTTTTTTTATCAAATTGGATATGCGAAAACTTTGGATAACAATTTTATAGTCATGTCAAATACAATCTTCCACCGGCATTGTTGTTGACAATTCTCTATAAACCTTTCTTCACCCGCTTGGAGGTTCACAAAATTGTGTTACTATGTACAGTAGGTTACCATAGCCTCTTGAGACAACGATATTCTCTAGTAACTAACGAACGGTGTCCCTGCAGATTGCTGTTGTTTGGACAATTCCATGGGACTCGTACTTGATTCGGACTCGAATCTGGTCGTATCCTGCGGACTCAGTTCTCGGCCAGACGCTTTTCCAAATCCCTCTGGAGGAGGTCTTCTTTTTTATTATTCAGACTTACAATACCAGCCTTCTATATATCATTTTTAACAAACGATTGGTCCTTCCGTCCTATCTATCTGGACCGACTAAGCCCTTGGCCCAGGGTTTATTTGGTCCTATAACTCATAGGACACAGAGAGACTTGGGTACCTTGTTCTTCACTGGGATCTTGATTCTGGGAATTTCATTTATCTACATTGGAGGTGAATACATGTATCTCGGGTTGATTCTCTCTTGGGTTTCCCCAATTCTGGTCATGCAATGGTACGTAAATAAGACACCACATCAACGGTTACGACAACATTTCAACTAAAATATATAGGGTCCTTATGTATCGCTTTCTACTTGCACTCCCTCCCGCCAGTGTTTGGGTCCCAATAGCTCTACCAACTCTCTACCTTTGGGTAGTTGACACCCTCGCGCTGAGAAGAGGAACATGGGTAATAGAAAGTGGGACGAAAGTTGATATCCAGCTCTGGGAAGGGCTTGAGATAGAGTGAGCCACTAGCCCAACCGTAATTTCACAGGATAGCTGACAATTGATCTAGGGAAGCATTGTTTTTTCTGGTAACGAACGTCATGGTTGTTTTCGGAATTGCAGCTATGCACAATGCAGCCGCACTGTTCGAATACAAAGCATTCATATCTACTACTGCTATGGGTGATACGCCCTCTATCTATCAGCTCATTACTCTTTTCCTCACAAGCAGCCGCCTTTATGACACGAATGTTCTCCAGGAGATGTCACAAGCTGTCACTCTTCTAAAGCAAAAAAGCCAGAGCATGTATTTGGGAAGTGCAATGTTTGAAGGACAGCTCCGACTAGACCTAATCGCGTTGTAAGTATACCCCTGAGCGAATATACTATGAGTATAGCCTGGTTTAACAGCGTATTTATTAGATACTCTTTCTGCCGCAAAGCTGATGACCTAATTGATGATGCACCTGATCGGGAGACAGCGAAATACTGGATTGAGCAGTGTGAAAAGGCATTGGAATTGAGGTTTAAGCTGAAAGAAACTGCATTGGACGATACGGAAGCCTACCAACTGCTGACGAAATCAATACCACAACCGCTACATGCTGCAGCCCATCTGCTACCTGCATCTCGGCTCCCGAAGGAGCCACTTTCTTGCCTGCTTCAAGGCTTTGAAATCGATCTAAAGTTTGATTTCGAGAAAGGTAGCTTTCCTATTGCTACAGAACATGATCTTGAAGTGTATGCATACCATGTTGCCGGTACAGTTGCCAGTCTCCTTCTGGAGCTAGTGTTCCGTCATCATCCAGTGTCCATCAGCGAAGCTGAGCGGTTGCGAGTGATATCCGCTGGCGAGGTCATGGGCAGGGCATTGCAGTACACTAATATCGCCCGGGATATTACTCGCGATGCTGAGATTGGCCGCGTTTATATTCCGAGCTCATGGCTAGCGGAAGAAGGCCTTACTCCCTCTATGGTGATCAGCCACCCTAGAAATTCTAAACTGATACCTTTGAGGAGAAGAATACTTGAAAAGGCCGATAAATGCTACTGTGAGACGCAGGAAGCCATTAGCAAACTCCCATCAAATGTTCAAGGCCCCGTGCGAGCGACAGTCACAGCTTATATGGAGATTGGTCAGGTCATTCGAGAAAATGAAACGAAGATCTGGAATGGTAAACTAAAGGTCTCGCGCTGGAGGCGGTTTAAAAGAGCTTGGCTGGCCATGTTATGATATTGCCATCCTAGTCAATCAACCAGAGAGCTACCAAGGCAACTATACCTGGGTAACTAAATTGTTATAGTTATGGGGTCTGCTTTGCTCCTGATCAATAGTTTAATTAAGCCCTGGTTTACTATAGAAGGAAAACTCTTCCAGTATTTCACAGCACTATTATGCAGTATATAGAGCAGAAATAAAGTCGATGGTTACATAAAGCTAGGTGTATGTATTTGTACAAGCTTGTCACATAAATGAATATTGAGAACTTGCCAGCTCTAGTCTAGCTGTATTTGATAACTAGTTAACTAGTTACTAGCTATAATTTCTAAAGCCGAAAGCTATAGCCCAAACAAAAATAAATAGCACAAACATAGCAAGTCTCCCGCATATTGTCCATCCACGAATCTTCTGCAGTCCCTTGCCTGACTTCTGAATACCAAAACCCTCGAGGATTTGCTCACAGACGATCTTACTTCCCGCCAAACAAATTGGGACTCCGGTGCCGGGGTGGGTACTGGCACCAACGAAGTAGAGTCCGTTGATACTGTCATGTTTAGTCTTCGGGCGGAAGCTCAACACATTAAAGAACGAGTGAGAAAGCCCCAAGATAGCCCCCTGATGAAGATTGAACTTCTCCCTCCAGGTAAAGGGCGTATCGACTTTCTCCGAGACAATACAATCACGCAGGCCACGAGCACCCGTGCGAGATTCGATAGTGTCAATGATCCTCTCCCGGGTTTCAGCTACGACTGAGTTCATATCATCAGCCCAGGTGTTGTCGTTGACTAAATGACCTACCGGGACAAGCGCTACTGCAGCGTCCTTGCCCGGTGGTGCCGCACTTGGGTCAACACGGCTGGGCACATTCACGTAAAATGATGGGTCATCCGGTATCTTGTGGTCATTGAATATCGAATCAAAGCTTTCCTGGTATTCGTCTGCCAGAAAAATGTTATGCGTCTGCAGTTCCGGAATAACACGATCAAAGGACCAAAAAAACGAAATACTGCTGCATGATGCGGGTCGATTTTTCAAAGTCTTAGCCAGAGGAGAGATTGGTAGGAGCTCGTTATAGGCGTAGACGAGATCGGCATTGATAACAACTGTATCTGCTGTCAAAATCTCGCCAGAGCTTAATTTCACACCAACTGCAGTGCGCCTATCTTTGGAGAGCTGGATTGAGGAGACAGGCTCGTTGAGGCGATACTTCACTCCTGAGCGTTTCCCAATATTCGCCACCGCCTCCAGAACCTTTTCATATCAGTTAAATATTTAAGCTAGGAAAATTTATGGGATAGCGGGCCGGGGGAAGTGGGATGACTTACTGCTTGGAACCCACCGGTGGGATACCATATCCCATCGGCAAGTTCAGAGTACTGGAGCAACGAATATGTGGCTGGTGCATCAAAGGGGCTCATCCCAAGATACATGCTTGCAAAGGTGAAAACCCGTCTCATCTTTTCCGAAGCGAAATATCTACTCGCCCGGCTGTATATGCTCTCAAATGGATGCAGTGTCAGGGTAGAGAATAGAAACTCAGGCCGGAGCATGCTGAAGAGGCGCGGGAAGTTTTTCTTTAAGACATGGACCATAGAGAGATCATGATGCCGGCTGGACTCTTTCATGTACGACAAGTATCGATCAAATCCTGCCTCGTCTTCGTAACGCTCTATTTCCGCTTTCATTTTGGCCATATCTGTTGACATGTCAACTCGGTCATGGTCCCCAAACCATATCCGATAGTTGGGCTCGCACTTGAGCAATTGAACGCCTTCATCCTGCATTGAAGTCCCGAGATCTTTGAATGTATCTGCAAAGAGCTTCGGGAGTAAAAGGAGAGATGGCCCTTGATCAAATCTCTGGTAACTTCCGTTAGTTCTTTCGTTCAGACATAATTATAGAAAGTAGCAACATACGTAGCCATTCTCCTGGATCAGCGAGCATCGGCCACCGATAAAACTGTTCTTCTCTACCACAGTCACTTCGAAGCCTTCTTTTGCCAGACGAGCAGCGGTAGCTACTCCACCGGCACCGGCCCCTGGATAATCAGAGTGTTAGTAAATAGTTACAATGCGTGAGTTCCAGTGAAGATCGGATGGCCTTTCTTACCAACTATAATAGCAGTACGTCTCTTCATTTCCATGATCCCTCTGAATAACTACTCTGGTCAGGTAGTAAGGAAAAATCCTCAACCACCATGCTCCGTACCGTCTGGGCTCTAAATAGCCGACTAAATCTTGCATCTTGCTTGTGCTCCCCAGAAAGACATTGCAGAAATCAACCCATCGGAGCAGGTAACTGTGGGACACCTATAGGGAGTAACATCCAGACACAGCCATCGTCGATCATCCTAGTCTTACTTTTCACATTTATCAGATTATCAGAGCACCTTGACAGCACAAATGCCACGATGATGTTGATCGACGTTGATCGACGTTTGTACCGCTCGGTCCAACCCTGACACTAATTCATGCAGATCTAGCGATTTGTTGCATATAACCACTAGTTTATGGACCTCATGTGAGACGCCACAGACAGAAGGGATTGTGGGAATTTCTTTGGGCCAAAAAGTCCACCCCGAGGGTAGACTAGGCTGAAAATGAGGGTGAGGGTGGAAGATGACAGTGCAGCAAGTCTGTGAAACCAAAGGGAATCGAGAGTCACCTAACTAACTGCGGAGCAGGCCACAGTGAAAGTACCAAATCACAGATTTTAGCTCCATCATTGGCCATTGACCACCATGGCTAAGAGGCGATCGGAATATATGCCAGCGCCTGCATCTGCTTTGCTCGAGGAAACGTGCTGCGTTCCATCTGAGTATGTACTAGGTAACTACCTGGTAGTTAACTAGTCATGGATAACGAGAAGAAGAACTCAGGGGCGCACGCTTCTAAAATACCGATGTACGTGGGATACTCACCTCCCTAGATACCTAGAAGAGTTCGTTTACCAGATACCCACCAGGTACCTACATGGTAATTTTGCGCCAATTCACAGCACTTGCCCCCCTACACCTTGCTGTCATACTGGTGATATTCCAGAAGAGCTCAACGGGGGACAGTACGTTCGCAATGGGGGGAATCCGTTAATGAACCATGACCTTGGGAGGGACACCCACTGGTTTGACGGAGATGGGATGCTCAGCGGTGTCTTCTTCAGAAAGCTCAACGGTAAAGCAGTTCAGCCGGAGTTCGTCAACAACTACGTCTTGACGGATATTCTCCTTGCTTCCCGGGCAAATCCAAGGCTCCGCTGGCCCATACTTCCAAGTGTTGCAACGTTGATCAATCCAAGGTCCTCGATATTTAGGATAGCTTACTTCGTTTGTCGAGCTCTACTTCTTGTCATTTGGTCGTGTGTGAATGGCTCAAAGTGGCGGATTAAGAAAATCAGTGTGGTCAATACCAGCGTCATTTACCATGACGGGCGTGCGTTGGCCACCTGCGAGAGTGGACCTCCGATGAGAGTATCACTACCCGAGCTCAATACGGTAGGCTGGTTCAACGGACTGAGAGCGGAGGGGGAGCCGGAAGATCCGAGATCTGCCTCACACATTGGGTTCGGAGGACCTGGCTTCATGGGGTTTCTGAGAAAGTGGACGACCGGGCATGTGAGTGTACTGGGTTGATGGCGTCTATATAATTCGTTACCGTTCAACTGACTGGGTATAGCCCAAAGTAGACCCCATATCTCGCGAGTTGATTCTCTATCATTCAACATTTGTCCGACCATTTGTGCATTACTCCGTTATACCGGATTCCGGCGCCCAGGGAAACTCCATAGAGCAATCACCTCTTTTCAACCTACCTGTCCCAGGAGTCCAGTTATCCAAGATGATGCATGATTTTGGTGTATCACGCCAGCACACCATCATCATAGACCTTCCACTTTCTCTAGACCCAATGAACCTGGCTTACAACAAGCCGGTCATTGCATATGACCGTTATGGGCGCACTCGTTTTGGTATTTTTCCCAGACACACACCAAACCAGGTGCGATGGTTTGAAACAGAGCCATGCTGCATTTTTCATACTGTCAATTCCTGGGATGACAGCGTTATTGATAAGGGGACGACTGTGAATATGCTTGCATGCCGTATGACAAGCGCGGCCATCGTCTTCAGTACGGGAAACATTCAACCTCCAGCAAACCTAAGGAACATCGAAGATGAATGTCGCCTCTATTATTATCAGTTTGACCTTTCTCAGGTGGAGAATATCATATCTCACCAGTGGGCTCTGTCTGCAATCACTTTTGAGTTCCCTCACGTCCCCAAACATCTCGCCATGTCCGCTACACAGTTTGTTTATGGCTGTACAATGTCAAAAGGATCATTCTCTGCAGCGCTTGGGAGAGCTGCAAAAATAGATGGCCTGGCAAAACTAGATGTAAAGGCATTGGTAGGTAAGGGCCTTAAAACCCCTCCACCGTCGGTAACCGGCTCAGTGGATAGCCGGTCTGTTCAGGAGATCTTGGCCTCGAATGACCCAGACGATCCCATCAAAATATTCCAGGCACCTCCCGGGTGGTATTTACAGGAGTGCTGCTTTATCCCTCGAGCCAATGGTGTGTCTGAGGATGACGGGTGGCTTTTGACCTTTGTATTCGATGAATCCCAGCTTGATGAAGATGGATCTGCGCCAGCGGGGAGCAAAAGCGAACTATGGATACTTGATGCCAAAACCATGTGTATGGTAACTCGCATTTATCTTCCTCAAAGAGTACCGTATGGACTACATGGATGGTGGTTTTCAGAGGAAGATGTTTGCAATCAGCGGGCGGTCGAGCGTTGCCGAAGCGAGTAAGGAGTGTATCATCAGTCGGCCATGCTAAATATTCTGTACCAGCGGAATTATCCGCAGTAGTGAAATTACTGGAAATTCTCAGATACTAGAATGCTATAAGAACAGGGGGACCAATGGTTACAACACTTCACTTACAATGACTAGAAATTATGGCTTGGTGATATAACTGTGCATGTAAACGTTTAGCCATGGTAGGGAGCGAAAAGAGGAAGAGATAGAGGGAGCAGAGAAGGGACAGTTTAGACCGGAGTAAGTGCCTATTGGTCTTCAAATCCACACGTTAGCTGTAGTTCAGAAACCGGAGTATGCAAGTATCGGATCGGCGGTCAATTCTGGATAGATGGATGTAGATAAAGGGATATGTTAGATGTGGAGTTTTGGGCCGTGGCTTCAACGTCGGATGTTTGCTTTTTCTGCTCCACAAATTTATTTCAACCTCAAGCACCTCGCGACATCGCACAATCGACCATCAAGACGAAGCAGCATCATTTAACTACTCTGGGAGGGTCCAATGACTGTATACATCTTTTATCACCATAATCATACTAGAGAAGAAGTCAACCGTCTTTCTGAGGTTCTTTTATAGGCTCCCTTGCTTCGTACTTCAATATGTCCTTGCTGGCTAGGAATTACCCACCGTTTAGTGCTGGGACACCCAGGGTCTTTTACGCAGCCTCTTCAACCCAATCCCATAGAGTAAGAGGATGTGCCACTCTTACACTAATCATAGATGGTGGAAGTACTGTCTCCTAGTTGTTAACGGAAAGCATAAGTCATCAATACACGAGAAGAACAAAGGTTGTGCCGTAGCACGAAATATTAGGACTCCCGGATCTGTCTGCGTGAACCAGGTTGCAATACCGGCGGAGCCAGCCAATCCATGTGATAGAAGCATCCAGACAGGCCGAAGTAGCTGGTGAGTTAAGATCGAAGATCTTGGCGGATACCTCTGCTGTCCTTGTTAAGAGGTCGAGGCGCCCACAGCCCTTAACTAGTGCTATTATTTCTCAACTGTGAGGATGGCAAATGACCAACTTTATACCCACAAATGTTCGACCACGATTGATATCCTCACATATATAGTGGATAATTCCCGCTGGGAGTGCTATAGCCAGAAAAAAGTTGCTGACGGGCAAGGACTAATTTCCCCGCCCCGAGACAATTTTAATAAATGGCGCACTGCTATCGCAGCATGAACTCAACCCTCCCAATCTATCTATTGAATACTATGGAATTATTTGTGGTATGGTTGGATCTCGGGGATATACGGAACTTACGGCTTATGAGAAGACTGTATCCGTCAAATGATCACAGGGACATTTTCGATAGCCGTGTCACTGGTAATAGCTTTATCTGATACCCAAGGCGGCCCATGTATTTTCAAATGAAGCTAAATAGAGAAAGTCAACAGCTGAAATATTAGAGTCTTGTTAGTATGTCAAGAAAACCGACTTTGCATGGCGACTTGCACGAAGCAAGCCAGAGATATGAACAACCTGCAGACCATTCTGCAGGGCTATTTTAAGCAACCGCACAACAAAACGATCATATGAATCTCGATAAGCAGAAGTCATTGACATCCCTTATTTGTATTTCTGTTTTATTTTTCAAGCCTACTTTGCGGTTCAGCTGCGACACGATTGTCCAGGAATACGCTTGGATACGTTACCCGAAGTAACTGAGGTCTTGTTGCGGGAACAGGAGCTCAATGTTAGGTGTTTTCTACAGCCAAATGTACCAAAATATCGTTGCCATACTGAGGATTCTATCTTTATCGTTGATTGGCGCAATATTTTTCACTGTGACATGGCCTATGGCAGTGCGTTTGCTCATAACTTCATCCAGGAATCGTGAATAGATAGTAAACTAACGAATTCGCAGGCGCTAAATAACTATCATCTTGTTAAACCCAGAACCAGATTTTATTTACTCCACATGGAACATTTCAGCCAACAAGACTAGGTAATTAACCAGCCTTATGGCCAAGAAACGGCCAAAGGTTAACTTTGCTACATAACTAACTAATTTACCTAGAGCTGAGGAAGCTTTTTGCCATATTTGGTGTTTAGCTACATCATTTCAAATTTTGACAAATGCATTCAATGACGTCAAAGGCTAAGAAGGATATATCAAGAACAAAAATCCCTATTTTAACTGAAAAATATATCCTATCACTTGTTCATGTCATCTATGCAGTTACTGATTGCTTCTGTTACCGAAACTGTCACCAAAAGATATTACTGAGAACACGAAAGGGGATACCCACCGAGCTTTAGCCTCATAAATTGATCAACAATCAAATGGACTTCTGCTCGCAAATGAAACGGCGGATACGCATGCTACTGCGGCCTGAATTTTCGCGGGCCGTCAAATCCTGGGCTATCGAGAATTCTCCACCTAAAGAAAAGCAACCACCTATATACGCACTTCACGGTGATGCGATATATTGCATTATTTCCTCACTACCTCCGGCCGATGCAGCTGCATTTGTTCTCGCATCCAAGTTCTTCTGGCAGGTAGCTGGTGGTCAGACTTTCCTTAACCGAATGTTAAGTGACACTGCCAGTCGCCTAGATTTTTTAGAGAGGATCGAAGCCTGTTTTCCCAAGCATGTGCTCTGCTACCGTTGCCAAAAATTCCATGTCCGATGCAAGGAGTATCCTCTTCTAAAGCCAGGTCAATGCGATGCAGAAAGCGCTATTCATTTCTTTGGGCCCAAGACGATGGAGGGTATGAAACATACTCCGTGCTTGCTATACAGAGAAGCAAAAGATGTCATGAATCATTATCGGTTCGGCCCTAGGCATGGTAAATGCGCTGCTACCGTTACGCATACCCGTACCTTTTTCCTTGAAATAAGTAGCTCGCCCTTCCCCACTCACGGTGTCTGGAACTTTGACATCAAATACATTTCAAATAACTTGATCCTAAAAGAAGACATATGGATTATGTATCACCTAGCGCGTCCGGCAGATGGAAAAAGCCTTTTAGATGGCTGGAAAAACCACCTGCTACCTACAATTTCGCTGGACGGTGAAGAAGTTTACTACCGTTACCGATGCCCTGTCAGCTCCTCGGAGAGAGAGTTTCGAGTCTCTCGTCTGCGACATAGGCCAGGACATAAGTTAATTCGGAGCACCATTTGGGAGAACCTTGGACCCTGCAAAAATTCCTACGGAAGTTTATGGGAGCATGGAACTGAGTTCACTCCCTGTAAGTCTAATCCGGTAGTTATAAAACCTGAAGAGCTCCGATACAAACACCATTTCGATTCCAAAATACCATCTCGAGATTATCGAGGGCAAAAGATCAATTTTTGGTAATATGTACCAGGAACTGTTCGTCCAAGCTTTCCCATTAGGCAAAATCGAGAACCCGTGGTATTAAGTGTCAGCACTTTTTCATATTTCCCTTTGAGTCAAGGGATTGGTCTTGCGAATACTTTCTGACCCAGTCATTTCGTCTTACTATACCTAACCCCTTTTTATCCTTCTTTTTCAGAGCAGACAAGCCTATTGCAGGTGAAAGTGGGCCGATAATTCCAGGGCCCCCTTCGCGTTGTCCGTTAGAAAATAGGTATTCAATGACTCTCTAGCAATATGACTGGCAATTGTACTAAATTATATGGTTAGATGTTATATTCAACAACATCAAGATGTTGCTCTTAGCCCACGCTCAACCCTTTCGGGCGGCTTCTCAGCTCTTTCCTCTTTAAAGTTTTGCTCCATATGAGGTCTTTCCTGCACTTTCAACAGTTCGCTTCTTTCCTGTCACCAAAAACATGACTGTGCCTCCAAATATCAGTCGCTCCTTCTATTCAAACGCTGCTTATAGACAGACATCAACAAATAAATAAGACATTGCCAGAGATGGAAGGCACTCAATTATCCTATAACAATCCCCCCGAGTCCTCAATTTCTTCTTATTCTCCCCCCCTTCAACTACAACAACAACAACAACAACAATGATAATGATATGAAGAATAACATCATCACGATTATCTTTCTCTTCTCCAGCGGCGCTCATATATCACCTTCGCTTATGTGTCACTTAACTATAGTTCTATGACACCGTCGCCCCTCGCTTTTCTTGTTGTTCTTCTTTTGTCGGCCCCGATTTTGATTCCGTGATAGCTTGTCAGGGTAGCTTCACCATGCTTGAAGAGGCCGTGCGAAGAGGAACAGCCAAAGATGCCATCGACTACCTTTCATGGCTCCTCTTACCAGTTAGCCACATGGGCACTCAAGAACCTGCTTAGAGGGATGTCAAGAACCCTGAACCGGACCGCGATCCACCGGTCAACCAACCCGTCGCTCAGGCTGCCAATGTTGCCAAACCTGCTCCTATCAGGGGTATTGATATCTGATAGAGATGCCAAATTCATGAGTCGCTTCTGGCGAGTACTCATGAACAATTTGCACATTACCCAATAGGCAAATACCACATACAACGCACCGGCCGATGACCAGAGTGAACGAACAAACCTCTCAACAGAAGTCCCCCTGCGTTGTCTGCTGGTTGGGAAGTACGAATCCTCCTGGCACTCTCTGATACCCGACGTGCAACGTTATATCAACCTCAATCCCACGACTTGGCCGGCTAGCAGAGGTTTCTGCTCACTGAAAGAGCGACACCCGGATGGCTCTTTGAGCCGATCGACAACCGGCCACCACGGCGGGCCAGGTGGAAGCCCCGGGTCCTGCTGCCGCCAAGTCTGCTCCGGGTTCTGCATCTTCGAACCCGAAGCCGACCAATTGTGCCTCTCGAATGAAGGCGTCTGAATGTGGAAAGGCGATATCTCGCGGAATGAAGAGGTTAATCCGCAAGATCCAGCGGTGATAACTAGGTTATCGGCGTTTTTTGGTGTTTGGGAGTTCTGTTTTTTCTCCCCCTGTACTATCTTAGTTATCATGCATCTCTTATCATGTATTTATTATTTAGATAGCCTCGGTCGACAGTACTCGGCGACCGTTCGTATGAAACCAAGATGGGCGATCTTGTAAGTAGCTGATCTATACCATAGTTAGTTCACTAGCTTGTCAGCTAGTTAACTAGTTAATTGATCATTCGTGTTTGCTTTGGAAAATTGCAGGCTACCGTCTTCTTAAGTATACTTAATCAGCTGTATGGGTTTGAAGAGATCCATTACGGTCTATGGACGTCTGTTGATGCTGACGGATATAAATGTAGTAAGTACTCCTTGATCCAGAGCAAGTGTCTATCAATCTGCCAAAGTAAATATTAAGATATTCCTCTACAAGATATGTGTATCAACCATTCTGCCTCTCTAGTTATCTAGCTATCTAGAAGGGTATACCTCTACTTTTTGGAAACCCCCCCTGTTTCTACTTGGGTCTCAAGTCAACAACTGCTTGTCGTCTTCACGAGAGGTGATAGGCTCAGTAAATATACTATTTATGACCAATAGACAGCGAGAATTTCTTTTCAGTGTACATAACATATTTTAAACCAATTAAATGAGTTAGTATTATATCAACCCGATCGTTACGTCAAAATAGCTACATTATACACTCTTTATTGGTCAAAACTCTATAGCTCTGTAATTTCGGTATAATGGTATTACCACACTAAACCCTTTTCTTCCTCTGATTTAGTGTTTCATCTTTGTTCCATCTTCGAACTTTCACAACCAACCGACGAGATATCAAGCTGGAGACGCATTTGATCCTTCAGGCTCACACCCCACAGGCCAGGGAATAATAAACGAGTTCTGCATCTTATTGGGCTCTGTATCTTGACGTCATTGATGCGGTTTTTGGACGGCCTCGTATTTGCCGACATGATACCCCATGTAGTTTTGAAGATGGGATCTGCTACGCGATGTCAAGGCCCTTACTGGACCACTCATCGGGCTGCGGGATCCCCCTTGCCTGGCTGCAAAGCTTCTTTCACTTGGACATGGCCAGTAATATCGCGAGATCTGACTTGAGACTCCCAGCTGTGAAGCCAAAATGACCAGGGATATCGGCGCTTGAAGATGCAGACATACAAATGCTGACATCAGAGGCGGCATTGCTTCTATTATTACTCTCCCCACCTGGGAATTTGCCGCATGCAAGGGATTCTATCGATTATGGCGAATTATAGGCTCCAGGCCCTGCAGGCAGACAGTTTTGGGTTCCAGCACGGCTGGTCCCGTCGAGTCGTCTTGGCCAAAAGCGATTCAAAGATCTGAAGCAGAAACACTATCCACTTTGGCCGAACCGCCTGGGGAGACAGGGCTCGGAGGGCCGATTGCCTATCATGGTGGCCGCTGCGTAGATGGCATGGGGTTTATGACACGTTAGGGGCAACTGCACAGCATATCAATATCATCTTCATGCAGCTACAGCGCTACGATGGTAAGTCGGATAGGGAACTGCAGATTCGCCTCCTCCTTCTCTGCGAGAATAGAAGATTCGGGCGCGTAAATTTGATGGAATATCACCGTCCACCAGACATAAAAGGGGCATGTCTCCCTCGGTGATTCCTCCCCTTTTCTCTTGTTCAGCATAGCGATCTTTTCCATTCTTACAGTGCATTTCAAAAGATTTTTCCTTCCTTTCCCTCTTTTTACCACTTTTCAATTCTCTACACTCCTTATAAGCGAAGTTGATCTTCCGTCATCTACCAATATGCGTGCCTCTACCTTCACTCTCTATGCCCTTTGCGCAGCTGGATCTGCCATTGCCCACATGGAAATGCAGTGGCCATATGCCTTGCGAAGCAAGTTCAACAAAGGTACAAATGATCCTCTCCTTGCTTTAATTGGCCTAGTTGTGCGTGGGTGCTAATAATCTTTGAAGAGAACACCAACCCTGACTGGTCCATGACCGGCCCTCTCAACCCTTCGGGTAAGCTTTATTTAGTTGACACGCCCCTTGAAGAGTACGAATACTTATACTCTCTATAGGAGCCGATTTCCCTTGCAAGGGCTACCACAAGGATGCATTCAAGTCCGTTGTGACCTACGAAGCTGGCCAGGAGTACAACTTGACTCTGGCTGGAAACACCCGCCATGAGGGAGGATCCTGCCAGGTCTCTCTCAGCTACGACAACGGCCAGACCTTCAAGGTCATCAACTCCTATCTCGGCGGCTGTCCCATGAAAGATACCTACAACTTCAACATTCCAGCCAACGCACCAGCTGGAAAGGCTCTTCTTGCATGGTCTTGGTTCAACCTCGTCGGCAATCGTGAGATGTACATGAACTGTGCCCAGGTCACTGTCGACAGCAAGAGCGCCTCTACTACCCAGTTCAGCTCTCTCCCCGATATGTTCGTTGCCAACGTTGGCAATGGCTGCACCACTGTCGAGGGTCAGGACATTGTTTTCGAGGACCCCGGAAAGCAAGTGCAGTATGCGGACGGCGTGACTGCACAGACCCAGGTATCCCCGAAATGCCCCAAGAAGAGCGCAAAGAGGTCCGAGAACTGTGGTGGCACTCGCTCCGCTAAGTTCAGAGTCTGAGAAATCCATGTCTCTGCGCAACCTGCATGACATTATGGATTACGATTAGGAAGGCTTGCATATTATTGCAGCCAGTTTGGAATGATGACGGTTTTTTTCCTCTTCGCCTTTCGGTCAGGGCCCTCTGGTAGGGTCATGCCTTTTTTCCTTCCTTTGCTCTACGACTCTCACACTCGTTTGGTTCATTGTTTCATACGCTCGTTACGGTGTTGGAGTTTTTCAAAATGCACTATGTATATACCTCTGTCGCTATAGCTCACATATATATGATCAAGTCTTGACGCATCACTTCCGTACCATGTAGTAACTACCTGGCTAAATGATTAAAATAAAGTCCGGAAGTCCGGAAGGGCGCAGAGCCTCAAGTTCCCAGGGTACGAACCGAGCCGATATAAAACCCAGATGCTCCCCGCGTTTCCAACTCTTCCCCAGACAAATTAACTAGGCAGGGCTTAAGGCAGATAAATATCGCCGCATATAACACCCCAAGGAGGAAAAGGAAATAACTCTAATTATGGAACAGAATCATTTAAAAGATAACGTCGGCGTAAAGGTGGATGATAGCCACTCGAAGCCACTATGGGACACGGCGCTGAATCCTCCCAACCGCGGCGTTCTGCCTCCAGCAGCATCGCTGGCTCACTCACGCTCGTCTATCATCACTGAACTTCCTCAAGCCGGTCAAGGATACACTCAAACCAAGGACCACCTGTTCAATGATATCGTACCCGGGTTGAACGACAGTGCAATCAATGCAAATTACTACGGGTTTGTGACCGGCGGAGTGACTCCCGCAGCGTTGTTGGCAGATAACATCGTCTCTGCCTATGACCAGAACGTCTGTGTTCATCTCGTCGACCACTCGGTTGCAACCGACGTGGAATATGCTGCCCTTTGCCTGTTAAAAGATTTGTTCGGGCTAAAGAAGGAAGACTGGCCTCATGGGACGTTAACTACCGGTGCTACCGGAAGCAATCTGGTTGGCCTGGCGTGTGGAAGAGAATATGTCTTGCGAAAGGCAGTTCAGAAACGAGCAGCCAGTGGGAACATCGCTTCCGGCAGCATTACATACAGCGTGGGTGAATATGGCATGCCTGCGGTACTTGAGGCAGCGGGCTTGAAAGGCCTTCAGGTACTATCCACCATGCCACACTCGTCTGTGGGAAAGGTTGCTGGTATTCTAGGAATCGGTAGAGCCAATGTGAAGTCCATCGTATCAAAGACAGGTGAATCCGGCGGGCAACCGTTGAAGTTTGACTTTGAATTGTTTGAAAAGGAGCTGGCAAGGCCGGGCTTTGCCACGATTGTCTCTATCTCTTGCGGCGAAGTCAATACAGGGCGCTTTGCAACCAAGGGACTAGAAGAGTTCAGGCGTGTTCGGGCATTATGCGATAAATACAATGCATGGCTTCACGTTGATGCTGCGTTTGGTATGTTTGGACGTGTTCTTGATGATAGTCCAGAGTTCGAGATGATCAAGAAAGGCAGCGAAGGGATTGAGCTTGCGGATTCAATTACTGGGGACGGGCATAAGTTGCTGAATGTCCCATACGATTGCGGATTCTTCTTCTCTCGCCATGAAGACGTTGCAGAGGAAGTGTTTAGGAATCCTAATGCCGTTTACCTTTCTTCTTCGGCCGGAGGCCATATACCAACGCCACTCAACATAGGTGTGGAAAACTCGAGGCGGTTTAGAGCATTGCCTGTTTACTCGACGCTTGTTGCATATGGAAGAAATGGCTATAGAGCTATGGTAGAGAGACAAATTCGGCTTGCTAGGCTGATTACCGGCTGGCTCCAAGACCACCCCAAATATACGGTCCTTGGAGGTGGAGCTTCGAAAGAGGACTTGATCGTTGCCACATACGTTATAGTTTTGTTCAAAGCCAAAGACGAAGAGCTCAATGCCAGGCTGGCTAGTTTAATAAATGCTACTGGCAAGATGTTTGTTTCTGGGACTAAATGGGCTGGAGAGACAGCATGCAGGATTGCGATCTCGAACTGGAAAGTACAAGTCGAGAAAGATTTAACCCTTGTTAAAGAGGTCCTTGATGAGGTTTCTAGATAGCTTGGCCTCTTAAGACCGATATACGGCGGGTGGTATATGTATTCGAGCTTGCTATATATTGGTTCTTGATAATGGCTCGCTCTAGTTCCTCAATCTCTATATATTAAAACTCATCTCCTCCTTGGCCCTGAATCACCTCGACTTGCCATGCTAACCACCTCACCAATTCCGGCCTCTGCTTGTTCATCTTCAAGGGCGGTAATCTCCTCACGGCAATCCCACCATTTATCTTCTGCAAGGTCAAACGCTACCTTACGAAGTTCTTTGACCGACATTTCCGCACCACTGTCTTTCTCCCTCAGCTTTGCTAGAACAATGTCCTGCCATTCTGTCGAACTCCTGCTGTAGAACTCGCGTAAACTTTCAAATGGACGTGGGTGTGGGCGGGAGTCCGCCACAGTTGGCTCTTGTTCTTCTTCCTTCTCTGGTTCAGCTTCCACGGAGGCAGGCTCTGTGATTTCAGTTGCAGCTGTAGAAGGTGCGGTAATGGACGAGGCTCCCTCCATATCTTCATCTTCACCTTCATCACTTTCATCGTCATCGTCGCCATCTTCATCTTCCTCTCCTTCATCACTGTCAGGTACGACTGCATCATTCCAGTGCTCGGGCTCCTCGTAGAATATTTCTCTCACGCCGTCCATCTTGAGCAGGTCGATGGAATACATGTCACAAAGTGTAAATTCTTGATCACCTCTCTCAAAGGTACCACCATACATGAATAGGGTATCTTCCTGGACAGTAAGCTGTGTATTGAACCGGCGATGAGGCATCTCAAACCGAACTGGCAGTGATTTCTTCCCCAACGATTCGGGTTCATCTTCATCTTTGTCATCTGTCTCTGGCAGTAGCTCCGCTTCGGTTTTTGATGGGTTGGCCTTCGCCTCTAGTAGGGCTAGATTACGAAGTAGCTCTTCCTCATCAGCCTTTCCCTTATTGCGTGATTTCATTGCTCTCTCAGCTACTTGCTGCTTTTTACCACCCGATTTGGGCGCTCGGAGCGGAAGGGGGAAGAAACGATTTCTTTCGATATTCCACGCGAAGAGGTTATCAAAGAATTCACTTTCTATACCTTCCTCAGTTGCTTCAACATCGTGTACACCACCGAACAAGATACCCCGTCCTTTATGGAATGCCATGGTAACACCTGCGCGCGGCGGGTTTGGGGCGTTGACGGGTCGCTTCCGCTTCTCCCATCGAATAGTTGGTGAAGCAGTAGATTGTGCGTCCGCCGGAGGCGGGGTGACCCGTAGAAACCAGGTGTCTTGATGGATCATTGGTTTAAGGACTGAACGCTGGGCACCGCTGCCACCACCCTTTTGCCCCTTGCTGACTTTGGTTGCAGCTTTGACACGGGAGTATCCGCCGAAGAGAACTGCCCCTGACTCATGTGGGAGGAAAGAGAATGATGATCTAGCATCGGGTTTTTGCGTTGCAGGTGGCAATGCAGGGTTGTACCAGGTGAATTTTTGACAATCATAAACCCAAACGTCCTGTAGGTACTTTGTCTGTTGCGAGGTATCTTGGAAACCTCCAAATAATATGATGTAATTCTAGGCTCAAATGTTAGAATCGTATAAATTGATTAAGATAGTATGTATAATATGGCTTACCTTATAGTATGTCATTCTGTGCCCACTTCGAGCCGGAGGACCCTTACTTTTCGTCTCTATACGAGTCCACTCCCTGGAGGATGGATCCAGGTGCCAGAAGTCATTATAATGGTAAAAAGTCCCTTGTTTAGGCGATGAGAATTCTCCTGTTTAGAAAAGTAATTGTCCATGACGAAAATAGTTAGATATCAATATATAAGAATAGAGTTACTATCAGTTTGAAAATAGTTGCCCTACCTCCAAAGAGGTATATTCCTCCCGCGTTCCCCCCGCGGCACCATGCATGGCCACTCCTGGGAAGGGGGCTGTTCGGGCTGGTAACAACTCTCCATTCATTCTTTTCAATTAGATATACATATAAATTGTTGTAGAATGTGGCGAGTGATCCATCAAAGTATTCTCCACCAAATAGGAAAATCTCCCCTCGATTTGATGGTGAAGCAATGATGGTCGATGAAGACCGCGGAGACGGTGTGCCACTCGCGACTTCAGTGACTTTCAGAAACTTGGCTTGCTCCTCAGCATAGGCAGCCAGAACAGCATCAAGGTCAACGTCTTCCGCGTCACTGTCATCATTCAAGCCCTTGGCCTTGGCCTTTTTCTCCTTCTGTGACGCTTTCTTCGATTGCTTTGCAGCAGCTCGAGCTTTCTGTTCGGCCTTTTTGGCCTTTTTATCCTTTGCCATGGCAGTAGAGTGAGTGTCTTCTATTATGATTTAAACCGTACGAGCATGTATCCGGTTCTAATATCAATAAAAGAGAAAACAAAACAAAATACCATCTACCCCTCGATGTTTTGATGATGTTCTCGTGTTATCGATTGTGTGAAGTTGAATGGATTGATTTCATTGGATAAAACCGAAAAGTAAAAATGATGACCAATAATTTATTATATAAGCCATTGCGCTTACTAATAAGATTTAATGCTTTATTATAGCCTGTCACATGATACTCTTAATTAATTATCACGTGGCAAACGCGTCTTGTCGCGACATCAAGACAAGATGTTGATGTTAAATTGATACAAGCATTTGATCGGGACCGACGACAACAGCGGATTAACGGCATGGGAAAGCTAGGAAGTTATGAGATATGACATGCATCTATGACCAAGAACAATTTGAAGGCTCACCTGGCCTGGCTTTTGGGGCGTCCTAATCCCCTAGACAATTTTGTTCTCCCGCAAGTGTCCCTCGATGCGCAGCGTGCCTTGGTCGATTCCGCAAGCACTAAGCCGACGGCAGATATTGAGCCAGAATTTAGACAAGGGGCCTCCGGTGCATTATTTACAGAAAGGATACCATCCGCTCCGCGGGCTGAGGCTCCTGATAATGATGATGTGTCGAAAAATAATACAATGGCCGTACTCCAGCTCGAATCTCCCCCACGACGCAGCAGGCTACACAGCACGCTAAGTACGAAAGGCTCAATCGATGTACCGGGAACTCCTGCAAGCAGGAGCTCAAAGAAACGGGCGCTCTATAAAGCTGGGTCAGAGACGCCAAAGATAAGAAGTATGTCTCGACATCCTAAGATTCGCGTGCCGTCATAATGAGCTAATACGGAAACTAGTAAAACAACGAAACCTGACGAGTATAACCCCTTCAACGAGCAGCAATAGTTCAAGGCCAGCAAAAAAAGTTGGGATATTTGACTCCGTTTTAAAGCACGAGGAGATTGAGTCCGTTGATCTCACGAAAGATGACGAACGCCATACATCTTTCTCTGGCTCCGCCTCAGCTTCGGAGAACCTCGACGATTATGGAGAGAGGACTATGCTTCTCGCTCGGGGCCACATAGTAGTGGTAGTGAGAAGAAGAAAAAGCGGAAAACCCCTGATTCTGACGAAGACCTTTATCCTACAAAGAAGCATTCTTCTCCGTCCCCCATAAACCGGCCCTTAAGAAAAGAGAAAACCCGGCCTGAAAGGACCAAGGCCCCTGTTGCGCAGCGAGTTATCAATGACTCTGAAGATGACGGTGTTTATCTCGACATGATGGATGAAGATACATTCTACCCCAATCTTTCGCAAGAAAATCAAATCCAAGCTACAGAGGAGGTTCCTAAGGATATAAAAGAGCGCCGTGCGATATCAGATTCAAAGGCTGGCGTAAGACAGTCACCATTAATTTCAAGGGCTCCTGAAGAAATTCAGGTGCCTGCACGCCACCCATCCACTCCCCGAAACCCTGTCTCCAGTGAGAAGGCAGATTCGTTGATAGCGAAATACCTGAACACACCGCCAACATCTTTTCGTCAAATAATTAATACCCTTAATAATGATAGAACAAGAATTGCGAAATCTGCCTACGACCTTATCATGGAAGGAATTGAGAGTCAGGACAAAGTGAAGGAAGTCAAACTCCTCGCCGCTCGGATAAAGGCCATTGAAGAGCTTCAAGAATTGCATGCAGATTTCAGCTCCTCGAAAAAGAACCATGAAAAATTGAAATCAGCTCTAATCGCATGTATTGAACAGATAGGCGATATTCCTGATAGCACTAAGGTTACTGAGATCAAGGACTCTGCCCAACGGCTACAGGAGAAGGAGTCGAGGATCGTCTCCTTAATACAAGAGTCAGAAATGTTTAATAAGCAGTCGCTTGTCATTTCAGGTCACCCTACGGATAGAAACCATCTTACACAAGTGGATCAGGAGCTGGAGTCTTTTTCTCAAATCAAATCCACTAAGTTACCACAACCTTCATTTACCGAGGACGAGAGCCGTCATCATACTCCTGTCTCATCGGGGCTCACAAAGACACCATCGCTCCCAAATAATCATTTTACTGGATCAAGAAAAGATGATGCTATACGTCCTCCAGTACCTGAGCCGCGATGGTCACAAGAACTTCCTTCTGCTCCACGCAATATAAAAAGTCCACTGAGCAGCTGGGATCCCCAGTTCGATGATGCCGAGGATTTTGTCGATATGCTTGATGACGACCCTCCTTATTCCAGAACCATGGCCACTCCATGTGCTGCGACAACAGCAGTGACTACATTTGAGTCTGACATCGATGACCAATCTGCATCCAATCCATTTGATGAGCTTGAGGACTTTTTCGATTGCCCTAGCCCAAGGCCCGCTCCGCCTGCTCCCCCCGTCTCTGAATCCCAATTCCCTAACCGGGAAGTGTTCCGTGAAACATCTGGGAATAAGTCGAAAGTACCATCGGCAAAGCAGGGCGATCAAAAGGATATAGGGCAGATGAACTCAGTGGAAGGCCACCCTTGGAGTAAAGACGTCAAGTCTGCTATGAGAGAAACATTCAAACTGCGTGGTTTTCGGCCCAACCAACTTGAAGCGATCAACTCCACGCTCAGTGGCAAAGATACCTTTGTTTTAATGCCAACAGGAGGTGGTAAATCCCTTTGTTATCAATTACCATCTATAATACGGACTGGGAAAACGAAAGGGGTTACGATAGTGATTTCACCTTTACTGAGTTTAATGCAGGACCAAGTCGCCCATCTTCAAAAGCTCAATGTGAAAGCTTTCTTGATAAATGGAGATGTGTCTAAAGACGAACGAGCTAGCATTATGAACAACCTCCGAAGCCTCCGCGCAGACTCACTTATCCAATTGCTCTATGTTACGCCTGAAATGCTTGCCAAAAGCCGTGCCATAGAAAGCGTCTTACTTCAACTCCATAGTAATGATAAGCTCGCTCGCATTGTTATTGATGAAGCGCACTGTGTCAGTCAATGGGGTCATGACTTCCGGCCAGACTACACTGCGCTTGGCAAACTGAGAGAAAATTACTCTGGTGTACCCGTAATGGCGTTGACTGCCACGGCAACACCAAACGTCCAAGTCGACGTTATACATAACCTGCGGATGAAGGGTTGTGAAGTTTTCACTCAGTCGTTTAACCGGCCAAACCTGACCTACGAAGTACGTAAGAAGGGAAGAGCCCAAGATGCGCTC